CGCAGTTATACTGAAAGATACCTCTCTTAGCGATCTAACTGTAAGGGAAATAGGTAGCAGGACTATATCCCGATATGTACTAACTGGTATAGTTTTATCGGACCGGGGGGTTAATCGGACTGCAGTGCAGCAATAATGACCGCAGCACGGCAAATGTGTCTCCTAGTTTTTGACATTTGTATTTTCGGAAACCCACTGCCGGTTGGGCTGAACAATGTTCCCATCGAACAAGGTCGTGCCCCGAGACTGATGCGGCTAGATAAGCACCCCTGTGCTAAGAGGAGAGGGCAGTGCACAACAGCCATTGATAGTGATAATCGTATTGTTGTTTCGTCGAAGGTCTAATTAATTCTAGATTAGTCTATCTAATTATATGCTTTGTGCAGTACTGGTTCTATTCTTATTTTGTATTTGCCCAAATAATACCCCTGTCTATGATAATGATTCATGAAAAGTCGTTCACGAGAGAATTAAGCTGAAAAGTGAGTCTGAAATGAGCGCCGCTTAACCAGATTTGCCCACTGTCTGGGACGCATACTTGGACTTCTGGCGGATCTTCTGGCCGTATATATAAAGTACCACAGGCACGGGAATGCAGGCAACTCCTAGAAATCCCGGCACCGAGCTCGCCCATTGTGTACCAAGATTCTCGTACATCTTCTTAGTGAACATGGGGAATCCTGCGCCGAATAGAGATCGGAGCACTGTGTTGGCAGCCAGAGCTGAGGCAGAATATATACCGTAGGCATCTGCGAGATAGGCGAAAACGGACTGGAAAATGAGCGTCATTCCAAATCCGAATGGGATACCGGCAGCAACAGGGCAAATCCAATGGATGGACTCGTAGGTTGTCCTAGTAAAACGACTAGTCAGTTTGATCCGCCTTCTAACCTCACCATCACTTTCAAGACTTACCAAGCAAACCAGAACATGCCGATGGGAACAGTGATGCCTCCGATAATACCTCCAATGAGACGAGCTTCAGGCTCGAGCAGACCACTTTGTGTCTTTGCGGCCTCTTTCACATACCATTTGTTGATGACCAACACAGATGGAACGGCAGCAAACATACCGACAGCAATTCCGAGGAATGGGAGGCCACCCTTTCCGGGAGACCAACCTCTTTCAAGCTGAAATACGACTGGGTACGCTCCGAAAAGCATGTACAAGACTCCATAGACGACCGCCGTATAGATGGCGAGGAATAGAACAATGGGGTCCACGACGAGAAGCTCGCAGGGGCGGAGCAAAGATGTGATGAGTACCTTGGTGGGCGCCAAGCCGCCGTTTTGGATGTCGATGGTGGTTTTGTAAACTTTGCCTGTCTCTTTGGAAAGCTTCTCGCTCCGTCTTTTGAGAAGCACTGGGGCATATGTCTCAGGAACAACAATCAAGTTGATGATCCAAGAAACTCCAGCCAAAATCGCGACAAGACCCATAACCTATTCAAAGCATACCAAGAAGTGTCAGAGATTATGTAGCGGAGTGATGTCTAAATCGACGCATGAATAAAGGATCATGACTTACCCATCTCCAGCCCGCCTTGGTTCCAAGATAACCGCCAATGAAAGGACCAAATGTCGGGCCCATGGCGGGAGCAAGCGAGAAGACTCCGATGGCAATGCTTCTATCGTCGGCATAGAAGAGATCGGAGATGACACCACCCGCGTTTGTCAACGGTCCTGATCCAAAGGCTCCAGCAAAAAATCTGAAGACCAGCAAGGAAGCGACGTTGTAGTCTGCCGTGGTGGCCGCGCAGAACACAACAAATGCCAGATAACTTCCAATAAATACGTATTGCCGGCCATAGATTTCGGAAAGGGGTGCCCAGAGGAGAGGGCCGAGGGCGAAACCAAGGACATAGAGTGAAACACCTCCTGTTATCATCAGGTTGTCGGCTTTGAAGTTGATCATGAGTTCCGTCATTACGCCTGTAAGTTGATCAATATTTTATCCACAAACCGTAATGCCGGACATGCCTTACCCGTGTATGCGCTTGAACCAAAAGCCACAACAAAGCAAGTCAAAGCCGAAGACATGGTCATAGCCCATTTGCGGGACTTTGACCAGTTGAGGGGGTTTCCACCATCGTTGATGACCCAATCAACAACGAAGGGATCTTCTGTCGTGCCAGCTCCGGGATATCCACTCGATCGTACCGAATCATCAACTCGAGCTTGGTCGATAAGTAAAGCATGTATCGGCCATTGTTTCGAGGATGGACCCAAAGTGTCGTCGTCACTCATGTTGGGCAAAGTGTTCTTATCGGTTGGTTGGTTGGTAAAAAAGAGGCTGCTCGAATAATCACGTGGTATAATCCATGTAGAAATGAAATCGTTGTCGACGTAGTTGTTGATGTCTGCAAATATTCATCGCCCATCTAGATCTTCAGCCATGGGTCCGTCACTGGCTACTTATACCTTATACCATCCCAGAATCTGTTGGGCGACCCGAGATTCCGACATATCTGCTGAGGCTCTGCCCCAGTCGTCGCCTGCAGACATGTGATGGCAATTTGGCCCATCATATCGTCACCGTCTGTTCTACGCCACGTGTGCCAGGCCATGGCCTGTATACCGGAAAGACCCGCTATAAAATGGAATTACTTCATGTAGACACACGAATCTCAATGGCGTAGTCAATAAAAAATCTATAGCAACCCCATTTTAGCATGATCGGCCTGACATGAATTCCGAATCCCTATCCGCTACCTGACGCCAGGGCCACTTCTTATTGACAAACACCCCTGTCCTTCCTCGGCACTTTTTTAGCGGACCGGCGAGGCAGCCCGAGTTCTGCGTGCCCTGTCTATTCTTAACCTTGCCATTTATAAAAATGGAACCATTCCACGTACCATGTATAAGGCTGTGTAATCATGTAAGTATTAAGCTTGATGATAAGCGTTGCCTTGGGTGAGTTCCAATCCTATCGACGGCTGTGGGTTCCGAAACAACTTGAGGGAAGCCAAAAGCAAGTCCAGAATAGGTGAAGAAATTATGTCGAGATGCTCTTTGTCCATCATCCTGTAGAAGTAATAATCAAACCACCATCTGTGCTGATCGGAGTGAAATGTGGGAGCCTCTAGCGGGAGAATGACATGTTGCAAGTGCTTCACATGTTGGTCATATGAAAGCTTACTATACCTATACTACCTTGTTACGGGAATTCCGCGTTTTTCCGTACGCCGTTGACGACGGGAACTCCAGGCTCTACATTGGTCAATCGACATGATGCGCGGCCAGGACACACCAGACCTCATGTGATGGAGAACTGAGATTGGCGTCTCAATGAAGTACAATGTGGAAGGTCTCACTTTCAGCTTGTGATGGTCCCTCGCGCTAGCTTATGCCAAGAACAACCGAGCTGTCAGGGCAAAGTCCTCGTCCCTACAGTTCATCGAGCAAGGGTCACCTTTCAATGCAAAAAAAAAAGGGAAAGGGGGAAAGAAAGCAAAAATCAAAGGTCACGGTGGGGATCGAACCCACAATCTTCTGATTCGTAGTCAACTGCCTTGCCATTGGGCCACGCGACCGTTAATAACCAATTTTTGTCGTAAGTTGGGACAAGTCCTGGGCCCACTCAATCAAGCTACCCTATACTCACATCACAGTCGGTCTGCCATCCAACATATAACCAATTTCCGTGCATTCTCTCACCTGTTGCGTGGAGTGATTGTTAATAAAAGGTTTTCTAAGAAACATTTTCTTTTTGGCGAATCTATTTATGAGGTTTCGAGTGGCGTGACAGCACTTTGACTGATCGAGGATCACGTAGATGGTGATTCTCACGTCGGAGTGTAACACCAATTTGTTCAATCTACCTCATAGAAAGTCTCGATCGGAACAGTCGGCATTGTGTCACAGCCCTACGGCGATAGCATGACGTGTTGGACTTCATCACCAAGACGTTCATCAAACGTTTTCAACCAAAACAAACAAACCCTGACATTCACATGCTTTTGGCGGGTGGGTACAATTTTCGCGTTGGCAGACTTGGACATGGGTTTCTCAATCCCGCGGAGTTACTCATCTATCTTAATCCCGGGCAGGTTTCCGTCGCAGCAGATGGCAGTAAATAGAGCAGTTGGCAATGCACATGTCCTTGCTGGGTGACGTCTCTACGGACCACGTTGCATCAGTGGCACGCTGCGGGCGGGATCGACAGATCCGAGAATCCAGGATACGCGAAGCATCTTGGGCTGTCACCCTGGAAGATATCGGAACTCGGGTCGTTCAGGGCCCGATCAGCTTTTTTCCGCAAGCCGAGCATGCGACCGCGGTCCTTGGAAGAGGGATGGCTAGCTGGGATGAATGAGTATGGTACCAGAGCAGGGCGATATGTACGGGAGCGTCAGGCCAAGCTCGAAAATTTTATTTCAAATTTCAAACTGAGACAGGCTGGTATATACGGGTAGCATTCTACAGGGAGCAAGTAGCCCCTGGTATGACAGTGAGCCGGCAAGTCTGTGGAGTCTCTCGGCTCTTGGTGGAGGCAGCAAATGTTGTTTTGAATTCGAGTTCAAGATCCGCCCATCATGCTTCCAGCTTTATTTCTAGGGCTGGCTCTCCCAATCCAGGCTCAATCAGACTGAGGCTACAGGAAGAAATATCAGAGGTGCTTGTTTTGGCCCCTTAAAAAGCAGGGAGTGGCGGCATGACAAATTGTAAGGAATATGACCAGCCTGTGACAAAGCCAAAGCATGAATAATTTCAGCCGCAGAATGCAGTAATGATGCTCAGGAACTGGTCCAAGACGGTATAGGCCCAGCCAAAGCTCGTTCTTGATCCAGTGGCAATCTCTAGTGATCCACGGCACGCACCAATGCAGCTAAATCCATCCTTCACAGCACTAAGGATCCGTGTTCCGTCCGCGAAGCAGTGAAATTCCTGCTCCTCCAATCGAATTGATGGATGCCTCGGGAGCCATTAGCGATGCCCGACGCGCCGTCTGTCTCTTCAAACTCCAACATCACCAGCCGCCTCATCTGACCAGCAATCGCCATGTCTGGAGGCAGCCCTGATGGGCAAAACACGCCCAAGAACGTGTCGACTGCCGTACATCGACGACCGAGTCTGCCGTCATGGCTGAAGCACTTCAATGTCGCCGACTTCAAGATCTTCACCCGCTGTTTCATTGCCGCATGGGTGGCGATGATACTCACCTTCATCACTCCGGTCCTCGGCACGACCGGCCAGGCGACCTTCTTCGCCGCCCTGGTCCTCTTCATCGTCCCGCCCGCCAGCATCCTCTTCATCTACCTGCTCGGCTCCCTCTCCCTGCTCGCGGGCATGTGCCTGGCCTGGGCATGGGGCCTCCTCACCATGAAGGCCGCGCTGGCCGTGCGCTCCGACGAGGAGACGGCGGCCAAGCTGCAGGCGCTGCAGCAGGCGGCGACCACCGCGGCCCAGAACTCGGGGCAGAGCGTGGCGTGGGAGCAGCTGATCCTCGTCCGTGATGGGTTCATGCTCGATGCGCGCGTCACCGCCGTGTTCTACGTCATGGTCTGCGCCTTCATCTATGTGATGGCGCGGCTGCGGTGCAGCAACCCCAAGCTCACGCTCACGCAGCTCTTCGGCACCATTGCCATGGATATCTTCCTGCTGTTCGGGCCCACGCTGCCCAAGTTCGCTGCAAGCATCGGGCAGCTGCTCATCGAGCCGGGAGCCATTGGGGTTGGCATCGGCGCGGTCTGCTGCCTCCTCTTCTTCCCCACGTCGACGTCGTATGCCGTACTCGACACGATGGGCAAGCTTGTCGCGACAGTTGAGACGCCTTTGGACGCGCTGCGGAGGCGACTTGGTAGTGATAAAGTGCCGCTGGAGCAGCTCGTCGCCTCCAAGGCGAGGATGATCGGGCTGTACAAGATGATGCTGCCGACAATCGGCTTTCTCCCCCTTGACTTTTCTCGTTGTCGTTGGGGCGCGGAGGATATCAAAGAGCTTCAGGGATCTGTGCGGGAAGCCATGGTTGCCAGTCTCTCGCTGCTTGATATCCATATCGCCTGGGTCACTTCTAACGAGAAGTTTGAAAAGTTTGCTGGACGTGACGAGACCTCCGATTCCGGAGAGGACGCGGAGGCGAAGAAGGAGGGAGAGAAGAAAGGAGAGGAGCAGACTGCCGGGCACCGCGAGATGATGGAGAATGCGCACATCATGGAAGCGTTCAAAAGCCCCGAGCGACATGAGATGGATGTCAACGCCCTCGAGGCACTCAGGAATACGACGGCCGATTTACTGGGGGCTTGCTCACATGCTGTCCTATTGAGCGGTCGTTGCATCCAGGCCGTTAATAGCTGCCGATGGATCAGGAAAACCTCGCAACAGCAGTTTGATGACTTAACCAGGCAGATCGAAACAACGTTGGTGACATTGTCGGCTGCTCGCGCAACCTGCGTCAAGGACACGACCGAAGGGGTCCTCGAGGCATACTCGGATATTTTCGATGAAAATGGCGACCTCAAAGCATCCTGGAGCCTCGGTCCTCCGGCTCTCAAGGGCATAATCCTCGCCATGGTTGTTGAAGAACGGATTCTGGTTGCGGCGACGACGATGGAGAAGTTGCTTCGCCACACCCTCCGCCTGATGAATGAGCGAAAGACGACCCGAATGTGGTTCCCAACCGGCCTCCGATACGCATTTTCCTGGCTGTTCAATGGAAAAGCAACGGTCCCCGTCTCTGGAGACTTCAACGACCCCGAGGTAGATCCTGACTCGGTCAAGGAACCGACGTCGCTCGAGGATGACGCCAAGGAGGCGTACCGACGCCTCAAGCTGAGTAGCGGTTATGGCAGTGCATCAGCACGCTCACGAAACGCTCTCGCCCGTGTCCTTGTAGCTACATACAAGTGGCTGTTCAACCCTTCCGGTATGTATGCCCTTCGGATGGTGATTGTCACCATCGCCACGGCGATTCCTGCGGCCATCCCGCAAACTGCCGGCTTCTTCTATCGAGAGAAAGGGATATGGGCTGTCATTACTGCGCAGACGGCCATCCTGGTGTACATGGCAGACTTCACCTTCTCCCTCGTCACTCGCAGCATGGCCACTATAATTGGAGGAGTGATGGGTATGATCGCATGGTACATGGGTTCCGGAAATGGATCAGGCAACCCGTATGGTTTGGGCGCAAGCACGGCGCTGATGATCTTCATAATCATGTGGCTGCGCCTTTACTTGCCACCTGCCTGGATGAAAGCCACCATCCTGCTCGGCGCAACTTTCGTTCTCGTCGTCGGCTTCAGCTTCGATCACCACCATCTCGGTCAGCAGTATGGACTACCTGGGGTTGGCTATGTCGCGTTCTGGAAACGTGTCGTCACCGTCTTGATTGGGTTCGCGGCAGCGACCGTTGTACAGGTTTTCCCACGACCCCCGTCGGCTACTAAACATGTCTGCAAGAGCCTCTCTGCCTGCGTGAGGACGCTCTCGGACCACTACGCGTTGCTTCTATCACACTGGGGCCGAAATGGGCAGCACAGCCCGCTGGGTGCTGTCGCTGAGGAAATATCTCTGGATGTTGGAGAGTCATTGCTGACCCTGAATGAAATGATTGGGTTGCTTCAGTTTGAGCTGACCACAGGACCGTTCAACCAAGCGATTCTGAAAGGCGTTCAAGCTCACTGCCATTCCATGAACCAAGCCCTGAGAAGACTGCTCAGCCTCTCTTCGTCGCTCCCAGAGAACCTCCAAGACAGACTTTCCCAGACATTTGGAGTCTTGGATGACCGTGTTGTGGGCGATGTCATGGCCGTTCTCAGCATCGTGGAGCAGAGCTTGCTGACCGGAGCTCCCCTCCCCGAGAGATTGCCAACGCCCCTCATCCGCCAGTTTTATGATACGTGGCGCGTCAAGCATGGCAGTCAGATGTTGACCAAGTCGTTGGTCCGTGATGAAAATTATCGTCGCTACTGTGTGGCCATGTCTGCGTATCTGAAGTTCCTCTCAACGATCGATGATCTCGTCATACACTTGAAGCAGGCATTAGGGGAGTGTCATCATGTTCGCCAGTGGGAGGATGCCTGAGTTGGTTGGGTCAGTAATGGCCGTCTTCACGTTACCCATCGACTTTGGTGACTGAACGACTTCTGTTCTGTTCAGCGCCGTAGCACTCGCTCATCCGGGTTTGAATGCCAGATTGACCTGCAATTGTTACCTGAGCTGCATTCTTGACCAAGGAGTTCCAGATCCTTACGATACCAGACACATATCTCTTCTTGCTGGTATGCTTGTGAATTGGTAAAATGGGAAATCCAAAACACGGACTGATGAAGGGTCCGAAGTGGACGATGGACGACATCGACGGTGGAGAGTCTAGTCCGAGATCTATGCCGAAAGAAAAGAGAGATAATGGAAATCAAATACTAATGTAATTAAAACACCACCCGCCATCTTCTTCGTTGATCCAGCAATCGTTAGTGATCACAGGGACCTGATATGTCACCTAATGACTAGAATGCAATCGAGCTAAAAACCTGCCCTTAGCTGCCTTGATTGAATCCACGGTGAAATATAAATGTGTAATTGGAATGTACGAAGCAGTCCGTGATGTTTGCCCAAAGGCTCTTCTGAATCCCACTGGACTGTCGTTTGAATAAGGTTGCATTCTTACCAGGGTTTTATTTCTGAATTAGAAGATGCCACTGACGATCATCGTCTTGCTCTTGGCCTCTTGCCGGTGTTCGCACCTTGGAAGAGTCATAGTACTTACCATCAGATTCAGGAGAACAATAAAAAACGTGTAACCCACCTCAGACATCAAAGGTAACACTGAAAAAGTATCAATGAAAACATATAGAAGAAAGGGTTAGTGCATGTCAAGAGAAAAATGAGGCTCTGTCTCGCATTTGTATCCAGCGTAGCATCAAACGTGTAGGTGATATTGCTACATTCGGAAAGCGTTCCGTGATAGCTGTACAAACGGCAGATGGAACTCATAGTAGAATCCTAAATGTGAGGCGGAACCTCACTATATTCATATTATCCCTTCTCGCATTAATTAAAAATGGTTGGCGATATGAAATTTGCACTCTTTTGATGCATGATGCATGAAATGGCCGGTATCTACATGCAAGTTTGCCTCCGAAATGCATCACGTGCACAGTCAAAATCACCCCTACAGCTATTGAAGACTCTTAAAATGTGCCAAATTAAATGTTCGTGTCTTCCGCTGTGCAGAACTGTGCCATTATTGCCAATTTTGAAGAGAAATACTCGAGTTGTTGGCCATAGATCCTGGTTATTCATCAAGATACGTACAAATTTACTGGCAATCAGCCCGAAAGCCACATCAGCACGAGTCAAAACAGTAAAATAACACACCCAGACCCCATTTGACGCCCACTTCAATCGACCAGCATTTTTCTTGGCTGCAGCGATCTGTGTCAGTGTTGAATGGAGTCGGGATCTTGGCATTAGGCACACGTCGCTAGTAAGGTGGCATGGCAGCGGGGAGCGTTGAAGCTTGGAACATGCTTAAATGATATGGGGCCGTTTCCTGATTCAAGAGAAAGCAAAAATTAGGCTTGATTTTGGGTATTGGCCCGCAGCGGTGAAGGAAGTGGTAGGGGGAGGAGGAGGCAGGGGGCGCACGCGGCCACCGTCAACCCAAGATCCCCTCAACTTTCTGATGTTCGTATGAGGGATGGAGAGGATGACATATGCTGTCGAGTCTTCGTGTGAAGAAGCAGCCCACGTGCGTCCATTCCCGATGATGATTGGACAAAGCGGTAGTGCCACGATCCCCCGGCCACATCGCCTCTTAGGTGCAGGTCGCGATGAGAATGGCTGCCGATCGCTGTCAGTGCCATCACGACAGCCACAGCGAAGGCCTGACGGGAGTGCGGCACATCACGGACCTGCTCATTAGCTCGCGTGTCAGGAATGCTGACTGAGCGGGTGACTATCCAATGAGGGATATTCATCAAGTAGATCCACGATGCTGCCCTGAAGGTACGCGTTTATGACCTGGCTTGCCTTGTCCAGTCAGATTTTGAATGTATTCCTGTGGGGGCCGTTCTACTGATGGCCTCCTCCCTCTTTTGCAAATTTTCAGGGGCCCGAAGGTGGCTGGCTATCTTGGTGCTTACGCTCCCGGGGCTCTTGGAATGGACATGCTTACGGCCCGGGTGTTCGGCTTTGAGGATGGGATCGGGCTACTAGCCAAATAGATCTCATGCTTCTTCGAGTAATCTTGGTAGCATGGAGTAGATCAATATTCAATGATCGGATCACCCGAGCCGCTGCTATATTTGGGGTCCAGTACATGTGGAGGGGGCTGAGTGAAATGGGCTGTGGTAAAATGAGTGCCTGAGACACAGGGGAGCAGATGGAAAAATAGGCATTAGAGAAGAATGCATTGCCGGTAGACCCCAGAAAAAAATCACTTCTCTGGGTGGAGGAAATGATACGTGCTCAAGCCCTGTGGTAATAATAGAAACCAACCACATAGCCCCAGCCTGTAGTATCCCCTGACAGCTTTTCCCTCAGACGAGCTGCCGGGGGCTGAACGCTAAAGAGCCCAGACCATCAATACTGGCAGCTTAGGGCCAGATGGTCTGGAGGCATGAAGTACTCGTACACCGGTGGGACCATTGCTGACACTGACATGCTTCACTTGCAGGGACACAGCTCCCTCCTCCGCTGATTAATGATTCACCGCAGTACGTGTCTCCCCAAAGCCTGGAACAACGAGCCGGGCATCGTAAGTTAAGGCGAGGACATGGTAGGGCTGACTTGGCATGGGGGAGGGCAGAGGACCTTGGCGGTCTTTAGGTTGAAGCTACGAATCCACTGGTCTCTCGGCTGACCCCAAAAATGCCTTGGCCAGTGCTCTGACTATTGCTTCTCGGGGATATGGCGCTCGCCACTCTGTGATACACAGTCGGGACACGGCACAGGCCTGACTCTAGCCTCTCCAGCTCGGTTGTACAGCCGCGTGCCACAGCAGCTTTAGTCAGGAAACAAACACGCACTACTCCGTATTCTCTCCAACAATTGACGTGAGGCTTGGCAGGTCCCACTAGCTGCTGCGTGGCAGAGCAGATTTCAATCCATCTGCTTGTATTGGGCCTGACTTTCAGGCTCCACGCACAGGTCTCCTCTCCCCCAGCTCAGCCCAGCCCAGCCCAGAGCTAGACCGGTCCCTTTGCTTGTCCCCTGCTGCTGTGGCTTCTCATGCGGGTGTGTCCAGGCACTTGGACGGCAGATGTTGCCGGGATGCTGCAGTAGCCCAGCAAACGAGATTGGTGCTGAGGTGAGAACATATTTACACTACCGACGCGCCTCATACATTTCTTGGCCATTGCCGCCTTTTCCCCTCTCCTTTCAGGTCTCTCCAGTTCCTCAGAGCGCTGTCTCGCATCGCTTGATCCTGGGTAATACCAAGACCCATCTGGGCTGGACCAAACACTCACTCCCTTCACCCTGAAGCAGCGACAATGGCGGGCAGCGACCACGAGGATGGCCCCGCAGGCCACAAGCTCAAGAAGACGGGCACCTTTAGCATGGCCGCATCGCGATTGAGCCTCTTCAACAATCCGCTGAAGACGCACGACGAGGACGACGACGAGCATCTGATCGGGTCCGGCGGCGACCACCAGCACCATCACAGCTCCTCTGTCGAGTCGGCCAACCTGAAGCCTGTGGACGATGATGAGGAGTCACCCCTGCAGTTCTCAAAGGTACGTCTGGAGTCTTCCCTCTGGTGCACGATTGGTGTCGCCCACAAGCCATTTGATATCGCCACACTCAATGAGAATGACAGACGGCTAACTATGAGGTAATTTAGCGAGAAGCTGCATCGACATCTGAGGTAATTAACTAGAAATCAAGATGCTGCCTGCCCCAGCCCCGTTCACTCACTGACCCATTCGTCCAGCTGTTCTACGACTTGTGGTTCGTCGCCAATCTCACAGTCTTTGCCACAGTGCATCCCATTACAACGTTGGGGACACTGGTATCGTTCGTGGGATTCTTCTTGTAAGTGGTGACTTGATGGCTGATTATTCTTCCCCCCCGACATATTTGTTCTTCGCCATCCATCTCGGTACGGTCGCATGAACCCAGCTAATTGTGTTCAGGCTGCTATGGAACACCTGGTTCATCACCACAGTTTTCGATGCTCGTTTTGGTCAGGATGGTATTCTGCCACGACTCTGTCGTGCCTGCCACCTGGCCGTCATGGTTGGGTTCGCCGTTGTTGGTGTTGCCTTTGACTCAAAGTCCCTGATTCGACCCATCATCAAGGCCACTTGTAAGAACCATGTTCTACGCACCTCGAGTGCTGAATGTAAAAGGGGATTGGCCTGTTGCTGACAGTATGGTTGCAGCACTCTTTTTGGCTCTATCGAGACTGGTGCTCGCCCTACAGTACAGCTTGATTTTGTTCCATGCTCGCCACCACCGTAGGAGCCGAAAGCCACTCATTGTCGCGGTGCTTCTCCACATCCTGCCATTTATTGGATACCTCATTGCCGGTATCGTCTCGAACAAGAAGGAGGACCAGCAGCTGTTGTATGTGTGGTACGGTATCGGTTTGATGGAGCTGCTCTCCATCATTGTTCACGCGACTCTTTCCAAGACTCTCAGCTTCGAAGGAACTCACTTTAACGAGCGACTCAACCTCTTGACGCTCATCATCATCGGTGAAGGTGTCATCATCCTCTTGAAGAATGTGACCAAGATTGTCGAGTATACCTATCTGAAGGGCATCTCCACCTCCTGGTGTAAGTGATAACACACCCAAGACGCGTATTTTGCTTCCCCCGTCGGGAGGCTGTAGCTGACTTCTTCCCTAGCCCCTGCTTTGATCGGTATTCTGATTTGTTCTGCCGCCATCCTGTACATCACTTTCCAGCTCTACTTCGACTGGATGCACCACCACAATCATATCGACCCCATCCGCCAGGCTTTCTGGACACTCATCCACTTGCCATTCCATGCCGCGTTGGTTCTCTTGGCCGAGGGCGGTGGCCAATGGGGAATTTGGTGGCGCGCCACCGAGTCGTACAATGAAGCCGGCAACAAGCTCTTGAAGGTTGTGGAATCCATCATGGAAGAATCACCTGTCAAATCATCCGACATCGCCGAAGCCCTTCACGACGAAGCCTTTGATATCATGAAGAAGTACGGCGCCGATGTGGAGGAGGGCAGCAAGGATATCAAGGGCATGGAGGAAGTTTTCAAGAACATCTCCTCACTGTCTGACTCTCTCTGGGTGGAGGGCAAACAGAGCGAAGACTACCAAACTTGGATTGACAGCGTGCTTTCCATCACGACTTCGGTTTTCAATTCGATCAGCAAGGCGTTCTACCTCGTCATCAAAAAGAAGGAAAAGCAGACGGCAACCTCTATGAATTGGCAGGATGCTGAGATAGCCGCAATTCAGCAGACCCAGGAGCGACAGGAGCTGGTCGTGAGTACCCAATCCGTTCTTATTTTTATTGCTTCTGGTAGTGGACTTAACTAACTTGGTTGCAAACAGTTCACGTATCTGTTCGTGAGTGCTGGTATTGTGCTCATTTTCCTTATGACCATGCATTTACTCTCCAAGCAAAAGGGATGGTCCATCTTCAACATGTTCCGAGTCATCGTCGTCTTCCTCATGGGTATTGGTCTCGGTCTTGTGCCAGTCCTTCATACCAACGTAAAGCACCTCACGACCTTCCTTCTCACGCCTTGGCAGCTGCCTGCGATCACGATTGTATACTTTATTGTCCTCATCGTCACCCATCTGCCACACCCTCCCCGGATCTACATCAAGCGGTCCGAGATCCAGGACATCGAGATGAGCCAGAAGCCCGGCATGGAACCCTCCCGGGCACCAAACCACCAAGCCCAGGGCATGGCACCGACCGCCGCTTACGATCCCAACGCCAGCTACGCAGCAGGCGGGTACTCGGACAACATTGGCCCGCAGGCTGCTCCCTACGATCCCACCGCCACTTCCCAGGCCCCTACCGCCGGCTACCCCGGTTACTTCCCTGGTCAACATGACGATACCGCCTATTACGGAGGTTCTGCCGTGCAGATGCCCGCCGGGCCACCTCCAATTCCAGCCTCAGGCCCAGCCCCGAAACGTGGCATGACCTTGAGGAGAGGCTTGACAATCATGCAGAACGCGGCGAGGAGTATCCATGTCGAGCGGGCGCCTTATAGTCCTATTAATGATGACGGGTACAACAACGCTGACCGCAGGATCGCCGGCCTCTACCATCACGGTTAGTTGGGGGAAATTGGCTCGATAATGAACGGAGCAAAAATCTACTTTGAATCGGCGTTTTAATGGTTTATGAACACGCATTTCTTACGAGCGGCGATGCAGTTGTATTTATAATGTGGCATGGTGATTTCTTCTATTTTACACCTTGATATAGCGTTTCAAGCGTCCTGAGCGAACATGATTAGTTTGCAGGTTTATGTTTACACATTTATCTTTGTTCATATACTAGACTACTCATGAGCATATGGAAACTATATTGAACGATCTTTCTCATTGATTGTTACGAATTGAGTGAAATAAGATTCTGGAATGAAGTCACATAACAAACAGACTGTCGTCTTAGGGCTTATTTCTGAGGTGGCTGCTTCTTTCAGACAGAGTCAGACTTTTAGATGTTGGGGCTTCGTTGGAGATAGGTGACGGCGATTTCTACGTATCAATGTTCATGGTCATAAGCAGAATCTCTGAGATGGTCTACCCAACAAGTAGAACAATGACGCAGCGATTGAGAGTGGCATATCTTGGCAGTAGAGCGTGTTGGCATCCCATATTGAATCCGCAATGGAAAGCTGACACCACGGTCTTAAGTTTACCAGTGCTAAATCATACTAGGACTACCTTTTGTAGAACTTTCCTAGGTAAGTTCAAAATACAGCCAAAATCAGCTACCAGCATGTCCCAATCTCTCAATCGTGAACTCTCGTCCCTGATGCTGGCGGGGTTATTAAGCCCGGCCGGTAGTTGTGAACTGCCGACCCCGTCCGCTATGCTAAATGGCTGGTGATACCGGAGTTAAGAAACGCGAACACTGACCCGCATGGTATCGAACAATGATTGCATGTTCCATGTAAGATTTTGAGGACCATTTGGAGTAAATTATAAGTCCACGCCTTAACAACGCCTTCTTCGACCATTTTGGGCAATGTATAAGTCCTGATCCGAACGCCGGAGTTCCGATGACCATCTTCGTCGACGAGGTTGATTCTGTTGTAGTGATGATGATAGAAGTTATATATGGCTTGTATTTCGCTTCTTGGAATTTAAAATAAATCTGAATCACATTCATCTGAACTTAATCTGAGACCGTGACAAATCCTACACAAACACTTTGGCCGCCGCATTGACTGATTAAACATGTCTGCTTCCATTTACAAGGATGAGGCCGGTAACCTGGTTGTTCCCTGCCTTATTGACGGCAAGCCTGTCGTCCAGCCCTCGACAAGAAACTTTCCCGTTTACGTTGCCGTGGAAGAACGTGTCCTGCACCATGGACAGACTGCTACTCCCGAGTTGGCTGCTCGCGCCATCGCCTCGGCAGGCCAAGTCTTCAAGACGTACAAGAGGACTCCAGTCGACGAGCGATACCACATGTTGCTGAAGGCAGCTGATATCCTGCAAAGGAAGGTCGAGGAGGGTGCCAGTCGTCAGTCTGCCGAGACCAGTGCTACCAAGACTTTTTCGCTCTTCAACGCAAAGCAGTTGCCCAAGATCTGCCGCGAGATTGCTGCTGCCATGAAAACTACTCTGGCCGGTGAGATCACTCCCACCCTGACGGGCAACCACCAGATGGTCTTCAAGGAACCTGTAGGGGCTGTTCTCCTAATCATGCCGTGAGTAGCTCCTGTCGAGACTGAGGAGATAGGACACATAATGCTAACGACATTACCAGATGGAACGGTGCGCTCGCTCTGCCGTGTCGAGGCATCTCCGCCGCGCTCGCTGCGGGGTGTACGGTTGTCTTGAAGGCGTCCGAGCTCTGTCCCTGGACTCACTATTTCCTCGTCGAGACGTTCCTGGAGGCCGGGTTCCCTCCAGGTTCGGTGAACATGATCATGTCGGAGCGTACGGAGGCCCCTGCCGTGACGGAAGCAATCATTTCTCACCCGTCTCTCGCCAAGATCGAGTTCATCGGAAGCGCTCCCGTCGGGAAGCAGATTGGTGCCGTGGCAGCAAAGTACTTGAAGCCGATCATCATGGAGTTGGGCGACCAAAGCCCTCTCATTGTTCTTGATGACGCGGACCTGGACAAGGCTGCCCGGGACGCCATCGCCGGGTGCGTCGCGTGCCACGGCCAGCTCTGCTTCGGAACGGAACGCATCATTGTGCAGAGGGGTATTAAGGATAAATTCTACGAGTTGCTCCGGGCTGCTCTTGCAAACGCTCCGCCCATGGGAGCGGCCGTCACAAAGTTCTATGCTGAGCGAGCTAAAGGCTGGGTCGACGAGGCTGTCCAGAAGGGCGCCGAGTTCCTTGCTGGGAAGAGTGAGTGGACTGGGCCGGCGTCGTTAACTCCTTCGGTCTTGATCAACTTACCCAAAGATTGCTACCTGTACGACAACGAGGCGTTCTGTCCGACCATGTTCGTCGTCGAGGTTGACACTGACGAAGAGGCCATTCTCGAGGCCAACTCTCGTGAAGGTGGCCTGTCAGCTTCCGTCTATACTACCAACTGGGAGCGCGGCCTCAACATGTCCAAGAGTCTTGATTTCGGTAACGTGCAGATCAACCTCCAAACCAACCAGGTTGAAGCGACGGGCCCTGTGACTGGATGGAAAGCCAGTGGATACGGAAGCGGGTTTGGGCGATACAGCATTGAGGAGTTTATACATCTCAAGACTGTTGCCTTTGGACCAACAAGCATTAATCAGTTGAGCAATAGTCAACAGGGGTATGAAAGGATGAACTAGGCAGCGGTACAAGGAATGTATTCTACTTGAAAACCGAATTTTGTAGAAATATCTATTTTGTCTTGCATTCAATGGATTGAAATAGAGCAATTTGCCCTTGAAGTTAACTGAATTACTTGCTGAAAGAGAAGGCAAGGTTGTTGCAAATGATGAGGATATATAGTTCCATATAGGGCTATACTGAATTTATGTCTTTTTTATTCCGGTATACATGGCTCCCATTCTCTGTAGCTTGTGAAATATCATTAATTGGCGACATATTCTTTGCAAGAGTTGGGGGTGATGAATTACAAACGAACCTTATCTCGTCATGTGCACATTCCCGGTGACACGGGAGATCTTGGCCCCTTAAACCCGCCATTTGAAGGAGTTAGAAAACTAATATATAGAAAAGCTTTCAAAATGCAATCAATTTTGGTAGGTCAGGGCATTTACGGTTTGGCTATGTGGACTTGGAGTAAGACATTGCTGAGCCAATCACAACAGTATCACTCTGACTGACTGTCAATCAGGCATAAATGCTCAATGCTCAGTGGAAATTTCAACCACAAGGGCCGTGTAGATATATATTTTGTAAAGTCAGATAGATAGTCGTTGGCCGATAGCGTGTCCTCGTACTTCATTTCCCAACCCTTGTCTTCCCTCTAGTGCCTCGATGCTCGATCTCGATGGCGACACTGCAAGGATTAGGGATTACGGCCGCTGTAAGATGGAATAATGTCTCAGTACGAGAGATTGTGTTCGCAAAAAATGCACACCGAGTTTCTGGCGCGAGTAGATCTTCTAGGCATCGAATGAGACCGAAGAGAGCGATGGGCAAGCCAAGAGAACGATATTGAATTAGCTGCTGCTTTCGGCTGGTCAGTCTGGGCCATCTCTAGTCCGAGCTCATGGTTGGCTCGCTTCCTCGTGATTATTGGCACTTTGCAGACTCCCCACTCCAACCTCCTCCAGCTGCTGCTACAGCGCATCTGTAGCACAGCGTCAGGACACCTTCCGGTTCCAGCTACTCTCGACTGATGATATCACCCATCAGACCCCGGGAAATACCACTGCGCTGCCCGTGATCGGCAGGTCGACAGCGGACACTGGAGTAGGCTGTCGAGGTGAGGGGGAGGGCGAACATGGGCCAGCTGTTGTGCGATGCGGTGCTCCGCGCCAGCAAAACCAGCCTGGGCTCAACCCTCTGGACGAATATTCAATCGACATATCAAGCCGTCATGAAGCCACTCACCGTCGTGTCGCAGGCGCTCTTGGTCGCGCAAGGCCTAGCAGCTGAGCCGTGTAAGCATCGGTTGACGCCCGAGAAGCTCGAGGCTGCCCTCACCTCGGAAGGGTAATGACACACGAGCACTTTTCGATCTCGCCCCAGCTGACCTTTGATATCACCTGCAGGCTCGAGAATAACCTGTGGCATCTGGATCGCATCGGGACTGCAAACAAGGGAAACAGGGCATTCGGCACGCCCGGCTACAAGGCCTCGTCTGACTACCTGCTAGAGCAGATCGGCGTCGAGGGGCCCGATGGAGATTTCGACATTTGGAAGCAGTACTTCAACCATACCTACGAGGAGACTCGTGAAATCGCCCTCACCGGGCCCGATGGCGAGGACGTGGATGTGTATACGCTCATCTACAATCATGCTACGCCAGTACCCGATGGCATAACGGCCGAGCTTGCTGCCCTTCCCGTAGATGACACACGAGGTCAGTAGCATACAAGACATGAGTCGAGTGCCTGCATCTAACACGTCCATAGGTTCTGGCTGCTATGAGGATCAATGGTCAGGCATTGAAGTTGTCGGAAAGCTCGCTCTTGTGAAGCGAGGCGTTTGCAGCATCTCCGACAAGATCAAACTGGCCAAGAGCCACGGCGCCCTTGGTGTCGTCCTCGTCCACAACACCGAAAACACCCCCAACACCGGCACCTTGAGCGCGGACAACATTGGCCTTCTTGTCCCCGTTGGCATGATCAAGCTGGCGGTCGGGGAGGCCTGGTTTGCCAGGATTGCAGGCGGCGAGGTCCTCACGGTGACCCTCCTTGTGGATTCATTCTTCGAGGAGCGCGAGTCGTGGAACATCTTCGCCGACACCAAAGACGGCGACCCGGACAGCATCATTGTCCTCGGCGCCCATCTCGACTCCGTCCCCGCCGGTCCGGGCATCAACGACGACGGCTCGGGCGTGACGGCGCAGATTGAAATTGCTAAGGCACTCCGCCAGTTCCGCGGCTTGAAGAACAAGATACGCCTTGCATGGTGGGGGGCTGAAGAGCCTGGACTCGTCGGCTCGCTGCATTACACATCACACCTGAGTGAGGAGGAGGCCGACAAGATCCGGTTCTACTTCAACTATGACATGATTGGTTCTCCCGTGCCCGTGTATGGCATTTATGTTGGGGACAATCCGGACGACAAGGTCGGCGCACAGCTGCTTCTCGATTACCTTGTGGCCAAAGACAAGCCGGCATATTTCGGCAGTTTTGGGACCGGTTCTGACTATGTTGGCTTTCTCAATCTGGGCATCGCATCGTCAGGAGTCCAGACGGGCGGAGGAATCCCCGCGGATCCTTGCTACCATCTGGCGTGCGATGTCTTTGGAAACGTCAACCTGGATCCTTTGACCGTCAACACCAAGGCGGCTGCAGTGGCCGCGGCTACTCTCGCCCTCAAAGACGAGCTACCACGCAGAGTGAAGACCTCGCTCAACCCGCGCAGCAAGAATAGAATCAGAGCTCAATTTGACTCATGGCGGACTGCACGGGCTGAGGCGGTAGACTCTTACAAGTGTGCCGGTGACTCAAAGCATACGGTGTAGATGGAGGACGGAGCGACATCGTCGGTGCATCATATGTCAGACTCACGGTTGGTTTCTTCGGGGTACTCATGAAATCTGGAAGGACTCGTCAATGCAGATTTGTTTTGGCTGATTGTTATCGGCGGGCGGATCCGGAAGACAGGTAAAACAATGAAAATGCTTGATCCTAGAAGCTGCATGTGGTTGGGTCCGGGGAGGCAACTCTTTGCTTTTTCCCTCCAGTCCAGTCCCTCTGCAGAGTTTGCTGTTTTTTTCCCTTCGCGATTGGATGCTATCGAAAATCCAAGATCCAGCTTCCCTCCACCGTTTCCTTCTCTCCTCCAGATCCCTCCTATTAGGACAATAACTCGAATGGAGTGGGCAGAAAGCAATCGAGATCAATCTAGCACTCGGAGATGTCCTATATCTGAGATACAATATAGCCACTTCCATGTCCAAGTCTCCACATAACCAGCTGATGAAAACTGCAAATCATCCAATTTTCTTAGCTCATGGTGGCATAGACTCACTTGCATAAACAATCTACCCCACTGAACAGTAGACACGTTGGTTACCGCGAAGCTTGTAGCATGAAGGAGGAGTAAAGTCTTCCCGGTGAGCACCATACAGGCCAATTAGGAATCTTCGTCTCACGGAAGGTTTAGGCTCTGCCGTAGCTAGTGAATCTGTTCCGCAGCAAGATGCAATATGTCATGTACGATATTGTCTGCTTGCCTAGAGGCTTCCAATTCTTCTGTTCCCGGTGGGACTGCAGCAAGAACTGCGTATGCAATCAGCTACTTGTTTGTCTCGTGAACATCCTAATAAAAGATATGCCGAGCTGCGAACCCTTTCGTCTACTCCTGCTCCCCTGTAGCAACTACTCGTCGTGAGCTGGCGAGACGTCTAGCTCCTCTCCTCCAACCTCCAACCTCCCGCCAACACCCCCTACCCTCGTCGTCGCCAGGGTATATTTATCCGCATGATGAGTGAGTGAGAGCTAGACGCCCAGCGTTGCAATCACCGCCCCCTTCTTCCTTCTCCCTAGCCGTATCGCTCCGAAAAGTCTGCGCTGCCGTCTGCCGACTCGTCAGTTCCATCGAATCCACCTCGGCAATCGCCCTCGCAAATCGCCGTGCCGTCCACTCACATCAGCCCATCTCATCTCATCCCCGGATACTTGCTCGACGCCGACTCTCATTGAAGGGGAGCGGGCCCCTCTCTCCAACTTCTGCTGGCCTGATCTGGCCCGGTCTCTTCTCGATTCTTTTTCGCCCCTTCATGCAGGAGACGTGGCAATGCCAACAGAAGCGTTGCAGCAGACGAAAATTTGAAATCATGGTCAATGCCTCCCTCCGTCAAAGATCTAGTACTTAAGCTTGAGAGGAGCTCGTCAATGGAGCCCCCTTCTCATCAATTCATCCCACCACCTTACCACTCACCAACAATCAACTCTTTCACTCAACAACTCTCTCGCCAGTCCTCCACCAACTCACTCAAAATGTCTGCTCCTGCGTGAGTCTTCACCCGACGAATCCTCCTACCTTTCTGGACCCTTGGCAGATCAGAAACAGCTTTCCTTGGCTAACCACACTCAATCCTAGTGCTATCGCCCGCACCTCTGACTCCAGCGCCCAGCATGGTCTTGTCGTCCCCCTTCCCACCGCCACCGGCCTCTCCCAGCCTGCTGGTAAGTCTACTATTACTGTCACTCAGCTCATCTATTCAGTCACTGATCATCTTGCATGACAGGTCAGCTCCTGAAGGGTGCCACCCACGAGGACGGCAGCCTCAAGGATGCCTCCCTCCTCCTTGGCATCAAGCTTGACCTTGAGGCCGAGGTTCACCTGACTGCCCGTGTCAAGGGTGACGTTGTTGTTGGTCTTTACTAAGCGGTTGATTTTGTACACGTATGATATGATTTGGCCAGGAACGCATATTGGTTAGCCGGTTAAAAATAGCACCATTTAAACCCCTCGAAGAACTGGTTCCCCTCTAAGTGAATTAATTCCCCAAGGTTACAGTTACTGATCCTGCGAAAGCACAAGATACAATGCCGACGTGAAACTCTCACGTGAATGTTCCGTCTTGTCCCCCTACAACTCATAGGATCTCAACGACCTCGGGCCCAACCCTGCTTCGTGTCCCGGACATTCTTGGAACGGCTTACAGTCTGCCTTGCAAAACACATCCTTCTTGTCCGGTAACTCGCCCGTCTCCATGTACGCCCTGATAAACTCATCTCTGCACTTCCCCGGCGTCTCAATCGTCCCATGCCCGACATTATCTTGGATCAGCACCACCGACCCAGGATGTCCCTTGGCGACCTCATACGCGTTCGCCAGCGGCGTAACAGGGTCAATGAGACTCGAAACAACCAACAGAGGAGCCACGGGCTTGCCGTCTACCCCGCTTGGGTCGTGCTTGGGCGTGACCCACGGCCCTGAGAAGGTGTAGTTGGCCCGGATGCGCCAGCCGGAGCAAGCGAGGCGAATTGCAGACCAGAAGCCGCCGAAGTCTGGTGAGTCCTTCTTGAGCACGCCGAGGTATTCTTGGAATTCCTCGATGGTCAAGTCCACTTGGGACTCACCGTCACCACAGGCAATGGCGTGCTGCGCCTCCTTGACCCAGGGATATGTGTATGCGCTGGGCTGGCGCGAGGGGCAGCTATCGGTCGGTTTTGGGATCTTGAGGTGTTGGACCAGTCTGGTGAAGTTGCCAGCCAGAGCATCGGCCAGTGTCGCCGCGATATCGGGGAAATCGTCCATGGGGTTGTAAAGCGGCACGAAAATTCTGAAAATGATGTCCTGCTTGGTGATGGTGGTAATGGTGTCGGGGGAGATGTAAACCTCTGGGGTTTTGTCCAATCGATCCATGAGGTTTCGGACTTTTCTTTCAATGTCTGCTGGGCTTTTGTCTGTTGGGTCATAGAGCGGGCAGCGAGTACCGCCTTCAAAGCACGTATCCCAGAGATGGTCGAGGGCCTTTTGAGTGTCTTTCAGGTTTAGAATCCAGGTCTTGATGTGACAATTAGTTCGCTTGCTGATATTTCGCAAAGAATAAGAAAAGCTTACCGCATTGTAATAATCAACAGGGTCCTCGACTGCTTCAAGTATCATGCGTCCAACACGACCAGGGAACATGCTAGAAAATGTATTACCTAGCACAGTCCCATACGAGAACCCCCAGTACTGGATTCTAGGCGTCGCTGTCTGCTTTGCATTCTTGCGAGAGCCCAACGGCATCTGGACGTCTTCGAGAGTCTCGTCTCGCGTGGCTGTCTCATTGCGCATCTCGGCCAGTACATCGACCATCTGAACCATATCTCTCGCAACGCTGCTTGTCGACATGAATTGGCGGATATTCTCAGTAGCATCTGTTGCCTCACACAGCTTGCCCACCATGGCGGCCTGTGCAAACTTCCTCTTGAGTATTTCCGGCGCGGAATCAGGCTTGCCCAGGAGGCGGTCCTCGAGGAGATACCCACTCCGTGTATACTCATCCCGGAAGCAGTCTGCGTTCGGGGTGCTCAAACCGACACCCCGCGGGTCAAACGACAGGATCTCATATTTCTTGTTGCCATCCAGGATCCTCTGCGTCTGCTCGCCCAGATCCAGCACCAATTTGATCCCTGAGGCGCTCGGCCCGCCTGGATTCGTGAAGACTGTTCCACCAAATGAGGGATCAGTCTCGTCCACCACGGCCGGGCGCGCAATGACTGCCAATGTGACGCGGGCAGGGTTCGACTGGTTGAGCCAGTCCAGAGGGACCTGCAGTTTGGCGCACTTGTGTCCATCATAGCAGGGCTGATACTTCAAGGCCGCGGATGGCTCAAGCACCGACCAGTCAAAGTCAGATATGTCGTGTTTTTTGGGCTCAGCAGCGAGGACGAGTCCCGAGGAGAGCGACCATGTCGCAATGGTTTGAAATAGCTTCATTATGCGGTCAGACTGAATCTGAAGGCGTGGGGCTTCTCTTTATCGTATCCAGTCTCGGTGATATCAGGTATCTAAGGCAGCCACACGCCACGCAGGATCAAAGAAGGATACAGAATGAATGAGGGGGGTGAAGCATCCGAATTTGACAGACAATCAAAGGCATGATGACGGAATGTTGCCTTGAATGAGACAAAACGGGTATCACACCCGAGCAGATCGACTACCCTATACTCGCCATGCTGCAGATCTTTAAGTCGCTCATATGGGCTCTGAACCGCGCTTCTCTTTTATAAAATTTGTTGAATTTATATAGCATGTGAAGGGCCGGTCCATAAGTCGGGACCCAAGGAGTCATGTAGACTTATGTATAGCATTGCATAATTATTGACCAAACATCTTCCGTTTGGTGTCTCGTAAATTGCTTACAGAGGTCAGCCAGCCAAGTGGATGACAGTGAAATTGAAACACTCAGAACATGAGGCTGGTTATTGACAGGTCTGCGACCGATATTGTTAGATTGTTGAGTGCTAGTAATACATACTGTGCAAATAATACAGTATATATTGTTGCTTTATTTCGAATTATACTACTGAACTTATCTATTCATTTGTAGGAAGTAGTTTGTTCTATTAGGTGTCTCATTTCTCCTGTCACCTACTTGTCAGGCTATCAATCTTCACTCTTTAACGTAATTTCCAAAGTCGCCCTCCCTAGCCCTACATTTTATTATATTCTAAGAAACTTCAAGGTTATCAATGCGCTTTCACACTTATGTACGACACAAATAGCCTATCAAGGTGGGCGTCGCTATCTGTACTTAGGTATAGATGTATTAATGACAGACTCTCAAAACAAAAACAAAAGCGCCAAGACTTCATTTTGAGCTGCATAGTCTCGTGATATGTGCAATCATCTGTTAGTCATGTACTGGCCCCGTACCAGCTCGTATACACTGGGAATAGCGACAGGGCAAAATGCCCAGGTCGTGCACTAGATGCCTCCTCTATGCCTATGAACTTTACAATATCAGGATTCTCCTATCTTGCTTTTGCTCCTTTTCCAATTCGATATTCTTTGGCTAGCTTGAAATAGATAGATGCTGATTGACACGTTATGCGCTCAATCTGGAGCAAGATGTATGCGTTATAACTAAGAGCTGGATTTCTGCATCAGCTATTTTGGCTAAAAGTAAAAAACTTTGGAAATATTTTACGAGTAATTAGTACTAGATGATGAGCTCATCGTATTGTATGTGACGTAAAGATGTGTTGTGTAAAGCATTGAAACCTCGTATCCTTCAAGTCTGGGGTGGTAATGTGTCTGTTATTGGCTACCACGTTTCATCCACTGAGGCGATGAAGGCAATTATTGGCCTCAGTATCAGTATTGGCAAAAGGCCTTCCAGTGAGACGGCAATGGTCTCCCGGCTTTGACAGCACAGCCACCGAACGGGTTTCACCTTTCATTGTGCCAAGCGTGTGTAAGTGCTTACAATCTCCGCTATTTGCTGACGATTCATTTTGATTGGCTCGAGTACGCAAGGGCCAATGGGGATCTCCTTGGCTGAATCCTTCGGCATGGGGTTTCAGTGGTCTTTGCGCTGCTGGTTGATTTCCCAGTTGATTTCGTTGGTGCTGGCGGCTTCAGTAACTTGTTTTTCTCATCATTCACTCATCAATAATCTTTAATACCTCGTATTCCTTTCTCGCTCCGTGGAGCTGCTCGTAGAGACACACTCATTTGAAAGTCTGGCATTCTTCTGCCTTCTTCTCCCACTCTCGTTTCAATTCAAATTTTACTTCTCATCGCAATCATGGGTAGAGGACTCGCTTCAGTACTGCTGGCGTCGCTGGCCTGCAGCCCCCTGATGGTGGCTGCAGCCGATGACAGCCTCAAAGTGGACAGCCGTGACAACATCCTCAAGTCGGCCGGCACCGTTGCCAAGAGCCTGATGGACGAGTACAACAAGGGCGAGATTCCTGGTCTGCTGTCCGACGAGTACTACTTCTATGAGAGCGGCACCTTCATGAGTACTTTGGTTGACTACTGGCACCTCACTGGCGATTCCACCTACAACGATGCGGTCAAGAAGGGCCTCCTGTATCAAGTCGGCGCCGAGGACAACTTCATGCCCGCCAACCAGTCGGCAAACCTAGGCAATGACGACCAGTGCTTCTGGGCCCTGGCTGCCATGCAGGCTGTGGAGAACAATTTTACCAGCCCTTCCTCGGATGAGCCTCAGTGGCTCACACTGGCCAAGAACGTCTTCAATGACCAAGCGCAGCGCCTCGAGGCTGCTTCTGACACGTGCGGCGGCGGTCTCCGATGGCAAATCTTCACCTTCAACGCTGGCTGGAACTACAAGAACAGTATGTAAACATTTCCACCCCTTGATTGCCAGTTTAAATGCTTATTCTTCTGCGTTCAAAAGGTATCTCCAACGGCTGTTTCTTTGACCTCGGCGCTCGCCTTGCAAGACACACCGGCAACACTACCTATTCCAAGACTGTTGTTGCGGCGTATGACTGGCTCGAGAAGACCGCCCTCGTCAATGGAACATCCGGAGCGGTCTACGACGGGACGAACGTCGCCCAGGGCAACTGCTCCAGCATCGACAAGATGGAGTGGTCCTATGTTGCCGCCATCCTAAACAATGGCGCTGCCTACATGTATAACCAGGTACGGGCCTCTTCCTTCAATCTTATAATGTGAAAAATCAGCTGACACATCTTGCGCGATAGACCACTGGCGATGACCAGAAGAAATGGCAAGACCGCGTTCAAAAGTTCACCGACTCCATCCTCAGCAAGTTCTTCCCAAGCGGCATCGCCTCCGAGCCTGCCTGTGAGACTGTCGACACATGTTCCGTCGACCAGGTCACCTTCAAGGGCATCACCATCCGCTGGCTTGCCGCCGTCAGCCAGCTCGCTCCCTTCACCGCGGACAAGATCCTCCCTGTTCTGAAGACGTCGGCCGAGGCCGCTGCAAAGTCGTGCACCAGCTCCAGCTGCAGCTTCTCATGGAACGACACGAACGTCAAGCGGCCTAAGTCTTCTGGTATCGGAGAGCGACTGAATGCCTTGGCTGCCATCTCGAATCTCCTCATTGCAGATGCGTCTGGACCGAGCAAGGGATCAGAGAATGCAACTGAGTCTACTGGATCTTCGCCATCGCAGACTTCTGGATCATCGCAGGCCTCGTCGACAAATGATAAAGGAGCCGCCGGTAAAGGAATGGGACTGTCTGTCGCTCTGTTGACCACCGGCCTTCTTGCATCGGCTTGGATGGGTCTCGGCTTCTGAGAATGCTGCAACTGTGGGATACTCAAAATACTTGGTATAACCTTATTAAATCGACTGTATCAATATTTGCATGCCCTTACTATTCTATACTATTAAAAATGACATGTGGCCTTATGAATATGGTCCTTGGAACTTTTCATGGATGACCGTCTTGGCAAATGTGTACGGGACAAAGCGATCAAGGCTAGTTTGCGAGCCAGTGTATTAGCAACCACAAGCCGTTTATCCATGATTCACTAATTAGGATCTGAGTCAGAACAGAAAGTGTGAAGAAGTATAAAATGTTTTTGGTATTTTAGTTGTAAAAGATAGGCTAGTGGCTAGCGATGGTTGATGGGTTGTTCTTCTCAAACAGAGCCAGACTCAATCAATGATCCCTCTACCAGCTGCTTGCAGAAGAAACCTAGTAGAGACCAACAACGACGTCACCCTTGACACGGGCAGTCAGGTGGACCTCGGCCTCGAGGTCGAGCTTGATGCCGAGCAGGAGAGCGGCATCCTTCAGGTTGCCGCTGTCGTCAGCAGCACCCTTGACGATCTGGCCTGTGATTGCGAGAACGGTTAGCGATGGATCTGCTTGTCGATTACAGGGGAAGATGGGCTTCGTAGAGGGGTTGACATACCAGCAGGGGCAGAGAGGCCGGTGGCGGTGGGCAGGGGAACCTGGAACTGGGCACTGTAGAAGGCTGGTTAGCGTCTAGATTCATTCTCCTGCGGCAGCCAATGGATGGCAAGCTGCTGAGGAGCAGGATGTGTTCGCTTACGGGGCAGACATGTTGATGGTTGTTTTAAAAACGGGGGGTTTTTAAGTGGTGGATGAGAGTGGATTGTTGAAGTTGTGAGTGATGATGAGAAAAACTGAGAGTTTGGTCGGGGAGAGGAGGTCCTTTTATCTTTTTTCATGAAGCATTGAGTTAATATCTCCCTGCTCATTGTAGTAAATACCACGTTATGCAAAATGCTGCATTTTTCCTTTTTCTCTCAGTTTTTGCCTCGCTCATTGAGATTGCTGGTATGCCAGCTCAGAGTAGCAATGCGGATCAAGCAGAATCCCCATCGCATTACTATGCCCCTGCAGATGATGAAGCGCGTCCAGCTCACCTCACCTCCTGCAGCGAGTGATTCCAGCCAATAGGACAAGTCCGGCTCGGTTGTGAGGCCCACCGAATTTCAGCAAGTAGGAGAAAGTCGGACATAATTTGGCTTTGGGGATGTATGCAGGAGCAAGGCCTTATTGAACCAGGCGGTTGCGAAGCCCGAAATGTTTTCTTCTCATGTAGGAAGAACCCACCACCCTGCCTCTCAAATTATGCCTTTGACTTCAGCCGTGCATTTCTCATGGACACGCAGGGAAATGAGTGCAAGGGAAAGCGGTTCCATCAAAAAGGGCCAATCACAGAGTAGAGTCCTGTTGCTTCATCATTTGACTTTTCGATGTGAGGTGAGTTGGCTGGCTATGAAATTGGGCAATGCTACGCTGAACCTGGGGATCGTCTAACGGCGGCAATGCAACATCGGGATATAACAAGCATCGCAAGATGAGCGTGACGTGTCAGCTACTTTCTGGCAGAATATCCCGTCGTAATAATCACTCCGGGGAAAAGAGGGTAGGCCAGGACGGCCCGTCCTCGTCGATACTGGTTATGTTCTCTCCTGGAGTGTCTTCAATCGTCGTGCCATATAGACTAAGTGGAAAACTGATAATGAGACGAGAAATCTGCCTCATGGAAAAGGCATCATGTTCTCCGCGGCCAGCTCAGGATTAACCGCTATGGGGGCCATTTATGAGGCCCAAGATGTCGTATGATGAATATTGACTTCAAATGGACATACAGACGAAGCAACGATTTGACTAGGAGGATATTGCGGGATCCTGTTTGTAATTGACGCTGAAGGCTAAGAGGGCCCCTGGACGACCCCCAACATCAACTTAAATCAAAGACAACCTGATATTTTAGCATGCCACTGAGAAAGCTAGATACTATTGTTCACGGACTTTGACTGGGGTTTGTGCGAATTTGGTAGATGGCAGGATTGTATAAGGTCCTCAATTATTTAGGGACAATTGTGTCGAGCGATAATTAGAAGCCAACCAAATTTAACTTGATATTATTCCCGTGAAAGCTTGTTCTTCCCAGATACGTGAAGACAATGCTCTCAATTTGCTCACGATGGTATTAATTTTAATAGGCATGTCGGCACAGATATCCATTAGTTGCTCCCAATGTCCCTGTAGGGAACCAAATCTTGGTTAAGAAAAAGTTTCTAGTTCTTATTTTGTCACACGTACTTGTTTGAGTCTATGTATAGCTGATAGTTTATAGATCCCATTTGTACGGCCGAAAAATGGGAGCATTTTGGTTGTTCGTCGGGCATAGAGTTGGCCGAGTCTGGGTTAGTTTGTAGATACGGCGGTTTACTTTATGGTGGTATACACGCAAGTTTGAGGCCGTTCATGAAAAGCAAGAACATATTCCTTTGATACTTTTGTTAACGTTAGTCGGCTGTCTGGTAAACCGATAAGCTGTGCCAAGCCTCGGTGGCTTCTGAATTTGGTGAAACCCGAAACCCTCGTCTGTTGACCCGAATTTAGGACATGTACATTGATTTGGCTCTTGGGCCCTTGACTGTTTCATTGAATATGGGGCAAAACTCAAGGTTATTTTAAGCCAGACCAAGGGCGTATCCCTCAGACCTTGATATGGACCGTATTATGCTTGGGGTAGGAGTGTTGTAGATATCAGAGATTTCTTTCAACGAAGCGAAACTGGAAACTGGGTTATAATGGGCTCTTGAAGAAGCTTGTGAAAAAATTTTCCTGAGGGCGAAACTAAGCCTATAAAGCCAATGGCGAGAAATAAAGAATTGATCCGCTTGAGATGCCTTTTTTGCCCAACACCTGGGTCTTGCTTGAAGTTGAACCTCCTCTCTGGATCGGACTTGCGCCTCGAGCAGGATCATTTCTTTGCATTTCCTGCCAAATTTACAGAATATTAGAAAGGTTTCATTCAATCTATCTGTAAGGTAACTTATGACGGGAGTGACATGGTATCTCATGAACCCCGACCTTCTAGTTTGAAGGCGGTCAATGTATATAAATAGCCTCCACATTGAAGGATTTCCAAGAACTGACGGGCCACCACGAGAACCCTACAGGCCCCCCATGGACCGATATTACGCCCGACGTGACTAGGGCGGCAGATTAATTGCATTCCATTCTGAATCAATGCAAGGTTCGCGGAGATATTAAACTGGGTAGTTCGAGATCAAGTACAAATGACTCTGATCCCATGATTCTCCCAACTCTCGAGTCGCTCGCATTGGGACGCTGGATAATCCTGTAACCTTCTCTACCTCGCCGAGGCTGGTCCTTTGAATTTGTTCTTTCTTCTCTTCTTCGCCAAAGCAGGCCCTTGATTTCATTTGCCAATTATTGATTCTTTACTACATCTCTCTAGTATTTCTTCTGGAGCGACCCGGAACTGATTGATAATGTTTCCGAAGACCTTCGCCATCTTCGGCCTGGCTGCCGTTGCAAGCGCGCACATGTTCATGGAGAATCCAGTGGCATTCACAAACCCCAGCAATTCACCCCTAGAAGCCGATGGCTCCGATTTCCCTTGCAGGGGAGTAACATCTGGGGATGGAAGCGAGTCGAATGTCTATGAGCAGGGCAGCACCCATAAACTCAAGTTGCAAGGCACCGCCGTGCATGGTGGCGGCTCCTGTCAGATTTCCATCACTACGGACATACATCCGACACGCGAGTCGAGATGGAAGACTATCAAGTCCATTGAAGGTGGATGCCCGGCTCGAGGCCAGAAGGGAAACATGGGGAACGACCCTTTCGCCGAGGACCCTTACACATACAACTTCACCATCCCTAAAGAGTTGGCGACCGGGGATTATATCATTGCTTGGACTTGGTTCAACAAGATTGGGAATCGAGAAATGTACATGGACTGCGGTCCTCTCACGGTGATGGGTTCAGGAGGCGACGAGGACTTCTTCGATACTCTCCCTGATATGTTCATTGCCAACATTGACAACGGATGCTCTACCCCGCAGTACTACGATATTCAGTTTCCGAACCCAGGGAATGACCTGGAACAGCTGAATGGGAAGACAACCGCTTGGGCGCAGCCCACCGGGACAGCATGCTTCAGTGCTGGAATCCCTTCATCGGCTAAGGCTACCCCTACGCCGGCGCCTACGCCAATCGTCAAACAATCAAACTCGGTTGAGGTGGACGATGACGATAGTTTTGAAAGCGATCATTCAACGAATAGCACATTTTCCGATGATAGCGAGTCTGATGATGAGGAACACGTTGCTGCTCGTGAGATCTCACTACTAATGGATGAGGAGACAGAGTTCCTTTGATGGCTGGGGTCTCATCTTGGATGACCAGACCGTTTCTCGGGCTACGTCCCACTTCTATTCGCTTCATTGTATATATTAGATTGAGCAACTGTAGTGCCAAATTGTAAATGAGAATTCCTATTGCCTAAAACGCAAGGGGAAGGCCCATGCGCAAGCTATGCTATATCGGCAGTTTCCCAATGCTATTCGAATATGTCCTTATCATCATCGGGCCCTTTAAGGAGGCCCGGTAATTGACTATTGCCTAGGGCATTCTACATGGTCGACAACCCGGCACCCGGCATATGGCGTCTGTTTCAGCGGGCTCCCAAGGCCTCACCGACTGATTGACATTCCTAGAAACCGTGCACACGCAGCCCTCAGACCGCTCCGTTTGAACATCCCGGATAGTCCGGAACATCGGCGCTGCTGGTGGGAGATTGACACCTATCCTGGGTTAGCTCTGCCTCGTGTGACTCTGAGATATTTGATCTTGTTCGATTTACTCAATGCCAGGAAAGCTCTCTTTGGGCGCCAATTAATATCTTTACATTAATAGCAGAGGCTTTTAACAGCTTACGAACACCCTGTATGAAAACTTCAAGCTGTGGGCCGACGATCAACAAATCCTCACTAGAATCAAGTTTCCGATCCCGGACCTGGACTGATGGAACACCAATGATAGCGTTCGTGTCCTGGAAGACCGTCAGCACTGTTGAACCTAAAATCTGAGGTGTGAGCTAATACTTTGAAATTTAGAATAGTTATAATTACAAACATAATGGTCACCCACCAACCCACTTCTTCTTCCTTCACCTTCAAACCTTCCCTCTTTTTGACTCCACATCAGGCAAAATGGCGACCCCGCAAGATACTGAGAGCCAGCAGAACGCTGCCAGCCTGTTTACCCAGCTCGAGAAGGCATTCCAGAGCACCTCGCTGGGACCAGATAGATGGTACATCCTCGCGGCCGCCGCGCTCGTTGGCAGCCCCGACCCGGAGCTCTGCAAAGACCTATACCTCCATCTCATCTCCCTCCCGGCGTTCTCCACCCCGGCCCAGCGGCAGGCCCTCATCCGACGCCTGAGAGAGGTGCTGATCAAGAGTATTAGTATCGTGGGCGTGTGCAAGCCGCTGGAGGCAATCATGGTCATCAACACGTGCGAGCGGGAGGAGGACAAGGACCGGAGCTCGACCAGAGAGGGCTGGAAGTGCGACGAGGCCAATTTGGAGCGGGGAAAGGAGTGGCTGGGCAAGATTTACACCCGAAACGCGGGTAGCACGCTGGCGCTGTTTGATGACCACAAGGACTTCGCGTGGGTCAGCCAGAATATCACCTACGGGCTCTATCTCAGCGACCGCCAGGTTCTGGACGACGTTGAGACGGAGCTTGTGGTCCTGCCTGGCATCATGATCCAGAACCTGCCCAAGGAGACGCACTGGCACATCCGGGGCACGAGGAGGATTGGGGTGTCCAAGCACGATGTTCAAGTCATCTGGGACTGTGTGCAACTTATTGCCAAGTTTGTTGGGTTGAAGCTACACCGGGTCCCAACTGTTGAAGATGTCGAATCGGATGTGTAAAGGGTCAATGATGGAGTTGGGAAGTGGAGCCACATGACGGCTGGCCATCGCGGGATATCTCAAGCCTACTGATCATGCCGATCTCTTGATGTGCTGGACTTTTGGCGGGAAGTTCATTGTATTGCCATTGGCTTATCAACTAATTAGGGAGTGGGAGAATATTTCCTCCGGGTGGTTGCATTCGTGTCTACAGCTCAAGGTGGGCTTACAAATCGAAAGAGGAGAGGAGGAGAGGAGGAGAGGCACAGAGACAGACCCAAAGCACGCCATTTGTCAAACCGGGATGAATATTGCCGGCTTCATCCGCGGGTTTGTAATACACTTCTCGTACCAACATAGATAAATCATCATTTCGATTTCTAAGCTCAACAACATCTTTATTCCAGTAACTTGATATTTGTTGCCAAATTAACGGCCCCCAGGTTCTGTGGTGGCCGCAACAATACTGAAGCAAATTTTCGAATAAATCTCATCCCCGCTCGTAAGAACCCGGCACCATGAAGGAAGCAATCGTTTGGAACAGAGACCATGAGACGACTGAGGTCGAGATACGGGAAGCCTCAATCCCAGAGCCTGGACCAGGCCAGGTCTTGATCAAAGTCGCCGTCACGGGCACAAACCCCAAGGACTGGAAAGTCCCCGTGTGGCTCGAGAAGCTAAATGGATCGAACTCCGGGGACGACATAGCCGGTGTCGTCCATGCTGTAGGAAAGGATGTGTTCGAGTTCAAACCCGGTGATCGGGTCGCATCCTTCCACGAAATGATGACGCCAAGTGGGAGCTTTGCCGAGTACGCAATCGGCCAGGCTAACACGACATTCCACCTCCCAGCTTCAGTCAGCTTTGAGGAGGGAGCCACCATCCCTCTCGCAGCGCTGACTGCTGTGGTAGCTTTGTTCGTTCGACTCGGCCTCCCGGAGCCATGGGAACAACATAGAGACGCTGATGTTAGCAATGGCGTTATCGTTTACGGAGGCGCAACGGCAGTCGGCGCATTTGCCATCAAGCTGCTGCAGAAGGCGAACATCCACCCCATCTACACGGTGGCAGGCAAAGGAGCCGACTTTGTCCAGGGTCTGATTGATCCAAGCAAAGGGGACAAGGTGTTTGACTACCGCCAAGGGGACGAAGCGCTCGTCAAGGAGTTGGGTGCTGCGCTGGCTGGCAAGCAGCCCAAGTATGCCTTTGATGCCGTGAGCGAGCACGGCAGCTACTTGAATATCGGCAAGGTTCTAGATCCGGCGGGCAGAATCACGGTAGTCCTCCCAGCTCAAACAACCGAGGACTTCCCCAAGACAATTGACATATCGCGTACCTCAGTTGGTGATGCGCATAAAGAGGCTGGTCAGGACCTTGCGACAGCCTGGTCCCGCCTCTTCGCCCAAGGCCTCCAGGAAGGGTGGTTTACGCCTCACCCTCATGAGATCCTTCCCAACGGGCTGGAGGGACTCGGGCGGGGTCTTCAAAACCTTCGAAAAGGCAAGGCTAGTGCTGTCAAGTATGTCGCTAGGATATCCGAGACACCCGGCATCTAGTTTAGGTTGCTCAACAGCTTCCGACGTCTATATTCTTAGCTCCCCAACGCCCTGGCGAGCGTGATTCATCTGGATCTTACGAGGCTGGATTCCTGGATTGTATCTAGCGTAAATAGGATTATGTATTGTTCACAAATCTTGAACATTCCAAGGTACATGACGTGTCTTAATAATGAATCATTGTGTCCTGGGGCAGGCATTCTTTGGTCGGCTGAGCTGCTTAGTGAAAATCCATATGTGTTTTGTTGATTGACTGCAAGAGAATGTTCTATGAAGAGCTTCTTAAGACGGAGTTATCGGCACCAGGTCGCATAAAAGATGTAGAAAATGCTCTCGGTGTATTGGACTTTCGCCTCAGCGGGGAAATCGGCATCTTGGCCAAGTAGCCGATTTGAAGCCGACCCCGAAGCAACACACAGCCGACAGACTGCTCCCTTATTTTCTTCCTTATATTAGGACGGAATTTAGAATTCATCGTAATCAATTCACTGAAAGAGTGAAGAACGGTCAAGCAAAATGATTACGAGAGCGATCCGAGTAGATCGGGCCTGGAAAACAGCACTCAGGCCGGGCAAAATACAATGTAGGAAGCTGAGCATCACGCCATCACGGCCTGTTCCCATCGCGACGACTGCAAAAGACGCAGCAAACCGTCTCCTGGAGACCCTTTCCGGATCTACTACTGTTAGCCGCCAGGTGATTGACGCGAACCAGCTACAGAAGCTCGCTCTCACCCTCGGGCGCCCGACGCTCAATGGCCTAGACGTGTCTGAGAAGGCACCGCCAGTAGGCACACCTGTGCCGCCGGGCTACCATCTCGTCTATTTCACGCCCAATGGCGTTGAGTCGGAGCTGGGCGCCGATGGCACGGACAGGACATTCAATGCGCCCGTCCCGTTCACCCGGAGAATGTGGGCTGGTGGTAGAATGCAATGGCAGCCGTCTGGTGACGAGGGCGAGGCGAGCCCGATACTGTGCGTTGGTGATGAGGCAGAGGAGCACACTAAACTTGTAAGCGCCACCCCCAAGACAAGCAGGACGGGGAGCGAGATGGTGCTGGTCGAGGTTGATAAGGAGATCTGGACGCCTCGTGGTTTGGCGATGGTGGACAGGCGGTCGTGGATATTCCGCCCTGAGGTTGATCCCCAGACGGCCAAGGAGCCACCAGCACTGTCAGATGCCAACACGAGAGGGGTTTCAGAGGCCAAGGATATTGAGGGACCAGGAGGTGAGTGAATTAGCCATCCACTAACAGACCTCTGCCGAGACTGCACCCGCACCGCATTCGATATTCTAACATGGGCTGGACAGGTTATCAAGCACGCCAGTACCGCTGGTCGCCAACTGGCCTTTTCCGTTTCTCTGCATTGACCTTCAATGGCCACAAGATTCACTATAACGAAGACTGGACACGTCTGGTGGAATCTCATCCCGGTCTGGTCGTCCATGGGCCTTTGAACCTGATCTGCTCCCTTGACTACTGGCGTGATGTCCATGGCAAGGACAACTCGCCAAGCGAGATCACGTATCGGGCTTTGTCACCTCTATATGCAGGCCAAACCTATCAGATACAAACAGGAGAAGTCCAGAATACAGAAAATGCTCCCAAGTGGGAGGTCTTGGTGAAAAGGGGAGATTCTGTCTGTATGAGAGCAGAAATTAAAAAGTAATCTGCAGCCAAACAATACCTATGAAAAATTTGAAATCATATTTGAGGTTGGTACCCCTTTGTAAACCCTATGATGCCCGTGAAGTATAAATGAATAGTAGTCACAAAGATGAATCTTTGAGCCGGATGAAATAGTGATCAGCAAATACCTTCACCACATCGCCAGTCGACCCTTACTACCTATGCTTTAGAAACCGGGGTCTTTATGGAATTCATGCAAAAAAAATACTACAGTGTGGCACAATAGAAAGAATTCACGCTACTCCTCTTAATTCTTTCATTCTGTGTCGATCTGAGTAATATAGGACTAGGAACCCATCCACATCTTCTTCAGTCGTTACCACTGTACCTCGCTGCGCTTGAGACTAGCTTTGCAAGTCGATTCACACCCGGAGCAAGAGGATCCGGGCTCCTTAGTGGTACCCCCTGAAAACACAGCTGGCCCGGGCACCACGTAGTTCGTCATTGGGGTATGTATATTGACAAAGATGCCGGGGTCTGAAGCGGAATAGGCCCCTGGGAAGTTGACCGTTGCTGGAATCGAGCCGCTTCCGCCAGTGACGGTGAGTTGGAAGCAGGTAACGTAGGGCTGTGCACCGCCCGACCCAGCAGCACTGTGGAGGGCGATGACTTCAGCCCGCAAAAGGTAGTCTCCCGAGGGAATGTTGGAGGGGATCTTGACATTGATCTTGCCACAGCACAGGTTCAGATCTTTAACACCCCAGTAATCATCATCTCCGTTATATCCAGAGGGGTTCTTCTTCCAGCCGTCTTGGAAGATTTTGAACCACCCTGACGAGCCGTCGGCTGTGGATGAGTCGCTGACCTGGGATAGATAGGCCATGACCGGTCCGTAGTGGTTGCCGCCGATGCCTTCGTTGGCACAGTTGCGATCGTTTGGTTGCTGAAAACCACAAACGATTAGACAATTCAATACGCAGGTTAGAGTCTCAAGGGAGCTTACCTGGTGCATTTCAAGTGTAACAGTCTGGCCCGCAGCGACACTGCATTTCCCAGAAACGGGCCTTGTACCGGCATTGCAACGAATGTCATTGCTAGTGACACTGCCTATTGGGTTGTTGTTCTGTGGGAGACGTGCACAGGTGGCCCCGTAGATGAGTATTAGTTGAAGCTCAAGCCTAGATGGTTGTTCCTGAACTTATCTTGTCAGCTCCGTTGACCCAGAGCTGTTGGAAGGTGGCATGGCCATACACTGGCTGCATCAGCAGCGCAGCAAACGCAGCAGTGAAAGTTAGCTTCATTTCGACACAGTATTGCTTTAATGTCAGTTGATTATAGCCAAAGAAAACTCTGTAATACTTTATCAGTGAGCTATAGTCATCTATATCCCTCGTTTATCTGGTAGGATCGTTTCACTACCTACTTATAGTTTGTCTCGTTACATCGGCGTCAACATCGCCGGACCAAAAATGGCACTTTAGCCACAAACGGGGAAAAATACAAGATCACGCCCAACGTTCTGCTAGCCATGATTTAACTCCTTGCTTCTTGCGACCTATCGTAGTAAGGAAGTACCCCCATCTCGCGTTGTTCAGATCAGACATTCACCGTATCCGTTCGTTGGTTTGTGTAAGCTCAGATCATTTCCGGAACGTGAACAGAAAGGGTGCACGGCGATCTCCCTCCGTAGCTAGAAAGATCTCCCCGGAGGATGCATGACACGACATGACCATGCAACCACTCCTTCTGGCGAGTGTCATGTGGTATGCAAGTGCGCGGCTAAACAAACCTCCACGAGCATAGAAATTCGCAAGTGTCTCTTGGGAGTGCTTATTACCCTTCCCCGCTAGTGGAAGTCCAGGAATAGCGATACTTCCCTGGCCCCAGCTTACTTTCAAGAGGTCCTCCGGATAAACATGCTGTTTCGCCGATACAATGTTGTTCGCCCGAGTTATCTCTGCTGTCTTTTGTTTCTGTCGGATGCCATCATGCTGGAAGAAAAGACATGTAAAGGGCAAAACAGAATGCTCCATATAAGAATTTATATTAATAAAATTCTATGAAACGAAGAAAACGCTCCGTTAATGCAAAATGGATATTCTTGCCTTATGTAGCTCTCTGCTTTGGCCATGGACTATGCTTGCGATTCCCGTGCTTTTTTTTTTAATGTAACAGCGACACATATAGGCAAAAACGGGCTATATTGTTGGGGAATTTCCCTCACATACGAGGAAGTGATTTCATCACCATAACTTCTCTTCCTTGATATCTGATAAGCTGGCTTATTCTCTTGGTCTTTGTATAACAAGTTGTGGGCGCTACGGTAATATACCTAGTTTGGCCATTTTAATGAATTTAGACCGGAAGTCTACGAACCGTGCCTCGGGGTAAGCATAACCAGCTGATTCCTGACTTAGAGCATTTGACTACCTGGAGTAAGATGTCGTTATTGACCTACGAGTATAGTTCTTGAATACGAAAAAGTAGCAGGGCGAAGGGCTTCAGCAACACCACACAATTTTACAAAGCTCGGTGATCACGCCGGCCGTCTCATTTTTTTTGGGCTTGAAGTTAAAGATCGCGATTAGGAGATAGTCTAATGTTACAATATTTCGTGCCAAGAATTACAACGGAAAATAACGTCATGGCACAGCGTGCGGTGCTCAGACTCCGAAGGTAAATTCCCGATACTTCTTTTGGTAGTAGAATGTGGCCAGGCTGCCGACGAGACCGAGGCCGAGTGGCACCGGGGCCTTGCCACGGGTCTTGACGATTCGCATAACAGCTGCGCCCAGCAAGACGATGCTGTTGCCCAGGGCCAACTCGGAACCCCAGTTCTTGTTCTCCTTCAGGAGATAGCCTGGCAGAGTGAGCAGTTGATCTTGCCTATAGGGTGGCTCAATTGAACTCCAGATAGTAAGAGTGCTTACCGGAAACAGCATATGAGGCACCAAGACCAAGGCCAGCAATCAGAGAGGGCTTTGACCGTGTCTTAACGTATCCGGTGGTGCCGCCGACGGCCACTAGAGTCAATTCGCGGTTAGCAATGGTCTGGTGACAAGGGGCTGAGCGGTGGGTGATTGCTTACGGAGAGCGGCGAGAGAGAAGGAGGGGTGGTGAGCCATTGTGATCCGCGGTGCGCCACAGTTCGTACGTAATTCACGAAGAAGAGGGAGAGCAGGCAGCTGAGAGCAGAGACGTCGAGTGCTTGCAAAGTCGCGGATGTCGTGATTGCTGCCACCGAGGCAGAAAAGACGTGGCGGCTGAACTCCGGATGCTCGATGGATTTGTCATTTGCCCGAGACCGAAGCCCGAGACGCTTCGGATGTTGGTACAGGGTAGCCTCGGACAAGGAGCAACTGATAGCCGCCCTACGCCTGGTAATAACATCCATCAAAGATAAGTAAAGTTGTTTTTGGTTGATCAGGTGAGTGGTTTCTGATCTGAAGATGAATTGGATGTGGAACCTTTGAAGCCATGTGCATCGTTCATAAACGCCATTGCAGTCTTCCCTTCATTGCCTGTGAAGGCCTGCATCAAAGCAACCTGCTCCTTGGACATGGTGCCCTTGTCAATTTTGCGCTGGTATTGAAGTGCAGTGCCCACTGGATACAAGATCAAGTAGTTGGTGCTTGTGTCTGGAGTCAAGAAACAAGGCAATAAAGCGGCCACTTTGCGACAGTAAATCGATGGTTCGGCAAAACGTGGCCGTATGTTGGAGACTTGCGAGAAAGATGGGTCAAGGTCTGCATCACTCTTGAGAACATCGTACAACATAATGCACACAGCCCAGTATATCAAAACAAGAATTCCTTTTGAAAGATCGTCAGGCGATAAGGGATGGCTGTGGACTTGATTTCCTGCCTCTAACACGCTTTCCGCGAATTTAAGCGTGGCTCGGCCAGATACGGCTTCCCAGCTTTGGAGATCATTCGAAAGCGACCAGCATCTTGCTCTTAGCTGTCTTCGGCGATCTTGTTGGGAGTTTCGGTCTTTACAAGCGCTGATGGAGTCCACCTCTTCATAAATTCCTGGTAGTTCAATCATAATGTCGAGCAGGCTATCCCTGGGCGTCTTCTGAATGATTTTCCATGGGATCGTTTTCCACTCTGGTTGGGCTAAAGGTGACGGCTTCCGAAGCTTAATGCCAACAATAGCCTTTGAAGAATTATTAATTGACTGGTTGTCTTAGTTTAGGATAACAAAAATGTCACGCACCTGACCATAGCGGCTGTCAGCAAAGAGTCTATGGGCATGCCCTTCGATAAAGGCACTCGGGTCTCTCAGTAGGATAAACGCAGCATTGCCCGTGACGTGCGAGCTCCACGCTTTGAACGGGTTTGGATGACTACTCTCATCCGATCTTGACCAGAGCTAATGCACTTCATTAACCATGTCTTTTTGACATTTGCGGTATGCACATTGACCGACTAGCTTACCTCATAAAATCCCAATAATTTCAAAGCTGAGAGAATTAGATAACACGGATGCTTGGAAGGCTCTTGAAGAATCCTCGCCAAAGAAAGCAGTGTCCATCCATATAGCTCATGGCTTTTTCGGCGGATCGTTGGGCTATCTTCCACCCCGGCCATCCTTCCCAATACGCTTGCTAGAACTGCTGCCCGGACCATGTTGTTTTTGTCGTACATGTCTCGAATCAGAGTAGTCCAACCGTACAGAGAAAACTGTGCTGATTCACTTGAAGCCGATCGGCCGTTTGGAAGATAGGTGGACCAAAACCAACCCACCATGCGTTCCTCGGAAGCCCTAGAAACGAATGCATGTTGATGAATGGTTTGCGGCGATGGAGGCGCTCTGGTCAGGGTTCTTTCACTTCCACGGTCCGCAGTTGAATAGGCCTTGTTCCCGAGCCTGAAAGTAGAGCTCGGGACTTCCTGTGAAGTGTTATTGACAAATATGAGCTGCCGCTCGTACCCGCCGCATGTGACTTGCCGTCTCTGGCATTGGCCACAGCTGGGCCGTTGCAAATCGCACTACGAATTCCACGCATGCGGGTTAGCATGCTGGTGTTCTTGACTTCAAATATGCTGTTGGATCAGTGCAATTGAGACTCACTTTGACTCTTCGGCTTCGGCACGTCTTGCAAGCCTTCGATCTGCCAGGCACACCAACCATTTCTGCTGCTGTTGCGCGGATCTTGCATTGATTGTTATAGAATAAGATTGAAAACTTGATCGAAGGATCAGTTTTACAGGGAGCGGTAAGTGGGCGGCTTGTTATGTAGTGTATGGGGCATCTTGTTCACATCTTACTGGAACCGAACTACGGAGTAGGTATTTTCGACATAAACATGCTTATGCCGGCTTATTGATTAGTCAGGGTTTAAATCTGCCTTGGCTGACCATGCGAACCAATCTTTTGGAAGTCTTTGGCGGTAGTATGCCTAGCGGGGCTGTGCCTCATGAACCCTTTGGTTTTCAGCGAGTTGGCAACTTCATGTTGTCACACTCCACATCAAACCTGAGCTTTCCTCTAGTCAATCAAGCTACTTGAACTATGGGCATTAACTATTAGCTGCTGCGCCATAACAAATTCCCGAACGGTTACTTTACAACTCAGCTCTCATTGGGACAACCAAACAGACCAAGGCAATGGAAGACTTTGGCTACCCAAAAACCCATTGGGCCATTGGCCATGGGGAACAAAAAGGTGACCGGACACCAAACGAGAAAACATCTACTCCAGTGGTGATCAATCATGGCACACGCACTACATCAGAAAGAGAGCCAATCATTTCGGATCAAAGCTACAGTAGGATAACCGGCAGAGTCATTAGGAATGTTGGGTATACCTGCCAATATTGCGCCAAAACCTTCACTAGGGTTGAACATCTTCGCCGCCATATGTTGACGCACACCGCAGATCCTTCATTTGTCTGCGACCTTTGCCAAAAGCCATTTTGGCGTAAGGACCTGATGGAGCGACATATTGAGCGACATACTATGGAGCGACATACTATGGAGCGATATATTGAGTTCCGCGATAAGCGAGTATCGCATGCCTGTCTTAGTTGCGTTAAGGCGAGGGTGAAGTGTGACGGCAACAAGCCGTGCAAGCGCTGTATTAGTATAAAAGTTGATTGTATGCCCGCACCCCTTCCTTTAACGGTAGCGGCACACTCCGTGGATTTGGCAGGCAAGTCGCTGTCCGCCACTCCCAACGTTGTTGGAGATCATGATCTGGATCATGATCTGGGTCTTGATGGTGAGAAGTCACTCGCCAGGGAATATGATATCCCAGACCATTCTGGGTACGGGTCTATTGCGTATGGCATGATCCAAGAACCTAATCGGACGGTCTCTGGGGCCAATGCGGCCTTGAATTCTCAAGACGTTCAGCTACAGCCACGGCTGGATCAGCTGGTAGATGGCGACCGAATGCCGAGCATGTCGGAATGCAACGATCTTTTGACTTGCCATTCCGACGAGACTGCCATTCCCGCTCAGAGGATAGAGGACTATGCGCTTGATTTTGCCGAGGAGCTTTTCAAAACCATCATGGAGTGTGATTTGGATCAATCTAGACTACAAGGCTCATTCTCGACAATCTCGAATCTCCTGAGAGATTTCTCCATAAAGATTGGGTGTGAGGGAACACCACAAGTGTATAGAGACGTCATGTTCTTTACACACAAATACAGAGGGTCAGTAATATTACTACTCGCGTCCAAAATCCATCAACATACCTGTACTAATGTCTAATCACCCTATCTTAGTCATATTTGCAAATGTTTATATCATCTCTGTTCTAAGAGTGACTGGAGTGAATCGAGGCATGAAGACTTCACTTCAGAGAAAATGCCACTCAGAGAACGCTTAGGCTCATGGTTCGAAGGGTTGCCTGGGGACACGTCTGAATACCTGCATTTTCGTGATTTGAAAATTGTTGATGATATTGACAACAGCGACGTCTCCAGCACATCAGAGCCTGGTTGGCTCGACGAAGCAAAGGAAACAAACAAAGAGGTATATACTGGATTTTTCCGGGAATTTGTCCTGAATTCTAGTGCGTGCCGGTGGCTTCTGCCTCGTCTGCAGCTGGAAATTGCTTGCGCTCAAGGCCAGTCACAAGCAATGCATAATATTAAGAGAACAATCACAAGTCGTTTGAAAGAGGGTCTAAAAATCAGCAAAAGAATGTGTCAGCCCTCTCGCTCGGTGCTCTTCATCATGCAATGGGATTTGAAGGGCTTTTTGCAGGAACAGGAGCTGGGTATTTGCTCGCATGAAGCAATTGCGAATATCATCACCCTCACCGGTGCTGACGATCTCATACAAGCCTTGACCACAAAAGAATACATGAAGCAAACATGGCCCTTGACTGGGCTACAGGTCTTGGGAGTCGTGCAAGATGCTTACAAAACAGGCCTCAAGTCAAGTAAGTACTCTAGTTCTGGTATTGAGAACATCACTGATTTGAATCTCAAAGGCGTCACACTTTACGATGGGACAGAAATCAATGCCTTATTTCGACAAACCTTATTCGAAGACCAAGAACTCGTGGTAAGCGCCAACGGATCCAGCCCGTCCCTCGCCGAAGTTGGTGAACAATTGGCGTGGCTCGCAGCTGCGCTTCGTTCTGCCCCCAATCGAGATTGGAAACAAGATGTCTACTGTACCCCATTCATCTACAACGAAGAGATGCCTTCGGATTCGGTTATATGCAAAATCGGATTCGACTTCCAGAATATTGACAAGCGATCTTATCCCGCAAATGGCCATTGCTGGCATAAACTCTTCACCAGTCCGATCGTAGTAGGCGGTTATCCCATCCCTTCCAGACCGGAGGCGTGCAAAGGTGTCGAGATACCGTTGAATATAATGGCACTACTTGCGGGAACCAACCAAATCAATATATTTAATGGGAAAACAGTTATTAAAGGGTTTTCGACGTTAATATACCCAACTAAAAAAACAGCCGATACCATCTACTGGCACCTGACTGGCACAAACAACGAAGATCGAATATCCTACCTGAGTGAAACACCAGGTCACGTAGGATTTATCGAGAAGAGGGAACTGGAAAGCCGCCGATGTGTTCTTGGATGGTGTTCTGACGCCGAGTTCTATGCTGGTATGATAATGGGAATCTGCAATGGGGTTCTGGAATGAACGATGAAAAACTAACTACTTATACAGGTTCGGCATATGCCAATTATTTGATTGAAAGCGCATATCTTGGCACTCCTGACGCCGGCTGTCCTTTGGCGGATTTGACGCTGGTCCCCAGCATACCAGTCGCAGATTGTTCTGCGTTTGTCTGCAAAAGAGATAGCGATGTCTCTCTACAACTAGGACGTAAAGGATATATAAAAAGGCTCAAATGGCTTGACAAAAAATTCGTACTTCTCTGGGACGAAGGAGACCGGCGAGGGTGGCTGATGAAAGGGACAACCGCTTTGCTTCATCTCGTGCGATCCTCACTGCAGTATGATAGCGTGGACAAGTTTCGCAGTGAGTTTTTGTTCCGAAAAGAGGATTTGGAAGAGGCTGAATTGGTCGACCCGCAAGCCGCCGTCAAAGTACTCCTGAGCAAAAGAAACAGAGCACTGAAGTTGTACGAAGAGGAAGATGAGTCATTCAAAGATCGAGTTGATCACTGTTTCGGCATTCTCGAAAGACTCATCGATTACCAGGAAGATGCAGGAGAGCGAGGTAGCAGAGACTCCAAAGAACAAGCTCGGCAGTACCTCTCCGGCTGGGACTTCCATGAGTTAGCTACCAAGAATGACACACGGCTATTTTCCCGGATGACGATATTAGAGAGTCCAGGGAAATCGTGGGTTGACTTCATCAAGTCTATCCAGGCAATCACTTTGTTTGGGCGGGGCTTTGGCACGTTAATCAAGCCGTCCACCAGCACCACCATTTGTAATAACTGGAGGGAGGTTCCAAAGGACCGATTTTATATCTCGGCGGCAACTTCCGACTTGAAAGATATTACTAACGTCTCTTACACTAAAGACGGCCATACTAGGATCGGCTTGCATAACATTTGGCATACTGAAACCACTGCTTTTGATTACACACCTTGTTCTCTATTGAGAGGCCATGATTGCCACGAACCTGTACAGTCACTTCTACCACTGTCCATGTCATCTGCAGTGTCCCCAGGAGGCAAAAAGCTTATGTTATCAGACTCGGGGGCGGTGATTTTCGGGCATCACTCTAAACTTGGATGGGTATGGGATGATTTCGGACCTCCTCGCCAAGGGGACCTTCACCCTTATGATTCGACATTGGTTGATTCGCCACTCCCTACTGATAGCGGCTACGTCTCGAGTCAGAAATCTTCAATTCAGGAGTTTGACTCCAAGTTCAGCCTACCACCTTTGAACGGTGCCATGAATACCGCGGTTGCCGAGTCTCCGGCGCCTGTGGAACAATATCCTCGTGAGGTGTATACGGTCGGAATCCTGTGTGCTTTGGACATAGAGCTCTTAGCAATAAGGGCTCTCCTAGACGAAACCCACGACGACACGGACCGAGCGACGGGTGATGACTATGCATATGCTCTGGGGCGAATGGGAAAACACAAGGTTGTTGCGACCTGTCTCCCCGATGGTGAATATGGAACAAACCCTGCGGCTGAATGTGCAACAAATATGAAGAGAAGCTTCTCGAATATCAGGTTTTGCCTGTTAGTTGGCATAGGTGGCGGTGTGCCCTCCGATGCCAATGACATACGACTAGGAGATGTTGTTGTAAGCCTCCCGAAGGGTGACTTACCTGGTGTGATCCAATATGATCGCGGGAAAGAGAACGGCGATGCAATGCTTGAAAGAACAGGAGCCTTGCAAGGTCCGCCCAGGGCTCTTCGTGCCTTGATCAACTATCTCAAGTCTACTCCTGGGGGCTCATCGGATATGCTTCTCACTTATGTGGAAAATATTATAGCATCTGAAAGTGTTGGCAGCAAGAAAAGATTCAGCCACCCCGGCGAGGAGCTTGATATACTATTCGAGAGTCGTCCTGAAGGCGACAATAATTCTCAGCCTTCACACCAGGTTAAACACAGAGAGCCGAGGCCGACAAACAGCCCGGTCGTGCATTATGGTACCATTGCCTCTGGTAATAAGGTGATAAAGAATGCAAGATTTAGGGATGAATGGGGACAGAAGTACGGCGTACTATGCTTTGAAATGGAAGCAGCTGGCGTCATGAACATCCTGCCAACCCTTGTCATCCGGGGTATTTGTGATTATTGCGATGCACAAAAGAACAAAGTTTGGCAGGAATATGCTGCTGCTACAGCCGCCGCTTATACAAGGCATCTGCTATTTCATCTGCCTTATCATGAGCCAGACAATAGGATATTATGGAAACGGATGAATTCAGATCTATTCGATGCTCAAACTGAAGAGCGGCCGAAGAAATTCACTAAAATACCTTGATTTTGAGATATTTTATTCCAAGATACATAGTATTATTCAATATTCAATTAGTTTAATCATTTGAAAATAAGTTCATTAATTTATATATAGCTACAGAGCGAGGTTAAGAATAGCTAGCCAGGCCCTTTTATTTTAGCTTTTGAAATATATCAACTTCTCTCTTACTAGAGACCATCGCCATCCTAGTCGCCCTACACACGCTGTCGGTTGCAGCGAACCAATTGGGCTAACGCACGATGCACGAGGCAGTTTGTTTCAAGCGCAGACTGCCCCATTCTTTGGATAGCTTCGGAATACGATTTGCTAACAATTTGAGAGGGAGGGTGACAGCAGCGTGGTGGTTCGCCACAGGGGAGGTTGCCGCCTTGCTTGTGTTAGGTGCCCTTTTTTCTTGCCTAAGGGCCCCCAGGTGATAGAACCAGTGTGCTGTCCTTCATTACTTAGTTATCCTGAGGGCTCACTGTGACCTTATGGCCAGTCAAGGCACTGGCTGGTTGGCCTAGGCTGCCACCGATTCCCGCTACTTATGCACAGGAATCACTAGTTCCATCGAATATGCCTTGGGGTGGTCAGCTGAATGCAGCCACTCGGAAACGGCAACAGCTTCTAGGCAGCCGAGCCCCTAAGGTTGAGGCCACCGTAATTCGATCACTCCCCTCAACTGCTCTCTGCGTTGTCCTTGATGAGCTCTTGATAGCGTTTGAGAGTCAACGCAGGGAGCGCACCACTCGAACGCATCGTGACATGAACGGAGGACTGGTGTGGTCGAGACGTCTCAGCACTACAGATGATGACCCGATGGCTGAACCTCTCAGGCTATCGCGACAGGTCTCTGACTTGCGTCTGGAGACAGAGTTTCTCCAGTCTTCTACAGAGCACTTAATACAGGGAGCGGGCAGAGGTTCGGTGAGACAGCGATGGCGTTCACACGATCAAAAACCGATACTTGGCCAGGGTAGCTATGGTGTCGTGCGTCTGGAGCGATCCGAAAGCGACCCCGTTGCGCTGCGAGCCGTGAAGCAGATCAAGAAGAGTGATCCGAATGGCAACATAATAGAGTATGCCCGCGAATTAGAGGCGATTGTGAGATTTTCCCACTCCGAGGTACGTGGTCCCCCAGGACCCAAAGCAAGCTGCACGCCTCAGGCGACTTACCCCTTGTTAGTTGAAGCATCGATTTGTGTGTTCTAGCGGATGGTTTGAGGATGAAGCGTCCATTTTCATCGTTATGGAGTATCTGATGGATGGTGATTTGAGCCATCATATCAACAATCCGCTCCCAGAAAGTGATGTGACGGAGATCATTGGGCAAATCTTGGAGGGGCTTGGCCACATGCATGATCATGGTTTTATCCATAGGGACTTGAAACCCGGGGTGAGTAGTCATCGAGAAATCCCTGGTGGCTTTGTGAATTAAACTGTAATTGCAGAATATTATGGTGGCCGCCAAACATCCCTCGTGGAGGGTTAAGATCGCAGACTTTGGCGTGAGCAAAGAACGCCACTTGGCATCCATCTCTCCCAATACGTTCTATGTAGGCACCCTCGGATATGCTGCCCCTGAACAGCTCGCAGTAGGAAAGCTACCTGACTCCTCAGTCCACGGAAATGAGGCAGATCTATGGTCAGTTGGTATCATCACGTTCCGCATCCTCACGGGCAAGCTCCCGTTTCTTGATACACAAGCGCTATCTCGATACACGTTTGGCAAAATTCAGTTCCCAGTCGATCAGCTGGACTCCGTAAATGCGTCGAGGAATGCTGAACGCTTCATTCGGGGTCTTCTTGTCTTTCAGCCACATGAGCGGATGTCAGCTCGAGCATCGCTTGCTCACCCTTGGATGGGCTCTCGAAACGCATCAGAGGAATCGCAACTATCGTAAGTCTTTTCCGTGATACGATGGATGCATGAGTGTAGCTAATTGAGATCTCTCACTCACCAGCCTGCGCTCCATAGAGAGCATGCACAGTCACAGCTCATATCCCGTGTCTCAGGTCTCCGAGATGCCATCTGCTCGCTGGAGCGATGTATGGGACTCTACACCAGTTGCCCCAGATACCATTCAGCCAGAAAAACAACAAGAGCAGCCAAGGAAGCCTCTAGGGCCACACCCTCAATTACCTTCTGTGACTGAACTATCTCAATCATCACAACCCCCCTCATCTCTATCATCCAATACAAAGAAAACTGCTGAGGCATATCAAACATCCGAACAAAGTTCAGAACCTTCGCTCCCTTCTGCTCAAAATGCTTCGACAGGCTTAATGCCCGAACGAACCGAAAAGGGAGGTGCCTTGAAAAAGTACCTCCGAGCTGCCCAGATCGAAGTAGCCAAAAGGCTTGTCGATTCCCAGAAATACCAAGAGGCTATCCCCTCACTAAAACAGCTTCTCGGTATCTCTAGCGAGCTCGACGAGACGCAGCAAGCGAGTGTTGCCGATTTGGGTATCCTGGCGTTCATCGAAACCCCTGTGCCGATAAGAGAGATCGAGACATATTTTAAGCAGAACAAATCGTTCAAATCTGCGTATTTGAAGTCATTGATTCAGAGGAGTAAAGAGAGATGTGACGCTGAATCCTATCACGAGGCTACCCCGGGGCTGAAACAACTTTTGGAGAATTATGATCATCTGACCGCGAACCAGCAAGAGATCGTTGTTAGCTTGGCCGCTTTGGCATTCATTGAAACTGGTGTACGGGTTGAAGGCACAATTGGACAAAATGAGGGGTTTAAGGTTATGTATAACCAGATGCGGGGGCTGAAGGTTGAAGAGTGGTTCGTACAAAACCGCCATCATGACATTATCAACCTTTTGGAGGAGTACCGGTCTCTTGAGCTTCCTCCCTGGTCACAGGATCAACTATCCGCGTATCCAAACGTCAACGAGGAGATACGGCTACGAATGCATCTTGCCGCATGCTTAAATTTTACGGGTGATGCACAGCAAGCCAGATCTATCCTGGAGAATCTGCTATTGTTCATGGCTGACTCACACGACCAGCGAGCTCCTGTCCACATCATGGTGTCTGAGACACTCATATCCTTGGCATATCAAAGTGAGGACCCAAAGTGGAAGATTCTTGCCAAAAATCACGCGGAGGAAGCAGCAAATCTGTATATGGATTCCGCAGGGTTAGCGAGCCCGGGCACATTGAAGGCTGCGACTCTGGTAGCTGGCCTGTCTGAAGAGCTTGGCGACGAGGATCAAGACGCCTGGAAACAAATCCTCGCCGACGTGAAGCATAATAACCGTCTAGCAGAAATCAATAAGTTCACCGCCGAAGCTAGCAAGTTTAAGAGAAAGAAACACGCGCAAGCTCTGGTACTTTGCCAGACCAGGATGATAGAGGCGTCGCATACGAACCCCGATAGAGCCGTGGAGATCGCACTGGACTATTTGAAATCAAACTTTTTCATGGGTAACGCGCAGAATTTCTGTGAGAAATGCGCCGAAGAGTACTTCAGGAGAAGCGACTTCTCATGGACCGCTGCTACGCCGCCAGAATGGACCGCATGTCAACATGATCCCAAGATCAAGATGGTTTTCTCGCCGCTGCACTTCTTCGCTTGTGCTTTTCGCAAACAGTCATCAGGATCGCCGCCTCACTGCACCCAGGAGGTGGCCTGCATTCTCGACATGGCTGGCACAAAACCTATTTCCAATAATGCCATCTCGTACGGTGGAGGCACGGATGAAAATACTCCCATCACTCCTCTCTGGGTGGCTGCCTTCTGGGGCGAAATGGAGGTTGTGAACCTTTTCCTATCAAGGAATGACATTGATATCAATGTTGGATCCCAGTCTATAAAGAGACTCGGGTTTTACAAATCCGCCGGGGGCGAAAAAACTATCCTTGCGGTTCTTCGTCGGATGTCGCGCGTCCAGCTTGATATCTGTCTCTGCGAATCTGCCGGAGAAAGAGCCAGGTATCCTTACTGGCCATGGTGCTTCGCTACTAAAGATATTCTCCATGCGACGCTTGAGAAGCTGGGACCGAACAGTAGTAGTGTCTTGTATGGAGTCCCATGGAGGTTCCAATCCCAATGGGAGGACCTTGAAGAGGAGGTTCGTTGCAGCCTACTCATCATTCTCCTAGCTTTCCCGATCACCATTGCTAGCTTTCCCATGTCAAGGCTAGAAGCTTTGGAAATACTCTTGAAGTATGGTGCCGACATCACGAGTATTGGGCCGAAATTAAAACTTGAGAAGCAACCAGCAATTCTAAATGTTGTTAACGCTTTGGGGTTGGGCTTAAATAATGCTATCGGAAAGTTAGAAGCCCTTTCTACAACAAAACCTGAAGACCAAATTCACCCAGGCAGTAAACAAGGTATTGAGCGGAATAGACTGTACGATGAGATCAAGACCTCAATTGCCATGACGCACCACGTCATCAAAACGACGCCATCGTTTAGTCCTGATGGCTTAGGGGACAAGTATGAGAATATTAAATGGAATAATTACTGGTCAGATGTAACCAAACAATTCTTCCATTTGGAAAGTCAGACTAGACTCGTCCGGCAAAGGGACAAAATGATGCACTGGTTAGAAAGACCAAAGCGACTCCGGCTTGATATTGCTCATTTCATGATCAGTATTGCAGAGAGAGCTCCTCCTTATAAGGATCTGGGGCTACCACCGACCCATAAAGTATCACAAGACCCCAACGGAGATTGGATTGACATACCCAAGTTGCGCCACCTGCTTGAAAACGACATTGCTGAAGTTCTGAGAAAAATCGGGTGGATTGACCAGACTGTCTTGTTTGACCGAGCAGGTCCTTTCTTGGAAAGTTCTAGATAACGAGCCTGTGCTTCTTTACACTTTATCGCACTTTGACCCAGTTAGTACGCGGATGGGAAATCTTGACTGATATTTTGAATGTACGTCGCTTGATAGGAATGTAAAGCCCATTGATAAGCAAACGAGGTTCAGCGAAGGCGGATATCAAGGCTTACTCAATGTATTGGTCTGGGCGCTCTCAATGAGCGCGACTAAAAAAGCAGTTGCTTTAATGTCTTATGAGCTAATCTAGTCTTGCAAGTCTTTCATTTCATGTAAAACCGACGTAGCATCCCCAATATTAGAAGTTTCTGACTGATCTGGCAGAGAATGAAAATATTCGAGCCTTGAGGGTTGTGGTGCTTGACCGCCATATTTGCAGGAGCAAACCCTTGTTCAGCTCAGTGTTTTATCAGGCAGCCTCTGGTTGCCTTCTCTGCCGCCCGCATGGGAATATCTTTTAAAGCAGAAAAGAGGAGAGAGAAAAAATACATGGTTTTGATAAACAAAGGGGCCACTCGGTTTTCAGCAACTCAGACATCTGGATGCGAACCATTCGGCCGCCTGACAAGGCTTCAAGCGCCGAACCCCTGGCTGCCCGGTTGGTGAATGATCAAATAGATGGGGCTGGCGCGAACGTGTCAGCGGCTATTCAAACCTATGGTTGCATCAGCCCTGGTCAGCCAGCATTAGGGGAGGCTGGCAACAACCAGTCAAGTGGACATTAATATACAGCTCATACCCTCGGGCTAATGTAGTCCCTTCTGAGCCCCTTGCACAGCCCCGAAGAAAACATCTTCTCACTTTGGAGCAAACAACTGTGCCGATAGCACTCCCAAAGTCTATCCTGCACCGGTATCGCATTTCTTCTCCTCTATTTCTTGGCACGCTCCTACTCTTGCAAATCTCACACTCCGGCTTTCTGCTGCTCGTGACGCGCGACTTTCTAGCTAAAAACCCTTGCTTCGATCAACAGGTAGGCGGAGGCATATGGATCTGTCGCGGGAGAAAGGTTTGCCCATAGAGCCGCAAATACTGTCAATTTCACCACTTTACTCTATGGTGGAACAACCTCCGGTGTTTGAGAAGCTCGTTCTGCCAGATCTACCGTTGTATCCAGGACTACAAAATCAGGCGCCCGATATCCTGGCCAGCAGCGCCAATTTTATTGACGACTCTCAGCTAGATATTTTGACAGTGTCTGGATCAAACAGTCATATTAGTAAGAGCCGTTTATGTCTATTCTTTGCAACCTTGGCTAATGATTCAAGGTTTGGCCTGCGATCAGAATGACATTCAAGTTGAGGCTGCAATTGATGTAAGCATCAAAGATCATCTCAGTTGATTCGCCTCTTTTATTGGAGAGTGATTCTTTGCGGTCCTAATACATCCCAGTCTTTGCCAAGCACCGAAAATGAACCCTCGATCATCATCATGTAAGGCGGTGGAATTCCAACATTAGAATCCAACGCACTGACGGCTTGAAAAGATGCGCAAAACTCGAGGCCAATGATAGTGCCACATATAGTCAGCAGAGTTCCATGTCCAGAAGTCTTGCTATGAAGATCTTTGACCGTTTCGATATCAACGCTGCCTTCGTTCTCGATCTTGTAGGACGTCCTAATTATTGGTCTGCCTTCTCGCAGGTCAAGTCTGATCGGGAAGAAAAGAAGGATGTCTATGGTGAGCCATTTTATTCTCATCCCATCGGGAATTTGTTGCCGCTAACGCAGAAACGATACAGAGTTCTTCTGCCAACATCCCCGGTGGCATCAGAAGGGACGGTATGACAAGATGAAAGCCGGGGCTACCCAGGGTAATAAAGCGCCGTGTTCAATTTATATGAACTATTCGGTCGCGAAAAATCAGACAATTTACTTGGTTTCGGCACCTGACGATGGGATCTGGTTCTCATTCTTAGAGGGCATCAACGTCAGCAATAGTGTCATCGACGGCTCTTTATTATCACCGAATGAGCTTGCCTCAAGCCCTTTTCTGGTCCACGCGCTGATTTCCAACATCGCCTTCGAGCAAGCCACTGAATATGCCGCTTCAGTGCGCAATAAGTTGATGACTCAGGTCGGTACATAGCCGCCACTATGTTCTTCACCGCATTACCATAACTAACATTCTTCAAGCTTAAAAAAGTCAACGATTATGCTGATAACCAAGCCGAGGGTAGCCCAACCAAACCAGGAGATCAGGATGCACGAACACAGCTGCAGCGAATTACCATTGAGCTGCATCAAGTATCACAAATGCTGAACACAGGACTGGCAAGCGCCCAATCGTCAATGAGATTGAGCGAGAAGTTACTGCAGGCGCATACGCTGTTCTGTCAACGAACGCAACAAGGCAGCCCAGGTACAAGTGTCAGCAGGACGCAGAGCGCCTTCCAGTACGTCAAGGATGCTTTCGAGTATCACAACAATTGGCTCAAGTCATATAAAACGAGAAAGGAGACCGCAATGAACTTTGTGAGTTCACCCTGGAAAGAGCTGTTTAGCGGTCATGATAGCTAACAATGCATGTCGAGGTGTTCAACATGGTTACGCAGCAAGATAGCTCTACCAACCTAACCATGTCGTATCGAATGTCCGAGGACAGCTCATCAATGCATTCAATCACGATATTAACAATGATTTTCCTCCCGGGCACTTTCACAGCCACGCTTTTTTCAACGGTTGCCTTTCGAGCAAGCGATGCTGGCGATGCGGAGGTCACTGCATGGCTGCTCCCATTTTGCTGTGTGACGGGTATACTCACTCTCGTCGTTCTCGCTATTTGGTATTTTCGAAACAGCTTTGGATCTTGGAGATTTCCCATGTTTGAATGGTTCAGTAGACGACAAAGGGCTGTGGCGACTCGCTATCAGAGCGGTATGATGGTCTGATGAAACAGTGCAATGAGCAAGATATCCCATGCATAGATAGCGTTCCTAGAACTGGACGGCGTCATGTTTTTAGTCAACCAATTGCTTGTGCTATGCATCTGAATCCATGAAAAGAACACATGAACCTATTTGCGTACAACGCGGGTCTGCTAAATCTAGTTATCTGACATAAACAGGTGTCCAATTTATCCTCCTTACCAGAGCCAGGGACCTTTCTAAACAAACCCTACCAGCATTACACTCGAGAGATGCTAGATAGGTAAACTAGTAGTTTGGTTGGTCGCGGGAATAAGACTTCTTCCCCGGCACCATGAATCCTCCCATCCTATCCCTGACCTGACTCCTCTGTGGCACAGTCGCACTGCTTTATGCCCTATTTCAATCGATCTCATTGAATCAGTTCAACTTTATCTCTGCATCATCGTACCGCTTTTACCATGGAGAGCTGCACCCAACTTTGCGTACGCCTCCATGAGCTGGTCGCTCGAACCGGATCTACGCCTTCCCGCGACGAGCTCGACTCCCTTCTCAGCGACTGGAAATCCGATCTGCCGCATGGTCTGGCTCTGGACACCTTTCAAGAGCTTCAATCCAGATCATGTCCCTTTTGTGAACTCTCCCTAGCCGCAATCACACATACAGTGGCCGATGTCAAGCGAATCGCCCCGGACCAAGCCGTCGATGTGGTTCTGTTCCCAGAAGAGACAGGATTCCGATTGTCGTTTCCATCTCGACTTGGAACGCAGCTCTTATTTGTCGCATCTGAAGAAAGCCAAGCAGCGAGCCCCGATTGTTCAAGGATCATCGAGTCTTCCCACATATCGCCGGGAACGATATCTAGATGGCTGCATAAATGTGATAGTAATCACACCAGTTGTGTCCGACCAGCAGTGATAGGGCCAGACGTAACTAATCATGCCGATTATCAGCTGGACACTAATGTGATCGCTCAAGATCGGCCTCTGTCGGGAGAGGATTTTTTTGAGAAGCATACATCTAACTTTCGAGTCCTGGATCTCGAGACGCGTTGTATCAAAAGAGTTGCATTGCATGCTAGATACGTTACCCTCAGTTATGTCTGGGGTCAGATTCCCATGTTCCAACTGCAGAGAGGGAACATAAAGGAATTGGAAACAACGGGCGCCCTAGATTTGGTTCTTTCGGGCCTGCCGAGAACAGTGCAAAATGCGATCGACCTCGTGAAATCTATTGGCGAAAGATACCCCTGGATAGATGCACTATGTCTGATCCAGGACGACATGCAAGATGTCAACCTCGGCATAGAACTCATGAACTCCATCTATTCAGGCTCATATTTCACACTTGTGGCCGCGACTGGTGCCGACAGCAATGCCGGGCTCCCCGGATTCCAAGATACTCGGGCTTCGGGTTTTCAGATTGTCAAGGAGCTGGTTCCACGGGGCATGCGCATGGCTGTGGTTCACAGTATTGACTGGCACCTCGAAAAGTCAACCTCCAGCTCACGAGGATGGACCATGCAAGAACTCGTTCTCCCTCGACGCACTGTCATATTTATCAACAATCAAGTGTATTTCCGCTGCCACGGGGCAAATTGGAGCGAAGAGATTTGGTCAGACAAGTTTACGAGCTGGCTTGATCCTGATGACAGCAACATTAGCCGCATCCCACAGATAGATGAAGGAACAGTCATCTTTTTATGGGTATACCAGAAGCTCTGCGAAGACTACTCTCGGAGGATGTTACGCAATGATGGGGACGCTCTTCAAGCAACTGCTGGCATTAGTCGCCCATTGTTTGCAGGAATGGGAACATTTGGCACCTAGGGATTACCCGCCCATCTCCTTGATATGTTTCTCTTATTCGTATCCCCTGAAAGCCGGCTGAGGCGTCGCCACGAATTTGCGAGCTTCTCATGGGCTGGATGGGAAGGCAAGATCCTCTGGCCACGTGAGAATTATACGGCGTACGACGAGAGAGATAACGGTTCTTGGAACCCGGAGAACATCACCAAGTACTTTTCAACGAAAAGGCTGATAGAATGGGCTGTGTGGCCGAGAAACCAGCGTATAACAAAGCTGTCACGTCCTAAACCCGGGAAACAGACTCCGTTGGGGATACTTCTTCAACAATTTCCATCACTCTTCCCGGACGATGAAATTTCAGAGAAATCCAATCTAATCAAGTCTATGGTGATGGTGGATTATTCGATTGACCCTGACCGCCTTGGCTACTACGAAACGAAAATTGAGTTTCCCTGGGTAGCTTTGAAAAAGGCAAAGGCAGCTCTTCCTGGCAGAGGTGAGGTGAAAGAACAAGAGGCAACGACCGAAGTTTGGGACAAATTTAAACTCATTGAAAAGGCACTCGAGTCTGTCAATAGTCAATCCGAGTACGATCAGCTGCTTGCAAAGTTTTCAATAACTCGAGACAGTATGGAAATGAAGTGCATACGAAACTGGTTGGCATGTCGTCAATGGAGTGAGAGATTTTCGATACGCTCTTGGAGAATGGTCTGCTAACTCTCATAGCAATACGTTATTTCAGTCAACAAGTTGAGCCGAGTTTTCAGCAAATTATCCCATGTTCAACCACCATTGCTTGGCAGAAAGAGCACTACTTCTTTTGAGAACCCAGACATTCGATCCACTCTGATGGAAATACCAAGATGCAGCGAGAAGACAGGAGAGGAAGATCTATAAAGGCCCGTTCGACTCAACCCAATCTCTCATTACCGGGAAATACGCAAACAAGCAATGTGCCAATACCGTTAGTCTGATACGGAAAGTCAGGTCAACACCAGAGCGACCGATGCTAACGCCTCTCATAGCAAATTTCCACCTTATTGCGTCCTTTACTTTCAGTCCATAGTTTTCAATTTGATGTTCAGTGAGAGGCCAACTACCTGGACAGCAAATCGTCTATCAAAGGCGGACGCAATGCCAGCTGATTCGCATGCACTCGACGACATTCCACTTCACTCTGCCAGTGGCACATTAGTGGCTCTCTTCGCCCAGACAATCTGGACTTTGTGGGTTCGGTGGGAGAAAAGGTCCAGTTAGTGGTCGTAGCACGGTGTCAGACTCTGACTGGTAAATCTGCACTTTGGCAATCTAGCCTCATACATGACGGATCTGGAAAGCACTTGGAGGACCTTGGGACTTGCTTTGGGTCATGTCAATCACTTGGGTCGACGGGATCGCTGAGCGAAGAGGGATTGGTCAAATATTGACTCAGTCTCTAGGTGATACAGTAGGGCCTAGGCCTGAAGTGAAGGAAACTCTTTTAGGTTAAGAATAGCGGTACGGTACATCCTGGCTAAGCCCCATTCCAAATATATAACATTGCATCGACTCAACAACTGAATAGAATAATCAACTAAAGATTGCGTCTTTGCTCGATGAGAGTCGACGGCGTTGGCATCTTGATCGATAGCCTGCTCCTTATTTGGGCCAGCAACGATTCTGCCAGAGGTTGAGTCTTCCGCTATTAGGGTCAACTGACACATAGTCTGTGCGCTTATCACCAGTCATCTGTAGGATCTGTTAGAAGAAATCAAGAATATCAGATCACCCACCAAGGACTTACTTCAGTGATCTCAACCGACGGTCCAACGGACCCGGGTCCATCCGCAAAGCTAATTGGTGAGTTCCATGCAATGGAATTGTCACTTCGGAAACCACCATGAAGCCATGATCGTGCAGCACCGCTAACCCTGTCTACTACGACATAATCTAACTTGCCGTCCCCATTTGTATCGGCAAAATGGATGTCTCGTGGCAGGGCACCCACTCCATCTGCCACTTTTCGAGGCGTCCCCCAAGCAATGGGAGTTTTCCCAAGGTTGGGCCACATGACGACAGCGCCTTGTTCGTTGACATAGACATAGTCGTCCAATCCGTCATAGTTCAAACTTGGATGTCTTCTTAGTAAATGTAGATTGGTTAATAGGAGGTCGAACTCACTCAGCAAATCGAACATTTTTGCCCTTGAACTTCCACCCATAGGTATCCTCGATAGTCTTCTGAGGACCGGCGGCGGCCTCTCCTTCAGACGACCATCCATATTTATTCGATTCACCCAAATTCTTCCACCAGTTAGCTTGCCCTGTCTTGTCGTCGACCACGATGTAATCAGCTCGGCCGCTAGAGGTGAGAACTCCCATGCGGATTTGGTTCCGGTCGTGTTTCTCACCATTGGCAGTATTACCCAGGTTCTGCCATTGGTTCTTGCCTTTGCCTGTGTTGAGGTAACCCCATCCTCTGCCTTCATGATCCAACCAGAAATAATCGCTCGTGCCGTCTCCGTCCACTATTCTGATTAGAGTCAGATGACAAGAAAACCTGCCGATAACAGAACTCACAGTCACAGAGGAAAACGCCTTCTCCTTCCTGGTACTTGCCCCCTGCTCCGGCGTTCTCCCACAAGGTTATTTTGCCAGACTTCTCATCGAGAGCCAAGTAGTCTACCTTACCATCACCAGTCATGTCGGCGAAACGAACCTGGTCCTGCGTCACCCCATCTGGACCGGCAGCTAGGTCGAAAACCGGCAGCCATGCTGGGATCATGCTATTCTCTTGGAGCTGGTTTACCAATCCTTTGGTCTGGCCACCATTTCCCACAATCATATAATCTGCTCTCCCGTTCCCGGTAAAATCACCGAGGAACACCTTGTGTCCCTTGGAGGCCGAAGCTCCCGTAGCGATGACACCGAGTTTATGATATTTAGGGGTATCGCTAGCACCAGTGTTCAGCCAGCCTGTCACTTCTCCGCTGGATGAATCAACGATGCAGAAATCAGCACGCCCGTCCCCTGTGGTTTTTGGTAATTAGCGATACCATCTATCACGGAAGGTGAATTCGAATCTCACCGTCAAAATCAACCATCTGAAGGGTTGTATTTTTGGCACCAACTCCACTTGCGATAATTCCCAGTGACTTCCATTGCCACGACCCGTTGGTTTTCCCGTTGTTGATCCAAGCAGAAACATCTCCGTTGTCAGGATCTACATAGATGTAATCGTCTGCGCCATCTCCATTGAGGCTGTTGAGTGTTAGCTCTAGCAAGAAGTTGAATTGCAAAACAAAGAACATACTCGGCAAACATCACGCCGTATCCATCTCGTCCTAATTTACCAGAGGCTACTTCTTCTGCCGCCTCCCATTTATTCTGGCTCTTTCCAGATGAGTCGGGAATGTTGCGGTGAACCGTGGTGGCGCCCGTTTTGGGATGAACGCAAGCATAGTCCTTCAGACCGTCACCGTCGAGGTCCATAAGATGAAGCCGAGCGCGAGGACAAGCGCCGTTCGCGATGACGCCTGTCTTTTTCCACGTCGGTTTGAAAACTCCATCTGTGGTAGCTCTAAGGAGATCGAAAAAGTAAGCCCCTGGTTATCATGTGTTGGGAATACTGAGGAAGAGAGACTTACACTGAAGCACCGCTGGCGACTTCGCCTACCTTGAGCCAAGATGGCGTCTCTCGACAATTGTCGGGATTAGTCGAATCCGGAGGGTCTTGAGCTGTCCCTGGCTTCACAATCCACCCCTTGGAATTCGCGTTGATAATGGCATCATACCAAGTATTGGTCATCTTCGCGTATCCCGCATCGGTTGGGTGTAGAGAGTCGGTCAAATCAGCCGTCGTCAAGGCAGAGTTCATATCAACAACGGCAATGTGCTTGTTCGTGAAGCTGGCTACGACACCGGGGATCGCCTTGTTATATGCCGCGAGATCTGCCTGGGCGGTCTGGTTCTTCGAAGGGATGATCTTGGCAACAAGGACAACGGCGTTCTCTGAGTGGAAGTAGATGTCCTCTATCAGCGTCTTGAGACGAGCCGGCGCATTTTCAACATCGAGGGCGCGGTTAATGTCGTTGGTCCCGGCATGGAGCAGAACAATATTTGGTGCTGCGTATATACCTTTCTGGGACATGCTCTGAATTGTGCTGATCACTTCGCCTCGATGTCCTTCGTGGTCAGTATCCGCGAAATCGCCACTGTCCATGGATCCAACAAAGTCGATAGCATTCCCGTGATCCTTCAGCTTCTGATACAACGCCTTGCGGTAGCCATTATATTTGGTACTACCGGCGCCATAGGTGATCGAGCTAATAGCGGTCAGTGACTGCTTCAGAAAGAAAATGGAAAACCAGCAAATTACTGGGGATTATTACATACTCTCCAATGGGAAGCACCCTCAGTTCAACACCATTTGCCAGTTCATCACGAATCTGCACCCGTGTAGGGACATCTCGAATAGCCCCATGGTTATGGTGATTACGGCCGTGAAGGGTCAAGGCTTCGGTTCCTGAGATCCATGATATGCAGACTATGTACAATAGCGCGATCGCCAAGACTGCCCACGACTTCTGTCCTCTCCTGGCAGCTGGCTGGCCTGTCGATAGACTGAAAGCTGCCATGCCTACAACCTATGTACAGCTTGTGTAAACTAATCAACAACTATGAGCATCACACGCGTCAATTTTAAACCCAAAACTGAGGGTATGGGCCTTTATGATGGACTGCAGGCTACGGATTTGTGCTTTGTTGACCCATTTCCCCCCTGCTCGGAGATGCCCCTTCCTGTATAGTACCGATGATCCGTTGGTATATTTAGCTCCACGGAGGATCATGCATGTACTTTTTGGAGCTAGAATCCATTTAGGGAGCTCGGATAATCATTTAAGTAATCAAATAAAGACTTTGTTTTAATCAAGGACTCTCACGGGATGGACACGTGATCTCAAATAGGAACTTTGTGTCCTTTCATCATGCCGCCATCCGATCGCTTGGCTAGTATTTGCCAAGAATCCGCCTAGAGCTGACTAGCAGATGGCCTGTCACACCCTTTGCATAAATAGCTATTGAACTGATATACTTGTAGAGGCTCTCGGTTGGGCACCGGTTTGTTAGGTTTCCCATTTCTGTTTCTCTTTTTGTGAGTCAGAAATGGCCTATTCAGAAAGTTCATCATACCGGCGAATTCCGAAATCGAGTGTCATGCAGCCAAGAATAGAAGGTCTGTCGTGGCAAAATGCGTGAAATCGACTCTTGAATCTTGCCAAGTCGGAAGATTCTATATCCAATTAAAACTAAGCCGGGCGGACTTTGCTTCCATTATGATAAATAGATCATCCGATTGGACCCTGATTTCAACTCGGACATCGGTACTACGATCCTACCATCTCCGTTGATGCCTCCGTGCGGCATCATGTGTCTGTGCAAAAGTGGCTCGGTCACTGCTGCTTCCGACGTGAAACGCTCAGATTTCACAACATCATCATTCTTAGCATGCAACCTTCATCTATGTGCCAGTAGATATTATCCCTCCCTTTCGCCCAAAGCTGCGTGTAGCTCTGTCCCTTCTCCATCCGAATGACAAGCTTGCAAAAAAAAAAAAAACAATAAAAAGAAATCAGAAAGACAAATAGTGAAGACTTGAGATAAAACAAAAAGGCAGATTGCGGCGTGTGAAAAAGTTTCTATCATATTCACGATCAGTGGCCCGCCCGGCTCGACTTTATCAATTGCTCCCATAGATCGTCAAGGTAATAGAGCGAAGAGATATGTCCGCCAGGTAGGACCCTAAGCACGCTATTCCTGTAGTTTTCCGACAGCCAAACGTTGGAGCTCCCGCCCGTGTCGTCCTTTTCCGAACCCACGATCAGCATTGGCTTGGAAGCATGTTCGTCATCGAGGTCTGATGGTGAAAACCCCCAGTCTGAGTGAACGACATCAGCCACCTCGAAAAAGCCCTGCCATGTTCGGATACCTGCCATCCTTGTGCCTTCCGCCATCTTGGTGATGAATCCAGCCTCTGTTCTGTTCACCTTGGCGAGATAGCTGGCGAAATTTCTTCTTTCGTTATCATCCATCTTCAAGAACAGAAACTCCTGGAGAAATTGCTCGGCGCCTTCCTGTGTCTTGATCTTCTTTGCAATCACTGAAGATACAAGTCGCTGAAGCAGCCAGAATGGAACATATCTTGCTGGTGGCCCGACAGAGAAGTAATTCTGCCAACTGAGATCCCGCGTGTAGTTGGCCTGATGTTTGAAGGGCGCGAAGCCAGCAAGCAACATGCACCCTGCGATTTTGCGCCCAGCAGGGAAGTCGTCGTACGAGGCGCCGTACAGCATTTGAGCCTGAACCGTGCCATAGGACCCTCCACTGACGTATAGGCTGTCGAACTCTCCCGTGGGATAGAGCTCGGCCAAGAGGGCGTTCATATCCCTGATGAGTGAGGTGTGGTATGCATCGCCTGGCTTCCTCGGGCTCGAGTTGCCAAAGCCGGGCAGTGTAGGCGATATCCAACGAGCACCAAGCTCGCGGAGAGGTGCCGGGACATCAGCAGCTCTCCCGACACTGAACAGGCCTGAGAAGAAAATGACGAGGACGCGCGAGGCCGGTGGGCCGTTTGTCGCATATGCTAACTGGCGCCCGTCTTCCAGTGCCAGCACATGCTCCTCATCCCCCTGGACCTGATCATAATACTCTTGGGTTGCGGCCATCGCTGCAATAACACGATGATACACTGCTGCGCTGGTATGGCTGATGATTGCGAAGGCAGTTGAGTGATATTGTGATGGAAGCGGCTGAGACGAGCTGAACATATGCGCTTGGGCTTTAATAGAATGGTCGATGTCGGGAAGAGTACCCGCCAATCACAAAAAATAACGCGAAAGACTGCTGCCAGGCTGAATTTTTACCGATTCGATTAGTACGTGATACACTAATCAATCATGACACTCTCTTTTGCTTCATCTTTCGAGGATGGAATGTGGCGCTGTTCCGCCGTGCTCAAAATAGGATCTGGTTGCCTGATAAATAATTATTCTGCCTGATACTAGCGAAACATTACTCAGATGCTGCTTTTTCCTCAATCATCATTAGGCCACGCCTCGTGGGCTTATGTAGGCAGACGATTAATTCAGTTGCCTGATTTGCTGTTGCACACCACTGGAGGAACTCACATTAGATAAAATTGAGCCAGCATGCGAGAGTGTACTCAAGGCGCACATACCATATCACGGCTCTTAGTTTAAGAATAAATCTTTTGAAACTTAAATCAGGTTTAGTCAAGAATAGGAAAAGTTTGAAAATCAAGTGAATTTGCAAGGACGACTGACTGATTTGTTTGGAGCCCGTTGTATCCAGTAATTGGATGCAGCTTTCGATATGAAGACTAATGTCATAAAGTCCACCTGGCCTGCGACCTAGCTTAATCAAGGTCGGCAAGCAAATAGTTTTGATTCACTGTTATGCATATATTTGGGAAGAATGAACTCTTGATTCTCGACCCCTAAAAACGACGCAATTCCTAGTTGAGCATTTGGGATTTATTTTAGGGAACATATATCTACATGGACGAAACTCGATACCAACATCATCAAAATAGATTATATCTAATTGGTGCGATCATTCAGGATCAAGAAGAAGTGAATATATATAAAGTAAGACCTCGATTCTTAATCTCCGGGTGTAGCATTAAGAACTGAGCAATAATATCCAATGTGCTGGACTAACAATTGATGATGAAGGGACGCTTGCTCTATTTCCTCTTTTCAAGGTGTAGCTCTCCGTGAAGTCTAACTATTTTTAGTCGGCGAAATACTTCATCTTTGAAAGTCTCGGACACGAGTAGAAATGATTGTCCCATCTATTGCAGGTTACGCTTAAATTTCCTCGGTCCACGAATGAGGCTGGGAGGTGTAAGCAACTACCGAGGAGGAGGTAGGAGGTTGATGGCATGAGACCACGGAGTTTCATTGTTTCATGGCCCGGCAATGGTATTCTAATAATAGTACGATTGCATATCGAAGCATTCTTGTGTTTCAAAGCAGGGTCTCAATGCCGGGTGGCGAGCCCCGACAACTCTTCAAGATTAGAGAGAGAAGCTTAGCGTGGCTCCGTAAGCTCCGGCAGTCGCCAAATTAATCCTTACCCACAATGGTCAAGTCCTTGCTTGGGCCGGCACTGTGGTTGGTTGGCTCGGTTGTTGAGCTCGCATTTCCCTACAAACAACCATGCAGGAACAGAGATCGACATTCAAGCCAGCGAGGCTGTGCGAAGGAAAACGCGTAGCTAATAAACCAGCCTCAAGCTAGACGCGTTCCAGCGACGTGGGTTTGCATTAGGAAGAAGCGGCAGTGTAATCTCGGACTTGGTCTCGCACTTGTCAGTTGTCATTGCGTACGGACCAGCATAAGCAGGATGCTAACAAAGTTCTGAACATATAAAACCCGAGCTTGGCGTCCTCTTGCGTGGTCACAAAAAGGTCTTATCAAGGTTATTCTACCACGTTAATATCATGAAGACGTCAGCTTTCTTATTCCCGTTGCTCATCTCGTGTGCTGCGGGCAAAACACAACTTACACCAGAGAAGCTTGTTTCAGATATTCAAGAGAGCCAGTAGGTGCTAAATATACGCCCTAGCAGTTACTCTTCACTGACTGATGGACACCCTAGCCTACGAGACATTCTCACCACCTTCGACACTATTGCTAGCCAAAATGGAGGGACGCGAGCTTTCGGGTTGCCGGGCTTCAATGCATCCCTAAAATATGTAATTGAATACATGAATCGGAATTCCAGTTCGTGCTCCAAGTACGATACGACTATTCAGCCTTTCAGACATCTCTTCTCCCAAACCAAACACATATCACTGCTTGGCCCGCAGCAGGAAGCCGTTGACGTGATCTCGTTACAATACAATCACCCTACCCCACTTCCAGATGGACTACATGCTCCCTTAGTGAGTATTCCAGTCGACGATGAGCGAGGAACCGGATGCTTCGATGATCAATGGAGCGGCGTCGACGTTAGTGGGAAAATCGCATTGGTCAAGAGAGGGAAATGCCATTTCGTGCAAGTTCTGAAGCTCGCCAAGGCACATGGAGCCTCCGCAGCCATCATTTTCAACAACGTACCGAATGTGAAGGGCGGTTCAGCATCTCTGGGCGCTGAAAATTACGGTACACTCGTCCCATTGGGTGTCATTACCTACGAGCAAGGCATGGCTTGGTATGAGCGATTACAGACCGGAGAGGTTTTCAATGTCCATCTCACCATCGAGACTCTAACCGAGAATCGCGACACGTGGCAAATACTACTTGAAACGAAAGGGGGCGACCCCGATAATGTCATCATGCTGGGCGCTCATCTCGACTCTGTGCAAGAGGGTGCTGGGATCAACGACAATGCAAGTGGTGTTGCTGCATTGCTCACGATAGCCAAATCAATTGAGAAGTACCAACTCAGGAATAAGGTCCGGTTTGCGTTCTGGGGAGCAGAAGAGAGCGGGATGATTGGCTCAAGCCATTATGTTTCGACTCTAACCGCCGCGGAGCTGGACAGGATCCGATTTTACTTCAACTATGACATGATTGCATCTCCAAGTCCAGCCAGTATTGTCTATGCGACTTCAGAAGGCGATAAGAAGGGTGCTCAGTTTCTCTACGACTTCCTCAAAGAGAATAGTCGCTCTCCCGAGTTTGCGTAAGGGTTACATTGCCATGAAATTTATGATTCTCAGCTAACCGATGTCTAGAACCTTTGGAAGCTCATCTGACTACGTTGCCTTTCTTGATGCTGGAATCCCCTCTTCTGGCATATTTACCGGTGCTGGTAAACCATACGATGTGTGTTATCATACATCTTGCGATGATTTGTCGAATATCAACTGGGATGCCCTGGTCATAAATGCGAAGGCCGCAGCCTATGGCGTTGCGCAGCTTGCTCTCTTGGATCCAGAGAGTCTCACAAAACGCGGAGAGACTAATCTAAATTCAAGGAGCGTATACGGTGCATCGCGGAATCTGGTTCGCTGGGCTGATCCCGCTAGAGATGCGGAAAAGCGACATGATTGTGGTGGAAGCGCCTACTGAATGGATTACGCTGACCAGATTGTCGCCTTCTATGCTCACTTTGCTTCCTCCTTAATTTAAAACCATTATAATAAACGCTTAAGCTAAACATATTGACCTAAAGAATGCTTTGGAACCTTGGAACCTTGAGGCTTAGGGAGAAGGAGACGTGCAATTGAGGCCATCGCTTTCTCTCACTATGAGTAGGGAGAACGTAGTCACTACCTCAGAGGGTTTCCGAGTCCAAAATATAGAATTGATTTTTGCCATCATAGAAGTTGCTTTGGAATTGATTCATAATCAAGATTAGTCAGTTGAGGGGCAGCCGAGGTTCGTCTCCTCCTTCAAAGAACCACAAGTATCATCGTCAACTCTAGATTCTATTTTATTTACCAACCAATCAATTGTAACAATCTTCTCCAAGTTCCCTAATTCTGGCGATATATCAAGTGATATATGATCGCCATGCCTTTGTACGAGATTGCCCATACGATTCCTTTGACCGATGACCAGAAAGACTCGCTCGCAGCAGCAATAACAGAGTTACACAGCTCGAAGTTTACAGTACCTCGGATGTTCATAAATGTGATATTCACCAATATCTCCAACGTGCCTATATACACTGGAGGAAAACGGGTATGAACACCCTTCTCGGATCTAAGGCAACGGAGCAGCATGTATATGGACTAATCATCCTGTGCTCCCAAAGACTACTGCATCAAACCGGATTGTTGCAAGGGTGCGACGTGGTTCTCGCTCTCGAGAGGACTTCAACTCGCTCTGCAGCGAAATACGAACAGCATGGGCCCGCATTGTTCACCCTGCATACGGTGCGGACCAACTACCGCCTGCTGAACTGGAGCTGCGGGCTATTTTCATTACCGGCGAGCTGCTTGCCGGAATGAAGTGTGAGTTCCATGTCCCAATAGCCGGGGCGGAGCTTGAGTGGGCCAAAGCGCATTACACCGAGTTTCAGACAAGAGCGGCGCATGGGGACCAAGACTTCGTTGGCCTGGTTGGGGAAATTGATCAGTGGCTTCATTCATCAGGGTAACCTAGCGAATTCTCAACACCGTGATGCGGTGATAGCATTTGGCCATCGAACTGAAAGATACTCGAGAAACACGGGGGAACAAATGATATTATGTTAGATCAACACATTTCTCTTCTATCGTATCGACTTCATTCACAAGAATGAATTTAAGCGGTTATTGAAGACCGATAACTTTATACAGTCCACTGACAATAATACCCAGGCCTTTGAGGAGCGGCCAAGAAATTTCAAACCAGTCCAAATAAGACCTCGCGTAACAACTCTCGACACCTCGCGTAGCACCTCTCGACCAACTTCTTTGGCTTTCGGAGAAAAGCTTTGGCTACACTTAATCCGGCATCTAGGCCAATATGTAGTACTGTAGTCATCAACCGCCGCCCTCGTCTGCCTTTCCCAACCCCTAACTCGGGACTCCGCCTTCGTCAACATCAACTATCAAAATAAGCGCCTCTGGGTCTCTAGGGCAATGGAAATACTTACACCGCTAAGGACATCCGTGTCTTCGCCGGCCTGGGCACTGAAGCACTAGCATGAGCGCAGACCAGCTACGCGGGCAATAGCCCTTAACCGATCTATCCCGACGGCTTCAAGCTCGGCCATCCAGCCTGTCGATGTACTACATCCGATAGCCTCCTTCAGCAGAAGGAAGGGTGGCCTCCTAAACTAAGCGCAAGCGCGGTAGAGGCGAGCGAGAAGTAGTATCAGTATTTAGTGTCAGACCACCTCCGTCGACTGCCTCCATATAGAACAATAGAGTGGATTGTAAACTAGCTATAAGAGACGAGACCTCATACAAACCAAGCCTTGCATGTTTATGTTACGAACCCCCCCAAAGGAATGACGGTGCAGAGAAAAACGCAGTCGTGCAGACCGCGGAATTAGAAGCAGAGATAATTACATCTTTGAAGAAAGGGCAAAGGGGCAAGGTTCCTGGGTAGGGTTAGAAGGTTGTCGTCAACAACGTCTATTGTATTAAACAATGCATTCAGCCGTACTAGCACACCGCCGGGCATCAAAGAACTTGAAAGGCAGACTCTACCGCTTATCTAAGCACGTATGAACCTTCTAAAACACTACCCTATGATCCTTCTATTTCGATCTTTAACCTATGTGACAGACAGCCTTTTCTAGTGGTCCGGATCTAGCATTCTACCGGGTTAATAGTGTACTCGGAACCTCAGGTTCTTATATATAAGCAAAGTACTTACGCTATCATCGTCGTGTCAAGGCTTTTAAATCTTAGGAGTTTTCGCCTTGGACGATTGGTTCAAGTTGCTCAATGAGTTGTGCAAGTTGGCTCATACCGAATGGTTGAAATCGTTTCTGTGACTTTTTGAGGGGTTCGATATCAATGGGCTTGGTCGCTCCGCTTCCGTCGTAATGCCATGAGGTTCTCTCGCTAACGGAATCAAGTCCGGCTTGTGTTCGGTTCGTATCTCCCCGGGGATCAGGGTGTTGGTGTCGGCGGACTCTCCATTGTGTGTTGTGATACCCCAAGGTTGCTTTCCAAACTGGAACAAGTTAATCATGACGGAAGAGACAACACATTGAATTGTAAAATTACCTCATTGTGCCCTCTCAGGAGAAGCTCTCGAGCTGACTCTGAATACTTCTTGGCTCTTTCAGTAGCAGTTTTTAACTCCTTCTCGAGAAGGATAGGAACCTTGAGTTGAGGCTGTTGGGAGCTGATCAGGAGCGCAACCAACACACTCGTAACGATGGAGCCGAGGAGACTTAGCTTCCATTGCTCTACCAGCGCTATTTGAGACATACTGCCCCAGAAAGGCAGCACCTGCGTCGTGTTCGAGATTTGATCCATACTGTCGGTCGATTGGAAGTTTGAAAGTTGGCAAAATCATCGAGACTCTATTTGGTCGGTCTAAAAGGTTGACAGCTGTGAAAGTGTTTTTGGGATGGTACTTGTCCGCAATGATAAGCAAGGAATGGCAGCATTGCGTATCACAACAAATAAGTGGATGCTGTCTTCCTCATTGTCATTGATTATTGGCGGGGTGTTGTCTTCGGATCTTCGATGGAAGGGTAAGCCAACTCAAACTCGGCCACGAAGACAGATAGCCGGGGCGCTCGGACGCTCGGGTTCCGATCAACTCACCCCAACTTATGCACCACTCGAAGCCGAGGGCGAGGCAAGACCAAAGTAGTGAGTGATTGGCAATCTAGGCTAAGCGATCCTAGGTTACTTTGCCGGTTGCTCGGCGAAAGGGCGATATGGGCAGATTTCGCCTTCGGCATTGCAACTTTCCAGTGCCACCCCAAAGATACTGTGGCATCGCAAAGTCACCAAAGACAGTGTTGACAGAGAGCCGTCCACCAGATGTATAATCTCAACGACGGCCTGACGAAATGCATATTCAGTCATGCCGAGTAGGAGTTAATGAAGAAGACTGTGCTTGGAACACCGTACTTTGTTTCTCATCCACCATGGCTTCCGCTCCCAAGCAACCAGTCATTATCGTCGGTGCCGGAGTTGTCGGCCTTGCTCTCGCTCAAGGCTTGAAGAAGGTCAGCGTCATCCCACCTTCGTTCAAGCCAGTAGAGTACTAAGAAGAATGTTAGGAGGGCATCCCGTTCATTGTCTTCGATCGAGACGAGCATATCGACGCCTGTGGCCACGGCTGGGCAATCACGCTGTGGGCATTGGAGGCTCTTGGGCACTGTTTGCCCGCGCGTCTACTCGCCCGGCTCGAGGAAATCGAGATTGACCCCACAGATGACCGGAAGCAAGGCGGCACTTTCACCATGTATAACCTTAAGACGGCCGAGCCTACTATGAAGGTGACCCTTTCACATCAGCGCAGGATCGACCGTGAGAAGCTGAGGAAGCTTCTCTGCGATGGCATTGATGTTCAATGGAACAAAACTCTCAAGGATTTCACCGAGACCGACAAGGGTATGCTCGTCAGCTTTGAGGATGGGACTTCAGTACTTGGTAGCCTTGTTGTCGGGGTTGATGGAGCTCAATCCAAGGTCCGGCAACAGCTTTGTCCAACTACCCACGAACTACACCAGTTACCTATCCGCTTTCTCGGCACCACCATCAAGATGAGTCCAGAGGAAGCGAAAGTCTTCACAGAGCTTGATAAGCTTATGTTTCAGGCCACGCACCCAGACACCGGTACCTTCTTCTGGTATGCCCTTTTGGGCGCCCCTGCTGTCAATGGCTCCGACAATACCTCAGATCCCCACTACCGTTGCCAACTGAATATTTCATGGCCAGTCAAGACTCCTGATGATGAGATCCCCGCTACTAACGCTGGTCGGGTCCGAAAGATCAAGCTGTTAGCTGAGGTTTTCGAGGCCCGTTTCAAAAAGCCCGTAATGGATATTCCAGAAGATCTTAATATTGTCGAGATCAAATTCCGCAAGTGGCCTGTGCTTCCTTGGCCTACACTGGGCGGTAAAATCACTCTTGCTGGTGACGCTGCTCACGCCATGACTATGTGTAAGTTTATTGCCATAGTAACGATGAAGTACAAAGAGCGCTGACTTGTTCAAGACCGCGGAGAGGCTGCCAATCACGGTATCACGGATGCCAATGTGTTGAAGGATAATCTAGTCAAGATGTGGGCGTCCGAGGGCGGTATCTCCCAGGACGAGGCCCTCCAGTCTTATGAAGCTAACATGCGTCCTCGGACCCTCTGGTCTGTGAATGCTAGTAGGCAGGCTTGGCTTGACTCCCATGACCACGAGAAGAGCAACGTGGGTAGTGGCCTGGTGTCTGTTCAAGAGGCGAATAAGGTCGCTGTCCCTATTTCTGTCGGTTAGGTGGTGATATGCAACCCAGACATTGCTGTCATTACTTTCTCTAGGTGTTAAGCACCGTCTTTAATCAACTACCACCACGAATATCCGTTAGCAAAGGGGAATGTGTCCCTTGGAGGTGAATAAAAGTAATATTCCACTTACCTTGACAAGCTCCCTGTCCAACTCGCCAATAGCGGGCCACGTCGAAGGGTCTTCAGGAGAAAACATATCAGCGGATTCGGCAAGGACTATTTATGTTACCAAGGACAGCGTTTCCATAGCCCGAAGATGCGGTCTTGGAAACTTGTAGCCCATCCCAACAACAACCTGGCGTGTTGGAGGGATCGAATTGTTAGAGGAGGGTGCCAGCTGTTCTAGGATAGAGAGAGGCGTGGGGCGAGGAATTCTGCCCCTACATTCCGACTGTGGCCAAAGGTGCGATGGGCACATGCCCCCTAATATTTCCATATTCCATCGCGACCGTTACCGATTAAGCTCGGCCATATTTGCTGTTGTAAAGTGCGAGAGAAGCCAGGGGGACCAGAACACCCAAACTAAAGTGCGCCCCGAGGAGGCTCTCGGACACCGGCTTCCGAGATACGAGATATCATGACTCGGGATACATATGACAGTCTCTCCTATTGTTTCACCGGTTTTTAATATACCCGGGCCTTCACGAGCCATTGTCGTCTGCGAGTAATCACAATGGAGTGTCTGTAGAGACTCCTAAGGGCGCTCAAGTGTTACAACTATATCGATCGGGTCAAGGCAGTGAGGATGGGAGGATAAGAAATCGGCCTCTGTTGTCACAAATCATCACTCATTCAGTCGCTCTATTGCTCTATTAATAATCTAATATGTGACGGACACCTCGGTTGTCCGAACTATGTTCTTCCCGTTGGCATCTGGATGCACAATGCTATCGGAGCTATTCTCCCTTCGCGTGCCAGTTCCTCCTGGCCCCGATGAGTCTGAGTCGTTTCTCCCCTCGGCAGTGGCAATGTAAAAAGTCTGGTTGTCATTGACTGATTTCAGTTCGAACGCTTCGGGGCCTCCGGTGTTGCTGGTTTGTCGAATGTATCCATTCGCCTTGTTGGATAGACCTGTTCTTTTTCCGCTTCTTAAGCGGCGGCTAGCCGAATTGGTATAGCCATATCCGGGGGTCAGGCTCTTCAGGTTGAGTATATTTCGAAGCAGGGGCTTAAGCGCTGGGGCGCACGCAGCAATGATACCGAGGTTGAGTTGGAGTCTGGATGGAAGGGTTAGACGTCATTGAATTACACCGTTGAACACGAGAATACTTACAAGCCCCAAAATTGAATCTCATAGGTACTGTGACGAATGCGTTAGTGATTAAAGCCGAATCGACTGTAATTTATGTGGTCATACAAGGTAGAATCTTTGTTGGACACGAAGTTGATCTGCGCAACGGCCTTGAGGATGCCTATCACAACAGCGCTAGAGAATGTCAGCATCAACTTTCCATCCACCCAGAGAAAGCGAAGCCTACACATAGCCGAGACTGAGAACCCCGATGAGGTACAAACGAGTCTTTAGTGGCATTTTCAGGGTCCAGATGATTGGTACTGGTAAAGTTGCAAAGGCGACATCGGTAAAAATGTTGAATGCTGGTCAATGAAAGGGTCAGAAGGCTGGAGAAAGAATGACATGTTCTCGTGAGGTTATTACCTGTGTTGGCCAACCCAAACTTGGCGAATAAGCTCAAGGAGTAACATGTGCCTTGGACACTGGTGTCCCAGTATCTCGGCAGGGGCTTGCAGAACAGAAAGATGGTCAACCAAGCCTCAATCGAGTACAGCGTCACAAACGCTACTAACAGTCAGCCACCTCAGGTCGCCTTTTTGGTTGAGAAGTTACTGCAGTGTTGTCCTACCCATCATAGCCCAAAGTAGGTACTCATACCAGGCCCAGGCGTTGCTCCGTAGTTTTCTTAGTTCGAGGGCAATGGAGATTTTGAGGAAGGCGATGCCACCAATGAGAGGCACAATCGTCTGGACGAAGGACAACCTCATGAACTTGACGAGATCCGGCCCTTCGATCGTATCGTAGTGTTTGCCAAGACCTAGAGGCGCTTGCAAATATAAGGTTACAGTTCCGCCAAGGAGGGAGGTGAGCTATTCGAAGCATCATATCATTAGCCTACATGTTCCCTTGGCGCAGGGGAAGCGCACTAACCACGGATGTCACCATTAACGCATCTTGAGGACCATATGACCCCACGATAAAGAAGCGGGTGTAGGACCGGAGGCAGACAAAGACAAAGGCGATGACGCTGATAACAGTACTGACGATGAGGATTTGCGGCGCTCGGGTCTCTGCGGCCCGCACAGGATCAACATTACCGGAGGATCCGATGCTCATATTGGTTATGTACGGCTCGTCACCTAGATCTTCAACATACGAGCTGCCTCGAGCATTCCACTGGCCAACCAAAGGCGACGAAAGCGGGGGTAATGGTAAAAGTGCCAAAGGAGCGTATTGAAAGGAAGAAAAAGAAAGGAAAGATCGGGAAAAGCGATTCACGAACGCCCAGGCGCGAAGCACATTCGGGGAGTCTCACGAGATAAAGCACATAACTAGCAAAACCGAACGAGAGCAGACCCGTTTCACTCGCGGTACTCCCACACCAGACGAGCTTAGACTCGCTTACGACGACATATCCCGTTTAAGAGATTCTTAATAGCGACGTGAAACTATAGCATCAATGCAGGTGGGAAGGGAAGAAAGCCGGTTTCACTTCCAGATCGCCCAACGCGCTATGACTGGGTCGCTGGCTAAACCTCAAATAGAAGGACGCCACGCCGTAAGCATGGAACCCAAGGCTACGGCTGAGGTGTTCATCCCTGTTAAGGCCAGTGGCACCCCGGGATAATCGCTAGAAGCCTGCAGAACGACCCAAGAGTGGGTTGGGTATCCAAGGAGGTGAAAGAGATGTTTGAGGTTTGTCGGGTGGGCCACAGCCGGTGCCCTGAAGTTTCTGCTCTACGATCATGACCATCTACATAGTAGAAAGCAAGGGAGACGGCGTAGAAAAAGCTTGGGAAAATACAAATCCGCATACACGCAGCGCAAGTGGGAGCTCGGTGATTTATCCCGCATTGGGGATGGGGTTTGCTGTCTTATTCATAACACTATTGATTGCACTGCAATAGCACGCGGATGCGGATCTTAAGCCTAGAGCTATATCCCTATAACAGGATAAGATGTAAAATGATCTGTCGGACGAGGATTCTGGGGAGGCGACGTGCGGAGATTAGAACTGGTTCCTGAGCCCGTGATGGAAAGAGATTCGTACGCCTGGCAGGGCTGGAGAAGAAAAATCAGTTCATATCTACCACATGTGTCTTTGTCACTACCACATCAGCAGTTAGGGGTGGCTCTTAATCCAAGACTGGGTGTTGCGACATGGCCAGCGCAGCCAACCACGAGGCCTGGCTCCCAACGAATGGCGGCATGCTCGCTTGCATATACTTACCTTGGAGCCACCCGGTCCCTGTCCAGCCCAGAAGAATCAAGATGGGCCCGTGAGACGCTTTGGGCAGGTCAGCAGGCGGCCCACAGACGGTGCCACCAGGCTTATGCCCGTGGCATCGCCATGCCACGATGGCCCCTTGGATATTAGCCGCAACCGTTGCGGTGGAGTCCATCAGCGAATACAAGCAGAGAAGTTCTAGCGGGCGTTTCATCTGATTAGCTCTAGGGTCACACCTAAAGTAGGCATTCCCACCGATCGCTTCGGACATGAGAGCCCCGAGGTCAAGGATAGAAACGAACCATCGTGTTGGTTCTGCACAGCAATTCATGGCACACATGATTTGCACCCATCAAGAGAAATGAGCAGCATCGGCAACATCCTATTCAGAGCTGCGGCTACTACGGGGCCGGACAGACGCCGACGACGGCAAGTGAACGAGCAGGTCTCGTCTAACAAGGCAACATGCCTCTGCGTACGCAAACAGCGCATCGCCCTGAAGCCCCGCAAGCACTCGTGAAGTAATCAATTTGATTTTATTAGCAATTGTGCCGAAGAATTGGCCTCTAATATCTTGCATTCGCCAAAGTTCCAGCGGGGATCGCTCTCATACCCCTTAATGTTGAACACTCGTCGGTACACTATCCGCCCTTATCCGCGCCGTGTCTGAAAGATGGGATCTGCTAGCCTATAAGGCGAGTTGGGATGAACAAGAATAATAGTGCATGATCCCAAGCGCCAGCACGAGCTATGACCAGATCTGCTGGGCAAAATAATGCCATGATGCTGTGCAGGGACGCGGGCTCAATCTTTAGGGGAGTTTTTCCTCCGCAATGGATCAACGGCGGTCTCCTAGATATCCGAGCAAAATCACAGGCAAATCTTCTTGCATGGATCGCATTAGCCAGGAGGGGCCAGACCAGGGCCAGGCGCAGGGACCAGGGAAGGCAAATGAACTTCCGTCTTACTGGCCGTGCCACCACCGTCAACGGCCAGTCAGTTGGTTGTTGGTTGAAGGAAAGACGCGTCAATATCGGCTGTTCCCGTTGCAACTCCAGAAGAATATCGATGGGTCCAATATGAGCCGCATGAGCTGATGTCACGGTCTTCATGCAAACCAGGCGCAGCAGCGCTCTTGATTGCATTAACGCCGAATCGTATAAGACAGGTGCAGAATCATGTTCGTTCTCTCTAGCTTTGTTCACGAATCACGACAGCTTTTAAGTTCCCACTAAGCATATCCGCCATGCAGATCTCACGCACCGCTCTTCTTGGCCTACTAGGTGCCGCCACGTCGGCTCTGGCTTTGGAGATCCCTGAAGGCACAGGCACCGAGATCCTGGCCGACTTGCAGACAGAAGCCATCAAGAACCTCAAGAAGCAGGAAAGTTGTGGCTCCCGCAAGCACAACTCCACCTGTACGTTGGAGAATGACACAGTTAGGCGTGACTGGTATGACTCGCTTCTGTCACTGCTACATGAACTCAATTTACGAAATACTAACACATTGAATCAATAGGCGAGCACTGTCCGCCAGTGAGAAGACGGATTACATCGATGCAGTCCTCTGTCTCATGGACAAGCCTTCCAAGGCTGATCCTTCATTTGCTCCTGGTTCACGGAGTCGATATGATGACTTCGTTGCAGTTCACATCAACCAAACCCTGACCATTCACGGAACAGTAAGTGAACTTGATCTGATCTATGAAGCTGTCCCTGCCGCTAATCATCGTCTACAACATATAGGGTAACTTCTTGACTTGGCATCGTTATTACGTCTGGGCGTACGAATATGCTCTTCAGAACGAGTGCGGGTACAATGGCACCCAGCCCGTAAGTACCAACTCGACATACTGACTCAAGCGGAGCATCTCTAACACTTGAGGTAGTACTGGAACTGGTTTGATGGGTCCGACTTCAGCAACCATCCCATCTTTGATGGAAGTGATACCAGCATGAGCGGTGACGGCGAATACGCCGCTCATAATGGCAGCCTCGGAGGAAGTAATAACATCTATCTGCCTTCGGGAGATGGTGGCGGTTGCGTTAGAAGCGGACCATTTAAAGAGTAAGACCTAAACCATTGAGGTGAAGTGGTTCAACAAAACAAACTCGCTGACATTTCCTAGCATGGTCGTCACCCTAGGTCCCGTTTCTCCTGGAATGGATGGCATGAAAGCCCAGAACGGCAGTGGTCTTGATTACAATCCTCGCTGTTTAAGCCGAGATCTCACCAAGCATGCGGTTGATACGTGGATGACAGCCGAGAACCTCTGGAATCTCACACAGGGCGACGCTTCCGGCAGTATCTCTCTCTTCCAGGACGAGTTCCAAGGTCGTTTTGGTGACGAGTTCCTCGGCATCCATGCTGCCGGCCACTTCACCATGGGCGGCGACTCTGCTGACCTTTTTGCATCTCCCACTGACCCCATTTTTTGGCTGCACCACTCTATGACAGATCGCCTATACTGGCTCTGGCAGGCCCTTCATCTCAAACAAGCCAAGACCATCGCCGGGACAATCACCATTCTCAACCTCCCACCCAGTAGAGACGCACTGGTCAGTGACCCGCTGAACTTGGGTGTCAACGCTCCTGAGATTACAATCGACGATGCCTTGGACACCGTCGGAAACTCGCCATTCTGCTATGTTTATGAGTAAAGGACCTATCTTACAATCCATTAATTAATGAGGAAGGTTGTGTTGTCTCGCACGGAGACATGTGTACCATTCAACCCGCAAGCGTACATGGAGGCAAGTGTCTGACAGGGGATATAATGATGCCCATAATGATGAACCAGTGCAGGGCTTGAGGGAATTCGATATAGTAAACTTAATGAACCTACCAAAGGATCGATAAACGTCTTGGACCACCTGAACTGACTTGAGGTGATTTTCAACGGGGGTGGCAAGCTAACATACATCACACGTAAACCATATGTATCAAGACCATACTCATCTTTTCCAGCGCTTAATATATCTTTCACAAGATATTTGGGAAAAGAAATTTTTCTCACGAAGGAAAGAAACCTATGAAACAAGCCATCAAAGGCACAAAACACTCTAGGGCATGGCATAACGATGTCCAACTCTTGGAGGGAAATATAAGCTGGGTATACATAGATAACCCCAGCACGGTTCTAAGGGAGAGTCGGCTCTCTGGCACATGTGCCAAAACAGCAAAAGACAAATCAAACTGCTCGCCGAAATAATCCGGCCGAACAGACATATCCGAAAACGAGAGATTGAGAAATGCTGCTTTCCAGGGAGCTCTACTACTTTTGTCTTTAATAGTGCAAAGAAACACACACTTCCCGAACAACAATCCACTGACGCCTTCACTCGTTCGACCAACTGACTTTAAAGACCACATTCGATATTCGCTCAAGCTGTGGAAAACATCTGACTGTGAGTTACCCGGTGAATGTCCCTGCCGAACTTTCCCAGGAGCGATCCAGAAGAGGTCTCCTATCATCTACTGGAGATGACTCTGCAGCTGCATCAGTGAAATATGTTGCCAGAAGTTGGAGAAGTACGATTAGGCCGATGACGGTGGTCCAGCTCGATAATAATACTGAGACATCATACCACACGAGCACAATTCTAGTTGGACTTCCGAACTTGAAGGTATAGTAACCAACAAGAAGGGTAATGTCGTGGACTACGGTGTTTAAATGTCGAATGAGTGACAGACCTCCGACGAGGAGGAGAGGGAGATAGTAGGTCTAAAGGCACCATGATAAGTGAGACCGAAAAGAACGTTCAAAAGGGGGCAAAAACATACCCAGGTCTTCATTAGAATCAGGGAGATAATGGCGGTTATGAGGAAGATCAAGCCTATTGCAAGTTGTACACCAGCTAAAGCGTTGTACAACCCATCCCCAGGCACATGTGGTTGCGACGAGAAGCTGATTTCGATCAAAATGGATTGGGCGATTGCCAATGGGATGACGAGGGCAAGAAAGCATGTCAAGAGACGGGAGCTTTTTTTAATACTACTCTCGCGTTCATAATGGCTTGTCGGGGTATCACCGAAGATGCTGACCATGCCGATTTGGAAGTTGAGATTCAAGAACATCGCAACAGCAGACACGAATGCCTGAACGCTCGTTCCATGCACGAGTAAAGAGGTGAGCACCTCATTGCTAGAGCCCGGCTCAGAGACGTAGATGGATACGATAGAAAGAAGAGACCATACGGCCACCCATCTATATCAAATTAGCTCATTCCTACAAGGCTTTGACCATCACAGGAAGCGCGAGTACTCACAGTGCAGTCACGCAGACGGTCAATCTCGGTTGGAGTCTACTGTTTTCATGGGCGCCTGCATCGGAAGGCAGCTTGAAGAATGCGAATTTCACGGCGAATATGGCACCTCCGAAAGCGGCGGCAAGGAAAATCAGTCCTACCAGCACAAAAACGCCACCAGAACCAAGCATGATCAAATGAGAGGTGAGCGTCTTTTAAGGAGGAAACGAGTGTGGTGACGATACAGGTTAAGAGGTAAGAAGTAGGTGATCGGCCCAGCGATACTGGAAATTCGGCTGCCCGTCTATGAATCGACAAGGAATGGAGGAGAGCAATAGACTTCCCAGAGATGGGACTTCACGATAGCTTCGCCTCACTGTGGTGTTGAGGGGGAGAATGGCCTGGTCATGCGATTGCTGCATGATCAACTGAAACATGCACCTTGTAATCAGCTCTCAGCCAGTCCCAGGGCGAGAAACCGCTGACAAAGCCCACGTTTATGCCAGGGTGACACTCTGATGTCCACTTAGATCACGCCTCTCCTGGCAGGGATTCGCGTCCTCCATCTCGGTTACAGCTCAGTTGTCCTACCCTAGATGTCACATCCGCCACCCAGAGATCATGAGGTGCGGCGTGGTTTACGAATCCTAAACTTGTGAAACAGTCTCTTTACTTTCAGGATGAGTCAGTGTAGTAACAGGATTTCTTACTTCTCCCTCACCCTTTAGGAAGATGAAAGATACACTGAGAATAAAGCCGCGACTCGAACAAGCAAGTGTGATCAACACCTCTTAAAATGAAAATTGTAAAACATGAAGCAGAAGATCTTCATATATTGCTTGAACAATCTATGACAAAGGAAGCGCAGTTGCTGTGCCCTTGATAGCCTCCTTTTCGCTTTCTGTGAGCTCCATCCCAAAGTATCGTTCAAGCACTCTAATTCGCTCCTCCTCGCTTGAGAGCTGCTTCTCGAACACTTTAACCCCATTCACCCGCCACTTAAAACTATCCCCAACTAAGATAAGAGTTCCATTGATTTCGCCACCGGTAGTGGCGGCGTTGCTCCAGGGGTCTTTCGACTGGGTTTCATCGGGATTTGCAAAGGTCTGTCCCTCGCTAGTAAAGCGCACGCAGAGCAGTTTTTGGACAAAGATGCTCCGGGGATCCTTTTGTGGCCAGTAGTTCATGACAGAAAAATCCTCGGGCAGAAACTCCATCTCCGTGAAGCAGTAACAGGGCACCCACTCCGAATCGTCGTTCTGGCGAAGTTCATAGATCCAAAGCTTTTGATCTCGTTTGAGGCCTCCCGGGACTGCATCAAATCTGAGGCGGACAGATGCAGGCCCGACGTGGGGTTGGATTTCCCTGTCAATAACCTTAAGGGGTTGAATGGGCTCGTTGGGGCCATATCCGACATCTACTGCATAGCGTTCCCCGTCGATAGTGACGATGTTCAGACAGTGCGCCAAACCCGCAAGCCGCCCATTTTCGAAGACTCTGCCCCCAACAAGGTACACATCGAAGCCTAGCGAGAGCAGGACAGTGTGAAAGAGAGTATTGTTTTCCATGCAGTATCCGCCACGTCCCGGCTGCCGAAGGATCTTGTCCACTAAATGCTTTGCATTTATGTTGATCACCCTGTGAGTCGAGTAGTGCAGAGTCACATTCTCAAAAGGGACACTTGTGAGCTGATGTCTGAGTAGAAGTTCGAGATGGGATTTCTGGAACGATCCGCCCTGTTTTGATACGTCATAGAGCCATTGAGAAGGTGGTAGGTTGACACGTGTGAAGTATTGATCTAGCTGGGCTTTCGTGTATGTGGTTCGGCCGCTCATTTTGAGGTATGATTGAATTCGATGCAACGGCACGAGCCTTCTAGAAACCCTTAAGAGTAATGGATGTTTAAGTCTGAACTGCCTCAAGTTGGTCGCCGTGGTTTGACAGTAACCCCGCACTGGAATAGCCGCAGAGAGCAGCTGACTGGCTGAGCGACTTCAAAAAGTGACCCCCCACAATATGCATAAGCTGCTGGTAGATCAATTTTGTGCATATTCTACTTCGATAAGTGCGTACACTAGCTTGAAAGACTCTAGCATATCTTGGCCAACCTGCAGCACAATGAGACCGCGATAACTGACATAAAGCGGATTAATGTATGATTATTAGATATAAGAGCCTAGTCCATGTGAGCAAAGCTAAGGTCACGTAATACATATTTGAAAAACGGTGTTAGCGTTGATGAGTAGAACTTAAGTATGATAAAACCACGTAGTTGGGGATCTAGGATCTCAAGAATTAGTGAATAAATACATGTTGGTTGGTAACACGTGTGCCTCAGAAGACTAAATGTTTACGGGCTTGACTAAGGATAACATCAGCAGTTTAGTATCCTTCTTTTGGCTAGCTTCTTGGACAGTTCAAACTACTCAAGAATCCGTTGGAGGACTGGCCGTTCGGGTACCCGCAAATTTCACGGGGAACATCCAGGGTTTGAGAAATGTACCGTGTCCAACTTGGCGGTGGCTCTTCGGGTATCCGAAGTTATAAAGGCGTGGGCAGAACACACCGTTGCCTCAAAAGTAAGTCGGCTCATAAAACGTGTCCAAAGCCACACACCACGATGCTACTCCAATACTAAAATTGTTTTGATGGCACAAGGTTGAGTCTTTTATGACCTACGACCAGACCACTTAAATAAGCGCGAGAGCATCCTATTTGGACGGCACAAAACATGCCTGTCACAATAAAGCCTCAGCCCGAAAAGGTCGGTAGCAACACCGATCCTATTGCGAAGTCTTCTCAAGACCTGTTCCATCAAATATCGAAATCATGGACGATCGAACTAGATGGTCACGACATCCTTGGAGAGACGATCCAGAGCAACAAGAAGATAGGCCCTGACGATCGCCCCATTGTGCATTCATCGCTTGTGGACTTAGATCAATCAAGTGGCCACGCTCTTGTCCCATATGGAAACGGCTTCGTTGAGGGCATTCTACGAGCCTTCCAGCAGGATCTACATCTGGTCCTGCGCCCAGATGATGTATGGCTTGCCATTCTTGGCCAATTTAGCCTCTTCGTGAACGGCAACTCTGAGAATTTACGAGGCGCAATCGTTCGGCACGAGGGAAAGGAAACAATAAACATTGTTGCGCCTTCTTCATCCCTCAGTGAACTCGATCTTGATTGGATTTCCGAGGAAGTTATCTCAAAAATGCAAGGATTCCTTGCCGACGAGGATATAGTCGACTGGTTACTCCCACGGTTCAGCACTTCGACAACGCAGGATAAGACAGTAGCCGCGATGACTCTTATGGCTACGATGAAGTCATATTTTGAATACAGAATTACTTTGGGTTGTGGCTTTCCATCAGTCACCTTAGAGGGCACCAAAGAGGACTGGGAAGACATCTCCGACCGGGTCCAAAAATTTGCCCAGTATGGCAAGGAAACCAGTCTTTGGTCCACATATCTTGGCAAAGTTCTTGACAAGATGATCGCAAGTTTTGATAGACCAGAAGATCCAAAGATCAAGGACTTTTGGATGCAAGCTTGTCATGCAGCTGGATACGAAGGCTCTGGAGATATCGAGACACTCTCCGGCTGGATAACTGCTTTCTGCTTTTGGGATGAGAAGGGCATGATTCAAGCATACAGCGACAGATCTCTAAGGGGGCTTCTTTCGGAAATAGACCACAAGCGGTTGATTCTCGACGACATACCGTTTCCTATTATTCGACGTTCAGACATCCCTAAATCTGTTTCCGATGTTCCTGTCGTTATCGATGATCTGGACTCTGGGCTTACTTACTATACAACTCTGATCTCTGGCTTGCTAGGGATGGAAGCAACAAAAGCGGACAATACGTTTGACTCTCGCTTCACTCAATTCCAACCTAGATCGGGGTGGTGGATGGTCATGGATAGGATGGAGCCCATGATTTCTGTCAATGCTGCGATCCCAGCTTTGTTGTTCCCAAACATTTCCCTTCCTCTGGTAAACAATATGTGTACGCTATAGTCTAGATCTTAGTCTGGCCTCGAGGGGTATATGGAGACATTATATGAGCGCCACCGTAAACTAAGTTATCATGATGTACTTGGTCTTTTCGCGGATATATGTTTGGCAGCGATATTCATAGTCCAAGCAAAACCGTCTAGCTACTTTTATCTAGTAGTATATGCAAACTTTGTTACCCTCGTAACTGTTCCATAGTCCTGGGTAGCTAACAAGAGTAGTTTTAATGAATCTAATATTGGACGTCGATAAAGTGTTTTCCACCTGGTCGTGTGTTTCAGGATTTTTTCTTTAAGCTCTTACCCCCAGCGGTTGCAGATTCTATGTATAAAACCCTTCTTAGTCCTTTTAATGACACTTTGTCCCGATTGCCTCCTCCTGTAACTGTCGTTTGGTACTAGTCGGCGTTGGCAGGGCGGGCGGGAGCCAGATGGCTGCCTGCACAGCACTTGTAGTGGGAAGGCCGACGATCCGGGGGGGCTGGTCTGCTACGAAGGCGACGATGTGTGGCGTTGTATCGTCTGGCAGGGAGCCGTCTTGGGTGTAGTAGTGGAAGATGCCCTCGGCGCTCCAGTTCGTACTGTTCTCCTCGCGACGGTGGAGCTGCCTGTAGCCGCTGCTCATGCCAGCCAGGAGGAGAATTATTCTCAAGGGGATGATATTGAAGAAAGGCGGCGCAGCGGAGGATCTAAAAAGCGGCAGTGATGTAAAATAATGATGGTGATAATAATGGGGAGAATGCCAGCCACATGGCAATGATCGAAAGCTCGATTGTGACCATTAACCTGACTTACCCTGGCTGGTTCATACAGCAATCGCCGCTATCGCAATAATGCCGAGGATGGAATTGTGCGTTTGAGTAAGACCACCGGATCCTTCAACGTCCCCAAATAGAAGAAGCAGCTTCGCCAAGTTCATTCACCGAGAACATCCAAGACCAAGCTACGAAATTCAGAAAATTTCTCCAATTTGCCAAAGTGCCTGACGAACACCGTTTCTACTGTTATTACCAACATCTCCCTGTGAACAACCTCGGTGCTTATTTTAGTGAATAGAGTGGGTAGTGTCGCAAGGAATTCAATGTAGAGTGGTACGTGACGTGAAAGAAACTTGTACCTCTTGGCGTCAGGCGTATCACTGGTTGTTGGTTGCCATGCTAAATTTGGCGGACCACGGGATGCATTGTAACGCGGCCAAAGACACTTATGCAAGTTGTGACTAAAACGGGGACCAACGAACAATCAAGCGTGAAGAAGGATCCTCTAAGTATAGCACCTCGCATGAATAATGTACCGTGAGCCTCTAGTTCTACTTAAGGCGGTAGAAGGCCTAAGTCTCGTTGAATTTCATGGTGGACCTCAATGGTTTCTCGAGGTTGGAGGCACAATAGCTCGAGTAAGCAATACAAGCCCCAACGAACCTCCAACGATCGGGTAGACCTGGTTTTGCCCCGAACATTTGGCTGCTCTGCTGTACTGGGAGTACCATCAGGCATCCAAATTAGGCCCCACTCCACGCAGTGGAGAGTAATACATCTCTGAAGGTAAGCGATGCATTGTTGGTTGCTACCCTGGTCATAAGGCGTTATGGGACGCAGTGTTGGTGTTGAAGCGCTAGGATTCCTCGCAAGTGTTGTTGGTCGTGACTGGGAATTTGAACAAGGGGGCAGGGGGGGCAAGGGGAGCAGAATAGAGGCTACATTTCAAGTATCACATGAACTGTCTTCTTGGTCCATTTATATGCAAACTTGAACTGAGATATTGCCTTCTTCTTCTTTTGAGGAAAAAGAAAAGAAATAAAGAGAAGGAAAGATTTAGGAAAAACGCAAAGAGCTGCATGCTGTAAGATAACAGCCCACATCAAGATGCCATCCTCCGCTGCGAGACGCTTTCATGTGTGTGTGTGACCGGAGGAAGTGGGCTCCCTCAGGTGACGAACAACCAACAGTGCTCCAAGCCACCAGGTACTACTACTCGACGCTTGTTGATATCAGTTGGCTGTGGGGGCCAAGTCTGTAGTGCGCTGGGTTGAGGATTCAACCTGTTCCTCCGGGATAGCCTCAAGATAAAATTAGCAGATCAGATGGCCTAGAGCTGACATGAGATCATTGTTGTGGAGATAAAATTGAGGGGAGGTGATTGCGCTCTTTGTATTTAGTATCCTGAACTACCTTACCTGGAAACTCTCATGGGGATATCTAGCCATCAATCCTTTCTTCTTATCCTCTACTCTTTTTCGCCCTAACCTGGCTTCTTTATTCATCCTCATCTGCCTATTCATCTTTATTAAACTCACATTCAATTCCTGGTTTATACATTTCATATTATCCAGAGCCGTCCGAACCACGCAACGGTTCAGTAAGCCAAAATAATGCACTTGCTAGGATGCCTCACCCTCGCTTGCTGGTTCTTTGGCTTGGTGCATTGCCTTATTGATGTGATGCCTGCTGTGGGGAAAACTGTTTTGCAGGTTGCTACTCCAGACGAGCCACAAAGGATAGTATGGCATAAAGCAATTGATGCTCCTCCCCCAATGGACCTTCGCCGTCTATACGGCGAGGCAAGCAGAGCATTCAACTGGGTCAAGACCCAACCACAACCGTTTACAGGCCCAGGCAATCTGGTAGTAGCTGCATTTTATGACCACAAACTTCATAAGATATTCTTATCCACCATTCTCCGAGGGAAATACTTGGACATGATTGATAAGGAAGGAGGTGATGCCTTAGCTCCACTTTGGGCGAAATGGCGACAGAAGATAGGGGACGGCGATGCAGAAGATGGTGCATTCTACTACAGAGAGTCATCATTTCGCCCTAACATCCGTGCTGGATTCAACTATGGAGATCCTGTAACAGGTAAACCAGCGGGCAGCATGATTGTGGCTTGGGGCGCGAGTGGTTTGAAACTCGATAATGTGCGTAAGGCCGGGGGGAAACCATGGAAACTGTGTGAGGATTGCGCCGCCGTCTCATACGCGTTGGGTGTTAACTTTGACGAGGCCGATCCAGCCAAGTTTGGCAAGAATTCTCCCCGGCCTGATCCCAACGGACGACGGCCCCCGAGCGCCCGTCCTGCAAGCCCGCCCAATCGACCAAATAGTCCTCCGCCCAGTCGACCATATAGTGCCCCGCCCCATCGACCAAATAGTCCCCCGCCTAAGAGTCCCCCGATCAGCCGTATCCCTAGGCCCGTGAAAACGCCACCCGGCAGCTCCCCTGGCAGCTCCTATGGCAGTTCTGTCTGGGACGGCGTGAGCGGAAGTCAGTTAGACGGCGCCTCTGGAGCCAAGAGACCTGCCAACTCACCTCCAGGGTCCGGACAGCGCAAACCGAAGGGGCCGACCACTACTCCGCCTTCCAAGATTCCCCTTCCGCACAGACCGTCGCCCAACAGTGGATCGCCTTCGAAGAAAACCAAGCGTACTCTACGCCGGTCTCTTCGCCGACGAAGGCTCAGTGCGAGAGTATAAGCGCAGATTACTTTGGGACTAAGGTCTCTACTGATATAGGCAAATGCTCGAGTAAGCGGTGTGTCGAAGTGTGAGAGAGTCGGAGCGGTGGGTTAGGCTTTTATATACAATATCTAAGCACATAGTAGAGAGAGAAATGTAGATGAGATGTATTCAAATTTCGTAATCCTCTTGTAGAGTTATCTGTGAAGATGTTATATTCTCATTTCTTATTCCACCTACCGATTACAGAATATCTTATATACATTTGACAATATTCCATTATATTTGATCTCAGAGTTGATAAATGCCATTCTGTGGTATATCACGCTTATACTCCTTACATATATCCTTGATCAGTCTGTTAGCGGCGCCTGGCTAGCAATATAGTAGATACACGAGACTAGATAATCCAGACCCCATATACAAGTTATTGTAATTGATTCAGTCTCTGCGAGGAGGCCCTCTAGTGTACAAAGGTTTGTGTACCCAATGGATATGGACTAATATTGTTGTTTGGGAAGACGAAGCCACCAGCCCGCTGAGGGTGATTATATCAATACGTTGGGGTTCAGAAGTTATATGAACTTAGGATGTTGCTTTGATCTTATTGGATCCAATGAATTAGCTCATGTGATTTATTAGCTTAACTTTGCAGTCATCTAGGCTCCAAACCACGAAAAGTGACACTTCTAACCAGGTATAAGATCTGGTTACGTACTTCATATAGGCCTTTTCTAGGATATCAAGTGAATATCGACTCAAAATAACGCTCGATTGGTCGCTATTGCAGTTCAAGGTGCCATAATCTGGTTGTCCACTCTCACCGGTTTATCCAACGCGTGAGAAGAAACTTCTAGCAGCCTTAATTACAAGCCACGTTGCATCGTCCAAACCTATCAAAACATAGGTACTCGATAAACCCATTCCGGCTCTCGCATGGGGTTTTCTTGAAGTCAAAGGACCAATCAGGCATCTCGGTTTGAAACAAGATCGGTTCGTCCTCAGTACCAGGGATATATCTTTGAATTCGGACCCGTTCGAGATACTGCAGACGCGTACTGGATAGGAGCTTCTCTATTTCTGCAGATATTGCATTTTTTGGTGGTGACAGTAAAGTGTCATGTTCCATGTAATTGATGTTAAGTGTTGCGATTGATGATGGCAAAACACTATCCAACGGCGGCAAAGTATCTCCCTCTTGTTCCTCGCCTAGTTCTTGAGCGAGGATTAAGTCGTTCCTATGACATTGTATATGGCGGAGTTTCGGCATGCTGCGCAGAGGCCCAATTCGACCAGAGATGGGACGTGCTAACTTAAAATTTGAGAAATCAAGATGTAGATCGGTCAAACTTTTCCCAAAATCTCGAAGGGCTTGCCCAACATGTTCAAGGTTAATAGTCCAAAAGATGTGAGAATCAGGTTGCCCAGCCATCTGCTCAACCCAATCTGGCTTGGCCACATGAACACTGAGGACTCTAAGCCTGGGACAACTCCTCAGAATGTTTTCCAGACTTTGTGACTCCATATAGCAGTCACTAAGTTTTAACTCATATACACTGGATAATGAGTCTTCAAGAGGCTGAGGGACAAAGAGCTTCGTAAGTGATCGTGCATGATTTAGATGAAATATAGAGAGACCTGGCTTCTTTAAGAAGTCTAATAAGTTGATAGGCCAATTTTCGTCCTTTTCTTGATCCACATAGAGCTCTTTCAGGCAGGGAAGACCATAATTGGCAAACGGACCTAACTCGAGGGTCAGATCCGAGCCAAGGTCGATTCCAAGGTCATGAGGTTGACCCTGTGGTTGCCATGATGTCACGATCCACCTGACTTCAATACCCTCCGGATCGCTAGGGAAGAGAAAGATCTTCTCCACCATGGTAGCGTACAGAAGCAAGGCGGTAGTTGGCAAATTAGAGCCATTGTATGCTATGACCGGCTCCAACGCGCATTGGATACAGCGCGGAACATCCCAAGGGAAGTCCTCCGATGACGGTCCAGGGAGAAATACCATATCTGGCGTATTAGGAAGATATAGCTTATCTTGCATGGCCAAGATACGAATATACTTTGCCAGGTGTGGATCTTTCACTATCGTTCTGAGGAGAAATCCTGGCCACGTGAGGCGTTTCCGGCCCTTTTCGGAGCGTGTTAAAGTGGTACTATAGGTAATATCGATAGTATGGTATAATAGAGGTTGGGCGATATGGCGAAACCTTCGGCTTACTAGGCAAAGGGAAGCCAAGTCGATCGGTCGCAGCGAGAGGTCATATCGCCATGAACGGGGTTTTGAAGGCAGCACAGGGACGAGATAAGACATGATGTGATTCAAGATCTCATCGGGAATATGAAACGGCATGATGAATGATGATACCGTCGCTAATAAGCGCTTAATCAAATAGTTGAACAAGATGGTTGTGTTGGTGCAGGTACTAAGTTAGGAGGCGGGGGTAAAAGAAACTTGACACCTGGCCATCTTTATAAATGTACCCACTTTTAGAGCAATGCGAAGACCACTCATCTTCTTTCCCCCCTCCCCCCCTCCCGGTAGAAAGTAAAACACATATCTCAGTTAATAATAGTAGAAGGCTAGATTAAGTTTAGAGTAGTATTATCTTCGTAAGAGATAACTAGGCTAACTTCTTATGAGAAATCATTATAATAAACAACTTCAATTCAAGCTTAGTTATAAAAAGAATAATATAACCATAAGTACCTATATTAATTCGATCTATATTCTTTTTATGATCAGCTCTTTTCTTTACTATTTTATTATTCATTAATACTTTCCAAAAGAATTAATAAATTTTCTTTGAAGATAAGTCTTTGAGCTATATAATAGAAATTTCCGGTGAGACAAATCAAGCGATAAAGATATGGAAATTAAAGGCTTTCTATGGATAATGAATCGCTCCATTTCTTCAGTTCTCCCTCGGTCCAACTCCAAAGCATCGCAGCAAGCTTGTCATTCAAGCGAAAGGAGGAATAGGCCGTCATTGGTACACCCACCGGCTCATAAATTTCACCGGCCGCAACAGTGTCTTTGGGTGCTCCGACAGCCCAAACTTGATTCCAGGGACCCTGCTCAACCGACAAGAACTGTTCCAGGCTAAATGGAAGATCTTTGAGGTATGTACCAAGGTAAATGACATACCTACTGATGCCTGATAAGTTTAGAACTAATGAAGTCTTGACCTCGCCCGGATGGATCACAATCGTGGTAACCTTGGGGTAGCGACGGGCTAGCTCTCGTCCATAGAGCATGTTCGCAAGCTTGCTTTGACCATATCGCTGTAAAGGGCCGAGAAACATATAGTCCTGTTCTTTTTTTAGGTCTCCAAAAACAATGCCTTGGGAAAATGGAGCGAGAACGAATCCAAGGCTTGACAACATGATTACCCGTGCGTCCCCATGGACATTAGCAGTTTCTTCTAGTACAGGAAATAGCTTCTGTATCAAGAGAGCGTGGGCTAAATGGTTAACTCCAAAATGCATCTCGTATCCATCTTTTGTCAGCCCAGGAGGAGCGGCCATAATACCCGCATTTGCCATCAGCACGTCGAGACGCGATTCTTTGGCTAGAAAGGCGTCAGCAGCCTGCTGAACTGACTCAAGGCTGGTTTGATCGCACGAGAGGAAAGTAATCTCTGACTGTGAGCCATATTCCTGAGCTTGGTTGATAACTCTCTGCGCGGCTGCCTCGTCCCGGCCGGTGATATAGATCTTGGCGGGGTTGCGCTTAGCAAGAAGTGATACCGCCCCAGCACCCAGACCCTTTGTCCCTATTTTTCGATAGAATTAATCTTTAAGAACAGGTCAAGTGAGACACTTCCAGTTTTACCTCCAATGACAAGCAGCACTTTACCAGTCAGTTCTGGGACATCTCGCTCCAGTTGAAAATTGATCTTGGAGAGCATAGCTACTTGCTTTATTGTAGACGTCGATATGCTACCGCAGCACAATACCGATTGTAATCTGTGGCTTTCGTATTCGTAAAGGAATCAGGAGAGGAAACTAGGTAGGTTAATATGTTAGCAGCTCGAACAATCCATTGCTATCTGTTAGTCATGACTGCTACAGGGTACAGTAGCCTGGGCACCACATCTGACATCCTCAGCACATACAGATAAAGCAAGCTCTAAGATGGAATGATTATCTTAGAAGTTACAACTAACAGGGAGGACAATAGCACATTCACAAGCTTCACCGCCGTGCTTAGAAGAGAGAAAGGAATTGAACTCAATAAAAGGGGCCTCGATACTCATTTTATCTCGGCTAGTTTCTTCAAAGGTGACCCTGGTGCATTGCATTAAGCCCTGGCCAGAGTAAAAGCACCGATTCATCAGCGTCTCATCTTCGAACTGTTGTGGCTACGAGGATCCTATCTGATGTTTGCACTTTATTGAGGTGGGGGACGCGACCAGCTCAGCGCTACCCCCGCAAAAGACACTTCAAGAGAGGTTCGATATCAGGAGCTAATGGGATAGACAACGCATGAAATCCACCTTCCAGCTGCAACCCCGGATTTTAAGGAAAGAAGGTGCGAGCTCTTACTGTCCCTCAACAGTTGCAGAAGGATAATGCGAATTACCCTCGTCAGCCAGCCAACTGCGCCAGGCGTCTTTCGAGGCAGATCTTGTGACTCCCACTTACGATTTCGTTATCATTCTAGATTGCTCTACATGCAAGTGATGTTCAGCCACGAGTAAACTCGACGTGCAAGCTAGTACACTCTTGTAAATGCAACGATATCGCTAGCTTCGTGTTGGTCTTTGTAGTGTAGACATCTCGGTCACGCGCACGTGAAAACGAAAAACCGGTAATTACGTGATCTGATGATAAGTGGTCGTTCACGGCCGAAGCCAAACCACTGGGAATTGGGACCAGTCGGGGCGAAACATTCCACAGTCCCTGGCTCAAAATATCAAAATACGCATTTTGGGAGTTTCCCTAGCCTTTCAAAAAGTCTATTGAAAATCTTAATATTTTTTGTTATATCAAGCAGGGGCTGTAATATGAGGTGCGCAGAAAAGATATTGAGGCGTAGTGTAGCGCGACGAGGGACTCAATACTACCATCACGTGTTGGAATCTTGCTATGTAATGATGCATGGGCAGGATGCTTGTCTGGGATATACGGCCCTCCTCCATTTCTAACTGTCTGATCTCCAGACCGTGTCTTGGTCAAGTATCTGAGGTGCTGTGACAAGCCTGTGCTCCAAGACTGTATACCGCCTTTTGGAGGTGGACACAGCATCAGTCCCTGCATCAATTAAACCCTCGCTTACGCAAAGAGCGGGATATGTTTTAGCCTTGTCCTAGGTGTCCGTAATTTTGCTCGAGGGGGCTGCAGAGGAAACAGACATCCGAGACAAGTCTATCTTGGCAAATCCCTTTTGTTCAAGGGGCAGTAAGTTTACATTTTCGGTTCATTCTTTCTACTTTCATGTTTCATAATTTGAATCTCCCCCCAAATCTCCCCCTCGTCAGGGCGGCGCAGATTAGTATTCGCGACAACGTCGCGTAAAATTCGCGTCACTCAATACAGAGCATGAATACGTTTGTAAAGATGCTAGTATGAGTCAAAATTCTCTCGCTTTGTGACATTAACAATCTTGTAGGGTCTTCTATATGCATTGAATCTTTAGTTTCTAGTGTTGTATAACCCGAGATACCATCTCATTCGATCGTAGACAAAAAAGCTTGTTGCCATCATAGGTGCAACTTTAAGATAGCCAATGGGTAACCCGAAAAAGAACCCGCCTAATCCTCGCTCTCTGAATATCGTTATGGCAGTTTCGGCAATCGCTACTCGGCGGTTGGTGCCAAGAGGATTGCAAACCTGCATCCGGCGCCGAATCGTCTCGAGAGGATACGATATTGTTTGCGCCACCAATCCAGCCATGGCTCCGGAAAATAGCTGGGCAGTTATTGTTAGGCGTATTGAACTGTGTGACCCTGAAACGCGCGTAGTATCGTTTTCTCTGGTTCTCGTGCTTGCAATGGTGGTGTATGGGGCGAGCATCGGTGATCGAAGCCAGTCGCCGATTTGATCGTGAGCCAGAAACGAGAATCCAGAGTATGGGAGAATGCCCAATAATGTGGGTGCGAGACCCTGGTAGAAACCAGCAATACCAGACTGGCCAGCAGTGCCACGGTACATGGTTCGACAAACCCTTGACCAAGAAGATGACGACCCAGAGTTTTTCATCTCGCAAGCCATCCGTACCCGGATTAACTCCAGGGGATATGTAAGAAAAGTAGAGACTGCCCCAGCTAGACTTCCTGCAACAAATCTGCGATATGGAGTCTCGGACGATCCAGACGAGATCAATGCCGATCGGAACTGCTCATAGGCGAGAAAGTTGGTCCCTGAGAAGGGGAATACGCGCAGTAATGTAGCAGAATGGCCCTGGAAAAGAGCTCGGATTCCCTGAAGCTGACGGATATCTTGTGCTGCGCCGAGGAGACCACGCCAGCTTGTAGCGTGGTGTATAAATTGAGAGTGTGATGTCTGAAATAGAATTTTGATGCGATCCAAGGGCGCCACAACCGTTTTAGCCTGTAATGAAGTCGAGGCTCGAAGTCAGTAGATGGCCAAGAGGGTCGGACAAATGGGATAGAGCCTCACAGCACACCCTGCTACACCTCCAGCGAATCCCTTTCGCATGGCAGCATCCCACGATCGTCTATCTTCCATCCTGCGACGTTCTATGCTGGCGAGGACTTGCCGCGAAGGCTCGGCAACTGATGCATTGAGTGTTGCCATGTTCAGATGCTCTTTTTACCGCCAATGGCATCTTATTTGATAAAACTATGAAGCTATGAGGTTTGTTTACAAGGACGAGAGACGGATAGTTTTACATGGAAGCATCAATCTACGGTCAGAACACCCGGTGACTTCCAGGACAGGGGAGCGAGTGGTGAAAGGCGAGATCAACGATAATTAGTCGGACAATGCAAGGGTCATCGGAAAGGGGTGGGACCACCTCGAACATCGCCAGGAAGTGAGTGTTGCATCCGAATAGCTCCCAGCCAGTGAGACCTGCAGATCTGCAGCTGTTTCCCCACTCATCATTCCAGACCTGTGCATCGTTTCTAAACTCAGGACTGGCTGCCTGATGTCTGTGGAAAATGATCTGACGACTTGGTGGTGCCACAATGCCGGAAGAAACACACGAAAGAAACCTAAAGCATGAGCTTTCGACCATTTCGGCTCAAAACCTCCGATCATATGATCTACGCAAGGGACCTTGTGACCTTAATGTAAATTTGCCGGTCCATGGTAGACCGTAGCCGTCTCATTTTGGAAGCAACCAGTTTTCTCTTTGAGATATCATTGGAGACGGGTTGGACAGCGTTGAGAACCTAAATTTCTATTAATGCAAGTCTAATCTAGATTTGCATAACTTTTGCTTTCGGGTTCAAGCTAACCTAAGATAACCAGTTGGAGATGAAGTTGCATCATCCCTTCCCCTGGCGGAATTCCTTGTTATTAATCATGACTGCCTTCAACAATCATGTTGTAACTTTTGGAGTTACTGGATCAAGAAGTATCTCACACAAAAGATATTGAGCCGACCTTATCTCGCTGACAAAGATTAACTTGAACCGTTTGCGCCGCCACTGTTCAAATTCGGTCTTAATGGAAGATTAATACAAACATAGATGATGTCTGAGATAGCCTCAAGCACCTTAGCAAGATAGGAATAAGTTTTAACGTTACATTGTCAATTCAATGTCTTGAAATACAAACGCATGCATTGTCATCATAAATCTAGGAGGCCTACTCTACTACAACGATCCGCCCCTAATCCCAACTGAATTCTAAACGCGGGCAGTTTGCCCAGCCAACTCCTCGTGGGTGGCCTCGGCTCCCGTCTTCTCGTTTCGGTGAATCTCCTCCTGCTCGCGGTCGTACTCCTCGGCGAACTTCTTTCCGTGCAGTCCAATCTTGTACCAGGGAAGGTCGAACAGCTGATCGATGCTCTCGAGGCTGCGGCCGGCAGCTTCGGGGACGCAGAGCCACACCCAGAAACCGCCCACCAAACAGAAGATTCCGAAGAAGTAGAATGTGCCCTGAGGACCAAGGCCAGTTCCCTCCAGGAGCATGTTGGGCAGCGCACGGTTGACACCATACTGGCAGATGAAATGCATGGCCATGGTGATTGAGGAGCAGACGGCACGGATGCGGAGGGGGAACAGCTCAGAAGACAAAAGGTACTGTCCGCTGTTCCATCCGAGGGCCCAGCCTGCGCCAGAAATGTAGATCATGGCAATGGCAGCCTCAGAAGCGATACTCTGGGACTTGGTAGCCTTGAAGCTTGGGTTGTTGGCGATCGGGACGACGTTGAGGAAAATACCGATGAACAACAGAGAAATGGTCTGAAGTACGATTCCAGAAACGAGCGAACGCTTTCGTCCTGCCATATCAACAAGGAAGAGCGCGCAGATGATGGAGGCGACAAACTTGACAACTCCGAAGATGACGGTTGAGAAGAGAGACTGCTGCTGACCGGTGATGCCGACAAGCTTGAACAGGTCAGGTGCATAGACGGTGATGGCAGATCCTCCGGACCAGCAGGCCATGATCTGTGCCAGGTTGGTGAGGAACAAACGATAGGCGTTGCGCTTGACGGTGAAGATCTCCTTGACAACGCCCATCCATCCCATGCCGAGTGTGGCCTCCTTCTCTTCTTGGTAGGAGTAATCGATGGCAGTGATTTCATCAATGACATATGGGTGGTCAACAGGAAGTCCTCGGAACTTGGAGAGAACCTTCAAGGCCTCTTCGCGCTTGCCAACGCGGATGAGGTGACGAGGAGATTCCATGGTGAAGAAGGTGAGGATCAAGGTGATACCGGCAAACATGAGGTGGATAGAAGTAGGAATGGCCTATGACATAGATATCAGTAAATGGGTTTGAAAGTGTATTATCATGCATCATATACTCACCCATCGATTATATCCATCGTTCATGTTCATCTCAGTTCCCCAATTGGCGAAATAAGCAACCAAAATACCAAGATATACGGCTCCTATAACAGAGGTCAGTAACTAGGTTGGAAAGCTGTGATGCTGTACCGTAAGACTCACCAGTGAATGCACAAGTGCAGAGACCACGAATTGGTGCGGGGGCAATTTCGGACAGATATACGGGGCCGACGACAACAGTCTCTCCGATACCAACACCGGCGATGAAGCGACCAGCATAGACAGCAGCCATGCTTCCTTGGTTGGCCATGAAGATGGCAATACCCACAAGCCAGAGAACACAGAGTTGCCTCGTGGCCCAGACACGACCGAAGCGATCACAGATGATGAAGGCACTATGCAGATAGATGTCAGTACTTTGCTCTCAGATTCTGATGAGACATGGTGGAAGATCATACAAGAGAGCACCGGGCATGCTGCCAAGCTGAACCATGGATGAGACATTGCCCTTGACACTGGCAAGATCTGTCTTGTTCAGGCCGTCGAGCCCAAGCTGTTTCTTGAAGGAAGGCGAGTTGAAGACACCGGTGATGAGACCTTCATCAACACCACGGGCGGCGCCGAGAATGCCGAAAGCAAACACGGCAAACCATAGCCTCCAGTTCAGGGTCTCTTTGGGAAGACCCGTGTTTTTTAAGTTAAAGATATTGATGGCAGCACCTCCCGCCATGTTGAAGGTTGGCTTGACTACCTGGCTCAAATATTGTATGATATGAGAGCAAGTATGGTCGGAAAGAGAGACAAAGCACCGGAGAAGATAGGTAAACAGGAATATAGACCTGTGGACTGATTGCTTCTGTCTCCAGATGATGATCCTTAGGTTCAAGGTTTCTGGGGTATCTGGGGACCTTAAATACTCAGAGTTTCTTCGCTGGGGAATCCCCCACTCGGCGCTTACTCCTCATTCACAAACCCCCCTTTCCTCTCCTCTCCCAACCAACATCGGTCAAACATTCCGGATTCATTTCGTGCGGGGAATGGCTTATGGCGCAGGATATCGGGCGCTAGGCATATTGTGTCATCTTCCGGCAAAGGACTAACCGCAGTACACGAGTTCGAGAAGTGAGTCTAGGGGATGGGGTAGGATTTCCGGCAGGCAAAACGATTAGGCAAAAATTTTAGGCTTGATCCTTCCAGATCCAGTTTTGACTCGAGTGGAGAAACTTCCCCGCGGAGATATGAGGAGAAAAGGGCGCGAGACGTGGAGGAGCGAATCACCCACCCGAGCTTCGACGTCCACATCAAGAGAAGCGAGCAATTATTTACGATAGCTCGGGGGGTAGAGCGCTCTGGGGGCAAATTCACAAGTGGGCCGGTGACAGTCTCACCGCTGCATCACACGAGAATGGATGACACTCCAGCTGAGACCACGAATCGCTTACGGGGCATCGTCATGGAGCATTGCCCCCGCGATATTGTCTTTCGGGTTTCAGCGAGTGCCGGATCCTGCCTGTCAATTCGGTCCGCCGTCAGAAAGCAGTTAGATTGGATGCCTCTCCCTGCTTAGAACGCCATTAGACTTAAGCCACAAGCTTACACGGGTGACGGACGGCAGAAAATTGCCGATGGAGGTGTGATCCAAGAGATTTAGCTTGTTCTTAGCCCGGCTCTAGAAGCCATGGAGCCCCAGAACGGACTTTGGAAGCCTTCTAGCTCGGTCACATTCCGACGTCGAATGACTAGGTTTCGTTCGTTGGGGTAATGATAGTCGCGGGTCTTTTCCTGGTGCGGAGTAATCACTGGGGAAATGATTGGCCCTCGGTGTTGGGGGTTCTGAGATGGCCTCAATGTGCCCGCACCAACGAATAGCCTGGTTTGGCTTGCTGGGAGACTGACTAGAGAGGCTCTAGAGGCGTTTATGGAGCTGCTGGAGAGGGGAGGGGAGGGGTTTTCCAGATGAATTGGCAGTTGGGGCCATCTAGACCCGACAACGCGGAGTAAGGCAAAGCATGGACATTGTTCGTCTTCCAACGTTTAGCAGGGGCTTTTCACGAGCCCCATTGCGAATTTGGAATATCTCGGAAGAGGCATTTATCAATAGCAAGGTATAGTGTACTCTTTCAGCTTCTGGCAGTCTGTTCAAGGTTGTTGGGGATCCTGGATCTGCAGGAGGGCCACCTCCAGAGCAACTTCTAAAAGTAAATAACCCATGACGAAATGGGGATTTACATCGCTAGGCCCGGCGACCTTCCGTTTTCGGAGTTCGTGAAATCCCGTTCACGCTATTAGATGTCCCGGTTCTTTCCTACAACATCTTCCTACCACATCTTCTCATGTTGGACATTGAGAAACGCAGATGACAGTCACTAATGCGTAAGTGAAGAACGTTATCTCTTGTGGAGTTCAATATGATGGGCTAGACCGAGTGCCATCGATACGTTCCCCATTAACGAAGAGGGGCCTCCGTAGCCAAATCGAGTGACATGCCATCTAGACCCAGACGTTTTTAAGTCAGCCCTCTCCATAAGAATTGGCTAGAGGGGTCATTGAACTCGGATCCGACATATCACTAATGACTAGAGCTTGCTAGTCATTAGAGAGCATGCTTACGAGAAGTGTTCGTATAGAGTCGAGTCAGATTTTAGAAGAACTGATCCCAATTCTTGGGCGATGATATCTCGTCAGCATGAATATGCAGATGTTTCAAAAATAATGATGACTTTATTCTCTTTCACACACGAGATATGCAATTAGTTGTAATACTATTTGATACAGGGAGATGGTTAGCCTCTTCATCAATTGTAAGGAAGGGAAAGGCTCCCGCGTTGAGACCGGTCGGAGGAATTTGCCAGTAGTTGCTATACATTTGGGTTTTTTTTATACTCTTATTTAATCAAATTATTCATGGCACGACTGCAACCAGTCCCGTGATTCGCTTTCGCTTTCATTCCGTGGGGGGGCTGGGAAATCAGGAAGGGTCCAGCCTGGGGCCCTCCTGGATTTATGCCTGCCCCTGTCCATGCTCCATGAACGGAGATGGCTGAGAGATTTTCACCATCCAGCCTAGTACAGTTTGATTACCAGTGCGTGCACCGAGATCATGATCTCTAAGTAAGCATATTGTCTAGGCACGCACGTGGGTTGGCTGCGTCCAGAATGGGGGAGCCCAATATGCATGAAAGCACGACATCGCCACTCAGATCGTTTTGGAAATGTTGGCAAGCGTAGTATGATTTCCTACGGAAGCTAGATAACCAGCTAGAGAATTATCCGGAGACCTTTCTCTTCATTGCCCGATGCCATGCGTAGGTGAGACTTCGTTTCCGAGCATCAAAGAAGATTCGTCCTCTCACTACAAGATACGCTGAGCATAAATTCAATCATCAAGGCCCTCAAGTAATCCAAGCTTGAACATGGTCCCACCCCCTCTCCATCCCACGAGTTGTCTTGCTACCCTCGACAGTCCATGTTTCGAACTGGGGTCCCTCCGCCTCAATGATATGGTCCTGCTGGCACGATGAAAATGAAACCTTTGGAACTGTCTCGAAGAACTCGTCATATTTAGGATTCATGGCATCAGACAGGTTAGTAACCGTCTCAAGTGGCATCAGTGATTCCCACGGGTAGCGGCATGAGTCTCCGCGGCAGCTCTTGAGGACATATAGGAGTGCATCAAGACGGTGAGCAAGTCTAACAATGTCAGCACTCTCATAACTTCCTCCAAAACCGCCTTCGAATAGATTATTCATCTGCTGCGAATCACTTTGCAGGTGAAGCTGTCAGTCCTTACTCACGAAGATACTTAGGATGAGTGAGCTGAGCCAACACTTGCCTTCATATCATAGAGCTCGTGCTCATTCGTGCACCAAACAGAGTAGTACAGATTGTGGTCTCCGCTGATGAGTCGAACCGGCTTGTAAGTTTTTTGCGTCGCTTCCTCCATCATTTCAATCTTTCCAGTCCGGAAGAAGCTCTGGTTGTTGCTTCTCCACATCTCGATGCTGGTGTGCTCAGTCTTTGGCTTCGTCAGAGCCTTGAGTGCATCCTCATTTAGAGGAATGGGGCTGCCATCGAACGTGTCACGCTGGGAAATGCCGGTCATCTCCAGAATGGTTGGCGCAATATCGATATGGCCAGAGACGACATCCATGGTGTGTCCCTTGGCGATTCCAGGACCACGGACAATAAAAGGCACGTTGATGTCTTCCTCGTAACCGCATGTCTTTCCGGGAGAGAGACGGTGCTGGCCAATATGGAAGCCATTGTCGCTCGTGAAAATGACATAGGTATTATCTAATTTACCACTCTCCTCGAGCTTGGCAAATAACGAGTCCACCATCTCGTCAACAGCCAGAAGAGATTCAAGCCGAGCTTGGTACCACTCGTCACCCTGCTGGACCTCAGTGCTGTTCAGCTGATCCAGAGTCTTGATCCAACTAGCACCTGATGGCTTGTCCGGGTTAAAATTATCGGTCCGCGGCACCTGAGCACCTGCATGCTTCCCAATGTGCCGCGTAGCCGGCTTGGGCGCAGAAAAGGTCGCGGTAAGACTAGTAGTATTCACCAGTACCTCGCTGTGTGGAGCGATGGGTGCAACCCCTAAGAAGAAGGGCTTGTCATCGGCAAGGGCATCTTCCAAGAAGCCCATTGACTTGAGGGAGACCAAATCCGTTGTGTAGTTGTTCATGTACCGCTGCCAAGGGTCCTTGTTCCTAGCAAAGGCAGGAGACCAGAAGTCGTAGGCAAAGGGATCGAGCAGCACCTCAATGCGGTCCCACCCGTTCAAGCAAGGATCGTTGTAATTTTGGGTGCTGATGTCGTTAAGGAGCTTGCCTACATAGTATGTGCCGTACCCAGCTTCCTGAAGCCAAACTGGAAGATAATCTTCATTGAAATTTTGCTCGTAAACCTTTTGGTATCCACCTACGAGAGTGTATGTCAGTAATGCTTCTTCAATCATGGGGGCTCAGCTGGACTTACCACTGGGGTAGTGAACATCGGTCACATTATGGTTGTGTGCAGTTTGGTCAGTCAGGATGGATGCGCGGGCAGGACAGCAGAGAGATACTTGGCAATAGTGGTTGGGAAATGTTGTTCCCTGATCAATAATGTGCTTTTTGACGGATGGCATCACACCGCTCAAGTCGGTCATGTGGTAATCAAGATCGTCTAGAATAACGAACAGGATATTCGGCTTTTCTTTGGGATGTAGAGGTTCGGATGCCTCTGAAAACCCGAGAAGGGCAATGGCAGGGAGAAGCTGGTAGAAACGCATGATGTTAGGAGTGGCCGTCGCGCTTTGTCTAGTTCTATGCTTGACGGCTTATTGGAAACATGATGCTTTTATGGCTGCTCTATCTGTGCAGCCGCTGATCGGTTACTGAAACTCCGGCTGCGCTGCTACCGATGGTGATGCTAATTTCCAATCATGCAACTCTGTAAGCCAGTATGGCTTTGCTGATGACTACCAAGCCATCCGCCGACGCAGTCAGAGTAGATCATTTCCCGCAGACTGTTGTTTCAAGCATGCTGGAACTGGAAACTGACGTTCAAGAGTCTTACTTCGCCTCCCTCCATTTTGGGGGCATCGGGGATCGGGTACTACTGATACCGAGCAGCTCCGAGTCGGGCATGACGGCGATCAAGCACCGGTCAAGCTCTCTAATAGAAAACCCATACATGTCAGCGTAGAGTAGTTTATACTTGCGCAAAGAAAGATTTCATGAGAAATTGAGGTTCGGAAGTGGTTGGATGGAAGCCGCGGTGTTTCAGAGCACAGCCTATTGAAGCTATGACGCCATGAAACCACTGTCATGTCAGCAAACGAAAACCTGCGCCAGTATGAAAAGCAGGACCGGAATTTCTCTTTATCGACGAATCATGGAAGTCCGAGCAAAGCTTGGTGTATCTCTGTCACTGTCATCGCTGGAGTTGCTGCTGTAAAACAGCTTGTTCACGCAGGTTCATCGTCTATGATATGTGCATATCGGGCAGAGCGATGGCCTAACTAACGAATTCCGCGCATTTAACGCGGTAAAGTCGCGTCTTGCCACTTCACCATCGCTTCATATCCACGATGAATGTTCAGCACTGCAGACCGCCAGAATTAGTAGCCCGTGTCCAGGCAATCAATCTCCAGCTGTATTGGTACTGCAATACATCACTGGAGGGAGCGCTATAGCGTTCATGGCGCGTTTTCATCATTGCTCCTGAGACAATCATCAGTGTTCACGCACTCCATTTGTTAGTCTACCCTAGACCAACGACAATTGCCATCAAAGATAACATGTTGTCCCTTGAAGACGGTCATTGTAGCAATGAGGATTGGCGAGAGTTTAGCTAGGTAAGTTACTGCCAATAGCGCTAATTAAAAACACACTGTGAGTGGCTGCACACAGCTTTGGTATGTTGCCAAACTTTGTTTACCCGTGCGCGTTATCGCACGTGAGTTCTGTCACGATGTCAACAGTGCTATTCCTAATGGGCAAATGCGACACGTATTTCTAGACCAGAGTGGTTCAGCAAGGTTCCACGTGTCAGTGAGGGGCCTATCTGAATTTTCCCCCAAGTTCGAGTCTCCCCCTGCCACAGTCAAAAGCAGTCTCAGTCTGTGAAGTCTGCTCCCAGCCCTAACAAGGTTCAAACGACGAGACTTGTGAGAAGCAGCATCTTCTCACTGGGCAGGGTTGGGCTCTCGCTGGTGACACGAGCCTGCTTAGCTGCATAACAGAGCAGCAAACCACGTCATCGCATACAGGGAAGCCATTTCTCTAGCGAGTCAGAGCAGTGACTCACGGGACGAGAAGCGGGGCGCTCTGAAACGATTTTGCATCCCTGCACTTTTGGCACCAACCTGCAATCAAACAGCCACAGCAGTTGAATCCATCACCAACCCAGCCATCAACCGTCCATCAATCAATCAATCAGTCACATGCCACGCGCACCATCTCGGCCGCCTCCCCTCAAGGATGGGAAACACGCCAGGACCAGACTCCAGCCCAGACGATGAGGCCGGTCTGGCCCGCAAGCGACCGCGCAGTCCCGATCCCGAGAATGGGACTGAGCCTGGCCACGTGCCCAAGAAGCAGCGCCACACCTCGTCCATCTCCTCCAAGGCCGCCAAACCTGCCCGCTCGTCAAAGAAGCGCGCCCACAGCCCGGAGTGCGACGATTCCTTGGGGGCAGGGGGCGATGGGGGCGACATCGCCAGGAAGCGGCGTCGTCCTAAGCAGGAGGCAGAGCAGACATCGTCACAGTCTCGGAGATCTGCTGCTCAATTCCTGCCGACACCGCCACCACCGCCACCTGCAGCATTGCTAGACCAGGAGCATGCCCGGAGTGTAGCCCACATCCAGAGAATCCGCTCCGGCCTCCAGGACATCGAGAGGAGGCTTGCGCGCTTGGCGCAGCTGTGTGAGGCTGATAGAGAGAGTCCCTGACCCCGGCTGGCAACCTCGAAATGGCGGTGGAACTGTTGGGATGCATCTCGATTGAGATCGATCAGCCCTTTCTACAGCCGACGTCTACTCCTTGCATGATCGGAGCACAAGCAGGCTGGAGCTCCGGAACATGAAGAATAGAAGGAACGCGATACCCCCAGTCTTGGATTACCCCGGGCACAACTCTTTTTTGGATACATTCTACTCCGGTTTCACAACTCACGGCCATCCACGGCCTCGCCTTCCAGCAGTCGCTGGCAACCCTACACTTGGATACACTGTTTTTGGATGCATCTTTATTACTAGCGGGCACGGATTTAATCGTTACGGATCGGATACTACCCATTATGGACATGATTATGACTTTATGATAGAGCAGCTACGACACCCAGTACCAATACACTTAATTAGTCATTACTACACCGCTTCCAGTGGACCATGGAGACTTCATACAACGAGAGCCCTCATATATCACTGCATTCATGCTAAAATCCGGGTGGCTCTCATCGTGCAGCTATCGGACCCGGTTGTCGATACCCTCCCTTCAAAAGTGTACGCCGACCTCTCACACGGAGATTGGAATTGGGGATCTCGATCCTCCAGATTCCTGTGCATGAAAAGCGGAGGAAGGGAAACCTGAGCAAGAGCACGCAGAACACGGGAGAAGCTTGGCATGCTATACCCGAGTGGCGCTTCTGTTCTTGGGGAACCTTAATCCTCTGCTCGTGTGTGCTGTGAACCAAGTTCCATAATGAATTTGGCTTTTTTAACGAGCTTGAAATCAGCGGGTGCGTTGGTGGTCTTTCAACATCGTGCTAGAAGGAAGGGAAATCAAGAAAGGCAGTTTGGTGGGCAGAACAACAACCTGGGAGCAGCTTATCGGACTGGCCCTCCTTGATCACAGTCATAGTGCTTACTTCACAGGAAACCCTAAAGTAATTAGAAAGACCTATTCTTTACGATGGGTTAGGCCCTTAGTTGGATAATGAGAGCCATGTCTCGGACCGCTTGCTGCAGTTTGCTTATATATTCATGCAGTAGCAACAGTCGGGATCATGGATATTTCGCTAGATAATGACTTTTTAAACATTCTTAATACCAGAATTTTAGAATCTCCCATGAGCCACCAAGAATAATCCTGCCACGCTTGCGAAGAAAGCAACACATAATAAATGCAAGTCAGCCTTTCTCCAATCCTCCATCCAGATTGGCCTCTGACCATTTAGAATTTCCTCAACATTATCAGAGGCCTTTTAGAGAAGTTTGCCCATCATAAAAAATAAGTAAGTGTGTCTGTATGGCTTCTGGTTAAGTCTCTCCCACCATAATCAATCTTTGGGGAGGGAGAGTTCGAGTACAAAGTTAAACAACAATAGAAGACGCCAGATCCGACATCTCAACATAATGAGTACGATGATCAATCCTCAATACCAGACAATTTCAGCTCAAGTAGCCTAAAGCCCTAATGGGAGTTATCAGTTAGTCCTCGCGACTTCAAAGTTCGAAGGAAGAATACAAACATCAAAGATCCCCTCTACTCCGCCAATTCTTCCGGAAATGAGGAGAGACAACCTATCCCGAGCTACGTCCTCAACATCAGCTGGCCAACCGGATAGGGATTCTGTATTATCGGGATAGGCTGCTCGAATGTCAACAATTCCATCTCCTGTGACTTCAAAGTCGAAACCGATGGGATCGCCTTCAAATTGAACCGTTTTTGACCAAGATGTTGAATATCCAATCTTTTTTGTCACCCCGCAAGCCGTTCTAAAAGCGATCCCGGCGACGATAAACTGTGAACAAAATTTGACAAAATGAATGCGCATCGCCACCATTGGAGTGGGGAGATGGACCTTTTGGCGATATGAGACTTGCCAAGAATGACGAAAAAACCTCGGGAGATAGAGCCAGTTCCAGTCAGAGTCGCACACGGCGTCCTCAGCGAAAGATGAGATAGGTTCATTTGGTACATTATCTTGAAGATTTCGAAGGAACGGCCATAGATATTTCATTCGTCGGAGACCTGGCGTGCAATTTGAACCCGTGAGCTTGTACAGAGACCTCCAGTCGGGCAATGAAAGGGGTCGCTGGTCTGTAAATCCAAAAACCCAGGCCCTCTCGTGGCCAGATGCGAATCTCTGACCCCAGAAGGTCTGAGAATAAAAGATGAATGCAAAAGCTTTGGACGATTGTCGGAGGTTGAGCGCGTCCGAAATATCCAGCAGGTCAACGATGAGAAGCCTTAGCTCAACCGGCAGGCAAGTGAAACTATCAATGGAAACCTCGGGCGGCGTTACCTCTGTAGCTCTCGCCGGAGGTATTTGTGGTTCCTGGTTCATCAAGACCTCTAGCTCTTGAGAGAATTTGACAGTTGCAGCCCTGCCTAAAGCTGCTTGATCATAGCCTTGTAATCGTTTCATCGACAGCAGTCCTTGCAAAGATGCCAACGTGTTCCACAGACATGTCCATGGGACTTGCCGTGGGGCATATATTCTCTCGAGGACGCGCCAGCAGGTCTCGTGCGCAATATATCCACATCGCGCAGATATATCTTCCACTTTCTCGCTTTCTACTGAGATGGATTCGTGTCTCGGGTGACCGGCACTGGTGCTATAGGTCTTGCTTTCATTGTATTCTTTCGGCACGAACCACCGCCCTCCCAAATGAGCTTCGCGAATACCGAGTCCGCTGAAGCTAATATTATAAGCGCCGTCACAATACACTGTGAGAATTCATCGGTCAATTTCTTGAAGGACTAACGCTGCTGTTCTTTTGAGATCACATACGAACTCGATATTGTTTTTGCCACATGTTGCTGGTACCATTTGCCTGAAATGAAGAATTGCATATTGCGCAGCATGGGGGCCGATACAAAAGATGACCTAATAAGCTATCTGGGTACATCTGAGAAAACGAGAGCAACCTTTTCATAAAATTCGGGTTAATAAGTTGATGAAGAAGAAAATACTTGACACGGCCAAGGAGGAGAATGAAATAAAGAAAGGAATTATCTGTGAGCCTGAGCGATTCTGAACCTTTGGAAGCCAAACAATGATCGGATAGTGCAGCTATAAGGTCCCACACCAACACAACACAATGGCCATCCCCAATGCCGCAAGTAGTGTGCCTCATATTCCCGTTTGGGTATCATGCAATGCAACTCTGCCGTGGGGTTGATGAGCTTGGTTGGCCAGAGACCCGCAGGCCAGCTCGACAGGGGACAGAGGCGGGACTTCGGCCGCAGCTGTTCCACACTCCAATGCTCGTCGAGGCAATCCAAAGGCAGCTATTCCTCTGTGGTACTCGGGTGATTACAAACTCCAACCGTAACCGTGACTGCCTGGACCCCGGTGCATGCACTAGAGCATCATGATGGACGGGCTGGTTGCATATAAGTCTCCACCCTCACCACCAACGGTGCCCTGGGCAGCAGCACATCTCTCCATGTACAACTGTACACATACAACAGGGTGGGTGCCGGAGGTCGGGATAGACACAGCTTGGCGAGCCCCTACCAGGCCGCCATGGATGAAAATAAATTGACAGGTAAGATTCTTGGGGCCACCCCGGCCAACTACGGAGTCACTCAGGGTGGACTGTTGGCACCCAAGTCATAAGTATGATCCCTGGAGATATGCAGCATTCAGCTCCGGTGCTTCCATTATGTGGTTTGCAGTGCAACCGGCGTCTTGACATTGGTCCGAATGTCCAGGAGGTGACCACACCTCCAGACTTACATGACTTTATCAATATGCAAACATCTCAAGGCGGAGTTTTGGTGTTATTTACAATTATCGCACACCCATCAACAAGCTTGCAAGAACCAACCACGGTAGCCCATCTCGCACCCTCTCCGAGCGAGTTCTGAATACATGGTATTTTGGCTAATGCCACGCCCAATATCTACCTCCTTGGCTCTTCAGCTGAACAGCTGGCTTCTTATTAGCCGAGGTAGCTAGGCGTCACCGCCGGTGTCTGCCTTGAGAGGGCTGTCGTGGCTTATGCATATCGAAGTAGGTCAGATTCTCGCACTTTATCGATTGCATCCAATGGCCTCGTCGTTTAATTACTAGCGGACTAATGCTAACTAAAATCTAGTGTGATCTACACGGCACATCCCGCGGAAGGCTTCTAAAATGAACTCGTATTCGGGCAAGGGATAAAGGCCGGTGTCTTCTCTGCTAGCTTCAAACTTTTATCTCGTCCAATTCTCCTAACACCTTGTCGATATAGCTTAGTCCCAGTCTCTCTTCCTCCGGTCCGTTGCCAAGACGCTTCTCAGAACCGCCTGGGGCATCGTCCATGATGGTCAGACAGAAGTTAACGACGTCTCGATATCGTCTTCCCATGTACACAGGAAGGACATCGTTGGCGTGGCGTTCATAGAGGCTTTTTAATCTATGCCCCGCATTGTGGATGCCTTGGCGAATCTCATCACAGATGTAATCTCCCCCTTGAAGCACCTCATCGTCGAAGACGAATTTCTCTTGCTGCGTGTCATAGCATGTGAAGGATGACCAGATCCCAATTTCCAAAAGATTCACCCCCAGAGAATAGATGTCATGGCCAAGTGTATATCTCGTTCCTCCTTGGTGTCGAGACGGATGCAAGTACATGCATTGCTGCCAGTCGGTGTTCCCATTCATGCTGCTGTACGCCAACGGCGAATCCTCGCGCGCCAATTCGAAGCCAGTCAGAAAAGTTGTTCCCACGGGATCTGGAATAAGGTCTTCCACTGTGGCCACTTTCTCTTTTACATCCTGGAAGACCAGAAATGCTTCAGGACAAATCGCTTTGTGAACCAGCCCGCTCGTATGGGTATAGAAGACAGCAGTTGCTACATGTCTCGCCACTTCCAACCTCGCATTGACAGAGGGCATTCCGGTGTCCAAAAGCTTCCGCAAAGTCTGGGGGGCTCCAAGGTTTGGAGGGCACTTCATTACAAGATCGATCTCGCGCGCGGGGTGAGCGGAATGCGAGTAGCCAATGGCCTGGAGCAGATGAGTCTCCTGGGGTTCCATCCCGGCAGCAGCAAGAATGCGTGTGACCAAGTTTGTGGCAGCCTTGACTTCGGATGTTGACCTTTCCTCCCCATATTTGTGACGTTCTATAAGGCATCGGGTTCCCGTATCTTCGTTCTCGTAGAGTACCGTTTTCATCGAGGCCTGTCCGATTGCCTTCGACCACCCGTCCGCGTCTACAACAGGCCGTATTTCAAGATCATCCTGCACTGTTTCCGATATCCGAGCTTGCAAGATTCTGCTGCTCAGCCTCTCTGCCCTCGAGATCCCGCCAGTGCTGTCTCTATTGGAGCATTTCCCAGTGAAGTAGAGCATCTGAACAATCTCGTTGAACCGTCTTTGCCAGGCCTCCAGGTGAGGGATTAGCGTATCGAGTCGCGGTTTCACATCCGCCGCCCAGCGAAGCCGGTTGACAGAGCCCTCCCTATCTATGGCGCGGTTGAAAACCTCGACTGCATTCTGAAGGCTGCGATTTAACTCGGACAGGATGCCCTTGAGCCTGAGCTCAATGTCGATGGTGAGAGACCCAGAGTTCCGTGTCAAGAACTCCGAATCTTCCTCGACCCATGCGAGTGAATTGCTCAATATGACCCATGAGCCGGTTGCGTCAGGGTATCCTTGGAGGTAGGAGTGATATATATCCCGGAGTAATGCTGTTGACTGGAGGATCGACTGGAAGCTACGTCAGCATCCAATATGGCAAAAGGTCGCACCATATTACGCCTACCTGGACCAGCCCTGGAAGGCCGACACCGACGCCGGCAACGCCCAGTATCGTATCCACAGGCAGCGACATGAAGTATATCGAGAACCGCACTTCCAACTGAAAGGTCGATTTGGTGACACATTTGTGTGAGAGGGTAACTTGGGTAAGGCGATCAGCACTTCCCCCCACCTTGGGCAGCGCCCAGTAATGATTCTACGTGCGGCTGAGCTGCATGTGGGTGGCTTAGCCAGCAATCAATATTGAGATGATTGGCCAGACAGATCACCAGGCTAACTCGGAACTCTCAGCGCGTGCAGGATCAGCTGGTTCAAATAAACAAAATTCACGGCGGGGGAGATAACGCAGACATCTTCAATTTCGCTGTCTTCTACCCCCTTGGCCACTTCTCGAGGCTTCACGGTCTCAGTCGCTCTCCGCATCTAGAGCCCTTATGTTAAAATAAAGTCATGGAACGAAATGCAGACAACGGAAGAGCCTTCAAGGCCAAATTTCGGCAGCGCATACGGAATAATGGCGCCAAACCCTCGACGCCGCAGGAACATCCACGACCTCCCTCACAGAAGGCCCAGCAATACAACCATCTCTACGGCAGAGACCAAAAGGCAAATATTCTCAACGTCATTTCGGTTATCAGTGAAGAAATTCCACCAAATAAGAGGATATCAGTCTATCCAAGGATCAGACTAGACGATGCTCCAGTAATTGGCCGCGGAGCAACCTTCGAAGTCTTGACAAAGAACTGGCAGAAGAATGGAGAATCGAAGCCTGTCGCTGTCAAACGTATAAGACGAGATCACATTCCCTGCAGAAACCCAGACCTGCCATTACAGGATGATTACGTATACCTGAAAGAGAGGGATGTCTTCTATTCTAAAGTTGAGGACATTTTGCAAGAGCTTAGGATCATGGCAAATGAAGGTAATATCCTTCCATCAGACTACCCATTTACTGACCATATCACAGGAACCATTTGCTAGCCATCGAAACATTGTCCGCCTTTTAGACTTAGCGTGGGACTCGATAGACGACACTTTGTTTGCTCCCATGATGATCGTCGAGCTTGCTAGCTTAGAAACACCCACGATCCAACATTATTTCCAAACAAGAGATAAAACGCAGCCCCTTTGTCTTTCGACGGTCCGCTCCTTCATCGCTGATGTTGCTGATGGATTGGCCGCTCTTCATTTCTCGAACGTGCTACATTCTGATCTCAAGCCGTCCAATATACTCTTATTTCATAATCACTCGTCAGAGGCTCTAGTTGCTAAAATCAGTGACTTTGGGTATGCGGATTCTGATCGGATGATAAGAAAAGAAGACAGCGAAGTCAGAGGAGGGACCAGGGAATGGGCTGCACCTGAATTGCTTTCCGGGTGCCCTAAGTCCATCCGTACGCTAGCAAGAGTTGCTCCTACAGTCAGCGATGTTTTCTCATTTGGCCTTCTAGCCTTCTACATGGGGACGGGAGGCATGAGCCCAGCGAAGATAGGAGGCTGGACAATGGACCAACTTGACGAGATCAAGTTCAATGGGGATACGTTCAAGGAGCTCCAAAAGCATTCAGCTGTATACATTTCCGACCTCGAAAACTCCCTCTTCAATGAAGAGCCGTTACTCTCTGCAGTACGAGATAGTCTGAGGTTGGAACCGACACAGAGACTGGCAACTCTTGGAGGGATGAGATCTGTGTTATTCGGAAGGTAAGCGCATGTGCCGAAGCATGATAGCGCCATGAACTAATTTTTTTTGCAACAGTGATCAGTATAGAAAGGAGAAGATGGAGCATAGGTTCCGAGCGCGTCCATTTGTTAGTTTCGTATCTCGCTCGTTGGTAAGTGGTCTTTCAGACAACGGCCACTTCTTTTGATCGCTAATACTGTGCATAGCCTCTCAGCAGTATCGTCCAGCCGAATCTAACTCTCAATAAAATTGCGTTAGATAGCTTACCTAAAAAGCTCCGGATCCAAGCCGAAAAGTTAATTGGCAGCAAAGCAGGGCTCTTCGAGCCAATGGCCCAAAGTCTCCGCCGAGGCCAGTTCTTCCCCAAGACCTATAAGACCGAAGAAGAAAGGATACAGCCAGAACGAGTTGGGCGTCTCTCGATTGACCAGGTAAAATAGGCCTTTGTATCGCAAACTTACTGTGCAGTATACTAACAGCATGATCTACAGGTGCAATATTTCCCCTCGCTCATTGGGGAAATCTTCGCCATTGGGAAGGTGACATTAGGCCAAACCTTCACAGCTGAATCGGCAGTCGCCGACCTCCTGCAGACGGAATGTATAGAAAGGCCAAGGATATTCACTTTGATTGATGGCAATGATATCAATGCCGTCAAGCGAGAGCTTCTTCTCGACTCATCCCAAGCCATGATGCAACTACCAGTTGAGGCCGGAGGTTGGTATCCTCTTCATCTGGCAGCAGAACTAGGCAGGGTTGAGATCGTGAAGCTCTTGCTAAGTACGGATGGAGTTGAATGTGACGTCCGTTCTGGGCAATGCCAACTAACTCCACTGCATCAAGCAGTGAACTCCGAAGAACCAGCAGTTGTTCAGCTTCTTCTAGATTCTGGCGCTCAGATTGATGCCAGATATTACATTCCGAACTCAGGGTACATAAGAGACATGACACCACTGGATCTTGCAGTCGAAGCCTATGATGAGTCAAGAGGTGGTATAAAGCAACGCATGAAAATCATCAGACTCCTTCTACATCGGGGGGCCGACTACTTGCACAACAATGCGGGCAGAGGTCAGTTTTTGATTCCCCAAACCTTATGTTGCGTCCCGACCTAATTTGAATAGGTTTCTCTGTTGTATTCAGGGCAGCTCTGAAAAGCCTGGATTTGCTGAAAGTCTTTTTCGATTCCATCCCCAAAGAGGAAGCGAGGCTATTGGTGACAATTATTGACGATCTGGGGAGTACACTCCTATCTTCTGCTGCCAGTGCGAGGCAGGTAGAGACTGTCAAATACCTCCTCTCCCAAGGAGCCGATCCAGGTGCCCGTGATCGCCTTGGGAGGACCATCTTTGTCCGGCTCGAAGGAGATCGGGTTTTCAAGGGCTCAGCCCTTGGGCTCGTGGATCAAGCAATGCCCTACCTTAGTGGGAAAACTCCCCGCCAATGGGACAAAGCGACCGACGAGATTATTGACCTTATAAAAGCATCGGGGAACTTGGAGGCTACAGCTTACGATGATTTCTGCTTTTCGTCGACAGAAATACATGAAATGTTTTATCGAGCCCGCCTTCGATCCTCTAAATCCTTCGAATCCAAGATCCTGGAAGCCCTGAAATCACCCTCATTCGGTCGAAGGCTTCACCATTCGATGGTTATCTTTGACGAGATAACTTCGCAGGTTCACAGGATTGAGTCCATAGATATTGAAGCCGAGGCACTTCATTTGAAAAAGCTATTGTTGGAGTGGCAGCAAAATCGCCAAACAGGCCGCATCCCAATGGATGTGTTGCCTGAAGAATGGCAAAGAGGTTTGAGATATTTCGGGAACATTTCTCCCGGAATCTGGGAAGAATTATTCGTGAAGGAAGAATTACCCCAATTGGTAGAGCTCCTGAATCTCACGTTGGTCTCGACGCTTGATGCATTCTTTCGCTACAACGGATTTCAAGTCATCTACCACTTGGTGAACTTCATAGAAGAGATTGACAGAAGAGGGCTTCTGGCTGAGTTCTTCAATGCCATATACGTTTTATTCAGGTCTCTTCTTTCCTTGCGGAAGCATGACCCAAGTTCTCTGTTGCGTAAAGGCTTCCTTGGGATGCATGTGAGAGATGTTTGGAGAATTCTCAAGACCGGGGAAATTTTGGATCGTCTTTTCGATTTGGTAGTCGTCAGTGGGATGAAAGAAACAGTTGATCAAACTATCGCCCATCTTCCCGTTGTCTTTGAAGCCAGGGCGGTGGCACCTCTGCCATCAACAATCCAGACACTTCGGCTTGCAGAGCGATATCCTAGGTCTCAGATGTTCGTCACAGGGACAAGTCTGAACATTCCACCTTTTAGGATACTGATCGCCCTCTTGCAGCTTGTCATTTTCATGTTACCTGCAATAGCTTACACTTTACAATGGTTCCTCGTCTTTGCGCAACATTCAAGTATGATCTTTTTCTTACTGCTGGCCATCTGGAGGACCAAAAGACCAAGCGACTGGGCGTTGTTTGATAAACTTCAAATTCATCCAAACGTGGGTCGCGGCATCAGAGCTATGCTCGCTCTTTTCATCTTTAGATTGAGACACCCCTGGGTCTTAGAGGAGCCCTTGATCGTATCAGTTCCACACCAGTCAGGGAAGCGAGTAGATATCGCCTCTGCAATGCATTACATTCCTGCAGGCCGATCGAATGTTTTTTACTTCCTTTCGATCTCAAACAGCTCACAGCTTGAGTCGATCCCGTGTTACACAGCCATGGGAGAACTCATGGATGGCTGGAAAGATGGAAAATTTCCAAGAAAAGGCTGGTGCAACGGCTGGTGGGAGTTAAACCAATTCAACGAATGGGTGAGAATCAATGCCGCCGGTAAACCAAGCCTAAGCAGTTACAGCGAGGCATCGAAGCATATCAAGGTTAGGGGACTCCAATACTGAGCTAGTTATGTGTACTAATTGTTAACAGGAAATTCTCTCACGTAAACAACGTGATGAAGTGTATAAAAGCTTCCTACGTGAGAGAGACTATTGGTTGGATACCCCTGCCGAGCAACTAAGCAAGATGAGAAAGGTTTTCGGTGAGGAAAACGACGATTGCTTTCAGATTTGGGCGAAATTATACCTTCGAGAACCAATTCCGCGAGTGTCATATTCATACCTTCCCTTGCCTGCCGTGCACATGTTTCTTCAATCTGTGGCAGACTACAGCTGGTATGTAAGAGCTTAGCCTAGATTTGATGATAGGGCGGAATCTTTCAAATAAATGCTTTCCATATTCGCTACTCGGTGTACGATTTTGGGGGAATAAATATCTAAATAAGTTACCCATCTTCTCACGAAGAGTAGACATACCAAGAGCCTACATCGCCATAAGATTCAGTGAAGCCGTCAAGACGAGCAGCCAAAGCCCACAACATAATAGCTCATAAGCACATAAGAACTTCTAACTGTACTCGCTGAGGAACATGGGGCGTTGCCAAAGAAAGTGATAAATTCCACCAGGCTGAACCCACTTTACCGCGTCCTCCGATGTTGCATTGGGCGTCCAACATAAGATTGTGGCTGACAATGGCCAACCAATCATTACCGCACAAGCACAGTCTTCCTGGCTCTCCAAAGTCCTCTGCTCCTCGATGCGCCCATGTGGTTGACTGATTGGAGAGTAGGCTCTACCGAACTTGCCTTGTCGAGTAGCTTGCAGCACCGCCCGACATGAGGAGGTGGATGTTACGTTGAAGACGATATTGATATGACCCAATTTCTCGGGAACCAAATCAAGTTGATGAGATTTTTATTGCCCCTAATCTGTGGCCCTGTTAGAGAATGTGTCAGACACTGCCAAAGTTCAAGAGGAGGGCTGAGGCCAGGAACTTGTGATAGCCACAGCCTTACCAACCAAGAGAAAAGGCGCATCAATTGGCAATATGACGTCTTCATGTATGTTTTTAGAATCTGACAAGGATAAGATTGCGCCCTCTTGAAGAATTTTCATGGCTTGTTATTGCATTTAGCTTGTTTCTTCGAACCAATCAATGGCTTTAACAAAGACGTGGTCACATCACTACTCAGACCGGTCGGGAAAAAGAGGCACTCCATGATCGTCAAATAATCGTCAATAGTTCTTCGGTATAATAAGCTGACTCTCAGCCACAGTTGGTCCTGTACTATTGCTATGGTGGCCGCGACGACCACCATTTATAAAGAGATGGAGAGGCAGCACCTCGCTAGCTGTCTTTTGAATTTCATCAAACATCCATAGTCAAAGCCACAAGAATCCCCAGAACCCATTACCTAGTTGTTCCTTTACTTCCACAACTACTGAGAATGTCCCAAGCCGGCAAAAAGACCGCCGATGCGGTGGTTACTCCTTTGCCTATGCCAGCCGAATCCAGCAACCGAAGCAGTCAACTTACCCACACGAGCAACCCGAAGGAGGAGGTGCCACGCCAAAGCTCAGTTGCATCTGATGATTCGGAGATTGAGCACCACCGATTTCTATCACCATCGAAATGGAAAATCCTCGCTCAGAGTGTTGGTGGACTGAAAGATATTGAAAGAGCCGTTCTAACCCATCCCTCCTCCTCATGGTGGCCAGCCCGAGGGATGCCACCAGGGCTGTATCGAGACGTTGTGACTCAGCGAAACAGGTACTATTACACCTACTGGGCTACCAGCGTCCTCCAGTGGCTCCTTATGATACTGCAGCTACTCCTAGGTGCCAGCCTCACAGCACTGGGATCTGTGGCGGTGAGGGACGGAACGCCAATCACCCTCCTTGGAGCCACCAACACTGTCATAGCGGGTCTTTTAGCTCTTGTTCATAACAGCGGGCTGCCTGAGAGACACAAACGGAGCATGTATGAATATGAGAAAGTGCAAGATCATATCAAAGAGCTTTTGGACAGTCGGATGGCCCCGGAGGATCTGGATCTTGATCAAGTTATCGCTGAGTGTTTTGACATGTATCAAGAGGCCAAGTCCAATGCCATGTCTGCTAGGCCACTTACATACGGCCCACGATATGGTCTAGCTGCCCGAGGTGTCGGAAGGCAAGACACGCTAACATTAGGAAGACGAGGAAGATGATAATGGAAGGAAACAGGCAGCCAGTTATCACTTAGGACTATTGAAGGAAAAACAGGCGTCTATATAGTCGAATTTTCATCCAAATTGATTTTAACCAGTCTCAAATCTCCCATTTTTCGAATTCATCACTGGTGTTCATAATGCAAAATGAATTTATCGGAGGAGGGTTTTCTTCGAGCAGTCGTATAAATGCAGTCTGTCCACGTCTATAACAAAATTATCAAATCCATTTTTCAAGCCCAAATGTAAAAAGAAAGAATGTGATATCCCCATCCATTGACTCGCGTTCTATCAAGGGCCGTAAAGATAGCGGATAAAATGATGAATTAAAAGCCAACCGTCTACTTACGAACTTGGTAAAGCTAAGAGTATTGTGGCACGAACTTCCGATCGTTCGTCATTCTGATACTAATCATTCCCTTCTGCCATTCAATAGAGTGAGTTCCAGTGCTGCCCGGCAATAAACTTATCCCATTATTGAAGGCGCTCCCATTTCCAGCGGCGGATCGACATACATTATGGCGTCAAGAACAGACCAAGCATCTAAAGTTCTGAATCCATTCAATCCTTTGGTTACCACCCCTGTAGAACAAGCTTATCAAGGCAACGTAAGACTACAGGGATTCACGAGGCCAATGATCGCTGTGCCTCTGCACTTGTACTAAAATAATCACGACTTACTAAATATAGCTAGGACCTGGGGATGTTGCCAAGTGCTCCTGAAATTTACAGACAGTTGATGAATGTTTGCTGTGCCGGGAATGCACAGCGGTTTAATTTTATCAGTCTTTGTATAGGTATGCAAGTGGAAGGTCTAAACAAACAACTCAATAACGGTAGCAATATCAAATGTCGAATGGGTTTACCAATATGCTGCGACATTAGTAATATCCAGAAGCATACTGCGTGTTTCCGTCAGCCGTAACGGCACGCACACAGGTATCGCGTCCACTGCACTGCCATTGATGCACCAAGTCTCTGCATTCATTCAACTACCACTCTTTGGATCAGAATAGAGTGAATTAAGATGTTAAGAAAAAGTAAACCAGATGTCGATCTTACTCAGGCGGGCTCATCGCGTGATGCGTGTCCATCGCTCGGGGATTATGCCACAGTATTTACCCCAGTCAGCTCAATCCTTCGTGACATAAGAATTAGCCAAGGCTTAATTTCGGTCCCGGTTGAGAACTTGCCAGTTATAGCGCACGTCAGTGCCGCTCCAGCTCACATTTTAGCGGGCGATCGCAAATAAGCCAAAGAGCTCTCAAGGGCCAGGACAAGGGGCCTACAGTGGTGTTCCTGAAACTGGCGGAGCTGTAATCCCTCGTTTCTTTTTTTGGCGCTTTTTATCGCAGTGGTCTTACGCACCTCCCAGCAATCAGAAGAGTCTGTAGCTCAAAATAGCCTACGCATGAGGCTCTCCCAGCCCCCAAGCATCTGTATAAAGGCAACTCGATCTTCAATACTCCGTAAACAGAACTCATTCATCTCACCAACAAGATTCATTCAACCATCAGATTGATCTAGCCTGCCAATAAGATCGGTATCAAGATCCGTTCAAACAACAAGTCCAACAGACACACAATTATACCCCCTCAAAAACAAACGGCAACAATCACACAAAATGGCAAGCCTCAAGCAATTTGCCCTCGCCCTGATGCTCGGCGTTGCCGGGCGGGCTATGGCCAATCCTTTGGAGTCTGAATCAGAGGCTGGCATTCTCGCCGCCCGCTCCGAGGGTGAAGTCGACACCAACCTCATGGCCATGAAGCGCGACGAGCTCCTCAACAGCGTCGTCGACGGGCTTGTCGCTCGCTTCGCCGAAGACGAGGAGGTCCAGCTGGCTGTCCGCGGCAAGAAGAAGAACAAGAAGGGCAAGAAGAGCAAGAAGAACTCCAAGAAGAGCAAGAGCACCAAGAACGAGATGAAGCACTGCCAGAACGTCCTGAAGAAGCTGGAAGAAGCTAAGAAGGAGAGCAAAACGGCAAAGAGCGAGCTCAAGAGCTTGAAGTCTAAGAACGACAAGTTGAAGTCCAAGGTCAAGAAGGCGATCAAGAAGAAGGCTGGCAAGAAGAGCAAGTCCAGCAAGGACAAGAAGGAGAAGGATGAAGACAAGGATAAGAAGAAGAAGGAGAAGAAGTCAGGGAAGAAGCACGATAAGAAGAAGTCGGAGAAGAAGAAGGAGAAGAAGGAAAAGAAGGGCAAGAAGGAAAAGAAGGAGAAGAAGGAGAAGAAGGAGATTGACGATTAAACCTCCAAAATTCTCGGCCTTGCTCCTAGGACCAGACCACCTACCATTGACATCCAATGAGGTGTTGATTGGAAGATAGGCCCCGGGAACAGGTCTGCTCTTCAGTGGGCTTTTTAATTTTCTTCTTTTTGATTTGTTTTAAGCGATATATTTTTTTTTCATCATGACACCATCTGTCTATTTTTCTTTCTTAGAGGTTATTGGTAGCATGGCCCAGTGGCCAACTCAGCATTTTCAAATAGCATTCGATTTTATATATAAATACGAAATTCAAAACATCCTAAATACTCTCCGCCACGTGTGGTTTCACCATTCAATGAATCATCCGGTTTGGTCGTCCTTTGCTCTGAATTATAAGTTTGAAATTAGGCCTTTTACGGAACACCTACCCCTAGGCCAATAAGTAAATAAAACACCAAGACAAGACCTAGACGAATGTAAACGACTTCAGTTTGGAGACCACTCATTGAGCTACAATGTGAGAGGCAATTTTGAACATGCACATGATAATTTCTAACACGAGATGCAGAGTATCAGAGTAGGCGCGGCGACAGCGCCTGATGCCCCTGCAGCGACGCGTCACTAGACACTTATCACCGAAAGGCAGTATTCTTAAGGCATTATTCTTAGCACTCTAAAAGCTGAGAATGCTCTCATGGAAGGAGGGTCAACGACCTCCATTAGCTGAATCGTCATCCTCCTAAATGCACATATCCAACCTATTGCATGTTGCCAATTCTACAAGAAGGAAACAAAGGAGGGAAGAAAAAGGTATTGGCGCGTAAATCACGAAGAACATGCCAATGCAGCCGGTGCCGGCCGATTACCTAAGGCAAGGGCAGAGCTGACGCGCTTCGGCTGGCCCGTTCAGAAATTGGGCAGATTCCACAGGAATGCAAGCAAGTTCGGATTCCTCCTTTCCAGCAAGTTGACGTTCTCCTTCTGCTACCATGGTACTAACGTTTATCTCACCCAGCCAGACCTCGACAAATTGAAACACAGGCTCCAACAGCCTCATCGATGCCTATATTGTGCGCGACAACGAAAACCCGACCTATTGTGATCGTATCAAAGAATCGCTTCCTATCCGCTGTCCAAGATCGTGAGGCAAGATCGCGAGGCCTAGCCACCCGGCATACACATTCTCTACTTCGCCCAACCAGTCGGTCGGACGGGCTACGTAGCGAAGAGCCACCTCCCCTGCCCGAGGGACGTTCCAGTCGCAGCATTCGCCCCGCGCTAACCAGAATGACCCCGAGCTCGATAGTGCGCGAATACAATATGACAAGAAAGATGACGGCCAATTGAGAACGCTGACCGACTGTAACAACTATCCGAGGCACGGGTAATCTGTTCAGCCAGTGAAGCAACCCACTTGGCTCGTACCTATTCCCCGCCACAGGATCTAATGTTATCCAGAGCCTCATGATTCCATTGCATAGTCGGACCTGTCCTCGTCCGCGTAGCATACATCCACCGCGCAATGTTGTCATTTGCAGAAATGGGACATCCAGGACTGTCTCTATGCCCATTGACTCACAAAGACTGATCGCGCTTCCTCGTTGACTACGTCGGATCTAGACGCGTAGAATACTCGTACGAAATGACCAAGGTGGTATCGATGGACACATTTACGTAATTAGAACGAACGCAATCGCCAGCATTTCTTCCACCGTAGTTTTCTGCTTGCACATCCTGTAGTATTGTCGGCGCCGGCGAAAAATGGCCAAGTCACGTCGGGATTTTATCGTTGCATTCGGTTCTGGAGTGACTATGCCTCAAATCTGTGTTGATTATCTTGAATTTGTAAATTGAAATGTGTCGACATGCATCAGAAAAAAAGATACCGTTGATATGGTCAATAATCCTTGCTCTGAATATGGCTTTGGCTATGCAGAACTGGGATATGGTTCGTTATAGTTTCGTGCTCACAACCAACGATTACTTCTTCCAAGCCTAATACAATGATTAGTTTTATAAGAAATATACTCAATACGCAAGTAATTATCTCAATACAAGCGCTTCATACTTTTCGATCAAACTGTCTTGTCATTGTCACTATTCGGAGTGTAGGGTAGCTCCATTGACGAGCTTGGGTTGACATCAAAGACATTAAACATTGAGGGGAAAGACTTGGATGACTCATCAGAAAGCAGTCACGTGCAAGTGTGTGGGTCAATAAATGTGTCATTGTTCCTCCAAGGAAAAATCTCGGGATTTATTTTTTCCTTTCACACGCTCCATCCCACCACCAACCCACGATCTTCAGAAGCTCTACGGGTCTACTAACATGCAACCCGTTTTATTCTGTATGCCAAGGAGAGTAGACACCAGACGTGTACTTCAATTTTGATGACGGCCTACCAAGCGTCTTAGGGAATTCACCTAGCCAGTTGGATTCAGACGCAGCACTTTCCTATGAATGAGCTTCCTCCTTCCCACTCTGACCCAGAGGCTTCTCTGTAGATACCTACCAATCATGCAAGATGTTGCCATAGGGTATTGACCCTATTACTTCATGCTTATCTGAAAATGGGTGTGAGAATATGCGACGAAGAGCCATTTGCGGGTAGAGTAATTCCGCGGCCCTCCCGTTGTGGGTTTATCAGACAAAGACATTTTCCCGAAATTGATTCAATCAATCAGAACGCCTTCTTTGAAACTTCTAGCTTCGGGACCGACCGTGACATAAATTCTTAGTTGGGATTCGTCCTCAGTGCTGTAACCGATGGAGAGATGCTTGGTCCCGAGTACGGACGCAGAGCCCGTTTTGGAAGAAAATTAGCTTCTTGAGCATAAAGCGGTGTAGAAGAGAGCCTGCCGGAAGCTGAATATGGATGACTGCAGATCCGAATAGAGGTAATGCCAAGAAAAGCCGTTGGAGAGCTGGATTGCATTGCAGCTCAAATGTTGTCCTCATATGATGGCTCACTTTGGCGCGTGCCCTCAAGTGAAAGGGATGACATATGAGGGTGGGGGAGAGAAATTATCGCAAGCACGACTCTATGGTCAATTGAAGAGATTGTCTTGAAAGTCCTGCCCAAGAAAGTTACAGTGGCCAATCATAGGTTTGGCTTGTAAGACCGTACCATTGTCACAGGTGGGTTTGGTGGATGTGAGTCTCAGACATCCTCCTGTCGAAAACCCCCTTCATCCGAGACTATCAACCTAATTGCATTACTGAGCTGAATATTGCTCATGAAGTTGATCCCTTGTACGCGTCGGGCAGTTGCTGCCGATAATCCCAAACCCCCCAAGGGCGAGGTCTTCGCCCACCCTTCAGAAATTTCCGTCCTGATTCCAGATTGTCTCCCCTTGGAGTAACCTAAACGCCAATATCTCCCAGACCCTATCAAATACATTTCTCGATCTTCTCAAAGGTTGACAGCCATTCCTTTTGATATCTGAGGATTCTCCGATAAGTTGACCGACGCCTCATTGCACGTTCATTGCCAGGAACTGCACGTGGCGCTCAGTCAGCCGCTCTATCCCTACATACACGTCTCCACAATGTTCCGTCTTCTGAATCTGCGACCGAAGACTTGGGGCGTCAGAGCCTCGGATGAGGGCCATAAGGACTCTGATGACGCGAAAAACGGCCACCAAACTCCATTGGATCAGTATCAAGAGGACTGTGCCGGGCTCACCCCAATTGCCATTTGTGGAGTGGCTCTCCGTCTGCCTGGCGGTATTTCTCATCCGGATGAGCTATGGGATCTTCTAACGAGCAATCTGGATGTCCGATCATTTGGATTAGCTACCAGGCATGCCCGTGGAAATGGAACCATGTCTGAACCTGGTATGCCTGATGGACTGTCGCTCGGGCAAGGCAAAAATGCCCTCGATGCCTCGTTTTTCTCTCATGTCCCCAAATCATTTGATCGGCCCCAAGGATGGGAGAAAGTTTTGGAAGTGGCACGCGAGTGTCTTGACGATGCGTGTGAAGCTGGCTCTGAAGGGAAGAATAATGCAAGGGTTTTTGTTGCATCTTCCAGGCCACAAGCTTTGGGTATGGCAGACAGTTTGTGTCGAGCACTGAAACTCGACGGAGCAAGGTATTTCAACCTTTCTATCTGATTTGAAGTAGAGCTTTATTAACACAATATCCAGTAAGGATGTGATTTCCGAATCATCGGCATCGTTCATTGCACTCAATGAAGCTTTCGACTCCTTGAGTAAGGGTGAGATTGGTTCTGCCCTAGTTATTGGTGTGAACTTGTTCGCTGGACATGATGGCACAAACCCACTTGAAAAGCCTGATGCTTTCAAGACTAGCAACCAAATCAATGGCTCTTCGAGAGGAGAGGCCATATCTGCAGTATATATCAAGTCTCTGCGAGAGGCTCTTATAGATGGAAACCCCATCCGGGGAGTCATCCGCGCTATACATAAGGACGATGTCGATACAAATGGTGTGCCTGGAGTTTCCCTGGAGGAAACAACAGAAGAAATAATACGAAAGACGTATGAAAAAGCCGGCTTGGATCCCTCCAGGACGGCTTACTTTGAGGTATGACCCTTCTTTGTCCGGAGGGGATTGGCGTTGCAACTAATTTTCCAAGACTCATGGCACTGGGTTCCTTGAGAAGGGCAACCCAGAAGCAGACTCTATATGTCGTGTTTTTGGTGAAAATAATATCAGCGTGGGTTCCGCGAAATCCAAGTTGGGTAATAACGAGGGTGCTGCAGGCATCACCAGCGTGATCAAAGCCTTACTCTCACTTGAGCGAAGAATCATCCCACAAAGTATTCGACCTAACTCTGTGGGACAAACTAGTATGATTTTCAGACGATACCATCAAATTGGCCTTTCTAATCAAGAGTGGCAGGCTCATCAACCAGACTGCTGGTCCCATCAGAACCCACTCCTTTCCCAGATGACCGAGCTGAGAGAGTTAGCATAAACTCTCTGGGGTCTCAAGGGAACAATTTCCATGTAAGTAGTCATAGAAAATGGCTGAGTTAGTCTGAGCTAACCATTGGACAGTTGATTATTGAATCATTCGCCACTAAGAGGATTCAACTTGAAAGTCCAGAACCAGGAGATCCTGAATTGTTGCTGTTTTCTGCGGAGACTCCGTCGTCATTGACTAGGCAGATCCGGACTCACCATGACTTTTACAAAGCCACTAGGGCCCGAGGGGCCGACATTGCTCACACGAGAGCTATGCGTCGTGAAGCTTTGCGACATAGGGCTTTCTCAATACTACACGAGGGAGAGTTTCTCAGCACGTCGAGCAGTATTGAGAGTCGAGCCCGAACACGCAGCCTAGTATTGGTTTTCAGTGGACAGGGAGCACAATGGGCAGGGATGGGAAAAGAACTAATCCAAACTAACCCTGAATTTCGAGCAGATATCGAAACGATAGACGAGATTCTTGGCAATCTAAAAAAGCCCCCAACATGGAAGATTTTGGGTAGGTTGCGTTTGAATTGGTATATTTGAGTGGAAAAATGGGTTGCTGACCCTTGAGACAGAGGAAATACAGAAAAGTGCAGAGGATCCTGGAAATCAACTTGGGCATCCTGAGTTGTCACCTCCTATATGTACCGCCTTCCAGATTGCACTATTCAGATGGCTACAACGTCTGGGCGTGCATGCAGAAGCCGCAATTGGCCATTCAGGTGGCGAAGTAGCCGCGGCATATGCTGCTGGTTATCTGAGCATGGAACACGCAATGGCTGTTGCATACTATTATGGAGACGTTGCCACAGGCAATGGCTCTGATGGAGACATGGCGGCTGTGAGCTTGGGCTCTAGCGAGATACACGGCTTCCTGAGAGACGGCGTCGTGATCGGCTGCGAGAATAGCCCAGCGAGCACGACTCTGTCTGGAGACCGAAAGGTCTTGGACGAGATTCTGTCGTCGATTAAAAAGGAAAGACCTGATGTCTCTGCACGTAGGCTGAACGTCAATATGGCCTATCACTCTCGTGAGTCCATTACATTGCCTCCACCCAAGAGTTTATTTGCTGACCACCCGTATGTAGATCAGATGAGCCCGGTAACCGAAAGGTTTCTCGAAAATCTGTTGATAGAGGGCGTTTGTTTCTCAAGGCCCCAGGATGGGCGTGGATTGGCTTTCATCTCCAGCATACAGGGCCAAGTGGTTGATCACCCAGAGTTCCTCGGACCTGATTATTGGGCCACGAATCTCAACAGTCGGGTCCGCTTTAGCACTGCTATCAAAAAGTATCTGAAGAATAGAGGAGAGTGTTTGTTCCTGGAGGTTGGGCCGCATTCCACGCTTGGTGTGCCACTGCGACAGATTTGCGAGTCTGAGGACATGCCATATAACTATGTGCCGTCTCAGAAGCGGAACACAAACAGCCAGATAACGTTTCTTTCAGCAGTCGGGAGACTCTGGCAAGAGTCTGCAGTCGCAAATCTGGCACCGATTTTCAGCCATGGAAAGGCAATCTCGGGACTTCCATCGTACCCATGGGACTACGGTCACACCGGTAACGACACAGATGACAGCTCACGAATGAAGCGTGCATTTTCCAACCTAAACGAAAGGGCACCAAAGGAGAGAAGAGAAAGATTAATATCTATCTTCAGAGAGGGGGCTTCAGATGAACTGGCTGACGATGAGGTCCCGACAACGGAAGCTGAGATGGTCCTTCGGGTTCTATGGAGGTGTGTGCTCCAAGGCATCATCACTACGAGAGCCTCGGCGATCGGCAAAAAGCACAACTTCTTGCTGCTTGGAGGCGATTCTCTAGTTACCATAGAGCTGGTAACATTGGCTAGCCGTTTCGGTATTCATATGGTGCCAGCTGATGTTGTTCGACACCCGCGGCTTTCTGAAATGGCCGCAATCGCCTCTATCGACGACGACCATGTTGAAGTTGACGTTCAGCCTTTCAGCATGCTAGGCCCCCAGGACCCGGAAGAGGCAAGAGAGAAAGTAAGAACCGAGTGTGGTTTACTTGAGGACCAAGAAATCCAGGATGTATACCCTTGTACGACCCTCCAAGAAGGCTTCATGGCGCTGGGCGTCAAACAACCAGGCTCTTATATTCACCGCTGGGTTTACAAGTTACCGAATAGTCTGAATCTTGCGCGCTTCAAACAAGCATGGGAAAAGGTTATGAAGAACTGTGATAGCCTGCGTTCCAGAATTGTTCTAGTTGAGAACAAAGCTTTGCAGGCCGTCATCAAAGACGATATCGCTTGGGAACATCCTGCGACTGGCGTCAGTCTGTCAACGCACGTGAGAAAAATCAGCAACACAGTCAAGATGAGCTACGGAGACCGACTCAACCGTTTCGGGATCGTGCAGCAAGATGATGGCGAGCTCTATTTCCTCTGGACCATTCACCATGCTGCCTTTGATGGCCTGACAATGAAGATTGTTCTGGATGGTTTATACCATGCTTACCATGGCCACACCTTGGAACCCGTGCAACCATACGCCAACTTTATCCAATACATCCAGTCTATTGATGCTGAAGATGCGAGTAGGTATTGGCGGAGTGAGCTGGAGGGCGCAAGCAAGGCCCAGTTTCCTACCTCACATCTGCCTGCCAGGCCGGCAAACTCTGCCCTGGTGATGAAATCGACTATGCCCTTCCACAATCTGACGAAACCTTCCTCCACCGCCGGTACTATACTTCGAGCCGCGTGGTCGATTGTTCTTGCAAAGTATTGCGGTACGAAGGATGTGTGTTTTGGAACGACTGTATCTGGAAGGCAGGCACCAATCTCAGGATTGAATGAAATTCCAGGGCCTATGATTGCCACAGTTCCTGTTCGTACTCAGATTGACAACACGAAGCTTGTCTCCGTTTTCCTTCGCGAGGTTCAGTCTCAGTCGGCTGAAATGGCCCGGTATGAGCAGTTCGGCCTGCAGAATATCTCCAAGTTGAGCCAAGATGCGCAGGACGCTTGCGACTTTGCCCACTTGATGGTTATTCAGCCCATGCACCACCTGGACAGCGTTGCCGTTACCGCTGAGGATAACGTTTTGATAAGTGGAAGAGAAGAGAGGGCTTTGTCCGAAGAGGCAATGAAGACGTATTTCAACTACCCTCTCGTAGTGCAATTGCGTGTTGGTGACGGTCAGGTTGAGATCGACTTCACCTACTACCCAGACGTCATTGGCGAGGTGCAATTGGAAGCACTCTCTCATCACTTCAAGCGGGCAGTTGATGAGATTCTACTTCCAGAAGACAAAACCCTCGGCGAAATTTCCATCTCAGGACCTTGGGATGTGCAGTTCGCCCACTTATCGAACAGCCGAGAGGAGCCTGAGATAATTGAGAGTTGCGCTCATGAACTTGTCGAGGCACACGCAAAGACCAGACCTGACGCATTAGCAATTGACGCTTGGGATATGAAATTGACGTACAAAGAGCTGAATAAGAAGGCAAATAGATTGGCGCACTATCTGGTTAAGACCTACGAGGTTCAGTCTGATGAGTTCATTCCAGTTTGCTTTGAAAAGTCTGCGTGGTTTTTCGTCTCTATCCTAGCGATCAACAAGGCTGGATGTGCTTGGGTCCCTCTTGACCCATCGCATCCTTTCGAGCGTCACCGGCAGGTCGTTTCCCAAACAGAAGCGAGATTCGTGCTTGCTTCTACACAGACGGCCGATATGTGTTCTGCGTTGATCGAACAAGTGGTGGAAGTCGGACAGACTCTTGATAAGAAGCTCCAGAAAAGGCAGCCGAAAGCGAATGGGGTTTGCAAGGTATCCCCAGACAACGCTGCTTATGTACTCTTCACATCGGGCAGTACGGGAACGCCCAAGGGTATCGTGATAGAACACCGGGGGCTTTGTACGAGCTTGAATGCAATAGTCAAGCGACTGGGGATGCAGCCAGATGCAAGGGCGCTTCAATTTGCGTCTTATGTATTCGACTTTTCGGTTTGCGAAATCATGATGTCCTGGGTCGCGGGTGCTTGCATCTGCGTTCCTCCTGACGCTGTACGCATGAACGGTCTTGATCTCTTTATCAATGATATGAAGATTGACTGGCTTTTCCTCACACCCTCTTCTGTTCGTATTTTGACTCCGGACAGAGTCCCTAGCGTCAGAATGCTGTTCCTTGCTGGAGAGGCCGTGACCCGTGATATTCTTGATAATTGGGCTGGGAGAGTCCGTCTTTTCAATGGATGGGGACCAGCTGAAACCGTCGTGGTGGACACATTACAGGAGTATTCATCTGCACATGAATCACCTATGAACATCGGATATCCAGTGGGAGGCAATTGTTGGATTGTTGATCCTGACGATTCTAGCAAACTAGCACCTACTGGAACTGTGGGAGAGGTTCTTCTCCAGACCCCTTCAGTGTTACGTGAGTATCTTCGGGACAGAGAGAAGACAGACGAGTCAATACTGGGAACCCCTCCACCGTGGGCTCTCAAGCAAGATACGAAATACTTCAGCCGCTGCTTTAAGTCTGGGGATTTGTGTCGGTATAATCCCGACGGAACTTTAGAATTTGTTTCACGGAAGGGCTCCCAGGTCAAAATTCGCGGGTTCCGTATCGAACTTGGAGAGGTGCAACACCATATCTTGGCAGTCTTACCCGGAGTACGCCAAGTGGCTGTGGATGTATACAAGGGAGATACCGGCTCTCAATTGATAGCATATGTTTGCTTCAATGACAAGAGGCTCCAGTCGGCTGAGAAATCGCCTTTTATTCCTCTTAGCGAGGACCTCCAGTTGCTTCTTTCGACCGCAGTAGGAGAGTTGAGCGTCAGAGTACCACAGTACATGATTCCTACTCGCTTTATCCCCTGCTTTTATATGCCCATCTTGACATCGGACAAGATAGACATGAGAAAGTTAAGCAGACTCACATCCCTTCTTGACCCGGTTGAGATGAGCAGTTATGGTCTCCAGAGCAGCAAGAAGCGCAACCCAGAGACCGTGATGGAGAAGAAGATTCAGGCCATGTGGGCAGATATTTTGAAACTGCCTCTGGGCATGATTGGCCTAGACGACAGTTTCATTGGTCTGGGAGGTGATTCTATCCTTGCCATCCACCTTGTGAGGGTGGCACATCATGCAGGTATTGGACTCACCGTAAACGCTATCTTCAAAGATCCACGTCTGTCAGTAGTGGCGGCCTCTGCCACAGTCTTACATGGCGAAAGTAGTGTCTCTATCGAAGTTGAACCCTTCAGCCTATTGAAAGAATCGCTGCGCACCAAGGATGGGCAGGAAGCGTTGAGACACAGCGCAAGCCTTTTACCACACCAAGAACTAGAGGATGCGTTTCCCTGTACGCAGTTTCAAGAAGGCGCGATGGCACTATCGGAGAAACAGCCTGGTTCATACATTGCAAAGTTTATCTACAAGTTGAAAGAAGGAATTTGTATGGAACGGTTTACAAATGCCTGGAAGCAAACTGTCCAACTTTGTGCCAACCTCCGAACCCGAATCATATTCATTGATGGACTCTGCTTGCAGGTAGTTGTCCGAAATGATGAACAGCCGGATTTTGCGGAGTTTGGAAGCGTGAAAGAGGCGGTCTATGAGGCTCAGTCTGCAAAGATGACATATGGTTCGCCGCTCAGCCATTTTTCTTTGGTGAAGGGTGGCCAGGGCAACAGCACGCATTTCATCTGGACAATGCATCATGCGGTTTTCGATGGATGGAGCGCTAAGATAATAATGGACACTCTCCAACGGGCGTACTACAAGCAAGAGATTCGAGAACTGCAACCATTCCCGCGTTTTGTCAAGCATATTTTGGACTCGGATGAACAGAAGTCAAGCGATTATTGGAGTAAGCAGCTTGAAGGAGCCACAAAAGCAGCATTCCCCTCAGAATCGGACTCAGGGGCTCGGGATCAATCCTCCCCAACCAAGATTTGGCACCAAAGAATCGAGCTTAAAGAGTGTAGAAATGGCCAGTCTGTTACCAAACCGATCATTCTCCGTGCCGCTTGGGCAATTATCCTCGCGTCTTACTGTGATACTGAGGATATTTGTTTTGGCACTAGCATGGCCGGTCGTCAAGCAGAAGTTCCAGGCCTGTTGGATATGGCGGGTCCAGCGTTAGCAACGATGCCGATCCGGGTCTTTCTAGATGGAAACCAAAAGGTGTCTGAATTCTTGCGCCAGCTACAAAAGCAGGCCACCGATATGATTCCTTTCGAGCAATTTGGCCTGCGGAATATCTCCAAACTTGAGCAGGTTGAAAAGGACGTATGCGACTTTACTAGTTTATTGGTGATACAACCTAGACAGCACCTTGACTGGTCTGGCAACAACGAGGGTCACGATTCAGATGCTCTATTGATCCCCACAAGTGCTCATGGAGGCACAGATGTGGACTTGATGCAGGGATATTTTGCTTATCCTCTTGTGATCCAGTGTCACGTATATGACGAATTCGTTCAGATGGACATGACATACAACTCAGGAGTGCTGTCTGAGTTCCAAATTCAGGCGCTCTGTCACAACTTTGAACATGTCACAAAGCAATTGGTTACATCAGATAAAATCCTACTTTCGGAGGTATCAGTAGCTGGCACTTGGGACGCCCAGAAAGCGGTGAATTTTAACCCAGACAGATCGGAGACGGTTCTTGAATGTGTTCACGATTTGATTGAACAACAGGCCATTAGAACACCGGATAAGCCCGCTGTTGCTGCCTGGGATTCAGAACTGAGTTATTCCCAACTCAATAGCGCTGCAAACCGGCTTGCACATGTGCTCGTCACTGAACATGGTGTCAAAACGCAAGATCTTGTTCATACCTGCTTTGAGAAATCCGTATGGATGATTGTTTCTATGTTAGCTATTAACAAGGCTGGTGCCGCATGGGTGCCTCTAGACCCCTCACACCCTTTGCAGCGCCATAAGCAGGTCATTGAGAAAACAAAGGCCAAGCTCGTACTCGTTTCACCATCCAATACGGAGATGTGTCGAAAGCTGGCCCCGTCTGTACTAGCGGTGACGGCCACACTTGACGAACAACTAGCTCGAAGTAGCCCTGAAAGTGGTCCAAGAAAGCCAACATCTGCTGTGACTCCCCGAGATCCATGCTACGTTTTGTTTACCTCTGGCAGCACCGGGACCCCCAAAGGTTTTGTTATGGAACACAAAGCATTGGCGAGTAGTCAAGTGGCTATGACTAGAGCGTTGGGTATGAAGTCGGACGTACGAATGTTGCAATTTGCATCTTTCGCATTTGATTTGTGCATTGGCGAGATTTACTGGCCGCTCATGTTGGGTGGCTGTGTATGTATCCCATCGGAGCACATGCGAATGAACTCGCTTAAGGAATTCGTCCATGATAGGCAAGTGAACGCTGCCATTATCACACCGACACTTTTAGATTCTTTGAAACCAGAAGATTACCCGAGCCTCAAAATGATTGTGACAGCTGGTGAAGCTCTCGGGCATGACGTGTTGCAGTCGTGGTTCGGAAAAACGCGACTCATCAACGCCTGGGGACCAGCAGAGACTTGCGTCATTAATACTATCCATGAATGGAGCTCGAGCAGAGAGCACCCGTTGATTCTGGGAAAGCCTGTCGGATCTCACTGTTGGATTGTCAACCCAAAGAACCCATCTCAACTTGCGCCGATTGGTGTTGTAGGCGAAATTGTTCTCCAAGGACCGATGTTGTTGAGAGAGTACCTAGGAGATCAAGAAAAGTCACGGGAGGTCTTGGTTGAAGATGTACCTTCATGGGCTATACGAAGAGACCAGCCGGACTGGAACAGATTCTACAGGTCGGGGGACTTGGGATATTATGACCAGGATGGTAATATTGTGTTCTCTAGCCGTCGTGATGCGCAGGTCAAGATTCGTGGCCAGCGAATCGAGTTGGGCGAGGTTGAGCACCGAATTCTCAATGCCTTAGACGGAGCATCTCAGGTTGCCGTCAATGTACTCAAGATCGGGGCAACCATGAGGTTGATCTCGCACTTCTGCTTCAACGAGGAGGAGAAGCAAGCAAGTGCCGGTGCCAAGGAGGTCAGCGAAATGTTTCTTCCCATGACCGAGGCGACCGAAAATAAGGTCTCTAGGATGCTGGGTGAGCTGAACGTGACGATGCCGCAGTACATGATCCCTGTGCTTTTTATTCCATGTGAATACATGCCAGTCAACAGCTCTGCTAAGCTGGATCGGAAAGCATTAATACGTCACACCGAGACGTTAGACCCTGACCAGCTCGCGAGTTATTCATTGAGTGAAAGCATCAAACGGCCACCAGAGACATCCATGGAGAAGCGGCTACAAAAACTATGGGCACAGAGCCTTAAAATACCTGCAGAGTCCATTGGACGCGATGACAGCTTTCTCAGAATTGGTGGTGATTCTGTTACTGCTATTCACTTTGTTGCCAACGCCCGCCAGGAGGGTATCAATATCGTTTTTAAAGACGTGTTTGACGACCCGAGGCTATGTAAAGTGGCTGAAAGGGCATCATATAGTGCAGATGTTGGAGTTGGAACTGAGACTTCGGTTGAACCATTTAGCTTGATTGATGAGCAGACCCGCGGAATGCTGACCGCGGACGGTTTCCACATGCGGTGCAATCTACCTCTTGATTTGACCATCGAAGATGTCTACCCATGCACAAAACTCCAAGAAGGATTAATGGCCTTGACAATGAAGGTTCCTGGGTCGTATGTCGCCAAACACGTGTATAGAATACCTAGCTGTGTTGACACGCTACAATTCAAAAAGGCATGGAACCGCACAGTGGAGATATGTTCCAACCTTAGAACTAGGATCGTGTTCGTTGATGGGAAATCATTGCAGGTCATTTCCAAAGAATCTCCTCAGTGGGAGGAACTTGAGGGTTATGACCTCCATTCCTACCTAAAGACACTCAAGCACCTGGATATGGGGTATGGCTCAAGGCTCAGCCGTTACGCTCTGATTGAAGAAAGTAGTGGTCAAAGATACTTTATATCCATCAATCACCACTCCACATTTGATGGATGGAGTTGGGATTTGGTTCTTGACACTCTGAGTACTGCTTATCACAATGCTCGTTTACCTGAACGGCAACCATATTCGGGTTTCGTAGCGTATGCGTTGAAGGTTGACAAGATTCAGGCTGAGAACTATTGGACCTTACAACTCGAGGGTGCAAGCAGAGCTCGATTTCCTGTCGAACCAAAAGTGAAGAGCTCAAGCCGGGAGAGAGACACAGGGTCCTTTGAGTGCAGCGTCCAACTTGGCATCGAAACAAAATCTTCTATCACGAAGGCTACAATCTTGCGAGCAGCATGGGCCATTCTCCTTGCCCGGTATAGTGATACTGATGATATATGCTTCGGTGTTACTGTCTCTGGCCGAAATGCCTCTGTACCTGGATTGGAATCCATGGTTGGTCCTGTCTTGGCTACTGTTCCAGTCCGAATTATTCTGGATAAGCGACAGAAAGTGTCAAGCTTTCTACGCAAAGTCCAGGATCAAGCATCTGAAATGGTGGCCTTTGAACAGTACGGACTTGCGGAGATATCTCGAATTAGCCCTTCATTCAAACAAGCATGCGATTTTACCAGCTTGTTTGTTGTCCAATCTCACCAGCCTAGCAATGGCTTGACTGATTCGGTCATGGAGGTGTTTGATGGAGGAAAAGAACTTACAATGGACATGATGCAGGATTATTTTAACTACCCTCTGGTGACCCAATGCTCATTAGCAGGGGATCATGTTGACCTTACATTCGTGTACGATCGGAACTCATTGACCGAGTCACAGCTTGGTGCGATGTCTCGCCACTTTGGCCATATTGTTGACCAGCTCCAGCAAGCAAACGGCAACACTCTTCAATCGTTATCCGTGTCAGGATCTTGGGATTTGGAATACTCTATGGCACTGAATAAAGACAAAGTTCAGTTCCATGCCAATTGTATTCATCATATGATAACCGACAAAGCCTTGGCGCAGCCTGATCACGAAGCTATCTACACCACTGAAGAGTCAATGTCATACGCCGTGCTGGAAGACCTGACATCATCCTTAGCAACATACCTTCAGAGTCTAGGTGTTAAAAGAGGAAGCGTTGTTGCGTTGTGCACTCAGCGATCTATTCTGGGGATAGTGGCGATGTTGGCTATATTTAAAGCAGGCGGTGCCTTTCTACCTTTAGACCCAGCTCACCCTGAAAGCCGCCGTGAGGCGTTGGTCAAGGAAGTAAATGCTTCGATTATTATAGTATCTCCGTCAACTTTGAATGCTTGTCAAAACATGGGTACTACTGCTACTATCCTGAACCTTTCGAAATCCTTCGTCTCGAAACTCTCAGAACAGAAACAACAAAGCCAAGAAAAGTCAACGCGAGCGTCTCCAAGCGACTTGGCATATATTTTGTTTACCTCGGGTTCTACCGGCAAACCAAAGGGGATTATGATCAGTCATTCGGCTCTTTGTACATCCATGCATGGACTGGCCGGGTTCATAGATCCCCACCCAAATACTAGATGGTTGCAGTTCTCAACTTACACTTTTGATGCATGCATTATGGAGATCTTTTTGACACTCGCCTACGGCGGAACAGTCTGTGTTCCCAGCGATGGTGAGCGGCTACAGGGTGCTCCTAAGTTCATGACAGAGGCACGTGTGACAGGAGCAGTTCTTACACCATCCTTTGTAAGGACTTTCACACCTGAACAAGTACCGCTGCTCGAAGTCTTGATTTTAGCCGGAGAGGCTCCTGCACAAGATGTTCTTGATCTTTGGTTTGGAAAGTTGAGACTGCTCAATGCATATGGGCCTACAGAAATCTGCGTAATCTGTTGCATGTATTCGTACAAATCAGTCCTGGACTCTCCTCTTATAATTGGTGGTTCCACGAATAGCGCTTGCTGGATTGTTGAGCCGGATAACCACAACCAGCTCACACCTATTGGATGTGTTGGTGAGCTGATCATTCAAGGAAACACCTTAGCACAAGGTTATCTAAATGACCCGGCCAAGACGGAAATGTGCTTTGTCCAAGATCTCGGCTTCTCGGAATACTGCAATGTCGCAACACACAACAAATTCTACACGACAGGTGATCTTGTTCGATACACCGCTGAAGGCGAGATCGAATATTGTGGCAGAAAGGACAACCAGATTAAGCTTCGAGGTCAGAGAATCGAACTTGGAGAGATTGAGCATAATATCAAAGCTCTCTTACATGAAGCTGAGAATGTTGCTGTCGATGTTGTTCGCCAACCGTCTGGTGGGGAAGCGTTGATTGCATTTGTCAATTTTGCTGGGACATTGGGGAACGGAAAGCCCACAGAGCATATCGAAGGATCATCGGAATTTCTATTGATTCCAGATGAGAAAATGGCTCAGCGTGTGAAGGAAGTAGTCCAAAAGTTGAGAAACGTGCTGCCTGGCTACATGATACCAAGCATGATTGTGCCACTCAAGAAGATGCTTTTCATCTCTTCGATGAAGATCGATAGAAGAGGACTGAGATCGATTGGCGAAAATCTCTTGCCAAAGGAGATGGATGCATTTTCACACAAGAATCAAGACATGACGGAGCCTTCGACAAGTATGGAGCTCAAGTTAAGAGAACTCTGGGCTCAGGTTCTGAAGCTGCCTTCTGATCGTATAGGGAAGTATGACGATTTTCTCCGAATCGGAGGCGACTCAATTACCATAATTCATTTAGTATCTCTGGCTCGCGAAAACGGAATTGCAGTCGACATGAACACCGCTTTTGGAAACTCACGCCTTGACGCAATGGCCGCCTCAGCAAGCATCTCGTCGATGGCCGATGGAAACTCACTTTTCACGCCCGAGCCATTCAGCTTGTTAGCTTCAGATGAAAAGTCCGTAGCGATGCATCAAGCAAGTTTGCAGTGCAGTATTTCGACCGAGCAGGATATAGAGGATATTTACCCCTGTTCCACCCTCCAGGAAGGCCTTATTACTTTGGCAGCAAAGCATCCTGGTTCATACATCGCGAGACATATTTTCTATCTCCCTGATAATGTGGATCCAACTCGCTTCAAATCGGCGTGGGATAGAACAGTCTCCGAATGTCAGATCCTCAGAACACGTGTAATGCTGTTGGGTAACAAGGCTTTTCAAGTTGTCCTTCGTAACGAGACATCTTGGGACATACCTGATGAAGATGGCATCAAATCTCTTCTGGGAGATATGCAGAATATGCAAATGGGGTATGGAGATAGGCTTTGCCGATATAGTCTTATCGAGGATGGGGGAAAGCAGGCATTTGTCTGGACCATACACCATGCAGTCTTCGACGGATGGTCAATGCGAATCATTCTCTCGCTGCTGAACCAGTGTTACCATGGGCTTGGCACACCAGAGCAGCCAACATATGCAGGGTTCATCCAGTACACTCAGGATCTCGACCTAGATGCCTCATCTCAATACTGGAGAGCACAGCTGGAGGGAGCTCAGAGGGCTACATTCCCCCAGAATCCTCTCAACAAGGCTGAAAAGGCTATTAAGATCTTCAAAAGGCCGATGAATTTTGCTTCTACTGATATGTCTACGACTAGAGCGTCTGTCCTTCGCGCTGCCTGGGCGTACATGCTTGCCAGATACTGTAATACCGATGATGTTTGCTTCGGGACAACAGTTTCAGGGCGCCAGGCACCGGTTCCTGGTGTTGTCAGCATTGCCGGGCCTACTCTCGCTACAGTACCCGTTAGAGTTAAAATTGATCAAAATAGTACTGTCTCGGAGTTTCTCGAGAGCACACAGGCTCAAATTCTGGAGATGGTTCCATTTGAGCAATATGGCCTGCAAAATATCTCAAAGACTAGTCCGGATGCGAAGGAAGCCTGTGACTTTGGTAGCCTGTTCGTTGTGCAGCCTATGCAGCACTTGACTACGACTGATGGCCCTCAGCCCGTCATTGAGCTCAATTCGAGCAACTCCAACGACGAAGAAATGATGGAGAGCTTTTTCAATTACCCTCTGGTTGTTCAAGTACATCTTTACCAAGAATCTATTGATTTCGTGATGTGCTACAACCCTCATGTGTTGCCCGAACATAGACTTGAGGCAATGTACCACCATTTTGGAAATGTTTTGCAGCAGTTTTCGTCATTGCCAGATGCTAAACTTGAATCCGTGTCTATTTCTGGTGAATGGGATTTGAAACAAGCTTACGAAGCCAATTCACACTATGAGCCACAGGTCGTCGACAGCTGCCCACACCTTATCATCGGTAATCACGCACGACAAGACCCAACTGCGATGGCTATCTGCGCCTGGGATGGAAGGTTCACATACCAGGAGCTGGAACAAGAAACCGACGGACTGGCTAATTACCTGATCAAAGAGTTGTCGATAACACGTGGCGACTTGGTCGCGTTGTGTTTTGAAAAGTCGGCATGGTACACTATTGCAGCCATCGCGATTAACAAGACAGGGGCTGCATGGGTGGCTCTTGAGCCGGCACACCCTCCACAACGTCTGCAACAGATTGCTCAGCAAGCCAACTTCAAGCTCGTAATTTCCGCTCCAGCCACTGCCGAGATATCGGCTCGTCTTTCACGGCAATCTATCGAAATCGACCACGCGTTCTTTGAGCGTTTGCAGAGAGGAAAGTCTGACCAAAACGGGCCTGCTCTGACAATCTCGCCGCGTGATCTCATGTATGTCCTCTTCACGTCTGGAAGTACGGGTACACCAAAAGGAGTAGCAATCCAACATGGTGCGGTCTGTTGTAGCATGACAGCTCTCGGGGACCGGATCGGACTTTCGAATACGACGAAGTACCTCCAGTTCAGTTCGCATGTATTTGACCAGTCTATCATGGAGATTTTCGGTGTTCTTATACACGGCGGGTGTGTATATGTGCCCTCAGAACACGATCGAATGAATAACCTTGCGGCCTACATTCATGAGTCTTCTATTAACTCCATGATCCTTCCCCCTTCTCTGGCACGTACGATTAAGCCCGATGAGGTTCCATCGATCAATACGATACTTATTGGCGGCGAGGCTGGCGGTCGAGAGGTATTTCAGCAATGGTACGGAAGTGCTCGGGTTTTCAACGCATGGGGTCCTACAGAGGCCTGTGTCGCTGCTGCAGCACATGAATGGAAATCTATCGAGGAATCCAATCTAACACTTGGGCGCCCAATCGGTGGATATTGCTGGATCGTGGAGCCAAACAATCCCAAGAAGCTTGCTCCAGTGGGGTGCTTAGGCGAAATCGTCATTCAAAGCCCCACACTTCTGAAGGAATATCTCTTAGATGAAGAGAAAACGAAGGAGGCCGTTGTGACTGATATGCCTGACTGGGCACCAAATCGCGAGTCTCCATATTGGAATAGGATGTACCGAACCGGTGACTTGGGCTTCCTGAATCCTGATGGTACCGTGGAATACGCGGGCCGGAAGGATGCTCAAACCAAGATTCGTGGTCTGCGGATAGAACTAGGAGACATTGAATACCACGTTCAGGCCGCTCTGGATGGCAGCTACCATGTTGCTGTAGACTCCCAGTTGAGGGGTGGGGTGACTAGCTTGGTATGCTATTTCTGCCCTCAAAGTCAGAAACAAGTTTCAAGTCGTAGAAAGGATCCTCATAATGAGGCGCTCTTTTCCAACATGACCGAGGAGTTGCGAATGATGTTGGCATCTCTCGTTGAAAAGCTACGTGACACGCTGCCCCCTTACATGATACCAACCACATTTATACCGTGCAACCATATGCCGCTCCTTGTATCTGGAAAGTTAAACAAGAAGATCCTGAAGGAGACTACGAAAACGCTGAACCGGGAGCAATTGAATAGTTACTCGCTTCTTGATGCAGACAAGCAGGCTCCAGAGACCTCTATGGAAATCACCTTGCAAAAGCTGTGGGCAAAGGTTCTTAACATAAATGAAGAATCTATTGGACGTGGGGACAGCTTTATGGGAATTGGGGGCGATTCCATTGCGGCAATCCAAGTTGTCAAAGCTGCCCGCGACGAAGGAATCAAGATCACAGTCAAGGACATTTTCGCCGATCCGCGTTTATGGCGTGTTGCAGAAACTGCTAAGTTTTTGAACCCTGATCAGGCCGTACAGTCTATCTCACCATTCTCAATGCTTGATCAATCTATTTCCGAACAGATCAATGCTGGCAACGTGTCAGAGGAATGTGGTCTGGATGTACATCAAGTGATTGAGGATGCCTATCCATGTACAGCCCTCCAAGTCGGCCTCATTGCACTTTCAGCTAAACAACCCGGCTCGTACATTGCCAAGTTCGTTTACAAGTTATCAAGACATATTGTCTTAACTAGATTCAAGGATTCTTGGATGAAGACACTCGAAGCCTGTCCTATTCTTCGCACTCGTATCATCAATTCGAATGGTCTGCATACTCAATTAGTTGTCAAGAATGACACATCATGGGACGATTCAACTGGAAATCTAAGGCTATCAGATGCTCTGAAGAGGGCTTATAGCCTCAAAATGACGTATGGAACACCCCTCTGCCATTACACACTTTCCCGAGACGACGGGGGCGACTACCACTTCGTGGCGTCCATTCATCACGCAATCCAGGACGGATGGACCATTCGGTTGGTCATGAACACATTACTAAGCATATATTCCAGCACAGAGATTACACCCGTGGTGCCATATGCTTGGTTTATTCAACATACAACCAACATGAATGTTGACGCAGCTAGGACTTACTGGGCGACTCAGCTTCAAGGCGTCAAGCCGGCCTTGTTCCCTGCTGTTAAGCACGGAAAGCATGAAAATAGGGGCGCGGTTCGCGTGTTGAAGCAATCCCTCAGCCTTCAGGAATCAGTGCATAATCGCGTTACAACTGCCACGGTGTTACGCGCTGCCTGGGCCGTGGTGCTTGCAAAGTATTGTGATAGTCAGGATATCTGCTTTGGCGCAACCATATCCGGCCGCCAAGCACCTGTTGATGGAATCGAATCTATTCCCGGACCTATCATTGCAACGGTGCCCATAAGGATTCAATTGGATACTAAAAAGTCCGTTGAAACCTTTCTTCAGGATGTTCAGACCCAGGCATCAGAAATGGTTATCTATGAACAGTTTGGCCTTCAAAACATCTCTAAGATTGGACCCGATGCAATGGATGCTTGTAAATTTTCCAGTCTCTTTGTGGTACAGCCAGCTAGCTTTCTTGCCTCGAGAACGAGAGAAGATTTACTGGTTCCGAGGTCTGGCGAAGACGAGTTAGCGGAGGACATCTTGCAGGGCTACTTTAACTATCCTCTAGTGATCCAATGCCATGTCCACGCTGAGAACGTTGAGCTCCATGTTATTTACAACGCTGAGCATCTTTCTGAGCTCCAGGCTACTGCAATCTACCACCAATACGACAATGTGGTCCGCCAACTTCTTACTACAAGAGAAAGTCTGTTAGGAGATGTATCACTTGCTGGTATATGGGATCTGGAAAAGGCTATCTCGTGGAACACAGAGAATCCTGAGATAATAAACACCTGCTTCCATACCTTGGTCGAAAGCCAAGCATCAACAAACCCAGAGGCACCCGCCATTTGTGCGTGGGATGGGGATTTTACCTATATGGAACTCAACCAGGCAGCCAATCGTCTTGCTCACAAGCTTGGTAGAATCGGGGTTAAGCCACAAGACTTGGTTCATGTTTGCTTCGACAAATCTGCATGGCATTTTGTCTCAATTCTTGCTATTAATAAGGCGGGTGCCGCCTGGGTGCCCCTCGAGCCATCTCATCCAATTCAACGTCAAAAGCAAGTCGTATCGCAGACCAAGGCGACTGTGGCTCTCTGCTCACCTTCAAACGCCTCAATGTGCGAGGATATTATGCCGAACGTGATAGAAGTACATAAGGCTTTGGATGAACGGCTTCGGGCCTCGGAATTCCCGGACTCTTCCCCTGCAATCACAGTATCCACCAGATCTGCAATGTACGCGTTATTTACTTCGGGAAGCACCGGAACACCAAAGGGCTTTGTGATGGAGCACGCTGCTGTTTGCACCAGTCAGACTGCTGTTGCACAGAGGATAGGCATCACACGTAGTGAAAGGGTCCTGCAGTTTGGTGCATTTGTCTTCGATATCACTATTGGTGAAATTATTCTGCCATTGATATCTGGAGCCAGCATCTTCGTTCCATCTGAACGCAACAGGATGAATAACCTGCCGGAGTTTATCAGAAAGCATAGCATTAATTGGGCTTGGTTGACGCCGTCATTCATCCGCACCATCAACCCCGAGGAGGTCCCCAGTCTAGAGCTTGTTGCTCTTGCCGGAGAGGCTGTTGGCAGAGATATTCTTGATGTTTGGTTTGGAAAAGTCAGGCTACTTAATGGATGGGGTCCAGCGGAGACGTGCCTTGTTAGTACACTCCATGAATGGACAGACAATGATGAGTCACCACTCACGATCGGGCGTCCTATCGGTAGTTTCTGCTGGATAGTCGATCCGGAGAACCCATCCCAACTGGCCCCTATTGGAACCGTTGGAGAGGTTGTTATACAAGGCCCGACGTTGCTGCGCGAGTATCTTAGGGACCAAGAGAAAACAGATGCAAGCATGGTGCAACCGCTTCCTTCGTGGGCGCCTCGACGAACTATCACCGGGTGGAATCGTGCCTATAAATCGGGAGATCTATGCTCTTATAATTCTGATGGAACGTTGGAGTTCGTTAGTAGAAAGGATACTCAGATCAAGATCAGAGGTCTCAGAGTGGAACTTGGAGAAGTCGAGAGTCAAATTAGACAAGGTCTTCATGACCTTCGTCATGTCGTGGTTGACAGCGTCGAAATAGCAACTCGCACAAATCTAGTGGCGTATCTGTCATTCACTGATCAGGTTATGTCTCGTTCCTTTGAAGCACAGGATATTTTTGAGTGCTCCTCTGAAGAGAATCAGGCTCAGATCATCGAGTTGGTAGGGAGGCTGAGCGCCAAGCTACCACGGTATATGATACCGACCTATTTTATATACTGCCGATTTATGCCATCAATCACGTCGACGAAATTGGATCGGAAAAAGTTGAAGGAGATCACAATGGCACTTGATACAACTGAATTGGCTAAATATTCACGCGTCGAAACTAAAAAGCGTCAACCGGAAACCCGAATGGAGAGACAGCTTCAAGAGCTCTGGGCCGACATCCTAAAACTTCCACTTGATACAATCGGACGAGACGATAATTTCTTACAAATAGGAGGTGATTCTATAGCGGCTATCTCATTGGTTACCTTGGCACGCAACTCTGGAATATCATTGACAATCAAGGACATCTTTGACAACCCGACTCTCCTTGCTGTGGCTGAGAAAGCGGTTGAGTGTCTGGACATGCCATCTGAAGAGCAGCCGCTTTCGCCCTTTGATCTGATCGAACCTCATATCCGGGAGAGAATCAATAGCCCAGAAATGAGACAGAAATGGCAGCTCTCTCAGACCCAATTAATAGAGGATGCTTTCCCTTGTTCCTCCATGCAAGAAGGTCTAATGTCCCTAACAGAAAAACAGCCTGGTTCCTACATCGCCAAATACGTGTTCCGAATCCACGACCATGTTGGTCTGGCCCGTTTTAAACACTGTTGGAATACAACAGCACAGATGTGCACCAATATGCGGTCTAGAATCGTATTCGTTCATCGGAAATCATATCAATTAGTTGTCAAGGAAGAGATGGAATGGGAACATGTCACCGCAGCCAATCCAGCCGCATATATGAACCAGCCCACCACTAGCATCATGGGATATGGAACTCGTCTTTCTTTGAACACTGTTGTGTCTTGTGCAGATGGCAAAGATTATATAGTTTGGACGACACATCACGCAATGTATGATGGCTGGGCCTTGAAGATAATTTTTGCTACCCTTCACCAGGTGTTTCAGGAGGAGACATTGACAGCCCTGCGCCCGTATTCAAACTTCATCAAGTATTCAATGGATGTGGACATGAAAAAGGCTGGAGAGTACTGGAAAAAGGCGCTTGTTGGAGCAAGGAAGGCATTTTTTCCTCCTCCCGTGGACGAATGCTACCCCACGGGTGTAGACCATCTCCCACGAACACACAATCAACATGTCAATTTGAAGCGCTCTAGACATAGCTCAGTTACTAAAGCATCTGTAATGAGAGCTGCTTGGGCTGTAGTGCTTGCACGTTATTGCGAAAGCCACGATGTCGTGTTCGGGGCTACTGTGTCTGGCCGTCAAGCCCCTATTCTAGGAGTAGAGAGCATGCCTGGTCCATTGATAGCCACAGTACCAGTAAGAGTTATGCTTGATCAAAACCAATCTGTGGGAGCCTATCTTCGAGCGATTCAAAGTCAAGCTCTGGAAATGGTGCCATACGAGCAGATCGGGTTACGAAGCATCTCGCTTTTGCATCCCGATGCCAGAACTGCGGCAGACTTCAGTAGTCTGTTGGTGGTACAGCCAACAGCCAAAGCTAGCGACCTTGAAACAGGGGGCCATTCTGTTCTCTTGGCCGGAGAGACAGAGAGAACACTGACGCAGGATGCGATGGGCAATTACTTCAATTATCCTCTTGTTCTTGTTAGTAACATGTTCGAGGATAGCGCCGATCAAGTCTTTTACTACGATGCTCGAGTCATCTCTGCTGCGCGGATTATTGCTATCTCGCATCACTTCGAACATGTAGTCCAGCAATTATTACACCTGGATGAAGAACCATTGAGCAGCATCTCACTTGTTGGAGAGTGGGATAAACAACATGCCATCGAGTCACAGAGGCTTGCTGAGCCAACAAAGACATGTACACACTGGCTTATCCAGGAACATATCAAAGCCCGGCCATTGGACCCTGCTATCGTTTCCTGGGATCGTAATCTTACCTATCACGAATTAGGAATATTTGCCTCTCGTCTGGCTGTGAAGTTACAAGAACTTGGCGTGGTACCCGAAGTCCTTGTCCCTATTTGCTTTCCCAAGTCCACTTGGGCTGTGGTTGCGATGGTCGCTGTCCAAATGGCTGGAGGTGCTTTTGTTCCCCTGGACTCGGCAGCTCCATCCGATCGTCTTAGGTCCATCATTGAAGACTCAAAAGCCGGATTGGTTCTTTGCTGTTTGGAAACTAAAGAAACCATTCAAAGCACTGGACTCGATATTAACACCTTAGTCGTGAGTGAGGAGGAATTGCTTGAGCTTTCCGACCCACCACACCCAGTGGCCTCCTCCGTTAGCTATAAGAATGCTAGTTTTGTTATCTTCACCTCAGGTTCTACAGGTCGGCCAAAGGGCATGCTAATACAGCATGACCAAGTGTGCACATCTTTCGACGCCTATGGAGTTGAGCTTGGACTGGGGCCTGGCACTCGCGTTTTCCAGTTCTGTGCCTTTACATTTGATTTAGGCATCTTCGATGTGTTGGGCACTCTGAGCAAAGGTGCCTGCATATGTATGCCATCCGACTGCCAGCGCCTCAACGACCTCGCTGCGACAATCAGGTCTACGGAGGCCAATTGGTTGTTTTGCACGCCTACGGTAGCAAATCTTTTGCATCCGTCTGAAGTCCCAACTTTAACAACAATCGGTCTGGGAGGCGAGGCTATCACGAAGCAAGTATCGGATCGTTGGAAGGATCACGTGCAACTGAATGGCTTGTACGGCCCAGCCGAGGCATCATCTTGCGCCAGAAACCCTGATGTAGGAAGAGACGATCGACCAACAAACATCGGTATGCCAATGTCGAGTGCATTTTGGGTTGTTGAACCTAAAGATGTGAAGCAGCTGGTGCCTGTGGGATGTATCGGCGAGCTTCTTATCCAGGGACCTATGCTCGCCCGAGGGTATATTAACGTCACTCTTGAGCAGAATGCAGCCTGGATGGAGGACGTAGACTGGCTTCCGGGAGATATTTCCCGACGGAGAGCGTATAGAACAGGAGATTTGGTACGCCGAAACGCAGATGGGACATACGAGTACATCGGCCGAATGGACTCACAGGTCAAGATTCATGGGCAGAGAGTTGAACTGGGTGAAATTGAAACAAGGATCTACCAACACTTACCAAACAACATAAGTGCGATGGTTGAAGTCATCAGGTCAGATAAGAGTACATCGACTGATACCTTACTCGCTTTCATGTGGTATAACGATCCGACGGACGCGAGGTCTCATGGCGCTGTCAAGCTGCTAGAGTCCATTTCCTCAGACACCAGGCTGCTGATCTCATCAATAAACAGCTCCCTTGAAGCAGTACTTCCGTTGTGCATGATTCCCTCAACCTATCTTATCTTTCAAGGACAGCCAGAGATGTCAATCTCTGGCAAAGTAAATCGCAAAGCTCTCGTTGCCCACGCCACTGCGTTGACTACACAGGATCGTCTTCGATTTGCCCCCGAGACGACAAAGCAAGAACCTCCGAACACTGCTATGGAATTCAAGCTGAGAAGTTTATGGGCTCGAGTTCTAGACATAACCCCCAAGGACATCGGCAAGTACGACAGCTTTTTGAGAGTCGGCGGTGACTCAGTGACGGCTATTCAACTAGTTTCTATCGCTCGATCGCAAAGCATAAATCTGCAAGTTAGCGCCATCTTCCACGACCCGAGACTATGTGCCATGGCAGAAGCTGCTACAGAAACTGACTTTGATCCTGATACCGAGATTCTTCCATTCAGCATGCTGGAAGGCCTCTCACCGGATACAGCAGATATGGTAACAGAGATTCGAAGAAAGTGCAACCTGCACGATGATGCTGTGATTGAGGATGCTTTCCCTTGCACAAGGCTTCAAGAAGGCCTCTTGTCCTTAACATTTAAACATCCTGGCTCTTACATCGTCAACAAAGTCTACAGATTACCGGAAAGTACCGATGTTACCAAGTTCAAGACTGCTTGGGAGACAACTGTGGACTTGTGTGGTATCTTGCGAACAAGGATTGTTATGTTCAAAGAATCTGCCATCCAGGCTGTCTTCAAGAATCTCGACTGCTTGAACGTCACGCAAGACATGGACTTAGAACAATACCTCTCTAATATCGAGCTTGAGAATAGAGACTTGGGATACGGAACACCTCTCTCAAGGGCAGCCCTCGTCCAAGACGTTCGGGGTACGAATTATTTTGTATGGACCGTGCACCATTCCGTTTTTGATGGCTGGACCACGCAAATTATCATGAATACTCTCTCTCAAGCTTATATGGAAATGCCACTCCCGAAATTGCAGCCTTATTCCCGATTTATCAAATATGTCACAGACCTCGACGCAACTGAAGCTAGTAGCTACTGGACCCAGGAGTTGTTCCAAGCAAAGCGAGCATCCTTCCCAGTACCTACCGCTCTGATTGGTGAGCCTGCTTATCAAGACGAGAGCAAGGTATTCCAGTACAAGATGGCATTTCCTGGCTCAACAGGTACATCGATCACCAAAGCGACAATTCTGCGTGCAGCATGGGCTATTCTACTCTCTAAATATTGCGATAATAATGAGATCTGTTTCGGAACAACGGTTTCAGGTCGCCATGCACCTGTAAGCGGATTAGAGAGCACACCTGGCCCTATGCTTGCTACAGTCCCCGTTCGAGTACGATTGGAGCCAGGGAAGACAGTTTCTGAATTGTTGGATGACATGCAAACACAAGCATCTGAGATGGTGCCATACGAGCAATTCGGAATTCAGAATATTTCTAAGCTTGGGCCTGATGCCAAGGAAGCCTGTGACTTTTCCAGTCTCATCGTTGTTCAGCCAAGCCGTCGCATTACTGCGAGTGGGGATGAATCACTGCTGGCTTCACGAGATGATGACGCAGCTACGACAGAGAAGCAGCTTCAGAACTACTTCAGCTATCCGCTTGTGTCAGAGTGCTTTGTGAACGATGACCATGTTCAACTGATCTACGTCTATAAAACCAATTACTTGACTGAAACGCAGATGGTAGCACTGGCACATCATTACGAGCGCATTATTCAGCAGCTTCTTTCCCAAGATCATACCAAAGTCGGTGATTTGGACATTGCAGGAGAATGGGATCTGAAGAAAGCCATGGAACATAATTCTGTGGAGAGTAATACTATAAATGTTGTCGATTCCTGTCTGCACCATCTTTTCGAGGCGCAGGTGAAACGTCAACCTCACAAGGTCGCCTTACGCGCGTGGGATGGTGACTTTACTTATCGCCAGCTTGACGAAGCTGCTAACCGGCTGGCCAATTACCTGTTTGCTGAGTTGAAGATACAGGTAGAAGACTTTGTCCTTGTTTGTTTTGAAAAGTCAGCATGGTACCTCGTGGCAATACTGGCAATCAATAAAGCAGGAGGCGCGTGGGTGCCTCTTGATCCATCACAGCCCATCACCAGACATCAGTCAGCCGCTACACAGACCCAAGCTAGGATAGCTCTGGCATCTACTCGCTGTTTGGAACACTGCAGGACGCTCGTGGATACGGTGGTTGAGGTATCTGAGTCAAGAGACCTGCCGTTCCGGAATGATCGTTTCGGTGGGACCAATGCTCCCCGCTGCGATGTCCAGCCTCACCATGCTGCCTTTGTTCTTTTCACCTCTGGTAGCACCGGCACACCAAAAGGCATTGTGAATGAACATAGAGCGGTTTGCACTAGTGAGGTGGAAACCATAAGGAAATTCGGCCTTCACTTAGAACTTGTGGTGCTTCAGTTTGCATCTTTTGTTTTCGATCTACACATCACGGAATCTCTCACCTCTTTCCTAGCAGGAGCATCGGTGTGTATGCCGTCGGAGGAGACTCGGCTGAACAGCTTGCCTAGTTATATAAATGAAATGGGGGTTACGTGGGCTTACATGACGCCGTCACTGGCCAGGACAATTCGACCGGAGGATGTTCCAGGCCTCAGAACCTTATCGTTCGGTGGCGAAGCTGTCAGCCCAGATGTATTCAATCAATGGTTTGGCAAGGTTCAGCTGTTCAATGGCTGGGGCCCTGCAGAGGCCATCGTGCACAGCACAATCCACGAATGGAAGTCGTGCTACGAGTCCTCAATGACTATTGGATATCCTGTTGGCTGCTATGCTTGGATTGTTGATCCAAATAACACAAACAAGCTCTCTCCAATCGGTTGTCTGGGCGAGATTGTCCTTCAAGGACCAACCCTCCTTCGAGAGTATCTGGCGGACCCTGATAAAACTAGATCCCTGCTTCTCACCGATCTTCCAACATGGGCCCCGAGATCTGATCAGCCCGGATGGTCAAGATTCTATAAGACTGGAGACTTGGGATTTTATAACCCAGACGGATCGATTAAATTCTCCTCAAGAAAAGACACGCAAGTCAAGATTCGAGGCCAGCGTATCGAACTTGGTGAGATTGAAAACAGCATTTTGAACAGCTTGGAAGGAATCCGGCAGGTTGTTGTAGACATTCTTCAGACCGAGAGAAACAAGAGCTTGGTAGCATTCTTTTGTTTCAATGGCGACTCTCGAGTCCCACATGACAAAGAAGATCAGTCTATTTTCCTCAACCATACTGAAGATACCCATGCTCGTCTTCTCGCCATGAGGGGCAAAATCGTGACGTCTTTAACAAAATACATGATTCCTACGTTTTATATCATGTGTAGTTATATGCCACTGGTAACCTCTGGCAAAATGGATCGCAAAACTCTCAAGGCGCTGGCTGCAAGTCTTTCTCAGGAGGAACTAGCCACCTACACCCTTGTAGATGCCGATAAGCGGGTACCAGAAACTGAAATGGAAAAGAAACTACAACTGATATGGGCGGAAATCCTGAATATACCGATGGACAGTATTGGTCGCGATGATAGCTTCCTGCAAATCGGCGGTGATTCTATCGCCGCTATCACTCTTGTAGGGGCCGCCAGTGAAGAGGGCATCGAATTCACCGTAAAAGACGTTTTTAGCGATCCACGTTTGTCTGCAATTGCCTCAAAAGCGGTCGAATTACCCAATGCCGGGGATGGCGTCCCTGAAGAGGACTATCAGCCCTTTAGCCTTCTTGGCCCAACCCTCCGTGACCTGATGACAATGGAAAAGAATGTCACTCCGGAAAAACTCGAACTAGAGCCTGGGCAGATAATTGAAGATGCCTATCCCTGTACTGGCTTCCAAGAAGGGCTAATGGCTCTCTCGGTCAAACAGCCTGGCTCCTACATAACGCGCCATATATATCGACTTGGAGAGAATGTAGACGTCAACCGCTTCCGTGCTGCATGGGAGCAAACAGTTCAAGCATGCACCAGCTTGCGCACTAAGATATTCAAGCTTTCAGGAGTTGCCATACAAGCTGTTATTGGAGGGCCCGTAAGATGGGAATCTGAATATGTTGGCATGAACCTCAAGTCGACCCTGGAAGGACTACGCACTACAGAGATGACATTTGGTTCAGAATTGAACATCTTCGCATTAGCTCAGGATCCTGTTGAAGGATGGCATTTCGTCTGGCTAGCTCATCACGCAGCTCATGATGGCTGGACGGCTCGAATTGTCATGGCCACTTTACATCAAGCCTACCAAGGCTTTGAGCCACCGCCAATCCCTCACTATGCGAGGTTGATCAAGTTCGTATTGGACCTTGATCCAGAGAGCGCCGCTGAATACTGGGGAAAGCAACTTCAAGGGGCTCACCGAGCCGTGTTTCCACCGCAACCATTAACAAAGACACTGTCCGGCAGTACCAAAACCATGGCCAGGTCTATTGATATTTGCACCACTTCCAAGAGCCCAATAACAATGGCTACGATCCTCCATGCAACCTGGGCCTTTGTGCTCGCAAGATACTGTGACATAGACGATGTCTGCTTTGGTGTCTCAACATCGGGAAGGCAGGCACCTGTCAGTGGATTACCGCATATGACTGGTCCGGTTGTTACAACAGTTCCGTTGAGGGTCCGCATTGATCCCGAACAATCTGTACTGGATTTCTTGCACACTGTTCAAGACATTGCTACTGAAATGGGCACATATGAGCAGTTCGGGCTCCAAAACATACAAAAGTTGAGCCAGGATGCCAAGGAAGCTTGCAATTTCAATAGCTTGTTGGTAGTCCAACCAGTTAAGCACTTGGTTGGAGGGGTGATGGACTCTGATGGGCTGATCTCCCCTGTGGAGGCCCAAGATGAGCAAGACTTACAAAACTTCTTCAATTATCCCCTCGTCATTCAAGGACACATGTTTGATGACCATACAGACTTATACCTTGTCTATAATACAGACTGTGTGTCCAGGTCTAAAATGGAAGCACTGGCTATCCACTTCGAGGAGGTTGCTAAACAACTTTCAAAACTTGGCGAGACTCCTCTAGGCGATATTTCTCTAGCAGGAGACTGGGATCTAAAACAATCTCTGTCTTTCAACCGGGATGAACCAGTGATAGTCGAGACCTGTGTTCATGATTTGATTGAAACCAAGGTCCAGGATCTTGGCGAGAGGCAAGCAATTGATGCATGGGACGGTTCCTTCACCTACAGTCAGCTCCAAGATTCAGTTGATATGCTCTATATGCACCTTGTCAACGATTTGAATGTGAAGGAGGGCGATCTAGTCTTGGCGTGCTTTGAGAAATCGGCTTCGTATATCGTGTCTATTCTTGCTATAAATAAGGCAGGAGCAGCATGGGTTCCAATTGATTCCTCTCATCCTGTCCAGCGACTCAAAAATATCGCCGCGCAAACAAGAGCAAGGCTCGCTCTCACATCGCCAGCTAATGAAAAGCTGTGCGCCAGCCTGGTAGACAACGTGCTCTCGGTAACTTCAGAACTCAATGAAACACTCTCTCAGCATTCAAAGCATAAGTTGCGTGCGTCTACCGTCTCAGCTCGGTCTGCTGCATATGTTCTTTTCACCTCTGGCAGCACGGGTGTGCCAAAAGGTGTTATGATTGAACATGTCTCGCTTTGTACGAATCTTCTTGCAATGGCTGAAAGATTGAAAATCACACCTGATGTGAGGATGTTGCAGTTCTCATCCTTCGCGTTTGATTTCAGTGTGGTGGAGATATTTGTATCCCTAGTTTCGGGTGCTTGTGTCTGTGTCCCTTCCGCCCATGATCGGATGAACAATCTCAAAAGATTCGTTGCTGAAAAGAAAATTACCTGGATGTGTCAGACTCCCGCTGTTGCAAGGACTTTGAAGCCAGATGATTTTCCAAGTTTGAAGCTGCTGCTACTTGGTGGTGAGGCAGTTAGCCAGGAGATTGTCGCTTCATGGACTGGAAAGGTTCGCCTGTTGAATGCATGGGGGCCTACCGAGACTACCGTTATGGGCTCGATGCATGAGTATAGGTCTGCTGAGGAGCAATCATCTATTATAGGAGCCCCTATCGGTGGATTCTGTTGGGTAGTTGACCCGAATGATCACAATAAGCTTGCACCTACAGGGTGTTTGGGCGAGGTAATGATCCAGGGGCCAACTTTACTTCGAGAGTATCTTTTTGATAGTGCCAAGACTGCAGCTGCAACAGTGTCACAACTTCCATTATGGGCGCCTAAGAAGTCTTCCCCTTATTATGGGCGCTTTTTCAAAACCGGAGACTTGTGCTTCTATAATGAAAACGGGGAATTGGTATACTCAGGTCGCAAGGATCAACAAATCAAAATTCGTGGTCTTCGAGTTGAGCTTGGAGAAATCGAGTCACACATTCGCCAAGGCTTAGATAAGGCCGAGGAGGTTGTTGTAGATCTTCTTAAGACTGAGCATGGGCCAAGCCTGGCAGCGTTCTATCATTACAAGCACGATTCCACAACGGAAGACGGCGCCGTTGACGGTGGCAAATTTATTCTTCCTCTTTGCTCAGACTTAGAAAGCGACATTATCGCTTTAACTGGGCACTTGAAAGTCTCCTTGCCCCCGTATATGGTTCCGAAATACTTCTTTCCTTGCAAGTATATTCCATTGATTACCTCGACTAAGCTGGACAGGAAAAAGCTAGTCAACGAAGCCTTGGCTTTAGATCGAGGCGATCTTGCTAGTTACGCACTAACAGCAACTATTAAACGCTCGCCTGAGACCGATGCGGAGCTCGAATTGCAAAGAGTTTGGTCTCAAGTCTTGGGGATTTCGCCCCAGTCCATTGGTAGGGATGATAGCTTTCTGCAGATTGGTGGCGACTCGATTCTAGCGATTCAAGCTGTTGAGATGGCCCGTCAGGCCGGGCTTGATATTACTGTCCAAGCTATATTTGATGACCCTCGCCTTTCGAGTGTCGCTTCTAGGGCTGTTGCAACGATCAAGAAATCTAGCAAAATTCAGCCCTTTAGCCTCCTAGAGGATGGACAGAGACGAACGGTTTTGGAGGCCATATCAAGCCAGATCCCCTCTGACTCTGTTGTCGAGGATGCTTTCCCTTGTACCGGGCTCCAAGAAGGGCTTATGGCACTAAGCGCCAAACAGCCCGGCTCGTACATTGCCAAGCATGTGTACAAGCTATCGAACCATGTGGATATCAATCGCTTCAGAATAGCTTGGGAGAAGACAACAGCTCTTTGTGACAACCTTCGGACGCGAATCTTTTCCATCGATGGACTCATAATCCAAGCCACTATCCAGGACGATGGGTGCTGGGAGTCCTTGAATGTATCCGACATCCAGGCATACCTTAAGTCTATGAGAGACAGAAAAATGACATATGGAACGCGTCTTTGCAACTATGCCCTGGTTGATGGGCCTGGAGACTCAACATATTTTGCACTCGATATCCACCACGCGATTTTCGACGGCTGGTCAAACGGCCTAATTCTTACTACTCTGCAGGTGCAGTACTCTGATACAGTTATGCCTTCAATCCAGCCGTTTTCGTCGTTCATCAACTATATCATGAACATTGATACAGACGAGGCTAGCGAGTACTGGAGCAAGGAGTTGTCAGGGGCTCAAATTTCGACTTTCCCCGCACCAAGAGGCGGCATGACTGGCCTCACACGAATTGTCCAGAAGACAATCAACCTACCAACACTAGCAAACAAGTCTATCACCCAAGCTTCAATCCTTCGAGCCGCCTGGGCTCTTGTGCTTGGGCGGTACTCTGACTCACACGACGTGTGCTTTGGAGTTACCTCATCTGGAAGACAAGCCCCGGTTCCTGGGATTCAAAATGTGCCGGGCTTGGTGATTGCTACGGTTCCGGTTCGTGTCCAAATCAACGAGAAACAGACAATTCATCAATTTTTGAAGACTGTCCAGGACCAGGCGATGGCAATGGTACCATATGAGCAATATGGGCTGCAAAACATCTCAAAACTAAGCCCTGATGCGAAGCAAGCCTGCAACTTCAGCAGTCTTTTGACTGTCCAGCCTGCCCGGCATATGGGTCTGAATGGGAGCGATGGCGACTCGGTTTTTACGTCGGCTGGCCTCGAAGATCTTCAATTCCACGACGTGCTTCAGAACTACTTTAGCTATCCTCTCGTGGTGCAATATCATATCCTGGAAGACTCAATAAACCTGAATCTCATTTACAACACAGGAGCGCTCTCAGAGGATCAGCTAGTAGCCTTGTCTCACCATCTTGGTCACGTAGTGAGCCAACTTGCACCGCAAAGCGATCAGCCACTTTCTACAATTTCTATTAGTAGCGAATGGGATCTGAACAAGGCGACGAGCTGGAACTCTCAAACCCCCACTTATCTTCATGAGGTTTGTGTCCATGATCTTTTCTCGCAACATGCTCGACACATGCCCCATCATGAGGCAATTTTCACTTTGAGCGAAACCATGACCTATGAAACACTCGATCGCTTGTCTACCAGTATTGCTAGCCACTTGGGTCATCTTGGCGTCAAGCCGGAAACTGTTGTCCCCTTCTGTTTAGAGAAGTCGATGTGGACAATAGTCGCAATGCTTGGTATCCTCAAGGCTGGAGGTATTTTTGTTCCACTTGACCCTTCGCATCCTACTGCTCGCCGGCAGGCTCTGATGGAAGAAACAATGGCGCAGTTTGTGGTAGTTTCCGCAAATACCGCCCATCTATGCTCCGGCATGGCCCCAAATATCATTCTGGTGCCTGATTGTATACAGTCTGCGACGAGCAGAAATGGTGTTCTGCCGCCCAGTTACCGGAAGCCAAAGCCATCGAATGCTGCATACATTATATTCACATCAGGATCGACAGGGAAGCCAAAAGGTGTAATTATGGATCATGCTGCCCTATCATCTAGTACCCTTGGGCATGGCAAATACTTTGGCATGGGGCAACATTCTAGAGTCTTTCAATTCTCTAATTACGTATTCGACGGCAGTGTGGGAGAGATCCTTACAACCTTAGCTTTTGGAGGCACAGTATGCGTACCTTCAGAAGCCGAACGCCTGCAGTATGCCGCCGATTTCATGGTGCGGTCCCGAGCGAACACAGCGATGTTGACGCCTTCATTTGTCAGAACACTCAAACCTGAACAAGTGCCATTCCTTAAAACTCTTGTGTTAGGCGGAGAACCTGCTTCGAAAGACCTAGTTGATACATGGCAAGGGCATGTAAATTTGATCAACGGATATGGCCCCGCGGAAGCTTGCAACTATGCAACCACGCATACTTTCAATTCAAAAGATGAGAGCTCGCGCAATATTGGCCGTCCGTTCAATGGCAATTGCTGGATCGTTGAAACAGATGATTCCAATAAATTGACCCCTCTTGGATGCACCGGAGAACTCATAATTGAAAGTCATTCCCTTGCTCGCGGTTACTTGAACGAAGATGAAAAGACCAAGATCTCCTTCCGCGACTGTATTGATTTCTTGCCTCCTCACCACGCCGAGGAAGCCCGTCGTTTCTATCTGACTGGCGATCTTGTGAGATATACACCAGATGGAGACATGGAATACGTCGGGAGGAAAGACACACAGGCGAAGCTACGCGGCCAGAGGCTGGAGCTCGGGGAGATAGAATACCAAATCAAACGGGCGCTTCCAGCCATAGAACACGTGGCTGCTGATGTTATACGGCGAGACTCTGGCGATGAGCTTGTCGCTTTCGTTTCATTCGTGGGGATGGACGAATCCAAACAATTTGCGTCAAGATTACCAAACTTGATCGCATTCGACGATGGTTTACGAGGTTCGCTCTTAGAGGTTATAGGCTCTCTTGAGGCAGCCTTGCCCGCTTACATGGTACCCAGAACGATACTGCCACTTCGGCATATGCCTTTCATCACATCGATGAAGATAGACCGGGATAACCTAAAATCTCTTGCAAAGTCATTATCTAAAGAAGAGCTGTCGGGGTACGCTCTCCATCGAACTGCTTATGAAGAACCTTCGACTCCAATAGAGATCAGGTTGCGTGATGTCTGGTCACAAGTGTTGCATATACAACCTGCGCAAATCAGCAAGAATGATTCTTTCCTAGCCATTGGAGGTGACTCAATCTCTGCTATCCACATGGTCTCCCTAGCACATCAAAAAGGTATGAAGATCGAAGTATCCTCTGTGTTCGAGGACTCGAGATTATCCCACATGGCACAGTCCGCAATATTGACAGAGGACATGGCCGAAACCTTTTCTGTTCAGCCTTTCAGCCTTATCCCGACTGCTGAAATGGATAGTATTCTTTCTGAAGTTATGAACCAATGCAAGCTCTCCGAAGAGAGCATGATTGAGGATATTTTCCCCTGTACACCACTGCAGGAAGGTCTAATGGCCTTGGCTATAAAGCAGCCTGGATCTTATATTGCCAAGCATGTTTACAAACTGTCGCATCACGTTAATATTGATCGTTTCAAAGCTGCATGGGAACAAACGGCCCAGATCTGCGGCAATCTGCGCACAAGGATCGTGAGTATTGGCGGCTCACACTTCCAAGCAGTGCTGAACAATGGCATTGACTGGGCGGCTTCCGATAACATTTCTGTCAATTCATTCCTCAACTCTCTCCAGTCTAACGCTGTATGTTACGGTGATAGACTATCTCATTGCGCTATTATTTTAGAGAATGGGCATTATTATTTCGCATGGACTATCCATCATTCAATCTTCGACGGTTGGTCAACTCGCACGGTTTTGAAGACTCTGTATGAGAGCTACTTCGAGATAAATGCTTCGCCCCTCCAGCCATATTCTAGCTTCATCAATTATATGATGAAACTTGACAAGGATGCCGCTAAAGAATTCTGGAAGAAGGAGCTTCTTAATGTCAAACGGGCAACATTCCCTTCGCCACTCCCAACAACCGAATCTACTAGCAGCCAGGTGCACACCTTGACCCGGCCAATATCCTTCGCAGAGACCCGGAATACCTCTATTACCACCGCAACTGTACTCCGCGCGACGTGGGCACTGGTTCTAGCACGCTATTGTGATACTGATGACGTGTGCTTCGGTACAACAATATCAGGTCGTCAGGCCCCTGTCCCAGGCTTGGTAGATATGCCCGGGCCAGTGGTTGCCACTGTCCCTGTTCGTGTACAAATTAACTCGGCGCGTCTTGTGTCTGATTATCTTCAGGATGTTCAGAATCAAGCTGGTAGGATGATTCCATATGAGCAATACGGCCTCCAGAATATTGCGAAACTCACTCCTGATACAAAGGAGGCCTGTGAGTTTTCCAGCTTGCTCCTCGTTCAGCCCATGAATCATATTACTTCACAAAATGCGTCTGGAGAGGAGCAAATATTCGTCGCAACTGGAGATGATGACGCCCAGGTGACAGAAGAGATACAAAACTACTTCACTTATCCACTTATCATTCAAGGACAGGTCCGTGACCAAGGGGTCGACCTTGTTTTGATTTATAATTCTGCTGTTCTTTCCGAGGATAAAGTCACCGCACTGAGCCATCATTTTGACCATGTGGTTCAGCAATTGACTGGAGATCCGCAGATGGCATTATCGGAAGTCTCCGTATCTGGAGAATGGGATTTGCAGAAGGCCATTGATTGGAATCTTGACGCTCCGGAATACGCAAATATCTGTGTCCACCAACTCATCGAAAAGCAAGCTGAACGTAATCCTGATGCAACAGCACTTGATGGATGGGATGGTACATTCACTTACAAGGAGCTTAATGATGCCGCTAATAGATTGGCTCACCACTTGCTCTCTAACCTGGGTGTTAAAGCTGAAGACATGGTGCTAGTATGCTTTGATAAATCAATCTGGTTCATTGTCACCATTTTAGCAATCAACAAGGCTGGCGCTGCCTGGGTGCCAATAGATCCATCTCATCCTGTCCAACGTCAGCGCCAGATCGTCAAGCAGACACGATCGAGGGTTGCCTTGGCGGCACCACAAATGGTCTCGAGATGCTCCGAGCTTGTCTCCAATGTAGTGGAGGTGACTGCCACTTTTGACTCTCTTCTGGCTAGAAACGGCTCAACCAGCTCCTCTGAGCCAACAGTAGCCGTAGCTCCAAGCAATGCAACGTATGTCCTCTTCACCTCCGGAACCACTGGCCTACCCAAAGGTTTAGTAATGGAGCATGGGGCGTTGACCACATGCATTCTTTCTCTCTCGAGCACCTTAGGGGTCCACCAAAATGTCAAAATGCTGCACTTTTCTGCTCACGTATTTGACATTGGCATTGGAGAGATATTCATGCCATTATTTTCTGGCGCTACTCTCTGTATCCCGTCTGAGCATGATAGGATGAACAACTTATCGGATTTCATTTGCGACAAGGGGGTCAACTGGCTTTTCCTCACTCCGTCATTTACACGAACCTTGCGACCAGAGAAAGTTCCAAGTATCGAACTAATCCTCACTGCGGGAGAACCCTTCGGTAAAGATCTGCTGGACATGTGGTTTGGCAAGGTTCGACTTGTCAACTCATGGGGTCCAGCAGAAACTTGCATTATCAATACAACTAACGAGTTCAAGTCGCAACATGATTCTGCCTTGAATTTTGGTCGGCCTTTTAACTCAAGGTGTTGGATCGTAGATACCGACAATCCCCACCGTCTTGCCCCAATAGGCTGTGTTGGCGAGATTGTCCTTCAAGGTCCCATTATCTTGAGAGAATATCTTGCAGATATTGAAAAGACACAAGCGGCCATGATAACCGACCTGCCTAACTGGGTTCCTCATCGGAACGATGTTCACTGGAATAGGTTTTTCAAATCAGGTGACTTGGGCTTCTACCACCCTGATGGAACCATTGAATTTGTGGCGAGGAAGGATACTCAGGTGAAGATTCGCGGTCTCCGAGTCGAATTAGATGAGGTGACTCATCATATTCGTCAATCTCTTGAAGGTGTTGAGAAGATCATCGTCGATGTGCTCAAGACTAGTAGTGGCGTTAACCTCGCTGCTTACTTGTGCTTCTCCAATGACACTCGACTCCCGCAAGAGGTGTTGGGAGATGACGACGACCTCCTCCTTCCACACACACAAGAACTTCAACAGCGCTTGACAGAGATGATCAGCAGGCTCACAACCCTACTGCCTCAATATATGATCCCAACTTTCTTCTTTCCCTGCAAGTACATACCACTCACTGGTTCATCGAAGCAAGATACCAAGCGACTTCGTAATGCGACGGCCGCACTCAACCCAGAGGAACTTTCCCGCTTCTCTCCTTCTGCAGGTGAGAAGCGAGCACCGAAGACGCCTATGGAGAACCAGATTCAACACCTTTGGGCCGACCTTATCAATATTCCAGTTACCTCGATAGGCCGTGACGACACCTTCCTGGCCGTTGGAGGTGACTCCCTCTTGGCCATCCGGTTCGTCTCTCAACTGCGCGAACTGGGTCTAATCTTGACCGTCAAGGATGTATTTGATGATCCTCGTTTGTCATCTGTTGCTAGCAAGATTAGGCAGAGTGAAGAAGGTGATAAAGTCCAGGAAACCATTGCCCCTTTCCAGTTATTGGGCGATGGTCAGCTGGAGGCCGCCCAAGCAGATTCTGGTCTCCATTCTGGGCGTGAAATTGAGGACGCTTTCCCTTGCACCAAGCTTCAAGAGGGCCTGATGACTATTTCTGTCAAACAACCTGGTTCATACATCTCTAAACAAGTATTCCATATCCCACAGCACGTGGATCTCGACAATTTCAAAAGCGCCTGGGAAAAAACAGTCGAATTATGCAGTAACCTGAGGACAAGGATAACACTTCATCAGAATTCTTCGATTCAGATGGTTGTCAAGTACGACAGAGGAGATGTATGGGATGAAGTCAATGGACTTGATCGGCGATCCTTCTTGCGAAATTCCCACACAATGCATATGGGATATGGATCGCGGCTCTACAGATCTGCGCTGATCCAAGAGCCAAATGGCCAGAACTTCTTTTGTCTTTTGATGCACCACGCAATATTTGACGGCTGGACAATGTCAATTATTCTAAGGACCCTGGTCAGCTTCTACCAGCAGAGCCAAACTCCTCCTGTCTATCCGTATAATAGATTCGTCAAGTATACTCAAGACCTCGACTACAACGAAGCTACCAGATTCTGGCAAGGCCAACTTCAGGATGCACAAAAGGCATCGTTCCCGGATCCAGCCGAGAATCTCAATGTCCAAAAACAGACCAAGGTCTTCCAAAAGCACTTGGAAATCTCTTGGCCCAAGGATACCAGTGTTACCAAAGCATCCGTGCTTAGGGCAGCCTGGTCGATTGTACTTTCACGCTATTGCACATCAGATGATATTTGTTTCGGTGCGGTCGTTTCCGGAAGAAACGCGTCAGTATCAGGAATCGAAGGAGTTACCGGTCTCATTACAGCAACTGTTCCTGTCCGCGTACGCCTTTCACGAGACCAGCCGGTTTCCCAGTTCGTTCGAGGCATACAAGCTCAGGCATCCGATATGGTAGCACATGAACAGTTTGGTATACAAAACATAGCCAAGCTCGGACCTGACGCAAAAGCAGCCTGTGACTTTTCAAGTCTGATGATTGTTCAACCCGGTCAACATGTAGAAAATCCCACTAGCAAAAATCCCGAAGCCGTACTTGAGCCCGATGCATCGCAAGAATGTGCTATCCAAGACTCGATGCAAAACTTCCTCAATTATCCTCTTGTGGTCCAATTCGTCCTGCAGGGTTCGCAAACAGAGCTTTTCATTATGTATGACCCCAATGCTGTTACTGAGCAGCAATCAATCGCTATCTCTCATCAGATACAACATGTCATCAACCAAATGCTGAAATATAACGACATGCTTCTGGGCCAATTGTCCGTGTCTGGCCCTTGGGATCTACAACAGGCAATTAAATTCAACTCTCACGTCAGTCATGAAGTTGTTCAAGCTTGCATTCACGATTTAGTTTCCAGCCATGCTTGTCGCGAACCATCTCGAGAAGCAATTTATTCCACGGAAAGGTCAATCACATATGGAGAGTTAGACAGCCTATCTGATCTTCTAGCATCATATCTACATTTCCTAGGAGTTCGACCTGAAATGATGGTGCCCTTCTGCTTCGAAAAGTCCCCTTGGGCTATCATTGCGATGCTGGGCATAATGAAGGCTGGAGGTGCATTTGTTCCACTCGATCCAGGTCACCCCTTCGATAGACGAAAGTCTCTAGTCCAGGAAGTGAATGCTCGCATCGTTCTAGTATCCCCCTCGAGTTCACAAGCGTGCGAGGGCATTACCGAACACGTGATCGAAATCTCAGAACAATTCCTGTCACACCTGAAGGTTTTGGACATTTCGCTACATCCTCCAAAGACGACATCTAGCCCATATAATGCGGCGTACACTCTCTTCACCTCCGGATCAACTGGAAAGCCAAAGGGTGTTTTGATCACCCACTCTGCCATATGCACGTCACTGATGGGTCAACGAGAATCAATGGGCTCCTCCTCTAACTCTCGTTGGTTCCAATTTGCAAACTATATTTTTGACGCTTGTATCAGTGAAATTTGGGGACCTCTGATCCTAGGCGGTGTAGTCTGTGTGCCAACTGACAGAGAGAGGCTCCATGATGCAGCCAATTTCATCACATCGTCCCAGTCCAATATCGGAGTCCTCACTCCGTCTTTTGTAAAGACGTTGTCGCCCCTCGCAGTACCGTCTCTCAAAACTCTCAATCTGGGCGGAGAGGCGCCTACCAAAGACCTACTGGACACGTGGTTTGGACATGTCGATCTTCGAAATGCCTATGGTCCCACAGAATCTTGTATCAGTTGTGCCTACTATCAGTATAAATCCCCTACTGAGTCACCAACCACTATAGGTAATGGTTTTGTTCATAATACCTGGATCGTGGATCCTGAAAATCACAATCGCCTAGCGCCCATCGGGTGCATTGGCGAGTTACTTGTCCAAGGTTGGTCTCTAGCCCGTGGTTATATCGGTGATGGTGAGAAGACCAAGACATCATTCGTTAATGACGTGGACTGGATACCACACACTGTTCCAGGCCATGAGTTTGGATTCTATAAGACTGGCGATCTCGCCAAGTACAACCCGGATGGCACAATTTCCTACCTGGGCCGTAAAGACGCTCAGGTCAAGATTCGAGGCCAACGTATTGAAATCGGTGAGATTGAGTATCAGATCAGTGCGGCAGATCGTTCTATCAAGCAAGTGGCCGTCGAGCTTGTTCAATCCCGTTCTCACGATACTCTTGTCGCACTTTTTACAGTCGACGATGAAAGCCACGAGGATGATGATGCACAAACTATCCAAGTGACTGACAAAACACAGTTGATTTCTAATACCTTGATCAACCTCCATTCGAAGCTGGCATCTCAACTCCCTGAGTACATGATCCCCCAGTACTTTATCCCCGTGGCGAGCATTCCACAAAATACTGCTGGAAAGCTCGATCGCAGGTCTCTGGCCAAGTTCTTAGCAGCCATGTCCACTGAGGACTTATCCAGATGGTCTCTCAATCAAAGCTTACCGTTCCGTGAATGCACAACAGATGTTCAGCGCTGGCTACGCGATCAGTGGGCCAAGGTCTTAGCTATGCCGGCTACGACTATCAGTTTGGATGACAACTTCTACAATCTTGGCGGTGACTCCATCCGCATCGTGACACTGAATAAATTCATCTCGGAGAAGTTCAATGTTCAGCTAGGAATATCACTCCTCAATAGTAAGCAAACCACCATTGGCACCATGGCCCATTATATCGAGGATGCCATGGATGAACGTCTCGCCAATGAGACATCCATCAGTGTGGCAGATGAGATCACGGCGGTTACCAACGCATCATGGGCCAGGCATCCGCAGCGTTTAATCGAGAACCCGATCACATCCTTGCCAGCCAATGCTATTGTCTTTCTAACAGGAGCCACGGGATATCTGGGCACCGAAATTTTACGCCAGCTGGTCCGCTCGGATGCTATCAGAACCGTCATTGTCCTTGTGCGCAGCAAGTCTTCTCGCATGGGATTAGAACGCGTCAAGGATGCAGCTCGTATCACAGGATGGTGGCGAGACAATGATAAAGACAAGATCGAGGTTTGGACAGGCGACTTGTCTCAACCTCACCTAGGACTTGAAGAAAGCCAATGGGCCCAATTGACAAAGTCAGGCGACGGCCAGATTGATGCGTTTATCCACAACGGTGCAGTGGTCAATTGGAACGCAGACTACACCAAGCTCAAAGCTGCCAACGTTGATTCAACTGTCGATCTTCTTCACCTTGCTTCTGTCTCTGCGTCAAATCCCAAATTTGTGTTCGTGACGGGCGGCATACAAGTCAATCATGTTGACGGAGTAGATGTACACGCGCCAATTATCAATTCACTCAACGGTTATATTCAGACAAAGTTCGTAGCGGAGAGGATTGTGTATAGCATGAGCCAGAAACTGCCTTCAGAACAGAACAGAATTTCAATCGTCATGCCTGGGCGAATCATTGGAGGCGCAAGTACGGGCGTGGCCAATGTTGATGACTTCCTCTGGCGAATGGTATCGTGTGCAGCCGCCATGAGAAAACATCCTTCCGATACTCAAGGGCTTTGGATGAAAATTGCAGATGTGTCCAATGTGGCAGAAGGAATCATTGGTCAGATTTTCGATCGGGACGGGGTGTCACCTTATGTCTCAGCAACAGGCCTCATACCAGAGTCCTTGTTTTGGGATCAAGTGAACGCGGAATTGAAGGTTCAATGTCAGCCTGTTTCTTGGGAGGAATGGCAAACATCCGCGATGGAATCGATGAACAAGGCTGGAGAAAAACACCCTCTTTGGCCGGTCCAGCATTTCGTATCTCGTCTTGGAAAGCCAGTGGAGAAGGAGGAGATCGATGCAGAAGACTACACACAACTTTGCCGCGCAGTAAGAAGCAATGTGAGATATCTTATGCGCATCGGCTTCATCCAGTCGTCAGTAGGCGAATTTGGCGATATTCGCGAGGCAACAATGAAACGTATGCACACCACCTGATGTGGTTCTTCACTCTTTAGATAATTTCCTTTTTTGTTCTTTTCTTTTTCTTCCCTTGTGTTGTTTTACACTCTTTTTCATATTTCCTACTTGTTATGTCAAAATTTCATTCATCACTCATTGAACAATTTTGATACTAAATATACAATTCCATAAATGTCGTCATTCTTTCATTCTTTTGGTGTAACTAGAAAAGCATCTAGAATTTCAAGCATTATGGACCACCTACTCCTGCTCTGCTCCATTAGTAATATGTGGCTGCAACTGGGAGTTCAGCTTCGCCTTCCAACAGGGTACATACGTTGTAGGGTTGCACTTTGTTGGCTTACTACCTCGATGAGAATGAAACCAAATTTGCAACGTGTCGATCTCATATTGGATTCCATTTACGCTTTAGTCATTGTTGCATATGTGAGTCTTATCCCAGATATCTGATTCGCGGCTCGGCGCGTCATTCGCAGAATGATTGACCAGTAGCGTGAGCAGTTCGGTGTCCGAAAGGATTTTTGCTGCAGCCACCGGATTGTGCACATGATGTGAAAATCTTGTTTGACAAATTGACAAAGCATGGTGTTACCCCTCCCACATATCTATGAAGTCAGTCCTCAATCCAGAACTCTCTAGTACGCGAACAGCCATACCGTCTCAACCGCACCGTGTCTTATCCTGCTAGCATTTCACTGTTTAGTACATCATGCTGCATCCAGCCCTTATTGTTTGGTGGTTTTGGGCAGGGGTTTCCGTTGCTGATGACGGGGACGATTTCTCGAATAATCTCTTCTCTGATTTGGCACCGTAAGTAATCACTAGTGGTTATTTGGTATGCGAACCTACTGACTTTCTAGGCGATCAGTCTATTGGCCCTTTTTGGGGAACGAGTTACCATGCAATTCATAAGCCAGTCCATGGGCTGGGCAGACAACTTAATACTTGCCATGGGCCCAATAGGAATAATCACTATCATCATCAGCGCCATCAGAGTTGGGGGTCCAAAGTGGCTGAAGGCCTTGGTTGGAAGAGCGAGGGAGAATCTTGCGGCTGCCGAAATGGAGCTCCTCTCATCTACTTCTAAGGAAGTTTGCGAGCTCTGGAATGGGTCAGAAGTTGTCAGGTGTATGGGAAAATGCTCTCTAACAGAGTTCATCATCCTTGTTCCCACCAAGGGGATAAACAAGGACACGCGCGTTGTAATCCATTGTGAAGATTGGAGGACCTATCTAGAAGAACGAGTAGGTAATCTGCTAATCCCCCTTTGCTAAGTTTAAGCTTATACTGACAAACTCAATGACTCTAACCCTTCCTCGGAGAAAAAAGAACATAAAAAAGCCGCTACTCAAATACCTCGCTGCATGTCATTCTTCAGAAATTCTCCAAATGAAGAAAATGGTCATAATCCACCTCTAGACAATGACAATACCACAAACGACGAACAAGTCTCCAACCAAAATAATAACATCATTGTTATACGCATTAACGGCCCAAAGGTCGAAACCTCCAAACTCCCTAAAAAAACCGAAACCCCTGGAAAAATCGGAAATACTGAAAAAATGGGGGACAATGAAAATGCTCCAAATATATCCTTAAATTGCCACAAGCTTGCCAGCCCCCTAGAGCTTTGGGTAGTTGCCATTTTTGGGACGACCCTCCAGCTTGGAGTGGTGGCCTACTGGGCCTTTGCTTCATATCACCCAACGCTACACTACCCTAAAGACGGCAAAAATGTTGCAGACTATGCATATCCTTGCGCTGCAGCTGGAACACTTACCTTGGTGGTTGGCATGATGCTTTGCTCACATGTTGTAGAGAGCAGGACTACGGAGAAGCGATATGTTCCACGTGGAAAAGCGCATGATATCTACTTTTGTTGGCTACAGCAAGAAAAATTTGTCAACGACCAGTCATTCAACTCACATATTATCTATTGCAAAAAAAAAAACAAGTACATTGTCCTATCGCGGCGAGACAGCGAAGGGGGTAGATTGAAAACACTTACCATTTTCTCAACAATCATTGCGCTCTCTGGATTCGTCGTACAATTCGTCGGCTTGCGGGGACTGCACTGGTCTGCCTCTGTTACTCAGCTTGGCATCGTACTGTTCATGCTTGCTTGCAAAGCATTCGTTCGCCGTGGGCTCGCTAGCCCCCCAGAAAGCAGTGGCTCTCTCAAGTCAGGATTTGAGCTTGAGTGGCTCACTAAAGTACTGTGCGAGAGAAGTGAGCCACGTCAGGAATCACTTCTAAATTTATCTCAACCTTCAGCTGTGAAATCACCTCAAGAACCACCTCAAGAAACACCTCTGGATCTAGCTCTTATGTGGCTTGAGGAACAGAAAGGAAAATTTCAAGATCCCGGACAGGAAAGCGCGGCTCAACCATCAGTGGATGCAGCTCCCTCGTGGTTCGGGCCTATTTTATTCGATACACTCGCTTGGCTCATCAGAGGGTTGCACAGAGGGTTGCGCAGAAGCTGCACAAACATTGCTAGGTCATTGCTCGACTACTTATCTGAATTCTTTAGTGACGCTAGAGATGCAGAACAATCTGAGAATCATGACCTAGTGCACAGGCTTGTTGGGTGGCTCATCAAGACATTGCACGGAATATTTGGTAGTGCCAGAGATGCCGGCCCTCTTCAGTGGTTCAAGAGTGGGTTGCCACCTTCGCCAGCAACTAACAACGAGAGATCGGGCATGGCATCTTTCATTGCTATTTTTACTTTTTACTCGAAGTCTCATCCTAACAACGAGCGAGCAGCCTCTGAGCCTGGACACATACCAGACTGGATGATCAATAATTTCGGAAAGCCCGAGTTGCAACTGGAAGAGCTCGAATCACAAACGGAAGAGTCTGAGTCGCAAACGGAAGAATCTGAGTCTCAAAAGGAAGAGTCTGAGTCTCAAATGGAAGAGTCTGAGTCTCAAATGGAAGAGTCTGAGTCTTAAATGGAAGAGTCTGAGTCTCAAATGGAAGAGTCTGAGTCTCAAATGGAAGAGTCTGAGTCTCAAATGGAAGAGCCCAAAGTGGAGTCGCAGGCACACAGCATGATGACGATCCGTCGAGATTTAGGTCGATTAGCTGACTGGCGTGAGCGTCCGTCGAAAGAAGCAATCGCCGTGACGAAATCGATTGAGATCGTGATGAACACCCTTTTCCCCAAAGTTGAAGGTACTGAGAAGCCCACCTACTGGTCCATAAAGAACTCGAAGGACCAGGAGATTGATTTTCAGATCCAGTACAAGAATGGAAGATTCACAGTTGACTTTATGGAAATGGACGCGATTCTATCCCTATGGCTATTCGCTGACAGCCAGAAATACTCCGAAGACGAGCCTAAACCATCAAGGGAGGATGGCAAAACTAATTCTTGGCTAAGAAGCAAGGGACTGCTTCCCGGGTCCGCCCTCTGCCTCCTCGGACCTTATTCAGCAGCGTTGCACCGTGACATATGGTGGTGGATGCCCACCAAGGAAACCCCAATTTTGCTAGTTCAGAACTGTCAAACGGGGCATGCAAAGTATGATTCTGCTGAGAAATTAAGTGAGCGATATGGAAGAGTCGTTGGTAGCGTTGCTGAATATGATTGGGTCGAGAAACCGGAAACTAGACTGGAAATCCGTCAGTTGGAGGAGCCCAGGTTTGATGAAGAAGCGGACAATGAGGAAACGGATGATGAAGGAAGCGCAAAGCCTGAACACGATGAACAGAAGAATGTTCTCCAAGGTTTCTTTGCTACTGAAAAAAAAACTTCGGCGGAATTAGTCTACGCCCAGCACATATTCTCCGCTTTCATGAGAGCTGCTGCAGCGGACGAGTCTACTCGCATTAATCCTTCGAAGACGACCTTGCGGACAGAAGCCACTACCAATGGGGGCGCATGGAAATCCTTCACAGTCGTGAACGAAACTCTTTCTAAGATGGCCATTGAAATCCAACAAACAGGCCTTGGAAGCCTGGAGGAAGTTTACCAGAGTATTCTCCCTCCTCTTTGTCTCTCAAACAAACTGCCTCAGCCCGATGAAATGATTGAATTAGCACGAAAAGAGGCTAGAGCACATGAGAAAGCCGGCCAATGGGAAGAAGCTGGGGAAATATATCTCTCACTGCTGCGCAGAACAAAGACATATCCCAATGATACCGCCATCGCAATCAAAGCTGCAGCAACAACAATGCAATTTTGGAGACAGGTCGTCTTTTCAATTGAAGCCGAGATGGCTCAATTTTGGTCGCTAGAACCACTTGGAAGTAAATTGGAGAAGCAGTTGAGAGAGAACAACGAGAAAACCTTCCTCGAGCTACAGAGTCTTTACATTACCCAAGGTCGTGGTCGTGCCTGGGAAGACGATCGAGGCAGCACCGAGGCGGTTGGCCTAGAATCTTTCCGAAATGAATTTGGCATCACTGCAGCCCACAAACTCGCTAGAAGCGATGAGCTGAACACTGAGCCTTGGCGAATTACTTACGATAAGGACATGGACTTGAGGTCCGCTGATGTCTTTGGCTGGACAGTACTCCACTATGTTTCAACCCAAGTTCGATCGCTGCAAAGAGAGTGGGATCTGTCTTGGATCATAGAAAAGGTTGCGAAGAGTACAGGCATCAATGCGCGCGATTTGATCGAATGGACGCCGCTCCATTATGCTTGCTCTGCTGGAGGAATAGTCATGGTGCAAACAATCATCCAGTTCGGCGCCGACGTCAATGCGCAGGGCACAGACAACTTCACGCCTCTGCATTGTGCAGCTTACCACGGCCACGAAGAGATCGTTGCCATATTGGTTGAAGCAGGAGCCGACATTAACTTCCAAGACGTATTTGGCAATTCTCCGTGGTTCTGGGCCATAAGGGAACGCCGCAAATCCGTTTATAAGCTTCTTTATGGAAATCTGAACTTGAATAAGAAATTACGAAACTTCAAGGGAATGACTGCTCTCCATCAAGCTGCACGTTTTGGTGATCAAGCAATAGTGGAGGTGCTACTTGATGACCACATGCAGGATGTCAATGCCAAAGACCGCTATCAGCACACCCCGCTGTATCTGGCAGCGGGGCATGGGCAGGAGGAGTCTATCATAGACTTACTGCTTGAAAAGGGTGCAGATATTGAGGCTGGAAGCATAAACGGCCGGACGCCGCTACACGCAGCAGCACAAGAAGGGCATGAGGCGGTTGTTAGGCTGCTGTGCGAAAAGGGTGCATTTACTGACGCTCAAGACGTTCAAGGTGTAACCCCGCTACATCTTGCAGCAGAAACAGGACAAGAGGCGATTGTTAGGCTGCTGCTTGAAAAGAGTGCAAATATTGAGGCTCAAAATAAATTTAGTAAGACCCCGCTATATACAGCAGCGGGAAGAGGGCAAGATACGGTTGTTAGGCTGTTGCTTGAAAAGGGTGCAAATATTGAGACTCAAGATAAATATGGTAAGACCCTGCTACATACAGCAGTACTGATGGAGGAAGAGGCGATTATTAGGCTGCTGCTTGAAAAGGGTGCAAATATTGAGGCTCGAGATAAATATGGTGAGACCCCGCTCTATCTAGCAGTACTGTTTGGGCGAGAGGCGATTGTTAAGCTGCTGCGTGAGAACGGCGCAAAGTAGGAGACATCATCACCATGCCTTACGGGTAGGAATGGAAAAAGGCCAACTGCTGAACTAATGCTTGAAACCCAAAAGACAAATCCCATAAAATGCACTATTTCGATAGATGGACAATTAAAATAATTGCGGTCAAAATTTCCATCAAGGGCGATGTCCACGGAATGACGTATTCATTATGTCGAGATGTCAGGTCTGGCATCTTTCATTGTTCTTTCAGTTTGTGACGCGGAGCGATAAATATGCTACATATTCCCATCAACGCAGAAGATGATCCGAGAGCCCACCTAAAATCACAAAGTTCAGGTAGCTGGTTGCTTGCACTAGACAACGCCGATGAAGAGAGTATCATTTATCACGTACCGAGCCCCAGGATGATACAAAGGGTCACTTACCACAGACTGTAAGACATGGGCGGATTTTTATCACTACACGCTCCAAACGGGTTGCAGTGAGTATGAGCAAAACTGGTTTTATCCATTTGCAAGGGATAAGCTTAGAGGGGACCAAAACTTTCTTAACAAAGAGTTGGTCCCAAATGATCAGATATCTGGTGAAGAGTACAAAATTTAACTGATCGAAACCCTCCGTTAGCCGCCGCTTGCAATGTCTCAGACAGTCTCCTGCTTGTATATGAAAGAAATCTCATTTTGTACTACTCACAGCCATCGAAAACATCGGAACAAGATACTGAGGAGTTGATGGGTCAAGGCTTTGGCGATGGTAACATTATGGCCCAAGTCAAGGCGCGGTAACGGCAAGGTGGCTTGTATTCTTCAAACAAATATAGTAAAAGAAGCCCTGCCGCGTCTTTAATTCATTCCATCCATCACATAGGTTGAACCTAAAGTAATTTCGGACGAGGTAGCTATAAAGAGCTAACCTTAGGAAGTTGATCTCGAACGGACTTCGACAGCATGCCAACTTTCAAAAGCAAATTCAAGGGCTAAGGTATATCTTGAGTGAGCAATTACGCTTCTTCAAGATATAATGGCTCTGGGAAAGAACACTCTGGCAGAAAACCCCACGACCGTACGCTCGCAGAAGCATACTTGAGTATTAGTGATTGGAAAAGGGGATAGAAGTGCTAGAATATAGAGACTACATCGACGATAGTTCCAGTGTAGTTCTTCACCCTAAACTCCAAATGACGACACTCTAATCCGTAGAGGCATATCTATCAAATAGTCAAATTGAAAAAGGAATTGAGGTCCTCAAACGTATAGTAGCCAGCGAGAGTAAGATATATCCGTCCCCATCCTCACAGAATGGTAGTACAAGTCACGCTTGCCACATAACATTCAGATATCGGTCGGGGCAAAACGGTTACTCGTCTTCTATAGTACGCGACCCTTTTTATAGAAAGAGGTAGAGCTGGTCGACGTCTGGTCCTCTATGCACTTGGTTTGACATATTAAGACCATACGACATAGGTAGAAACAAGAGATAGACCATATCGTATAATCAAACAAGAAAATTAGAGACGGAGGACATGGCAGAGAGTATTACCCCAATAATCTCTGCTCAGAATGCTTAAAATCTCACCAAACTCCTCCAACGCCAATGCTCCTAAGAGGGTACATGATACTTCAAAGATGAGATATCAAACAACGCATTTGATCTTAATGTTTGCTCGTCAAAATGGGAAAAACAACTCCAATCAGTCCAGACAGAGGAGTTTAGCTTCCTCAAGGGATAAATGCGAAGAGATGTCTTTCGTCCACAAGCCGCCATTCTTATGCGCCATGACAGAGACACCATAGCCAATACTCAAGCAGAGGACAAACATCCAAGAGCTGAAAATGAGCTGAGCGTAGGAGATGAAGGTAGACAAGTACGTCACGTTCTCCTGAGCGATGGCGACGCCATAAAAGCCAGCCAGAATAGTGAGGCCCCCATGATGTAAGGCTGTTACCGAGTTCATGACCATCAATATCCTCCAAAGCTAAAGGTGTGAGGGTTAGCGGGGTGGTGTAAGGTCAAGAGATAAACGAGCTGGTGGTTTGGGATGTTTCGGGTGGAGCGTCCTTGACTTACTCGCTTCTGAGGTGCCGCGTAGTGCTGGCAAGCTGTGCTGATAAGACCACCAATTGAGAAAAGCCACAGAGCAGCATCAAGAGACAATGCAGTCATCTTCATGGGCCAGAAAGCAGCATCAACACCTGAATAGTACAGTTCCGAGCAAGCGAGGTCGGCAGCGTTGATAACCAAGATGCAGATGTATACGACTAGGCCAATGATGTGGGGTACAGGAGAAGCTTCGTCAAAAAAGCCACTGACCTCCCGCTCGCGAGATAAGATGGAGGCATAATCCAAACCTATGGTAAACTCGATTTGAGCAACCTGAAACGTGGTAAAGGCAGTATACATGAAAAAATTGGTGAAGATTGGAAACTGCTCCATTCCAAACTCGAAGGCAGAGCTATCACCGCTACCAGTAGGACGGCCTTGCCTCAAGAAATATTCCGTTACTGGGCTCACAATGGCAGTCACAAGCCAGCTTCGCGGGCGGAGAATGATCAGCTACCTCGACACCACCTCTATGGGAGCGAAGGGAAGGGGGGGGATACGAACAGAGAACCTAGGGCACCCGCGGCCTTGAACCAGGGGACGCCAGATCGCGCATCATCTTCATGACGGTTGGCTCTGAGGAAGGCGAGGCTTGCGAGAACAGCCGTGATGATGGCGGCTGCGATGACTACAGTTAAGATGGCTCCTACGCCTGCCAAACCCAAGTACGCCTCGGCGTCAAGGATACTGAAGTGCATTCCCGCCGTGCGCAAGATTCATGCAAGTGGTCGATGCGGAACGTGCCCTGCATTTGTTCCCTCATCCACAGGTCATCGCTCCTCAAGTTAAGCGCTGTAATCTTTGTAAATAATTCAACGCCAATCAATTAAAAGAAAGGAATAGAAAGGAATAGAGAGAAAAGTGAAAGGAAAAAGGAAAAACGACAATCAAGAAGAACAATAGTATTTGCGCCACACGCCCATGTCAAACAGGCCGGGCATGGCCGTGATAAATAGTTGACATTAACTATGATCTGAATAACATACGGGCCAACTCAACAATCCGATGCGAAGAGGAACAATCGTACAAACATAGATACAAAATCGAAAGAACCTGGACACGCTGTAACCAGTAATCCAGAAGGTTGTTTCAGGGCATGTCACCCCGTCCACCATCGCACTTTTGCCTTGATGCCACCATCTGCCGAAACGCACCAATGGCCCAAAATAGCAAATCATTTGATCCAGGATCCTCATGGATTCGCGGTTGTCTAGCAATGCAGTTCGGCAACAAAGCCACAGTCGGAACCGTAGGCATTTCGGCACTCACTCACTGATCATTGATGATTAATCGGCAATTGAGGATTGTTCATACTATAATGATTCAAAGACAGCGGTTTCCTTCATTGATCCAGGGTCCAGGCGCCGGTCCTCGTGTTACTTATTACTATCAGCCTGATTCTTGTTAATTGGCGGAGTGCTGGTGCGGGGAGTCGCGTGTCAGGGGTGAACTAACGCCACGCAGGCCTTCGCGTTCAGGCTCCCTCCACATCTCGAACTGTTAGATAATGAGGTTGTAGTGTAAAATTGGGATTATCAGTCTTGATATCTATGCGATTCTTTTGGTTGTTTACCTCACTTACTAAAAAGACAGGCAAGATCAATATTTGAGGGCAATGTCAAGACTAAGGATGACTCCTTTAAAACATCCTTTACGGTAGATCTTCTCCTTGAATCATCTTGATTTATAGCGTTGAAAAAAGATAGAAGAAAGAAAGAAAAGAATAAAAAGAAAGAGGATTCGTGGGAAGATATTCTGATATGAAAGAAATACTCATTACCTTGTTAATTCTCTGTTGCGGGTATGGTATGCAGATTCTCTCTCAGTACAGGGTAGGTAAAATCGATAAGGGGCTGCTTATCGATCGGGAAAAATTCCCATTTTGGAACTAGCCGGTCCAGTTATCATGGCCAATGACAATCGAGCCATCTCCAGAGTGCTTGACCAGGACGGGAAATACTCACGCTACCGTCAACGGTCGTGAGTATTGCCTGATCAGGACCAAATTCTTGCCTGTTCTGGCAAAGATGCGAAGCTACCTATATTAATTAAAATGACTTGAAAGTCGCTCCCACATCCAGATATCTTCTGCTTGTCTCTCTATCTTGCAACAAACCCTCCATATCTGCCCAGTCTGCAAGAAGCCAACCGCTTATCAGGGCTGAGCGCGCACACCCCTTTATGGCGCTCTCTACAGCTCCTTCTGCGCTCGCCTTCCTTGCTCAGAGGCATGATGATGCGCAAAAGGCCATAGAGCACTTCCACAGCCTGCTCCACACACGCGAGGGCAACGATGTCACGCTCTGGTTCCTGGGCGAGGCCACTCGCCTCATCGCCGTCCTTCTCGACACATTGAGCCAGTCTGACACATTCCGCCATCCAAAAGAATCCTTACTTCTTGGCCCCTGGCTGAAGCTGGCGGCAAAATTGCGACTCCCGTGGGGGCTGACGCCACGCGCGCCCACCCGGCTGCCCCTCTCTGCGATTTCCGGTCGGGCTGCGGAGCGGATGGGAGTTCTTGCCGATATTTTGGAGGATTGGCAGATTCTAAATCGTTTCTGGGGCCTGTTGGATATGTGGGTTGCGATAAAGACCCTCCTTGCCGATACGTTGCGCAGCTTACGGGAGAAGAAGCCCGTCAATTGGCCGGATACTCTGGGTCGTGCTTTGGAGCACCTGTGCCTGGTTGGATATCACTTTGGGGAAGCGACGGCTTGGCTGACAGGACGGAGATTTCTCGGGTGGTCGACTAAAATGCAGGAAAAGATGACCCTGCTGTCGGTTCGATCATGGGCTGGCTATTTGATTCTAGTCATGATACGCCGCCTTGCTCAGCTGATGCCACAGCGGATAGATGGCAGTTCCGACAAGCGCGCACCTGAATGGGATGCCCAGTCGAGAAAGGAATGGAACAGGGAGTTCTTCAATAACTTGGCCTGGTTCCCAGTCGCGATTTCCCTCAGTGTGCCTGGTGGATTATTGCCAACTACTCTCACTAGCATCCTTGCATTCAATGCTTCTGTGAGACCTGTTCGCGATATTTGGGAGGATACGAAAGAAGAGGGGAAGGAGGGAGGGGTAGAAGCATCATAACGATGATTGTTGCCACTTCTACACTTTTGTGATCAACCAGAGTGGCTAGGAGAGTGTAAAGCCCTGCTGAAGGGTTGATACTGAGATCTGGATTCACGCAGTCCATACATGCTATGCAATCATCGAATGACCAACAAATTCCTCTGTATCGCACTGCTGAGCTAGTGTCTGGCGAGAGACAAACAAGTCATTGCGTTTTTCTGAGAAGTGATATATATTTTGATCTTCAATCATTAGTTGTATCTGGATTGTGACTAGCTGGACGGAAAAGGAGTGTGGTAAGATCAACGTAGGCGGGGTTGCATCCCGAGGCTATGTTCCTCGGCTTATTTACTCCGCTTTGTACAATGTTGGCCAGCGGACGACAGATATAAGGCTTGTTCGCGGATATCGCTTACTAAATTCCTTTCTCAAGATAAAATAGAAGGACAGCAAGACCCTCGGCTGAATTCAACCTATTTCGGCTCCATCACGCGGTACGCGGGTAGGATTTGATTTTCTTCGCCCAACCTGCTGTCTTCCTTTACTCTCATTACTAAATTTACCATATTCATTCCGTGAATTGCCACAACTCTGCCGTATCAATTGCCGCTTGTCGGGCGAACCTGCCGGCACGATGTCCCCGACAGCCTCGAATTCCAGTTCCCGTCATGACCTAGCCGACGAAGCATTGGGACAATACCTTTTTCAGTCAGGGAAAATACCAAATCTAAGGCTACCCATCATTTCAACTAAAATTGGGTACGGGCAAAGCAACCCAACCTACTTTGTTGACGACAAGGCGTAAGCAGCTGGCAGTTTCTCTGTCCAAAGTATTAGATCATGATGCTAACCGATATCGCATTCACAGCGGGTCTAGATATATTCTCAGGAAAAAGCCCCCGGGGAAAATCATCAGTCCAGTAGCCCATCAAGTAGATCGTGAATATCGGGTGCTTCAAGCTCTTGGTACAGTCGAAGGTTTTCCAGTACCAAAAGCCTACCTCCTCTGCGGTGACCCCTCAGTTATTGGAACAGCATTCTATGTCAGTTAAGAGCAGACGAATTACCTTTTGCGATACCGTTGCTAATAAGTCTCTCCAGGTGATGGAATTTGTCAAAGGTAGAATTTTTACCGATAATAACCTGGGTGAATTATCACCCACCGACAGAAGAAAGGCGTGAGGACTCCTACCTCTTCTACGGAGATAGACCCCCAAACTAACAGGCATTCTGAAGGTGGTCTTCAGCTATAGAGACTCTCTCCTGGCTCCATTCCATTGACCCGGACGCAATAGGCCTGGAAGGATACGGCAAGAAGACGGCCTTTTATGCCCGTCACTGCAATACCTGGAGCCGTATTGAGTCCCAGCAAGCCCTCGTCAAGGATGCCAAAACAGGAGTAGCCCTGGGAAGAGCCCATGAAAAATATGATGAGATAATCGACTTTGTGAAAAACAACCTGCCTGGAGATAGGTACGCTATCATGCACGGAGACTTTAAACTCGACAATCTGGTAAGCCTGGCCTTCCGTTCGAGCAGAATTCGTGTTAATTCTTTCTGATTAGATCTTTCATCCTACTGAGCCCAAAGTTATTGCCATTCTTGATTGGGAGCTTTCCACCATTGGCCACCCCCTCCTGGACCTGGTGTATTGCGTAAGCTCCTTCTTTGAAGAAAGTGTCGCGATGGGCCAGTCAGACCCATCCTCGACAGAGTTTCCGTATAAGCCAGAAAATAGGAAAGCGAGTGGCATGCCAGAACCAGAGGAACTTCTCGACCGCTACTCTGAGCTCGTTGGCTACGATCCGAGGCGAGATGGAGGGGGAAAGGACTGGGAGGTGGCCGCGATCGTGCACTTCATCCGGGGCGGCACAATCAGTCACGGAATTCAGGCGCGAGCGATCAGCGGTCAAGCAAGCAGTGATTTTGCCCACCAGTACTTTGAACGAACTAAAGCGTTCCTTGATATAGCTTTTCGGCGCATGGAGAAACTTCAGGGAAAAGGTGGAGTGGCTAAGCTTTGAAATATGATATCCAGCACGACCCAATAAACAATTGTGTATGTTATATCAGTAGTTTTTTTCAAAGATGTTTCAATCATTTGTAGTGAGGAATTCTTCAGTATGATATGTCTCTGGAATCATTCATTGTTAGGACTTTGAAAGAAGTTTTCCAATGGATGTTTCGGTTTTTCAGTCTGTACTGGCTAGATCTGATCAATAACCCATTGTATGCCAACATAAGACTGTTGCATAAAGGTTTCCGTCTCTGGGAGATATGGAACAATCCAATAGCAATGAGGGAGACCTGAATAAGAGTCAGACTTGACACTCACCCCCGCCGCCCTCAGAGACGCCTCGAACACCGTTACGTCATCTCGCAATGAATCCATTTCACAATTGACCAAGTACGTAGGTGGAAAGTTCTTGTGACTATCCCCGTCCAGTGCTGGAAAATAGTCAGGATCATCGGGGCGTTGGCCAGCCAGTCCTATGAAGAGGCGAAGTGACTCTCCATCTACGAGTGGCGTATTGGTTTTGTTCTCGACGCTGGACTTGTGCAGTAATTTATAATTGGAAGGGATGTTGTCTGGGTGTAGCAGTACAGGACAAAAGGCTGCGACACCCTTGATTATTTTTGGATCAAGAGGAGTTTGACCCAGAAGAATCTTGCGAGTGACAGATACTGATAGGCCACCGCCGGCCGAAACACCGACGACGTATATTTTGGATGCATCAGCTCCAAACGTAGCTGCATTCTCAGATACCTGTGAAGCTTTAGTACGCGATAAGACTTCCGATCACATATGTGCGCCTCTACATACCCATTCGACTCCTTTCAACGCATCTTCTAAATGAGCCGGCGCCTTGTGTTCAGGAGACAGTCTGTAGCTGATCGCGACGATCACAGTTTGATTCTTGGCTGCGACTGCCGCGCAAAAGTATTCATCGGCGATTGAAGGGCCGACAACCAACCCACCCGGATGGTAATATATCCCAACTGGTAGCAATGGGCCGTCGGTGCTGCAAGATGGTCGATATACGCGGTATCCAAAAGTGTCTTGTAAACCTTCATGGATGGTAACGGATACGGGGTTTGGAGGGTATTGTGGCTTGAGTGCGCCCATTAAACCGGCGTGAGCGGTTCGCATCTCTTCCGGAGTGCCACTGAGAATGGGCCTTGTACCAACGCCCTCCTCGAACTTGATAGACAAGTGTAAGCGATTGCCCAGCTTGGTATTGTTGGAATGGTCTATAACTTACCTTGAGCCACGAATCTGCGTAGTTGCTCATGGTGAAGTCTTTAATGGCGAGTTGGTTTGAACCAATATTTTAGTTAATGATTTTGCGATGAAAGAAGTTTTATCTCAGACATCGGAGTAGTCTAAATACCTTTTATCATATCGAATGCAGAATGGCCAAACCGCGTGGATGCCCTGTGCCTGTCCACATCCGAACAGAGCCGGTCGGCGGATGCATGAAACATGAAGGAGTAGGGGATCTATCGGGAGAGATGGGGTATATTTTGCAGTAATGAGAGTAATATACTATAAAAGTGCAGTTTTCTTCATAAGATTGTTTACAATTGGATCTTGCTCTGTTGTATGTATGTGTGAAGTTCCTTTCGCCGGTTAATTCGTAGCTTTTGGGTTCTAATTGACAGAATCGGTGCAATTAAAAGGATTAATTTTACACAGAAAACTATGATTTCTAGGCCTTGATTAAACTCTTACTTAAGTAGCTGTCCACTTGGGCGACATCCACGAGTGACGAAATGACACCCACATAACCGTCTGGGCGAACGACAACCAGAGCGCCCTCGTTGGGGTCCACTCCATACGTAGGATAGAGGCTATCATCTATCGGCCCGTGGAAACGCATCTCAGCCAACTTCTTGACAGTTCCTGGGATGTCCACCCATTCAAAACTCCTTTCTAGGAATGGGTGTAACACTACCAACTCAACAGTGCCGGCAGGGAAGCTAGGCAATATGGACTGGCCAACCTGAGTCAAACTCTTAGCAGAACGGCCCCCTTTCTGGGCCAAGTCGATTGACGTAAAGGCAAGCACTCGGAATCTTCCGGTGGAAATGAAGTCTGAGATAGGTTAGCTTTGAGTGTGAAAGGTGTGAGCGCGAAGGGAAATCATACCATCTTGCAAGTCCCGTAGGTTTGCGTCTGCATATCTTCTTACTTTGGAGTTGAGTAAACGTCGCCCAGGCTTGAGTGTGCCGTGGAGATAGTTGTCTCCTGTCACGGGATAGCCATTTCCAGAGCTCGGCGGCTCGACAAGAATGCCGGCTGGGTACTCGATACCGCAACCGCTGGTGAATCCACTGCCATCACTAAATACCTTGAGGAACTGCTCATGGGTGAGACCTTCTACACTCTTGTCCGAATCGATCTTGCCAGAAAACATGGACGAGAATTGGGTGTCAAACTCGATAAGCATTTTGGCAATCGTTGTGCGCTCGAAGCCATAAGTGGAGAGCACAGATGGACTCTCTGTTTGAGGGCTCAGCCCATGAATTTGATGAGTCAGTTTCCAGGCAAGGTTGTATGAGTCCATCATAGAGACGTTCATCCCCTGACCTGCCTTGGGGCTATGAGTGTGGCAAGCTAATTTCCACGTCAGTGTCTGCCCTTTGGGACGTGTAGATGGGAACATAGGGAAGGCTTACCATCGCCAGCAATGAAGACTCGATCGTGCCCTTTGGAGTCCTGGAGCGAGAACTTGGGAGTCATACGCTGTCCAATTTGATAAGCAGCCCACCAATCAACTTCGGTGCCTTCTTTGATCTTGATTTCGTAAGGATGGAAGACTCGCCCTGCTTGTTCCAAGATGGATTCCAGAGTGATGCCAGCCCTCCTAGTCTTCGATTTTTCTTTCGATTTGACACCATTGGAACCAGAGCCATTGACACCAGCCTCCTCGGAAGGATCAACTTCCTCGACAGTTTGAACGTAGAGGCGGGTAAGATATTCGCCGCTTTGGATACGTTCTCGAGGAATAATCATGACAGACCCGGCATCACTGTGGATGGCTGATCGCTTTCGCACATCAGGAAAGTCCGTGTCTGCCACGAAGTCGAGAACACCCCAGATGTGGTCTGTGGTTTCACCAGCCAGCTCCAGTCCCATGGACCGCCTCACAGCTGAATGGGCACCATCAGCACCTACAAGGTACTTGGTGCGCCCGGTTCTCGTCGTCTTGGTGCCATCTGGCCCCTCCTGCTCGATTTCGAACTTGACAGGGAACTCCGCATCTCCCTCCTCGTCAAGCTGGAAACCCACAAATCGCGAGCTTCGGCGGATGACATTGGATGCGTACTGGTCGAGGTTGTTCTCTAGGATGCGCTCAATGCGGCCCTGGTGTATTGTGACCTCGTGCTTGTATCTCGCCGCAACCACAACATCAGGAGCGAATGAGGTGCGCTCAATTGCGGGGGGATCTTGCGGGGATGATTTGGGCTTCGGGTTCCAGAATGCGACCTCGGACATATGGCAACCGTGATTGATGATCTCATCGGCAATGTCCAGGCTCTTGAGAACTTCCAAAGTACGTGGTTGCAGACCATCAGCCTGGCCAGCCTTGAGTGTTCCAGGCTTGGCGTCGTAACAGACCAGTGAGTCTCCCAGCCCGTAACGTGCCAGCAGCAAAGTGCACATCATGCCCGCTGGACCTGCGCCAATGACGACGACCTCATGTCTCTCGATGCCATCCCGGGCGGCAGAGAGATCAGGATGCGGAGTCAATCTTGGAAGAGGGGGTTCTATCGTTGGGTTGATCCGCAGATCCCGTTCCTTGTGGGCCGTTTCCTGGAACACAGGCATGTTGATGAACGAGGGAGTGATTTGACAAGGCAAAAGACTCAGTGATCGAAACCTCAGCGATCACATTCACGATCGAAGCCGTCTCTGATTATAACACCATTGATTCACAGCAAGACGGCCCTAGTGTGGAGACGGCAGTAGAACGTCAATGTGTGCTTGTGGTGTCGATCGGGCTCCGCATCTTGTGATTAACCGATGGCTCGGTGGAATTGTCATCACTGATTAATCTGGATCACTGTCTCTTCTCCACGGGCTTTGTACTATCTCCCCGGTCTCGACCCGACCAGGAATAGCGAACTGACGAGAACTCACCCGGCGGGGGGCAGCTTCCGCCCTCTGCCGACCCTAGATAGACCCCAATATGAGCCAAAATCAAGAGAGTGACCGTTACCCGACCCACTATCCCCAGTTTCTTTCCAAGTCGGGTGGGAGGGGGTAACATTTCCCGGATCCTAGTCCGTTGAGATGTCGTGGCCAAGTGTAGCAACCTGATTACACACGATTACATATACAATCTTTGCTGGACGTTGTCACGCAAAAACGACTAGCGGAATCCGCGTCCAGTAGGATCCTTGCCCATCAGATAGAGTGAAAACACGCAAGCTGCCGAACCGAACCACCTTAGGTAACACGTGAACCAACTCTGCTTGGCGGAATCATCAATCGTCTCGCCTGGCTTGTTGTTCTCATACTCCAATTCCGAACAAACAATCTCATTACAGTTGCCCAACATGAAGGACCTCACTATTGACAACATCACGGAGAATGTGCATTTTATCAATGCCCAATGTTCTGACCGACGACTAAAGTTTGTAGTCGAAAGGCTGGTCTCACACGCCCATGACCTTGTTCGTGAGACGCGGCTCAGCACAGAGGAGTGGATGGCAGCCATTCAATTCCTGACAGAGGTTGGCCAGACATGCACAGAGACTCGACAGGTAAATCCCCCCACCCCTTTGCAGATGTACAGCAGCCACCTGCATTGTGCGACCGCCGGCTGACATGTCCCTAACGAATCAAAGGAATTTATTCTGCTCTCAGACATTCTGGGGATCTCCCTGCTTGTAGATGCAATTGATCATCCCAAACCACCAGGCGCATCTGAGGGAACTGTTCTCGGCCCATTCCACACACATGAGGCGCAGAATATTGAGCACGGTGGAGGAATTGCAAGCGACCCAGAGGGAGAACCACTGCTTGTCCTGTGCACAGTCCGTGACTCAGCAGGAAAGGCCCTGGAAGATGTCAAGATCGACGTGTGGGAAACCGACTCCAAGGGCTTCTACGATGTGCAGTATGCCAACCACGACGGCCCCGATGGCCGCGCTATTTTGACGAGCGACAAGGACGGCATATTTTGGTTCAAAGCCATCGTGCCAGTGCCTTACCCGATCCCCAGTGATGGGCCGGTGGGAAAATTACTTGCTAAGCTCGGTCGGCATTGCTATCGACCGAGTCACATGCACTTTATGTTTAGCCACCCAATCTACGATCCTCTCATCACGTAAGTGGCATACTCCCGCTTAAACTTCTTTGATCATAAGCCTAACTCAAGCATCGCAGCGCGCTCTATCTGAAGAATGATCCTTATGAAACTTCGGATGCTGTGTTTGGTGTCAAGAACACTCTCGTGGTGGAATTGGGACGAGTTGAAGATGAGGCAATCGCTTCCAAGTACGGTGTCAAAGTTGGAAGTGCTCTCATGAAGTACGATTTTGTGCTGGTCACGAAAGAAGAAGCACTGAATCTGCGTTACCAGAATGCAGCAGCAGCGATGAAGGCCCAGGGAAAGAAAATGGACTACCTCAACGGTCTACCTGTACCCGAAGTTGATTGAGTAGAATAGAGTTGTATCAGTTTAGCTGAATCAAGGATCAATTGCCTGGCATGCCCTCCTACCTTTATCCAATCACAAGAAATACCAGAGAAGTCTCCGTCTATGTGCCTAGGGTCATTACTATTTTTCAAATAACAAATCATCTAGCAGGACTGGTCACTGAAGATAACTTTGGGACAATCACTGTGTTTTTGGTACCGATATCCTTAAACCTCAGCATAGCTTGTTCAAGTAGATGTAACCCAAAACAATCACCTGACGCGTAAGATCAGTCTATTTAAATCATATATATATATACTGTACTTATAAAGTTTCTCATAATTCGAAGATGGTCCTGATTTCTTGGTTGGACAACTTATTCTCCAATGCGAGCTGGAGCTGGATACGAGACTTGGAAGGGTTCAAGAATCCGGCATTGATGCCCCATTCCTGGCCCTCAACGTATCCCCAGGCCGTGCGGCGGCTGGCCACAACAGGGATTCCAGTCTTGTTGACGACCGCCTCGAGGTTCTTGAGGGCCACTGATGGCCAGTATCCTGCACCTAGACCGGCCAGAACAATCCCCTTGGCTCCGTTATCCACAGCCGCCTGGAAGATTTGAGGGCTGACCTCTTGGTGGCCGTACAAAACATCTACCTTGGGCATAGGTGTCTGGAAAGCACGGGAGGTGATGTTGAAGTAGTGGTGACCCAGAGGTCGCGAAGGAGGGTAGAAGAATAGAGGATTGATATCCTCAAAGACACCTAAGAAGCCCTGTTCTTCGGCTTTGAAGGTATCGACGGCGTTGGCATTGGTCTTTACCGTGAAGCGAGCAGAAGCGATCCGGTCGTTGAGAACAATCATAGTCCCTCTTCCCTTGGCGTTCTTATTGACGGCTAGTTTTACAGCAGAAAGGAGGTTGATTGGGCCATCTGCGCTTAGAGCTGTTGCAGGACGCATAGAACCGACCACGATGACGGGCTTCTCGCTCGCGATGGTGAGGTCCAGGAAAAAAGCGGATTCCTCCAGAGTGTCTGTACCGTGAGTGACAACCGCACCTTGAATCAAGGGGTTATCGAGATCTTTTTGAATGTGCTGGGTTAGGTTGGTAAGAATGGTCGAGTTGATGTCACCGCTATCAACATTAACGATCTGAATGCCCCTAACATTGGAGACGTTGCATAGCTGGGGTACGGCCTCGATCAAGGTTTTGATCCCCAAGGCACCGGACTGGTATCTGGTAGTTTGGTCTGCTGAGCCAGCTGAACCGGCAATCGTACCTCCTGTAGCATAGATTGTGATGTTTGGGAGGCTCGCATTAAAGCACTCAAAATCATCCACTGCTCGAGGAATAATGTGGGGTAGTTGGATAAGAGGAGAAGCCAGGGTACGCGGAAGAAAGACCGCGAGAGCGATGAGATTTCGAAATAAGGAAGACATAATGTTTCTTTAAAATAACAAGATGAGAAAATCTATAGGCCTCCGTGTGATGAAATTTCAGTGAGGGGTAAGGACAATTGAAACGAGAATAACGATGTTGAACGCTGAAGGGACCCCGGATATTTATGTCAAGCCAGGGAAGCCTTGTTTGCTAGGAAGTCAAGACTGAGGCCGTTATCATTGGATAACGTAATGACAAGGTCTGGGGGGTTGAGACCTTTTCGACTAAGAGGGGACCTTAACCCAGCTTGTATGCTGGGCATGTATCCCCGGAAGGCGGGGTTCTGGGACTAGGACCCGTTTCGAGCTCTGGACAACACTGATCAACACTCCTAAGTCTGTTGAACTTGTATTAAATTAGACGTGGTTTAATTAGTAAAAACTATAATCATGGAAAAAGAGTCAGGCTGAATCGCTGCTAGATATCACGAGCCCCTGGAAATTGTAGATATTAGGTTGCTATTAGACTACAAGGATTAGATGATCATCACCAAGATGTTGTAGCATATAGAGCATCGCCAGTTATTGTCATGGCAAGAAAAATTGGATAACATAAGGGTGAAGATTAAGTGAAAGAATTCCTAATTACCGATATAATCTAACTACGATTATATCCAAGGTATCTGGAAAGTAAAGATCATGGCCTTGCGGCGGTGGGACTGGAGGCGTATACGTTAATGAACGGCGAGTCAACAATCATGTTGTTGGTCCGTGTGTGCTAACGTATTAGTTCAAGTCACCCCCGGCATATTATGAATCTCGAGCCGAATTCGTTCCATTGCTCAATCTCTCAAAGCTAGTGAGCGGCATTTCTCCCTAACAAGTATTGAGTGTGTGTGGGTACTTGAGGAATATCTCGGCCCACGACGCAAGTGAGCCGACGGTCCCCATCCCTAGGTAGTCTCTGGTTATTAGCTATCGGGCACCTATCTTGTGCCCTCCTGACTCATTAATACATTTGTCAAACGCCCATATCTCCTATCAGAGCTTTCAATCATAATTAACCTCTGAGCTGAGTCTGGAACGTTGAATTTTCTACGCTATATCCAGGCTCTTATTCTGCTAGGTCAAGGTGTGGTGGATCCGGGTCACAACACATACTGCATCCATATTAACATCTCTCTCATACTGTCAGGCTTTGTGAGCGATATATCTTAACGGTGGAATACTAAACGAGGACCATAAGGAACTGTCACTGACCTACGTATTTTACGGAGCTTGGCTTATCTTATCTGAGGTGGATTCATCGTTGACCAATCATCTAAAATATGACATATGTCACAGTATTTCGTCACTGAAGCGGGGTCGAAGCGTTCTGCAAAATTGTCAAAATATTCTCTAGTAGTTGACCATCTAACTACGCTTTATCCCCTGTCCATCCCCTGCCCCATTTGTACACATCAACACTCTTCTAGTTCTCTTACATCTCCTCAAAGCTCTAGTTGTTGTCGGCGTGCTGTTGCAATTCTAATGAGCCACAATAGCATTGGGCCGTTTCCGAGACGCAAGCGCTCTGTAGTCTCATGTAGAGAGTGCCAGCGACGTAAACAGAAGGTATGGGCACTTCCATTAATAAGGTATGCCAGCCTAACGCCGTCTCATAGTGTGATCGTCGCCAGCCATGTTCTCATTGTATGAAGCGAGGTAAAGCAGTAAGTGTACTCGTCTCTCTAGGGGCCCTGTCACTCGCTGACAAAACAGGACGTCTGCCTTTACGATCTGGATGCCAATCGCGTACCCTCTACTTTCATCCCTGTCGAGGTCCAAGACCAAACCCCGAATGGCGTCTTGCCAACTCCCCCGGAACCCATGCCAGCGTCTTCGAGCGTTGTGCCCGATGACTTCAGATCACTAGGTTATGGCGACAACACAAAGGGAACACCTGGAGTGCTCCGTGGCCTGGGAGAGTCCGCAAGCGTCTTGCATCAGTTCTCGCCTAGGAACCGCTCTGACCCTAGTCAATACACAAGCATAATCCGAGAGCTTCCACCTCGAAGACACATAGATATTCTTGTGCAAGACTTCTTCAAAAATGTAGCCTGGCATTACGATATTGTGGACGAGGCTATGTTTATCAGCCAACTTTCTCAATGGAGCCGCCTGACGCATGATCAACTGAAACAAGGACCAGACGCCTTACCGACCAACCTCCGATCCTTTCCTGCTTTGCTCTTCCAAACTCTAGCACAAGCTCTGCTTTTCCAACCCACACAGCATGAAGAAAGCCTCAATGATCTAAAGTATGCAGCCGACATGGAGCTATCTGATCGGGCGGCAGACTTTAGTGATGCGGGGCATCGGCTTGCTTCGTCTTTCAGAAAGAGTGAGCTCACTCTCACAATAGTGCAGGCTGGGCTGATGCGAGCGTGCTTTCAAAAGACCACGGGGCCAGTGATCGAGGCCTGGCACACGCTTGGAAACGCTATCCGCGACGCTCAAGAACTTGGTCTGCACTTGATCAAGCCAGAGTCAACACCCTACTTGAGAACTGAAAATTTGTCGGATCGCGAATTGGGCCGAAACGTGTGGCATATGCTTCATCTCTGGGATGTCCATATGGCTACTGTTCTTGGAAGGCCGGCATCGACAAGAATGAGTCCCAAAGACGTGCCTCTGCCAATGTCAGCGAGAGACAGCTCGGGCAGGCAGAGGCCACCGCAACCCCGCGACGTCATTTGGTGTGGCTATCACACTGCTTATAAGTTCTTACAGGACATCCATGATCTCGAGAAAGTGGAAGACTGGCGTATCCCTGTTGAGACAATCCACGAAACTATTCTGACGAACATTGCGAACCTTCCCGCATGGGCTACAGCCCAGAGGTTACGTCAAGGGGAGCCTCCTTGGCTTTCTGCGGCCTTGGAAGAGATGTACACCAACGTACACTTTGTCGTCTTTGCTTTGCATCGGCCCTTCGTATTTGCAGAAATGAGCAGTCGCCACAACGCTTTTCACTCAGCTATGCAGATTCTGGAGTCTCAAGCCCGTCTGTTCAATCTGACCGAACCTCTACAATACAAGGCTTTTAGTTTGGTGTACGCAACATTTGACGCGATGGTCTTGGTAGCTGCTATGCACATTCGCTTTCCGGATGAATTTATGGAGCAATTTCCAGCCACGAGGAGGAATCTGGAATGGGGTTTAGAAAGGCTGAAGTCTTTGCAAGCCAGGAAAAACGATCTCGCTGCCACAGCTCTCAATATTATCCAACAATTATATCGAAGAATGCTTACTGCTGTTTCTGCGATCCCGCCCCAGGGCCCCTATCATGGAGTGTCTGAGAATGGAGACCTCGAAGCGATGGAAGCAGAGACAGCGCGAGTCAACTGGGACACCATCCTACAGCCTGACCTTGGAGATTTATTCGTTCCTCAACCATTAAACGAGCTGTTATGTAACGGATATTTCGGTCAACCTTTGAACATAAGCCCTGCTGATCAAATAGGATATGGGCCATCTCAGTTTGGATCCGACATTACTGGCAGCCTCGGAAATGACCTAATGACTGATCATAGCACAGGTGAAGCATCAAATATGCCAAGTAGCTGATCGAAGCCTGACCGCTTGCAGCCAATCCGGGTGTCAAATAGAAAACGCAATAAACCTATATAATATGAATCGGAAGACACCACTGTGAAATTTCCGCCACGAGTAAAATTCCCTAAGTAGTCTCGTTAAATATTCAGTACATACCCCTTTTCCTTTTGGTTTGGGTCCCTTCCTGTCATTCAAATTCTCGCGTTTTTGATGTGAGCCCATTGCTACCATCGCGGGTGCCCTCGCCTCCCCTTCGGAACCGTACACATACGCCGTCTCCACCAGCGACAACGGCATACCGAGAGCTGGGGAACTCCGACAGAGTCATTACATCCCGAGGGCTCCTAACGCAGTGAACTGTAAATCTATACGGATTCAGAAAGAGAGCGTCGGTTTCCGGCGCTGGAATTCGGGAAGGTGTGGGATCATCGGTACCTCAAAATCCGATCTCGAACTAGTTGGTTGCTAACCCCGAAGATTGAGGTGGGAACGTCGGATGGAGAAAGGAATCTACGCCCTCTGACGATCATTTCCCGAACGACATTTCTTACTTCCCGATTGGCTTCCTTTAGAATTTCATAATGACAACGTTAGATAACAGGACGGTTTGGCATCCGATAAGTGACTACGATGTATCGTATCGTAAAGCTGCAGGCTAGATCATTCTCTTGTAAATAAAATATCACTACTTTAGTGGTATCGACGGCGTATATAAGCCCCTTAACAACGGCAGGTCCCCGACGGCACACTAGGATAGACAGCTAGGAGACTCTCAACGATCAGTTCTTTTTGCATTCGAAAATGACACAGCTACCCCGGTTCGATATGCCCGGCGGCGAGACAGCTAGAGTAAGCGTCATTGACTCTACAATGCGCTTGTCCGGCCTGCCGGTGAGTTCTCTGCTGGAGCCACCAATGGAAGGATTCGATACATTGCCTCCTATTACAACATGGTCGTTCCTGGTTGAGAGTTCGACAGGAAAGAAGGCGCTCTTCGACCTAGGTGCCCCCAAAGACCCATTCAACAATTACGCTCCAAGTGTTGTTGAAATGCTAATCGAGTCTGGCTGTGGCATTCATGTGCAAGCAAACGTCGCGGATATACTTGAAGAAAACGGGGTCCAACCTGCTGAAATCAACAGCATAATCTGGAGGTGTGTTATTATCGGATATTTCCCGCGCTTAGTTGCTGATTCTTTGTAACAGTCATCACCATTTCGACCATATTGGAGATGTCTCAACTTTTCCTGCTTCAACTGAACTCATCGTTGGTCCGGGATTCAAAGACGCGTTCTGTCCAGGATATCCAGCCAACCTGACCTCTCCGGTACGCGAAGTCGATTTCCGGTAAGTGTAAGAATCTGTTCAGCAGTCCGCCGGCGTTGACTGATGAATGCCGGGCGTCCAGAGGCCGCAGTCTAAGAGAAATCAAGTTTGAAAGTGATTTGGTTCTTGGGCAATTTAAAGCATTCGACTTTTTCGGCGATGGTTCATTCTACCTCCTCGACACTCCAGGCCATGCTGTCGGCCACTTATCAGGACTAGCCAGAACAACAACTAGCCCTGATACTTTTATTCTCATGGGCGGGGACTTGTGTCATCACGGCGGCGAGCTACGTCCATCTCAGTACTTTCCGCTCCCGCCAAGTCTATCTGACCACCTTTCACCATCTGACTCGCTTCGGTTGCATTTATCAAGCTGCCCTGGAAGTAAGGTGTTCAATGACATCAATGTAAAACGCGGGCGTACAGCTAGCGAACCATTTTTCGACCCGGTCCTTGTGTTCAATAAAGAACAGGCTATCGAGACTATCAAGGAAGCACAACGAGCAGAGGCGCAAGATAACATTTTCTGCTTATTTGCACACGACATGTCTATATTAGGTGTTGTCGACACGTTTCCCGAAACTGCAAATAACTGGAAAGCCAAAGGATGGAAGGAGAAGACTTTCTGGAAGTTTCTGAATGATTTAGAAGTAGCCGTTACTGCAAATGTAAATGACTCGGCTGGACTTTAGGATGAGGCAGCTCGAACACGATGGAGGGCGATTAATAGTCTCGGGATAAAATAAGCACACAGCAAACCAGACCAAATATTTTAATACAATACTTTTCGATTCTCTCCTCATCACAGCGTCTCTTACAGCCGCGGTCGTCAATTCCACGCCTTACCTGCATACCATTCGTCAAATTGTTATGTCGCTCGCTTTTCAACGGCGTACAGCAAGATGGTCTAGGCGGCGCTTGAGGTAGGGAAGGTTATCTGCCGAGACGCAACAATACTTGTGTGACCCGGGCAGTATTTGTGCCGTTGTAGTTGATGAAAGGCGGGGATAATTTTTATAGTTGTACGAAGTGTAATCGAGAATGATAACGTTGTAGCCAAGCTCAGTCATTCCCAGCTCACTAAATGGAGCAATTTGTTCACTGACATGTACATAACTAATTAATCTCCTTTTGGCTTACAAGATGCTTGGAGCAAGGGCCGGGAATATTTGTATACAACTAGACGGTGGCAATATTCACTAAACTAAAGGCAACATCGCGTTGCTTAGATGATTGATAGATTGGACATGGTGAGCATGAAAGTCCAACTTCAGTAGACATCAAGCGTTCGTTTGATCTTCGCTGTCTATCCGTGTGTACAATATATGACATGCTTGATCAATCCGCTTCAATCGTATTACTGTCATGAATCCCCCTAAAACTGTGCCTTGCGCCTCAGTTCAATCAACTTAACTGCAGAATCAAGAATAGATTCCTCGAATGACCGATACTCGGCACCCAAAATGCGAATCGACTTGGAATTGTCGAGTTCATAAACGTTCGGCCCTGGATAGTTATGCCCGGGTTGTCCGAGCGGTACTTTCTTCTTCTCAGCGTCGGGGATAGAGGAAGATGCCCGCAGTACATCGGCTGTTTGCTGATAGCTGTATCGCCCAGCAGTGATAAAAAATCTCTCGTTTCCGGCCTCGGGAACTTCGAGAGCGCGGATATGTGCCTTTGCAAGATCCCGAACGTCGACGAAGCCCCAGAAGTCTGTGTTTGGTACGTCTTGGAGCTCTCCGGAGAGGAAGCGATTAATGTCCCAGGCGGCAATGTTCAACGCCGAGAAGGATAGGGGGTGCGCGGGAGGGCCAAACACCATCGGGGGGCAGAGGACAGTTATGTCGAAATCCAGCTTCCGATCCTGAACGAATTTCCAGGCAGCCTTCTCAGCCAAGGCCTTGGATGCCACGTAGGCGGTACCGGCGTCGGCGGTTTTGGCAGCTTCATAGGTGATTGGGTTCCAGTCTGCCTCATTATAAGTGTGGCCTGGCCACAACCCCTTTGTGAGGTCGACCATCGCAGCAAAAGATGATGTAATGACCACTCGTTTGACATCTGCGCCATATGTGGAAACGGATTCCAGAAGGCCTTGGGTCATCTTAATTGCCGGTAGCAGCACCTCAGCCTCATTGTCATTGACATTAAGCGTGAAAGGACTCGCGGTATGAAGAACCTTTGAAATAGAAAAGTTATTAGTGACTTCTCTCAGAGTTGGCTGCCCTGAGATAGGGCGATAGAGTGTATCGTTGACCACCTTGCCCAATGGTTGAGTTCACATACCGCATCAATGCCTTTGACAGCCTCGTCAAAAGCACCCGTGATAGTCATGTCAGGAACGACAACTACGGAGAGGGATCCCGAATTATCAGGAAATGTCTTGAGAACAGCATCGGCTGATGATTGGGATCTGACGACTCCTCGTACATGGTATCCGCCTTGCAGAAGAGTTTGCAAAATGTGAGTGGCAATGAAACCATTGGCACCAGTGACAAGGACGAGCTTTCCGACCGCAGTCATGTTGAATTGTAAATCAGGTATGATACTGAGAAGAACGTGATGTATGTTGGTTGAGAGACAGGCAAGATGTGGTCGACTAATAAATGCAACTGAGAGAACAATGTCCCCTTAGACCTTTTAAGTGAGGTGCCTGTCGAGACAAAAGCGGTAGTAAACTTCGTCGTGTTGTCTTACTGAGCTGCAAGCAATGCCACCACGGTCAAGTCGTGCGCAGCCGCATATTCCGTTGACGCTGAATAAGCGAGACTGGTCTTTCGGAAATGTGCTATAGTGACGCAATAAGTCCGATCCATACAGAAGATGCAGAACTCAAACGTATTGATCCACCTTGATCCGCACCCAAGACTGTCATCATGATAAAACTGACCATCGGGAATCCAGCAATGGTTTCCATCAGTACCACCGAATGAAGAAATAGTGTGATCCGAAAATAGTGGGTCCGTGACTCCGAAAATAGTGGGGTTATACCCGAAACCTAATTCAACTCTCAAGACGCATCACGAAGCTGTGTTTGTTCATCGTGTTGAGATGTCGGGCTCTGGCATCTTCCATCGCTGGTGGCGTACGAAGGAATGTTAGTCTTTCAAAGAAGAAACATTTCGTTAGAATATAAGCCGTTGCCCCAAGACATAGATGTATAAATATTGCCATTATCACCACCTCTGACATCTGGATTCTCACTCACTCCCATCACTATCAATCTACCACTCTATAAGCACTCAAGATTAAATTACTTTTCACTCAACACAATGGTCTCCCACGGACGTTACACTACCGAGAAGGTGACCTATCCATCTCACGGAGAGACCATCACCGGCATCCTGTATAAGCCTAAAGATATCGCCAACCCGCCTGGTATCGTCGTTCTCGGTCCATATTCGTTTGTCAAGGAGCAAGCCCCATTGCAGTATGCTACGCGACTTGCCGACGAAGGCTATGCCGCCTTGATCTTTGACCCACGCACGGTCGGGGAGAGTACTGGTCAGCCACGGCGTCTGGAAAATCCCAAGATGAAGAACGAGGACGTCGTCTCCAGCCTTGACTACCTCGCCGGCAGAGGCGACGTGGATGCCAAGAAATTGTTCCTCGTCGGTGTCTGCCAAGGTGGTCCTGAGTGTCTGGATGTTGCCTCATACGATGATCGTGTTGTCGCTGTCGCTTCCGTGACGGGGTATTTTCGCGACCATGAGACGGACGTCTATATGATCTGCGCTGGCTGTGTGAACATCGAGCCTGGTATGGACGTTGGATCAATGAAAATGCCTTCACCCGAGCAAGGGGAAGCACTGTATCAGGCACGCATCGCGCGAGCCAAAAAGGCCAAGGAACTGTACGAAAAAACAGGGGAGGTCACCTACCAGCCTCTTGTCGACCCCAAAGCCGCAGACCCAGACGTCGGTTCACTCGCTGGTCTTCCGGGGCCGGTCCCGTGGGCTTGGTACGGCCCTTGGACTCTGAAGGGGTTTGAGAACCGATACGCAGTCATGAGTGATCTCGATCACTTTGGCTATTCGACTGTAGCTGGGGTGGCAAAGCTCAACAAGCCGGCTCTGGTGATTCATGGAGACAACTGCATGAACGCGCCCGCAGCGAAGAGACATTTTGAGTCAATCCCGACGAAGAACAAGAAATTGATTTGGGATAACGATGCGTCGCATTTCCAGCATTACGACCAGCCGGATATTGTAGATGGCAATGTTGGTGAGATTGCGGCTTGGTTTGGGCAGAGCGGCAAATGAGCTGTAAAGAATTCAGGACTATATAGGTATTGAGTTATGATTGGTAAAATTGGTAAACAGTCAATTCGATATCTTATGAAATGAAAGTAACATAACATACTCGGCAAGTGACTGCCCCAACAATTCTCATACCCAAGATCAGTTCGAACTTCGAGGATGTCAGCATCTCAAAGAAATCGAACTACTTCTCTTTCTTTTTGAATCAGCTAAACTAGAAGATATATTTCATCAGCTGAGATAACAGCCTCGCAACCGCCATAGCCTAGCAAACTCGTATTAAGGGCAGCAGGAATAAACTGTAGGGATTTCTAGGTAATATATCGGAGTTGATAATTGAATAACCTTCCTTAACTGATTATCGCTTCCAATTTCTATTGATTGATTTCCTTTTTTACTCCAAGATGGATTCACCAACGGGTCGAGGCTGTCCACGGCTTTTCCGTGAATGTGGTCAATGCCTTTGTTTGGTTAATGCTCCTCTGGCCAGAACAAGGATCTAGATTGAAATGTGTACAAATCAGATCTCCAGCCATGGGTGGTAATAATGAATCTGCATGTCTTGCGTATTTATACACTTATATAAATGCTGCTGCTCGTCTCGGTAAGGGAACAAGGGAGGTGATGACACCTCGACATCTAGCCATATTGTCAATGCAAAGGTATTACTTACAGTGTCAAGCAGGGGTGTATTGTATCCATGGTCAATGTGCAATATTTCATTAAGTTGCTCCGAGCTGACAAAATGAAGTCACCGCACATTCCATGTGGGATAGTTATCAATATGCTTCCGGGATTCCGGAAACACCAGCATATAACTATGAACCAGTTACAACTAGACAAGTTGGTATAGTGCAAATTGTCCCTTTTGTTGCTAAACACACTAATCAAACATGTCTCGCCTAATCAATAGAGGTATCTTCCTTGGAGATAATGAAGCGCTTTCTATCAGAGATCTTGGAGACATCTACAAGCCTGTTGAAAGTCAAGCTCTTATAAAAGTGAAATACTCGGCTATCAACCCAGCAGATCTCAAGCATTCCTACGTTGGTTTGGGTGGCTCTATCACTGGTTATGACTGGGTTGGCACTGTGGTAGAGATTGGGAACTCTTCCTCCTTCACAGTTGGGCAACAATTGTTTGGGGGCGTTATTCCTGCAAGCCAGCGACCACTGCATACTGGTTCACATCAGAATTATCTGATTATTGATGGGTGAGCAACCTTGAAACCGGAATCTATGCCACATATGCTGCTACGACTAACGTTAACAGAACTAAGGCCACATGGCCTGTTCCGAAAGGAAAGAAGTTGCCGCAACTCTACCCGTCGCTGTAGAGAGTGCTGCTGATTTAATCTTCAACGTCAATGGTTTTGGTCTTCCCGTGGCTGGGATTGACGGCCAAGATGCATCTGGCATTCCAATCCTCATTTGGGGAGGGGCCTCGGGTGTTGGAGCTGCGGCGATTCAGGTTGCAAAGGCCGCAGGATTCGAGCCTATTTTTGTCACTGCATCGCCCAAGAACCACGAGCCACTGCTGAAAGCCGGGGCTTCTGGTGCTTTCGACTATAATAGCCCTACAGTCGATCCAGTCTCTCCAGTCTCAGAAGCAAATCATCAACGAGCCCATCCAATGTTGCCCCAATTCTATGTTTAATATGCCACGATTTATCTCAAGTAGGAAGAAATTTACCGGTATTGGTATTAGATGAGGCCACTTATGAATATTATTCTTTGCAATCTGTTTGAAATTTACGCCTAAGAAATCAACACAGGATGTCGCTCTTTGAGGCCAATCTAAGCTTCTCTTGAATGAAAGACCGACAAGCTTTCAATGCGTAGATGATACACAAATGAACGTGATTGCCGTCCAGCTGTCCTTCGACTCTACCCAGTTTTTATAGCCTCATCCTTGGACTTATCTTTTGGCTCGTTGACTTGAACATAGCCCTCTTCTAGTTCTTCCGCTGAGAACTTGGCTCTTTGCAATTTGAAAATGTAGTAACATTGTATGATATTGAAGAGACTGGCGATGAGTTAGTCAGCTGTTTGCCTTGACGATTTAGATACTGGTCTGGCCAGACGGTAAATACTCACATCGCACAGACACCCATACAACCACAAGCAATTGAGATGTTTTCAAGAATCGTGATTGTGTTCCCAGCGATATCCTTAAGGCCACCCCATAGACTACGCCTATTGATGATCTCATATTTGCCATCCGACTCACGAAATACAAACATAACAATGAGCGCGGAAAGCCAGAGTGGGGTTGATATCGCTATGAGAATATAATACCACCTAGGAGGCAGGGGACTATTACGCGCTCGGGGGCCTATCCAAGGGCCGAAGATAAGTAGGATGTGAAGGCCGCCCTATGAGAAGAAATGAGTCACAGTGCGATCACGACGGCGGTGACGGATCAGACTAACCACAGCTATATTATACGCAGCAGCAACGAACATCTTTTCTCCTGGTTTCTTCGAGAGGATGCCTGCTGCCAAGCCCAAGTTGATCACAGAGACGATCCATCTTCCAACAGCCAAGTTGAAAAGCTTATCATAAACAGATTTGACTGGGCCGTCGTTGGGCTTGACCTCGGCTGGCGTGACGGCCACTTGCGGTTGTGTAGGTTGCATCGTGTCGAGTCTAATGTGAGCTCAGATGGCGCATCTGGAGGTTTGGGTGTGAACAGCGCAAGTTGAAAATGCGAAATGAGGGGCGTAAGCCTGCTTATAGCCTTTTAACACAGCTTCAGCCTCAACACGCGTATTTCGTATCATGAGTCACGCCAAATCCTAATGAAACCCTGGTTGACAAGGATCAGCCCCCCAGGCGGCCGAGATAAAACATGGCACGCCAGAGCTCTTTTCGTGAAAGCTAGAAACCGCGTTCTCTTATTAATAAACTATTCGTAAGGATTATTTGAATTCAGTGAAATTAACAGCATATAATCAACAATATAAATATGGAATAATAACCAGAAAGACGTTTGATAGATGCAAGGGTAACTGTTAATGATTAAGGCTTAGCCCTCTATTTAAGACTCCTCACGGTTTAATTTACTTGAGTTGATTATTCAATTCTGTCGGGAACTGAGCCAGAGCGCTTATATTATACGAGCACGTTAGGCTGTTGCTCAACGAGGATCAAACAGACATGTTGGCTACAATTCTGCTCAATATAGCTGGCCGCATTACACCTTCGACACTGGCGATAGGAAGCATTGGGTCGCTTGAATGGCCTGCTTTCAGCTCTAGTTCTCTTTGACGCTTCTCGCAGTTCGCTTCTATGGCCTCCTTGCGGGAGGTAGGACTGGTCTATGTTTGTAACATTGCTTTGCCTTTCTTACAGCCTGTGCGCAATGCTTTGGCGTTGCATGATCTTCAATCAGTGAATGGAGCAGTTTCATGCTCCAGTACATCCATCCTGCTAGATAGAGCGCATCGCCGAATTTGCTAAGACTTGACCTACCTGATCAGGTTTCTCTTGTTCTGCTTCTCTTGTTCTACTTGTAGATGGAAGTCAGTATGAGACTCCCGGCAGATCTCTTCTTTCCAACGGCTGAGATGTAAAATACTCTCAGAGCAGTAGACGATTATAGGTATATTTTTTCCGTCACAGTAAACCCGCTGAAGCGTTGATCGATTGCTAAACGACCGCTGCACTTGTTTCGTATTCCAGCGATGTACAATGGCGTGTTGGGTGAAAGATGAGTGAAACAGCTAATTGCGTACCTTTTGGTCCAGATGATATCAACCAATTGTGTCTTTGGCCTTCACGGGCATAGGATTGTGGATGTACAATATGCAGGCCTCTGTTCCAGAGGAGGCAATGCAACATGGCACAGCACTCTCCAAAATGCAATCTCCAACGGGATGCAGGAAGTTTGGAGACAGGGCTGGCTACCCATCACCTGTATTGAATTCTCGACTCCCTTGGAAAAAGCAAGGTCACCCGGTCCGACAGGCTCACAGACAGAAATGGTGATTCATGCAATGACACCGAAGTCCAGTCTCGTCGGGATCAGTCCATGCCAGCCGGAAGGACATATTCCCCTCCCGTTCGCCATTCAATAAATCTCAGACTATTTTACTTCTCGTCTTAGCATCTTCCGGGGGAGCGCGGGGTCGGAAGATGGTGGAGAGGCAGGATGGTGCACGATCCGTCGGCCGCGTATCGGCCGGTGACCTGGCTCATGGCCGAAATGGTAGCCAGATGCTCATCCGATTTGGCAGCTGGCCTTCATGAGATTGAAGTGGGGTCACTGCCTGGAACCTGTGCATGAGGCGGATGAGATGGGGGATTCGGTGATAACGATACCCGGTGTAGATTGATGCCATTTAGACAGATATACAAAGTGGCGACTCTGGCAGTCGTGTCTCGTGCTTCTCGTTCAGCAATCCAAAGACCAAGTTTTGGCTGCACGAATCACTCTCCTCCTTTCGAACTCGACGGCCACTTTTTTGACTGACGACTTATCTACTTCAATTTTGAACATGGCCGCTTCTGTAACGGCCACCGCCCGAACAAATGGGATCACCTCACACTTAAATGGAATCACTTCCGATACCAATGGGATCTTCGCACACGCAAATGGGGCTGTGGTAGCTGCTCCTCCAAAGCCGAGAGTGGTTGAGAACTTCCGGCCATTGCGTGTCATTATCATTGGTGCTGGCTTTTCCGGCATCTACTGCGGTGTACGCATCCCAGAGAAGCTACGCAACATTGACTTGACCATATACGAGAAGAATGCCGGTATAGGAGGTACTTGGTATGAAAATCGTTACCCAGGGTGTGCCTGTGATATTCCATGTCAGTATAAATCGCTTGTTATAGATGCTTTGTACCTAACTGATCACTTCTGCAAGCTCATTCATACCAATACACATTTGCACCCAATCCTAACTGGAGTGACTGGTATGCTCCGGCAGCAGAGATTCGCCAGTATCTCGAGTCCATTGCAGAAAGGTACTCTGTGGAGAGGTTCATTAAAACCTCACATAAAGTAACAGGTGCGACTTGGGATTCGCAGGCTTCGAAATGGTGAGCTTAAAAGATGCAATGTTCCCTGGGACTGCCACTAACATTTTGAGTCGCGCTTTAGGCATGTGACAGTCAACAATCTTACAACCGAAGAAATTATTCATGATACGGCGGACATTGTCATTAGTGCGAGAGGTTCTCTGAATGAAATGGCATGGCCAAATATCCCTGGAGTTCACGAGATGAAGATCCCAGTTATGCACTCTGCAGCATGGGATGATAGGTAAAGTTCCATGCAATGTAACTAAAAGATGAGTGGTTCTGGAATCAATAAACTAACAAAACACCTTCAGCATCAACTTCGAAAACAAGAAGATTGGCGTAATTGGCGGCGGAAGTAGCGCAATTCAAATCATTCCCGTCTTACAACGCCTGCCCGGTGTGAAGCTCGACTGCTTTATCAGAAGTAAGACGTGGATCTCCAAACCCTTGGGAGAATCTGCCATGGCCATTCTCGGGACTCAGAGCACTCGATGTAAGCAGCTTTCTTAGAATATGTCGAAACAGACACTGACATCCTTTTCGGCAGTCACCCAGGAGGAAAAGGATCGTTTCGCCAACAATCCAGAATACTATCTGAAATACCGAACAACAATTGAGCGAGACGGAAACTCTATTCACAGCGTCACGATGAAGGACTCGCCAATGCAGGCCGATGTTCGAGATGCCTTTACACAACTCATGAAGGAGAGACTGGCCAAAAAGCCTGAGATTTTTGACACTCTTCTTCCCAGCTTCGGCGTCACCTGCAGAAGGCTCACGCCCGGTCTGGGCTACCTTGAAGCCCTGGTTCAGGATAATGTTGACTTCATCAACACGCCCATCGACAAGGCAACCCCAACAGGATTGGTGCTCAAGAACGGAGAGACGAGGGAATTGGACATCCTCGTTTGTGCGACAGGTTTCCAGACTTCTGCGCCGCCCCCATTCACCGTTACTGGGAGGAACAATACGACGATGCAGGAAAAGTTCGAGCCGTTCCCCGAGACTTACCTCTCTCTCGCCACGGATGGATTCCCCAACTACTTTATGATGATGGGCCCTAATGCTGCTATTGGCACGGGACCACTCACGACCATGATCGAGAAGACCGGAGACTACATCGTCAAGTGTATCCGCAAGCTCCAAAAGGAGAACATTTCAAGCATGGAACCCAAAGCCGCTCGGGTGAAAGACTTCTCTCAGATCATTGAGAAGTATTTCGACAAGACTGTCTACCTTGATGAGTGTAATAGCTGGTACAAGAAGAAAACGAGCAAGGGTGATCGGATCGTTGGTATTTGGCCGGGTAGTGCACTGCATGCAATGGAGACTCTCCGCTCCCCCCGCTGGGAAGATTTCGACTACACGTTCGAGGAGGATAAGGATGGAGCAAGCGGCAACCGGTTGGCTTGGTTGGGCGACGGCTGGTCTGCTCCCCAGGTGGATGAGGATGCGGGAGATTTGGCATATTTCATCCAGCCGGGCTTACTGGATATTCCCACTGAGCCCCTTCCCGAAAACAACCCAACCTTTAGGAAGCTGGCGTTTTCTCACTAGGTTAGAATATAAGTAGATTTGCTGAAATACACTGATTTCCACGAAACAAATTGGACCCCTGAAACTATAATTATCGAGACTGAACACGAAGTTCACCTTACCAACATCCGCCTTCTCTTTTTCATTATCCTCAAGCATCGTTTGAAAATCCACCACGAATACCTATGCTTCAATGAGTTCATGAGGAGCTTGATACTCCACAACGAGGCCCCAATCTCATTGATGAGAATTCTCACGCGGTCCAGATACAGGGCTCTGACTTAGAGTGGTATTGAATCGTAAACTACCCAAGGCCCATGGCAACACTTGACCAAGGCTGCTTCATTTTGCAGCTGCGAGATCTACGGATCTACAGATCTACCCTAGCATCTTCCCCAGCTTGTGTCCTCCTAATCAGCTCCCGGATCAGATCCCGCTCGATCGGGCGTGGGTTGTAGTACGGGTTGCTGACAGCAATGTCAGCAGCCTTGTCAACATCCTCCACTTCGAAGCCAAAGTGATTCAACCCCCGCTGCACTTTGAGACGCGTAAGAAGCACGTTAAGCCCGTGGATCGCATCGCCATTGCTCTCCGGGAGCACCTCGGCGAGCTTCTCCATCACTTCCGGGATACGCGGTGCATTATATGCAAGAGCATGGGGGAGCACGATGGTGTGCGTCTCTGCGTGGGGCAATCCAAAGCTCCCGCCAAGAGTATGGCAGAGCTTGTGGTGAATTGACATGCCGACTGAACCGAGACATAAACCGCACAGCCAGGCTCCGTACTGAGCTGAAGTGCGCGCAGTTACGTCTGATGGGGACTCCACGATGATGGGGAGAGCTCCGGCGAGGGCCTTGACACCCTCGAGGGCGAGCAGGGAGATGATGGGGTTGGCATTTTGCGCGTACTGTGCCTCAACTAGCGGAAAGACGGTGTCAGTGACGGAAATACGGTTATTCGTGATGGGGCAGTGAACGTACCGGAATGTGCAATGGCATTTATCCCACTCGTGGCGCTCATGCCGGGTGGCAGGCTCAGGGTCAAATCGACATCATAGATCACTGTCCCCGGAAGGATCTTGGGGTCGCTGCGCGTCTTCTTGAGTCCGTCCACCGACTCGCCCAAGATTGGAGTCATCTCAGAGCCGGCATAGGTCGTAGGGATGCAGATGTGGGGGAGCCCAGTGCGAATGCTGATGGCCTTGCCAAGCCCAATGGTGCTGCCGCCGCCAATGGAGATGATTGAGTCGGCGTCGACTGATTTGGTGAAGGCAAGGGCAGTGTCTGTGACGCTTGTTGGGGTGTGCATGGTGGCTTCAGTGAAGAGATTGCCAATGCCGCCCAGGATGGCCTTGACCTTCTCGCCATGCTGGATTTGCTGAGGCGTCGTCAGGATGAGGGGAGTTTTCAATCCCTGCCGGGCCAGCTCGTCGGGGAGCGTCTGGATCTTCCCCTGGCCAAAGACCACTCTGCTGGGGGCGACGTTGTAGATGAAGTTCAGGGGGGCAGCCATTTCTGATGCTGAGTTGGCTGTGTGAGTGTGATGAGTTATGGCAGTATGAACCGTTTACAACCCGCATTAATTCAGGTTATACATAATGACTTGCCTCCCAGACTGCTGGCTCAGCAAGACTCGCGAAGGTTAGTGGAGCCGATCTGGTCGGGCTTCTGGTTATCTCCCCAAGTTCCCCTCGTTGAGCTCCCACTTGGAGCCGTCGGAACCGTACCCCATCGGAAGCTGCACCGGATAACGTACTCCTTGCGAGGCCCCGCCAGCCACAGTGAGCAGCTGTGAGTCTTGACCGTGTGGAGTTTGGTGCCTAGACTTAGTGATCTCAGGTCGTGTTCCAGGCATTGGCACAGGGCGGAGAGAACTGAGGAGAAGAGAGTGACGATGGAGGGCGGCTCGGTGGAGAGGAGAAGCCAGCAAAGCGTCCCAACAAGAAAAGACATATACATCCATCCGACTCCATCTCTCCGCACTCAGAACTTCCCTCTCCACACGGAACCCCAGACGGATGCTTTGATAGCCCACTCACATGGCATCCATATCCAATCCCCGCGCAAATCAACGGCCCTAGCTTCAGCTCCAGATCGTGCGTGAACCTGGAGTTAGACACCCCCTTGTCCTACATAGCCCTCGTTGCTGTTAGATTTAGTCGGCGCTTTCTCTTCCGCCATCACATCGTATCATATATCTTCCTCTCCACTCATGTTGCCATATCAACGCAATGCCTCGAGCAAAAGTAGACCCTCGCTTCCGCCGGCGAGTCGCCCACGCCTGCGAGAGCTGCAAGAAGCGCAAGGCCAAGTGTGACGGCATCTTGCCCTGCGACCAGTGTAAGACGCGCTGCGTGGAAGACTCATGTCGGTACTCACGAGACCCTCGTCCGACGTCGCGGGACGGCAGCGAAAAGACGATTGACAGCGGAGGTCGAACGCGAGGACAGGTCAGAGTTGATCTGGGTGAGCCCAGAGGCAGTCCGTCGTCAATTCGGCCTCGACACAAACAACTCGATGTTCCCGTCTCGGGCTCGGCCCCATCCTCGGCTGAGTCGCAGATGCTCAAAGACAGCAAAGGGAAATTCAGTATGTTGTACAAAGAGCACAGTTCCTCTTTGGACCGGCAGTCTTGCTGACCCATTCGACACAGTATATGCCGGCGAATCAGCCTCTCTCTCCTTCATGGAGACAGTCAAGCACGCCGTGCAGATCGCAGTCGGGCCATGTGCATTCACGAACGATCCCGGCCGAAGCCCAATGGTCGAGAATAGCCCCAGGATCCGCTTCGACACAGCCAAAAAGCCATCACTGGACGTCTGCACCGCGCAAAGCCTTGCAAGCCAATTCTTCCTTTCCGTGAGCGGCGCGATGGATCTCTTCGACCCCCCGTGGCTCAAGGACCAAGTGCAAGCCCATATTGAGCAGCCAAGTGAAACCCCCAAGTCCACATGTGCGATCATCTACCTAGCTCTTGGAATTGGGGCACAGGGCAGGGCCCAGGGCGAAGTGGATGATGAGCTGGCAGAGGAGTGCTTCGCGTATGGTCGTCAACTCACAATGTTCCACCTGCTGGACGATCCAGGCCTACCCACGATCCAGGCCATCCTACAGATGACATACTTCATGATTGCTTCATGCCAATACAATGCTGCCTTTATCAACTTGGGGATAGCCGTCCGAGCAGCATACACACTGGGCATCCACCTCCACGAAACCAACACGGCCTTTGGGGGCGAAGAGGGTTTACTTCGAGAGCGCGCGTGGAAGTCGCTACGGGTCTGTGATTTATTCCTGGCTTCCTCATTAGGGAGACCGCCGGCGACGTCCGAGTCTGTCTCTAACATTGCCATGACACCGATCAAGTCACTCCCTGACTACGAGAGTCCCGGCGTTGCTGGCCAGGTCTTCTCTGCCATGTTCCGCATCTGCAACGTCTTTGAGAGGATACTGGTCGAGGTGTATGCGGAAAAGGCCGTTAGTCTCGAATTGGCCAAGAGCATCTCGAGGCAGCACCGGCAATGGACAGAGGAGCTGCCCCAGATGCTCATGGTAGATGGCTTGGAGTATGCTGACTCAAAGAGCTCTGGCCTGTCGCCGCGCAGTTTTGGGCTGGAGCTCAAGCACGGCTCCAGCCTTGTGACAATGGCATATTATTATTCTATTGTGTTACTCACACGGCCGTTTTTGACTTTTCAAGTTTACCACACGTCAAGCAAGGAGATCCATGAAGATAGCTCCTCGGCCAGGGCATCTATCGCGACCTACGCCGATGCTTGTGTAAACTCGGCCATCAAAGGCATCGACATTGCATACGAGTATGTCTTTGAGCTGAACACTCCCAAGCGACAGCCACATGTCATCAACAGTGTCTTCATATCAGTTCTATGCCTTGGACTGGCATGTCTAGACTCGTCAATTCGCCACAAATGGCCAACGGATGATGCCATGGATCGGGCTATCAAGATTCTGGCTCATCTAGGGAAGCACAGTACTCAAGCCTCTCGATATGCCACCATCTGCGGCCAGTTAAAGGAAGCGGCTCTCATATACACCACCAGAAGGGCTGATACATTACTTGAAGAAAACAATCAGAAGACACGGACCATATTTGGAGATATACGGGCGCCATCCAAGAATCACGATGCTGGTGAAGACACGATCAACAGCATCACCTCTCCGCAACGGTCCAGCTGGAGCCTGCCGACAGACGAGGGCATCGGCCAGCCAATGACACCTCACTCGTTTGACTTTAGCACAATGCAAGACGAGTTCATGCTACCAACGTCAGGTGTTTTGCCTGCACAGATTCTTTCTCATGGCTACGAGCATTTCGACGCGGACGTGGGTGCAGCACATCATTCTCTCATTGATAACATTGATTCGTCTGGTTATTTGCTTGAACATGGTGTTCCGTTATTCCCCGTAACAAGCTATGTTTCCCCCGAGTCTTATTTTGCTCAAGGTAGCCTTGGAGAGAGGTCTCTTGAGTCCGCAGGGATGTAGCAGCAATGTCGATATGAACGTTCAAATGTAAATTTAAAATGATACCCTTTAACATGTACGAAACTCTTTGCCTCGATTATTAGAATAGTTCCCAGGAACCAAAATTAGAAAACCACTATGTTATCATTTACCGGTTCCAGGGAACGGGATGTTCCCTTTCATGTCGAATTAAACGATTGGGTCTTTGCTCTAGTGATATGTGATTGGCCATGGTAATGAACAAACGGCAGTTACCGGGAGAGCCGAGAAATTAACCTCGGATATATGTCCTATATCTAATTTGTAGTACGCCCATTGTTTCGGCTCTAGATGTGCATGTACTCGCGCATTTGACGTAGGATAGAATCAACTCGTTAAATATCGAAAAACGTCCTGGGGACTATTTTTTCGGATAGGTGGTTACACGTTTATTATAAGCTAAGAAAACGGATTCCTACATCCCCAAACTTAAGCAGACAGCCTTATTTATTCTAGATTATCACCATCTAAATCCGGAATCACACCTCTTCAGAGATGAGACTTTGCGTCACTCTTCTTGCCTGGCAACTCTCCAGGATCGGAAGACAAGACCCAGGAGTCTTTGTGGTAAGACTGGGGCCAAATTCCATTCTTTCCCGGTGCCAGAATCCCCTTGGGGTCCAAGGAGTTCTTGATCTGTTCGTTGAGCTTCATCTGGGCGTTGTCGTTGAAGTTGTACGTGTTAGCAATCTGGTCCATCACAGCCAGATGTGTTCTGTATTCGCCCCATCCGTATTTGGCGCAGTCATCAATGAGTGTGCGGATCAACCACAATGCCCTTCTCTTGGATTCTGGGTCCTCGCGGTTGAAGACGATGCAGACAATATGATCTATGTGCAGTTAGCAAATCGGCTCTCTCAAGCCAACTTTTTACTGTCGGCAGCAGGCAAGGTTTGAACCTACGCATCTCTCTCATTCCTACCACAAAATCACAGATAGCCTCCAAGCCAGCTTCCTCGCAGCGCTTCCTAGTGATCTGATACTGCAAGACAGCGTCGTCGCCAGTAATCTTGGAGATGGGCGAGAAGAAGAGATGAGCACCGTTGGGAAGCCAGTCAATCCACCTCAACTCATCATAAGTCGGGATACCCTGCAAAGTCTGGGCTCTGGTACGAAGAATGCTGTTCTCCTCTGGGCGGTCTTCCGGGAAATAGAACTTGGCTCCGGGGATTTTGGAGAAACTCTCCTTGATGACCGACCAAAGAACGTTACGGATGGGCTCCGGCCCCTAACCATTGCATGCCGGATTAGAATCGGGTACCTAAAGATAGAAAATTGGCAAAGCTGACTTACATAGAGGGCGCCATAGAAGTTCCAACGTCCAAGATCGAGGTCTTTGGCAATCTTATCTAGCTGCGCATCGGTAAGAGCCGCATCCGAATCTGTATAATATGACTTCGGATGGTGAACAGCGGCATCCATGGAGAGAGACCTCAAAGTGGGCACATTTTGCAGAACCATTTGCTATTGAACTTGTTAGTGGATCGCCGACTTCAGCGTTTTCTTAGCAATGCTTACGACTCGGAGTGGCCGGATGATCTCGATGACTTGATGCAAGTCTTCGTCCCGAGGGAATGTTATCATGTATGCTTGGTAACCACCGGGGTTTGGCATCAACTGGGCACACTTCCGTTAGCCCAACTTCAGGCCACACTTTGCGGATAGGATTTCTCACCCAAATTCCCATTTTCACAACGATTCCAAGACTGCTCTGGGTGAAAATTCCATCATTATACGGGCCAAACCCATAATTGAACAACTGCCAGGCTCGGTTACCAGGTTGCTCGTCTGGTCTCAGTCCGTCCCGATGCCCAGCTGTCCTATCTGGCATGGCTCCCATGCCAGTTCGGATCAACTCTCCATTGGGTAGAACCACCTCCAATCCGCAGTGCATCATCCAATGATCTAGAGAATTCCATAAGCAAAAAAATCAAGATCGGAATAACAGAATATTGCTCACCGCCATAGGGACTATATCCAACACCTCTCTCAACGGCGTTACCAATAATAGAACCACCTCCTAAATCAGGTACCTAGCAGCCATCTTGATGAGTATAACTTCAAGAGTAGCATGAAATCAGTTCCACAATACTTACATCAAGCCAAACCTTTTCTCGAAGGTTGTTCTTCTCCAGGTATTGGTGCATATCATAATAAGTCACACCGGGCTCTACCAATGCATATGCTCCATCGGTGTTGACCTCAAGAACACGGTTCATGTTCTTGCCAAGGTTCAGTCCAATACTACCAGGAACTCTAGGTGCGGCGCCTCCATAGCCGGTGTTGCGGCCAATGGAAAACGGCCACACAGGGATGTCAAACTCGTTGCAAAGACGCATCATTGCCTGGACTTCGGGGACATTTCTCGGGGCCACCGTGGCAGAGCTGGCAAAGTAGCTGCGGTCAAACAGGTGATGCATATCGTGTGTCTTGTTGGGCTCCATGTAGTTGCCGTCAACGAGCTGGTCTTCCCGCTCCACGACGAAGACATTTTCCGGGCCAGTGATCTCACGAGCCCTCTTGATGAAGTTCCGGAAGTGCTCGCTGCTTGTGTTGGGCGGAAGGACTAATGGGTCTCCTGGTGCCTTTGCCGCCGCCGCGTGTGTGTTGTTAGGCACCTTCAGGGCACTGCCCTCAAGGACCGGGACCGTGTTCTTAGTTGAAGACATGGGGTCAGGTGAATGTCTTAGGAAGTCTTGTTTGATATTTTTATGGTGATAGGTCCTGAAGGTAAGTTCAACCATAAGCATTGGAGATGAGAAGTAAAATATCTCCAAGGGGAGATCTGACGGTGGTTTATATCAACTGCCCGGCATTGATGATACATCCAACCGGATCACCCATGCACACCCATCGCCTGTTTTCCCCTCACGAGAAACGAGTATCCAATGACATGGAATCTAAAGAGACCATAGATCGTGGGGAAGACGGAGAAAGGGGCCGGATGGGCCCCTCAAATGAGGGGGTGCCACATCCGTGAGACCTCGAGCTTCCACGGATGAGGGACTACCAACGTGCATCATGTGTGATGACTTCCACGGCACGATGCAGGAGAACTTACGGGCCGTAGTGATCCTGAACGACATCCGACCTGTCCGGTCCATGCATTCAAACAGTCCTTCCGTAGACCTGGATTGACACTCATCAAGGCACGTACCCCAATTTACCTTGGAGAAATCAACTAAGACGTAGCCGTTCTTTCTGTGCCTGATTTCTGCTTCGTTCAACACATATCCTTCATCTTTACTGAATTCAAGTCGAAATGGCAGGATCTGACAGTACTCGACGCTCCAAAGCCGCCGTTCTCACTGCAGACGGGTCCGGTGTACAGATTTGGACGAGAGAGGTCCCACCACCTACGCGTGCGTGCATACTCATAAAGGTCCTTAGAGCAGGAGTCTGTGGGACAGATGCACATCTCGCCAAGGGCGACCAATCCTTCCCTGACCCTGTTGTGCTTGGGCATGAAGGCCTCGGGCAAATCATCGAGCTCGGCGAGGGCGTGGCAACAGACCATGCCGGCCATCCCATCGCTGTTGGAGACGTTGTCTACTGGAACCCCATCAGACCTTGTAATGCCTGCTACGACTGTACCATCAGCGAGGACTTTACGGCTTGCACCAACGGCACGTTCTGGTCGCCTGCGAACCGGGCCGAGGTATGGGCAAGCTATACGGAACTTGCTACGTTGCTGCCCAACAATTCATTCTACCGCATTGATCCAAACGTCCCTCTGGACGCCTTCATTGCATTGGGTTGCGCTCTCCCCACCATCCTGCAGGCTTTAGACCACCTGGGTGGGATACCTTCAGGGAGCACGGTGCTTGTGCAGGGGGCCGGGCCTGTTGGTCTGGCCGCCATCATGATGGCCAAGTTAGCCAACGCCAGGGACATTATATGCATCGAGGGCGTCGATTCGAGGCTCCAGAGAGCCCAAGAATTCGGGGCTACGCTGTTGGTAAACTTCCGGAAACCGGAGCTTTCCTCGCGGCAAGGCCGCCAAAGCTTCATCAACAGCTCCATAGGCCCCAGGGGGGTCGGCGTAGCCATTGAATGCAGCGGGAATGCAGCCGCCTTTGAGGAGGGGATTTCGCTTCTGGGCCGGTCCGGCAAGTATCTCCTTGTCGGCACATGGGCGGGGAACAGCACTGTCCCTTTCTGCCCCTTCGACGTAGTGCAAAAGGCCCTTACAGTAGTAGGTTCAACTTTTGCGTCCCCAAAGCATTACTACCGTGCTGCCAGGCTCGTGGAAACCAACCACGAGGTGTTCCCATTGGCTCAATGCGTTACCCACAAGTATACTCTTGATGAGACAACAGAGGCCCTGAGAGCGGTTGGTGCCGGGGAGGTTGTCAAGGCTGTCGTGATACCTTGAGCATCACAGGCAATTAATTATTCTCGTTGATAAATAAAGTATATATTTGGCAGCATATAGTAAAAATTTATGAGAAAATGAGACTCAATCACAATTCCCAGCCGAAGTTATGTTGCTAATTGTTGGCTTCACGTGATGTCGGTGGTCATGAAAAGCTCGATACTCTAAACGCAACATCCACCAATGCGTACTATTCGAAGCTTAATAACTTAATAATCATCCCGGTTCGTGGTAAGATTCAAAATTGGCCTGGTTGAGCGTTAATCCCGGTACTGGCAGATCTGTTCATATACTAAAATTAGTCAATTACACCTCCGTTCCAAACCGAGCACGGAATCAGCTGATTTTGTCCAGATTTTTCTATTCTGCTACGATAATATCCGCTCCCTCCCGAGCATCCGATCCTGCCACTTCCTGCACAGAAACTTCTCATTCTGGCACAAAAGGAGTATGGCCGCCACATGGGATCCAGCAAACCTATTTCAAATCAGCTACGAAATCGACAATGACTTCACTCTAATCTCCTGCGTGGGCGAGGACGAGACCAGGCTCAACCGTCCGCGGTGTAGATACTCGGTCCCCGAGATCTGGTATCCAGAAATTCGGTCTCAGCTTGCCAGATTCTCTACCCAAGACCCAAAATGTATATCAGAGCAGGAATTGATTGATCTCGCAAGGATTTGTCTTTGTGAGGAAACCCACCAGAACCAGGCGGAGCTCGTTGCACAACGTTGGCTTGACGTGGTTGCCACTGCAGCTAAGCATCATGACCAACTGCTTAGGAAGAGCAAGCAACAGGCATCAATTGCTACACAGCTCAGCCAATTGACACCTAACGGAGCAGAAGAGGAGCTAAGGGAGCATAAGATCAAGTACACGTCTGTACTTCTCGAGAATTATGAACAGCGCCGACAAATAGAAGAATTGGAGACGGAGCTATCAACAACCAGCACTTCGCTGGAGACTGTGAAGCAGGAAAATCAGGACCTCAGGGCCGAGGTGGAAGAAGCCTCCAAAAGGAAGGCATACACATCCAAATACAATGATATGCTTCGGAAGCAGCTGGAAGCCGCTACAAAGCGAGCGCAAGGCTTGGATGCCAAAGTTTCTTATATCGAAGGGGTACACGGAAGTACCAAGACCCAAGCGGACAGGCTTCAGGAAGAGAACTCTTCCTTGAAAGCCGAAATAGCTCGTCTAAAACAAAAAGAAGGTGTTCTATCCGAAAAACACGAGCAAGCCCTCTCCGAGCTCTCAGCACAACGAGCTACGAATGTAGCGCTTACCAATCAAGTCCAATACTTGAAAGCAGCAGAACGAGTCCTGCGAGAGAGTATCTCTGCTTGTTGGTTTCATAATATTTACACGTGGGTTCTTCGAATTTTCGGTTTTTCAAGCCCCGTCCTCTCTAAATTACAAAACGAGGAGAAGGCAAAATTTTGGGTGTGATTCCCGCTATATAATTTTTTTCTAGTTTTCCCTCCTTATCATACTCTTAAACTCACACTCTGTATAAAGTCGTTCGCCTTGTTCCATGCATAGTCATGAAGAATTATCATTTGTTACAATCGGGAGGCAGGATAGACCAAAAACATAAACATAGAGAAATAAACATAGAGAACGCAATAAGGGATTCACTTTTCTGCTATAAATCTCGATCAAGTTCTACCATCATGTACTCTCTGAGCATTCAATCCAAATAACTGTAAGTAGACAGCCAGGTGCTAATAATAAGGAGGGAACTAGGAACAACACCTGCTGTATTTCACTTCACTGGGTTTTTATCTTACCCTTTTCTAACCTCACAATTAAACGCAGTCTCATCTTTTCGCAGGAGAAGGGTAGAGTACCTCGACTAGAAAGTGAGCATTATGTCAAAGACTTTATTGTATTCAGGCAGAGTTCTGTTCGCCACTTCTAACATAGCACCTTTTTCAACATATTTCCAGAGCTAAATCTGCAACGATCGGTATATCTTCCCCTTTCAGAATACTAATACCAAGGCTCGTAAGGAGAGATCTAGTACCATCTTGTTCGATTATTTTCAACATCCAGAGTCAAGGGCGGGTGCCCTAGCCAACACCAATCTATTCACAGAGCCCCAATTATCCCCTTATACTTATCACAGAAAGACACTCTCTTTTTACAGAGCGGCTCTATGCTCTTATAAAGTTAACATGCGATGCCAGCATACATTGATAAGATTAGCCGCGAGCCTTCGAACCAGTTGTTGGTATTCATTGTTCAGGAGAGCCTCCACCAACAACACTCGCTACTAATCACGCAGAGCGGAGACCTCGCCTGTCTCGCTCCGCATTCAACAGTGTCATTTCCCTTGAATTTGGTACACACAGCCCTACGTGGTCTATCTCAGTGTGTATCCATCAAATCCGCAAATGGCGGGCGGGCGGGTCTATTGCTCAACCCCCAGTCCTACAAGTTCGATCCCAGAATCCAGGGGCGGAATTTTCCTTCGATCGCAATCTACCATCCTTGGGGCGGAAGAAGAGTGACGTGGACAAATGAATGTCTGGGTCCATTTGGCTGGTCCATACATGCCTCAGGAAGAGCAAGGATGGAGAAACGGACGTGGCCCTGAGAGCTTGTTGTTATCAATAAAACGTAGAAGACTCGTGTGTACGCGTGCCGGACTGGCCACAAGGGCTCACATGCACAGATGATTCATCGACCACTACCGAGATTCATTCCCTTGCTCTCTAAAAGCAAGTCAACAATAATCAGCCAACCGTGGCTCTTGACGACTGCCGAGTGGGGGAAGCAGAGTCGGCCGCTAGCGTGGAGAGATATTCATCAATGCACCCCTTACACCCAGACCACGTTCCCTCTTACCTCCTCTTTCACAAGTCAGGCGCCTCTGCATGTCCCCCTGTTGCCCCCTAATTGCGACTCATGCCTTCATCCCAGTTGCCCATGTCTCATGGCAATAATAGCCTCCTCCACCTCTTCCCCCGCTTCACATGGGTCAACACCTACCCCAAACCAAGATAACGAGAATCGTGGAGCCCCATTGTGCGAAATCTATGACTTTATTATAATTATGCCCTCCTATAACCTCTCTTTTAACTCTCATTAGCCCATCACCATGGTATAACTAAACATGTTATCTCGGAGACGTCGTAGGATTCTGGCATACTAACGAGCAAAAAGGACCTTTGGTGCACATTCCTCGTGTATGCACTGCTTGGCCTACGTGGCAGTACATGCTCTCATCCGCTTATCAGCGGCTAGAGAGACGGGGCAGGGAAAAGCTGGAAATAAACCCAGACTTGGCAAGAAACATTGCTGGAATTTGACCAAATCCTCAGCGAGCTAGAGTACCGGCTAGTGATGATAAATTTTTCTGTCATGTCAGCACCCAATCGGATGGCAGGAGGATGCTTTCCAATCGATGCATAAGCTCAACGAAAAAAAAGTCCTGTCCATCTCTTGAGAAGGATAAACCTCATTGATCGGGTGACAGGATACTTTTGACGGCATTCACGTATAATCCCAAAACTACCAAAGGCAGAAGTTGTAGGGCTGCGTTTCTATGCCAGCCATTTGCTATAGCGGAACGGCTTGGCAAACGGCGTAGCTCCAAGGCGGCGGATGGGCTTCGATGTGATATCTAGAGCCACATCATGCAATAATCAATATAATTAATTCGTGAGAATAGGGTACTGCCTTTTTTCTGCTTGTGGAAATCAATGTTGAAGAACAAACATAACAGTTTGCCTATCGGTTCTCATGATAGCCCCTCCCAGCTCGTAGATCCTCCGGGCAGCTAAACAATTCCAAATCATCGTAGATTCCAAGCTCCACCTCCCTGGGGCAAGGCCTATCACAGTGTAGATCGTAGTCTTAAGGCTAAGAGTCGACTTGCATCGGAGGACTTCATCCCTGCCCGTGGGAGACTAAGTGAATCCCCGATATACACACACCGCAAGCCACACCCCAAGATGGTCCCAGGAGGTTGATGCACGGCTTCGGGTACCGGCAGCACCCTGAACTGATATGACGCTATTGCGGTTGCCAGATAAAATTTCAGGGTCCAGGCCAAAATGCAGGGTCCGGGTGTGGCTATAGAACTAATCCCCCTTTTTCGTTTATTTGCGGTTGAAGCGAGTTACATTGCCAAGTCCAGGAACCTTTGAAACTTCCCAGGCGGTCAAACCTAAACCCCCATACACGAACCTTGGTTGTGAAAATCTTTCGCTCAAGCTAGGAGGGGTAGTCCAGGCTCGTCGTAATGCTCATATACGACCCGGTGGCCCAGGCCCATCAATAACTTGGCTAATGGGATCGGCATACAAGAGGAATAGTACTCTATAGAAGCTTGGGTCATTTTTTCCCGTTAGCTCCAGGAACAATGATCAAAGACCCCAAAAAGGGGGCACAAAGTAAGTACTTACATCTCACTAAATTCAGGAATGAGCATCACCGTCTTGCACATATAATCCAAGCTGTAGAAATTGAATCAATAGCAGATACAAATCATCATAGAAGCTAAATTTAGAGAGAGAAAAAGAATAACATAAGAAGGGGGGGTTAGCTCACAGATGCATTTCAAGACAAAATTTAGTTGCGGTAGGGTTGAAAATCCCATTGGCCATGCACGTTAGGGTGATTGATTTGATGTAGATTGATCGTATTCTCGCTTTATGGACTGTGAATAAGTAAAATTAAATGAAAAGAAAGGCACATGCTCAAGAATATCCGCTCTATCCAAGTAACATGAATGCTGGAAAACAAAGCAAGAAATAATCAAATCCCCAGCCGACCGGTGGCCTTTCCGTCCCCAACCTTTTCCTCATTGCATCTTTTAAACTCATATACTCATTAAGCAATTGCTTGACAGAAGAGATCGTGGGAAACACCACCTCCCTATCACCGTGTACTAGGAGCGCTATCTGTAGATTCTGCTTGCCTGATATCATCAGAGATTATCTGAACCATCAGCAAGGCTTCGGTGAATGGCGTCGAGAATGTCCTTCTCCGAAAACACAGGGCCGTGACCATCACATGATGCGCGTTGTTGCAGATATCGACTCACGCTCGTGATATCGATAAGTCCACGCTTGAACAAACTATGTGCGACGATATAATCCCAAGCAGCACCAGCAGAATATAGATTCTGGCCTTCGGATTCTGTGGCCCGGCGGGAGCTGGATTTGTCCTTGTGTCCTGATACGGCGCTGCTGGGCGAGGAAGTCTGGCTGAAGTTCATGGGCGGGCCTGTAATGAGCGAGTCGGCGGAGCTATTCACGCTCTGTCGCCTGTTGCTTGTCGCTTTGAGGATCTGGTTCTCCCTCGTCATCCTCTCCAGGTCTATGCGTAGCTTCTCGTTCTCCTCCGACGCCTTCTCTTGGGAATTCTTGAGACGCTCGAGCGACGCTTCCAGATCTTTAACGTGTTTCTCCTTTCTCTCTCTAAATGCACGCTGGCTGCAAGTGAAATGTCAGCGGTGAATCCTTACAAGAGAAAAAGCATGCGATTTCACATACGCTGCTCGGTTCTGGGCCTTCCTCTTAGTCTGCGCATCCTCGTCGCTGGTCCATCGCCCGTAATTTTGCTCGTCTGACTCTGATCTGCGCCCCGGACCCATCATGTCGCCCATCGTTGGCAGGTTACCATCCATATACATTCCATTCCTGGGACCCATGGAGACAGGCATGGATGGCGCGACAGAGCCGGCAATAGAAGGGAAAGCGCCAGCCTGGCCGTAATGATACGCAGGGAAGTGATCGTCCATACTGTCATAAAATTCCTGCAAAAAGGACGTAAGTCACTGAAGTCTAGCATCCCACCCATACTCGAGCACAAGCTACTGACTGTTGCGGCATCCAACCCAAGCATTTCGGGCGATTTAGGTGACAGAGGGCTTGGGGAATTCATCGAGGATTCGTTGTAGTCCTCCGAAGTCGTGGATTGCGTAGCTGTGGTCGGCATCGATGTCGGCGCCGACATGGATGACTCCTGGTGGGCGGCCGGCCCGCCAGGAAAGGGATACTGATTGGAAAAATACATGGCGGTAATGGTGATGGTCTGTTCAATCGGTATTCAGCGACTTGGTGATGCGGTCCTAGGTTGATCTTCTTGATCCAGAGACTTGAGCCAAAGGCTAATGAGAACAGTTAGTCAGAAGAGTGTCGATTGATGCTCTGGGCAAGAACGATTGGCAAGTTGGACCAAGAGGTCGATATTTATGAATACGACGTGAGTGAGGATGATGGGGATTTGAATATGAAGGCGGCCGCCAAACCTCATCTCCATCTGCCCTTACCAATTCATCCATAACGTGTCTAGGACGGTGGAGTACATGATGAACTTCCGGAGAGCGAAGAGGAGATTAGCGGCGAGACAAGGGCAAATCTGTTAGCCGTCTTGTGCTGAGCCCTGCATCTGTTCCCTCCGTTCTTGCATGTGCGCTTACTGCTATCTAGACCCCC